TATTCATGAAGAATAGGTAAATATATGGCTGCTTTGCATTCATCCATTTTTTTTTTTTTTTTGTCCTCACACTTTTTTCTTTTTTTTTTTTTTTTTTTCATTTCTCTCACTCTTCACCTGTCCCTCTTTTACTGGTTTTGTTGAACTCGTACATCTTATTTTAAATATATTTCTGTAAATTGAGAATTAAAAATTTGCAGAAGTTTTTGTTTTTATTTTCCTAAAAACGTGAAATATTTCAAAATAAAAATAAGTTATTCAAGTTTTATGATATTATTTATACACATATTAGTACACTCATTAAGGCTCCACTAAAGGTCTGAGAAAAAAGGTTGTTGTAGCTAAATATTTTCCTACACATGTATCGTTGTGTTCGGAATGTTTTATAAGTACGATCCTACTCATAAGTATGCTCAGGGGTTATGCCTATACCATTTATACACACACGTCCTTCTGCTTAAGTTAGATCTACAAAAATTTTCCAAATGGACGAAGAGCTCCCTAATATAAAGCAACCTTAACAAAATAAATGGTACATATCAAAATTGTTCAAACAGTACAAGGGGAGATAAGGCATAATTCATTTTTATGATAACATTAGGGAAAAAATATTTTTCCATTTTACTTTTCCCAGCGTGTTGAAATTTTTTTAATTGTGTACTTTTTTTTAGCACTTTTTTTTAGCACTTTTTTTTAGTACTTTTTTTTCCCATTTTTTTTTTACCAAACACTGTAAATGAATTCTTATATGCACTCCCCAAGAATAAAAAAAAAAAAAAAAATACAATGCATAAAAGGAACCAATTACACAATTCACATTTTTAAAAACTTGAGTAAAAAATAACAGAAATGTTGAATCATAATGAAGCGGAATAATGCATAACAAAAAAAAAAAAAAAAAAAGCAGTAAAAAAAAAAGAAAAAAAAAAGAAAAAAAAAAAAAAAGCCACTTTAATCAATGAGTAAACCGATAGAATATCAACTAATATTAATCTTAAGAATAATATCAATTTTTGTGATAATTTCATGGGGAGCATGTTCTGCATATGCAGTCAAACATCGATCCTATTTGCCTTTAAGCCGCTATAACATAAGAGGGAAAGAGAGAAGTGTATCCCTTAACTTATCAACTAGCCAAAATGAGTACAATTTGAAAATTGTTTTATACCCAGACCCTGTTCTTCGGAAGAAGTGTGATGAGGTGGTTCACTTTGATGATAATTTGAAGGTAAGGATGGACATATGTGTGATATATATAAAACTTATCCATTTATCATATGAGGAGGGAAGCCGCTTAGGAGAGAGAAGCCATTATAACAAAGCTCCCTTAAGAACGTGTCTACACATTGTATGGCATATAAGGGGGATGAAATGATAAGCCGCTTCTAACACATAGAAGCCTAAAAGGTCATACTGCATCATTTTTATCTGCACCTGATGATGATTTTTCACACATTTGTATAAAGAAAAAAGCAGATACGCGAACAAAAACATACCAACATGCACAGACACACTCACACATACATACCAACATGCACAGACACACTCACACATACATACCAACATGCACAGACACACTCACACATACATACCAACATGCACAGACACACTCACACATACATACCAACATGCACAGACACACTCACACATACATACCAACATGCACAGACACACTCACACATACATACCAACATGCACAGACACACTCACACATACATACAAACATGCACACGCACACATATGTATGCATAGAACCCCCCGGAACTTAATTGCTTGACCTTTTTCCCCACGACCATCAGACACTGATAAGAAGCATGTTCAAAATAATGTACGAAAGCAAAGGAATAGGATTAGCAGCACCTCAAGTTAATATCAGTAAAAGAATTATCGTTTGGAATGCATTGTATGAAAAACAAAAAGAAGAAAATGAAAGAGTTTTTATTAATCCTACAATTGTTGAACAAAGTTTAATTAAAACGAAATTAGTAGAAGGATGTTTATCATTTCCAAATATTGAAGGAAAGGTGGATCGTCCAAGTATTGTTTCAATTAGTTACTATGACTTAGAAGGTAATAAACATTTAAAAATTTTGAAAGGAATTCATGCAAGAATATTTCAACATGAATATGATCACCTTAATGGTATTTTATTTATAGACCGTTTTAGTCAAACAGAAAAGCATAAAGTTCGTGCTAAATTGAATGAAATGATACGTATATTTAAGAGTAATTTTGAGGAAGAGCCAGCAGTGTGAAGACATTCCAAGCAAAAAATAAAAAGGGTACATTCCCAGCTTGTTCGTGTGCATATAAGGACACGTTGATGTGGCATTTGTGCATATATATTTGTTATGTATTTGCTAAGAGCTTATGTAAAGAATCAGGCCATACAAAAGTAAGTGTGTGTTTATAGTGCTATTTTCATGTGGATTATTTTATTTTATTTTTTTTTTTTTTTTCCTCCCTCCCTTTTACATTATGTGTACATGTGTTTTGTAATTTCATCAGAAAAATTATTTCACTTCCCAACATTCAAAAAAAATAAAAAGTATATATAGTGAAGCTGACATGCAGATATCCTCTAATTATTTGTTCAGTTAGAATAATTCAAATGATAAGATCGTAAGAGTTGAATTTTTTTTTTTTTTTTTTTTTTACTAATCAGTTAACACATTAAGTCAATTTTCAAAAGTGGAAAATATGAAAACTCAGGATGTCAAAACGAAAGAGAGAGTTACATATCGATGCGATAAAATAAGCATTGTCATCCCTCTCTCAAAGAAAAAAAAAAAAAAAAAAAAAAAATTCAAATTAAACAAAAATTAGATAAAACTAGAAAAAAAAAAAAAAAAAAAAAAAGTTCTAGAGATAGGTTAACTCTGAGTGGATGCAACTGTTCAACATTGTTGATGCTGGAATGTACATATACACGTGCACATAAACAAAAAAAAAAAAAAAAAAAAGGTGAAGAACAAGGAGCAAAAAGACACTTTGTATATATCCCTTTGCATGATCTTACCATCTTGTTGGTAACTTCCTCTCGCATATTACTTATGAAGACGAAACATCATACAGTGGAATCTCTATGTATGAATGGCACTTTTGTACTTCTTTTCGATACGAGTAGATGCAATGGTAGTCCTCTTTCGCAAAGATGCCTTATTGGATGATGTTTTTTTTCGGAGCAGGTGACTTCGGCCAGCTTTTTTTCTTATAAGTTTTCCATTTTTCGTTATTTTAAATCTTTTAGCAATTGACTTATTCGTTTTGGGTTTGATATTTGTACATCCACGGACATGCAGAGTAAAGAAACGGTGGCCATTTTTTATCAATTCACTTTGTGCATGTAAAAATGATATGGTCTTAATTCGTGTCGTTTTCTTTTTTATACATCCGATTGAACCAACTGATCCGACTGATCTGAATGATCCGTTTGTATATCTTTTCGTTAATATATGCATGTCTACAATTTTTTTTTTTTTTAAACGTTTTCTATAAGCATTACTTAAGTATATTCTTTTTACACTTACATTATGAATTATCTTTTGGGTTTGAGCAATCTGTAGCGCGATTAGGAGCAACATAAGAATGCTGAAGAGGCAGCACGTCATAGTTCAGAATAATGTAGTGACAAGGACATGATTATTTTGGGTCCTTCTAAAGTCATCTATTCAGAAAATCCTGAATGCATTCGCTTTTGTGTTCTGTGTTCAGGTGTGTGTGAAGTTTCCATAATCCAATTTTTCTACTTATTCAATTCACTACTTTGTAAAAGTCCTTTTGCACACAACAAAAAAAAAAGAGAAAAAAAAAAAAATTCCTCATACATTTCTGTATATATCTATTTCGTCATAAAATAATAAAGTAAATTTGTAACATGAGTTGAGGAAAAAGCAAAATTTATTCTGTTCATTTATAACTTGATTTTTTCATGTATACTTGGTAACTTATGGAATATAAGTTAAGACCATACAACATGTTTAATGTACCTATTGAATATCTTTTTTTTTTTTTTTTTTCTTTTTTTTCTTCATTTAGCATATGTAAGGGATTATAAGCGAGTTAGCTTATATCCTACACGGTCTTTTATTATAAACTGGGGAGTTGGTGAAATATATTTAGGTGTAGCAATAGTTGGGATATTATATTCCATGTAGATGAAAAGTGTAAATCTAACGGTATATTTGCCCATAAATTCTACTTTGTGAGAAAATGAAGAATTTAGTAAATACGTAATTGAGTGAATTAGTATATACGTAAGTGAGTGAACTAGTATATACATAAATGAATGAATTAGTAAATGGGCAAATTGGTAATTGTACTTTTTATTTATTTTATTTTTTTTTCTTTTTTAAAAATGCCCCTAACCCAACTCCCATAACTGTTTCTGTTATAACGAACTTTAACAAATAGCTAACGGGATATGGCTATATTCTTTTCTTTTTTCTGTGTAAGTATAAATACAAGAGTTTTACACATTATATGATTTCTTGTTTGTTTTAAAAAAAAAAAAAAAAAGTACTAAAGGGCCATTACATTTTTATAAACTTATAATTTTTTTTAAAGGGAAAAAAAAAAAAAAAAAAAAAAAAAAAAAAAAAAAAAAAAAAAAGATAAAAATTGCAAGAATTTACACCATGCGAAGTATTCCACTTGCTTAAAAAAGGGTGTACAAGAATAATGATGATGTATCATATCTGCAGCAAGTTTTGATCTAAGATGTTACACAAGGGATTCAATCGTGAAATTAAGTGGGGAAAAAAAGAAGGGTTAAAGAATGGATTCTCAAACAAAAAAGGTTTTATGTAAACGCGGGTGAATAATCAATGACGAGAATATCCATGCATGTGTATGTGTGTCTCATGTACATCGTAGCAAGTACAAGGGGGGAGATATATGTATGTTTGTATGTATATGAGCAGGTAAACACACAAGTTTTGAATGTGCAAAACTGTTATGAGACCGTGACACCTACCCCTTAGGAGAACGAAAAAATTAGCATATAAAAGTTCTTTCCACTCCACAGCAAAACTGTTATAACCCCAGTAATCAGCCATAACATAATAAGAGAAGATAAACGAAATTGAAGACCCTTTTCAGGGAAACCTGTTTGATAAACAAAATGTGATATTGTTTTTTTCCTTATTCTGTGCTACCATATTATAGCACCTACCACATTTCTATCAAGTTGTGCTAGCTTCGGGGACTACATATGTATGCGTATGTGTATATGTATATGAATACATACGTAGATATATATATGTACATATATATTCTGTACTTACATAATGTAGATAATAATCTACTCTGCAACATGTATATATATATATATATATACACTTATATGCACGAAGGAAAAAAGTATATGGAAGATAAGTGTATGTTTTGTGATGAATTTTTACATAACAGGCTTTTTAGGAACCTTACATACTAACTAATATGTATATATTATCTCGAAATATTACCCAAAAAGGGTTTGACTCCAATGCATATAACTTTGGATCTACAGTCCTCTCTATACAAGGTAGTAAAAATGCACAAAGGTATAAATTATTCTTCGAACCTTCGAACCCACTTTTTTTTTTTTTTTTTTTTTTTTTTTTCCTTGTAGAAAAATAGAAAATTTTGGATCAATTTTGTTAAAAACGTTATTTATCTTTTTTTTATTTTTGCTTTTTTAAAATTATATATTCAAAAAAAATATACCCCCATAAAATATTTTTTTTTTTTTAAAAAAAAGCAAACAAACAAGTAAACAAACCGATGCATAGATTTGTTAATTTATTGCGTATTTAGTAGCTCTGAATGTGAATTGACATTCCAGCTTTTGTATACCAAGGGGAAAGATGTTAAAAAAGAGGAAGTTACATCGGCTAATAAGTTATTGATATGTGCTATACTTGAACATGATGTTATATGTATTTCTTTTCACGTATACTTGACAGGAAGGCTTTATTCTATCTACTAAGTTGAATATAAGTACATGCATAAACATGTACCATGTGTGTATATATTTTAATATATGTTGTGTATGTGTATACATGTGTATATATTTACGTACCTGCATACACGAAAATAGTGTGTAAGTTTCTAGAATTTCTTCTTCCCCTTTGAATAATCTTTTTTTTTTTTTTTTTTTTGTTTCTTGTGAATAAATTCCCCCCACCCCCTCCTCGTCCTAGTTCTCTCCCATCACGTAACCGAGCATGCATTTTCATTTAAAGAAAAAATGTTATACTGCTACATCTGTATTGTGTGCATACTAGATTTAGATATATATATATATATATACAAAAAAAAAAAAAAAAAAAAAAAAAATCCCCATTCTATATTTCTACATATTTTATTCTCTACTATTTTTTCCCTCTTACTTGTACCAAACGAAGAATTCCCAAAAAATTGTAAATAAGCAAGACACTTGTTCTAATTTTGTTAAGTAAACGTATATCCACCAGAAGAGACAAGGGGAGCTTTGTATTATAAAATATATTGTTATGTCATTAGAAAAAGGTTTTAAGGAGGAGAAGGAGAAAAAGGAAATATAGGAAAGGTAAATACAAACAGACGCAAGGGGGTAGAGGATATATATACATATATATAAATATATATACATAACAATCTGAGTAGAAAAGAAGACATAATAAAGGTTTTCATAATAAGGACAAATAAAGTGCCATTACAGTAGCACAGTGGAATATAATTGAGGAAATAGATTACACCCAGGAGAACTTGCTTGTTATCATCTTTTTGTATTATAAAGTCCTTTTTCACGCATTAATACTGTCGCCTTTTCTCTTTTTTTTTTTTTTTTTTTTTTGCACATAAAATGGATAACATTGTAAATAAAATTGATAAAATCGATCCCTTCGATCAAAAAGTAAAGGAAGAATACAACAAGTTTAAGCTTGACGTGACAAAACAAGCAATAGAATCATTGAGGGAAAGAATCCCCAAAAGAATAATTTATTTCAACACATTAGTGAATGTGAATTCAGAACCAGGTTCTATACTAGATGTTAGAGACCTTGACGCAAATTCGTACAAATATACAATAAATCAAACGGAAGAAAATGCAAGAAAGAAACACAAGTCAAATGATGTTGATATGACAGAAAAAAAAAAAGATTCTATAGAACTGAGTAAGAAAAGTTATATAAATTATGAAGAAAAAAAAATTGTAATTGATGAAAAAGTTATGTATACTCATTATGTCCCTTCACATAAACAAATATATGCAGAACTTGAAAAGATTAAAGCATATTCATCTGAACTTATAGAAATTATAGGTAATATAAAATTATGGATTCAACTCAATGTACCAAGAATAGAAGACGGTAATAATTTTGGTGTAGGAATACAAGAAGAAGCAATTCAAGAATTGGCTAGAGTTGAAGAAAGTGCATTTAATTTATATGATGCTATTGTTAAATATTATATGGACAGGGCGAAATTGTCAACTAAGGTTATGAAGTATCCTAATGTGCACGATTACCAAGAAGCTGTAAGGGAACTTGATGAAAAAGAATGGATTCATATAAAAATCACAATAATAGATATGCGAAATAATTATATTATGCTTTACGATTTGTTATATAAAAATTGGGAAAAAGTCGTTAAGCCCAAAAATGAGGATGCACATCACAGGATGACTTTCTAAGTTCCCCTTCACTGTTAAGGTTTGGGATTACTTTGCATAACCTAGCCCTTGCATGTGTATACATCCATGTGTTTCTTTTTTTTTTTTTTTTTTTTTTAACGCGCTTTTTGTGTAGAAATGTACTACATTAGGTGTAGGATTTATTTACCCACACATGCTAGGGCCAATTTATCAAATGGAGAAATTAAAAAAATGAAAGAATTAGAGGTGAAAAAAAGTGGAGAACGTGAAAAAAAAAAAAAAAAATTTAAATAATAATAAAGAAATAATAAAAATTCCAGTATGAACCTCAATTTGGCAATACTGTAATTAGTTGTAGCACACACACATGTTGATTTGAGGAATTAACAACATCTTGCAGTGGCAACGCCTAATGGATATTACATCATATGATCCAAGCAAGCATTTATTATCTTTACCATTGCATGATTATATTTGATATGTCATAATGTAATCGTTTCATTATGTCATTATGTGTCACTGATCATAAATAAGTGCTTCGTCTCATGTTACCTTTTTTTTTTTTTTTTTTCTTTTTTTCTTTTTTCGCCAACGCATGTATTTTACACAATCATCTTTTTTGCTGTCACCTTATTACTTTAAATGCTTCTAACACTCATAGTGTGTATATACTTTTTGCTAGATTTGTTGACTGTGTAAATTTCTTCGCATTTTCATATGTGCAGATTTGTGCATTTACATGCTTATAATAAGTATCCAGCAAAGAACCGTTATGCTACGATGGAACTTTCATGTAGTAATAACCATGAACAAAAATTCCTTTCATTTAAATTTTTTTTTTCTTTTTTTTATACATATAAAAGGCATAATAAGAAAAAAAAAAAAAAAAAAATCCATATACATACATATATATATATATCATTATTAAGCTGCTGAATTGCTGAATGTGAAGTAGCGTGAGAAACTTTTTGTTTGCCTTTTGTGGTAACGGTATGGGGGAAAAACGAAAAAGATTTATTTTGGACAGTACAGATAAATGAATGATTAACATCTCGAGCTATCTGTAAAAAAAAAAAAATAGGAGATAAAAAAAAAAAAAAAAAAAAAAAAAAAAAAAAAAAAAAAAAAAAAAAAAAAAAAAAAAGCGCATGTGTATCACACCCGATTTATGTTTGTGCATGTAATCTCAGCTACACATCAAAAGTGTTCTAACATACGAAATTTTTTTTTTTTTTTCCATTAAGGTTTGATCGTATATGTGTGAATTAATTCTAGCATGTGGTTCCAACCATTATTTTACTTCGAATTAAGCACAATATACTTCCTTGGGAGGCTATAATTCGTAACTAAAATGTCATGTATCAAATTTACAACATTTCCCTGAACAAGGACTTCCTCTTTTTTTGTAGAAGGAGAAATGATAATAGAACATGAACAAGCTAGCAATTTTTGAATGTGTTCTGAGAATTTGTTAAGATCCACATGAAAAAGTAACAAATTGGTTATATGTGTTACATATTTTTTCCCTTTCATTCTTGCAACTGCGTAGATATGAATGGATGGGCATTTCCCTTTTGTTACTTTAATTGGATCTACGTCAAAATTGGCACCTTCTTTTACTATTGCATAGCATGGTTGTTGAATCGAAATGAAATGATTTAGAAGGGATTCATAAGCTATAAAGGAAGATTCGTTTGTAGGATTCAAAAAGTTGCGTAATTCATCGTTTAACTTTACGAGATTATTTTCTTTACTGTTTTGTAAATTCTGATTCTGTACATACGATTTTAATATGTCTTTTAGTTGATTAATATTGTAGTAGGAATTTTTTCCTGCTGTCTTATCAACGCATTTGAATATGTTAACCGTTTTGGATGTTGGAATGTAAAACTCCAATACTTGGGCACCTTTATTAGTCAATTCGTTTCTTCCACTTTTGTCTTGTTGGTTATTTTTTAATACCTTGTCCATTTCACTCCTTACAGGTAAACCATTTTGATCTCCTTCTCCTATTTCGCACTTTTTTTTCTCATCAATAGTCATGGGTTTGTACGATGAGATGATAGAACTTCCCTTACGTATATTGACAACGGATACAATATTTCTGTTTTCTTTTATCTTTATTAGTTTCATTTTTGAGCAATACTGAATGAATTTAATGATTTTCTTATGTGTGGATTTTTTCACATCTAATTCAATCTTCAATTCTTTTTTTTTTATTTTATTTATAATGTCAAGAGATACATCACGTTTTTGTAACTCACTCAGAAAAGTTTCATTTCGATGAACGTATAAAAATTCTTTAGACATTTTACTGTATATTGCTGATACTTCTAATGGTAAATGATCATCATTCAATGATTGTACTACTTCCAGAAAGAGGTATAATAGTAACAAATCTTGTTGTTCACTGCTTAGTTCGAATATATTATTTTCACTAGTTTTGTGTGTCACGTTTACGTTAACATCATCTACTAAGGATGATTCACTTGATTTTTCATCGTGGGAATTTTTTATCTTTTCTGATTCTATTATATTATTCCCTTCATTTTTACTTGCATCTGTTTTATCTTCTTTGTTAGTTTGTAAAGTTTCTTCTTCTGAAAATTCTTCCCACTTATTCATTATGTCTGTTTTGTTATGAGTATGATCTATCGCTTTTTTTAGTACCTCTTCTTTCTCTTGTTCAGTTCCATAGCTATCAACCAAGCTTTGATTCTTTTGTTTTTCCCTTTTTGCATCACTAGTTGTGTTTAGATGTAAATAATTCTGGTCTATTGAATCGAGGTCAACTGAACACTTTTTTTTGGCTATTTCATTTGAGGGGTCCTTCTTTATCTGAAAAGTTTCTATTTTTTTTTTTTTTTCTTGACTTGAGTTTGTTATTTTCTTGTTAACACTTTTGCCACTAGCTGGAAGCGTTCCCCCTTTTGGAAGACTCCTTTTAGATAATATTACATTGAAGTGTTTATAAAAGTTTACTAGGCTTTTTTCATTTGTGCTTTTCGGTTTGGATTTATTTTCCATTAATTGAACGTTTTTTTCATCTCTACCATTATGTTTCTCGTGTTCACTTTCATCATCAGTAAATGCTCTATAACGTCCATCGTCCTGGCAATCTTCTTGGCAATCTTCTTGGCAATCGTCTTGGTAATCATCTTGGAAATCGTCTTGGAAATCGTCTTGGAAATCGTCTTGGAAATCGTCTTGGAAATCTTCGTGTCCATCTTCCTCATCATTGTCTTGCCCATCTTCCTCATCCTCGTGGTCGTGATTATGCACATGCTGAGGGCCACATTTAGCATTACTACAACCATTGTGATAATTTTTTTTTTTATCTTCCCGTTGTTTATTTTTCGATTTTGTTTTTTTTTTCCCTTTATTTTCATCATATACTTTAAAATCATCAAAATTGTCTATGACATTTTCCACCGAATCAATAATTTTATTCTGAAAGCTACTATGGGGAACTGTTTGTGAACCTAATTTCCACAATTCATCATTAAATATATGAACAATTTTTAAACACTTTCCTTTTAAATCATAAAAATAATTATTATTATCATAGTCAACTACGCAATAGCCAACGGCAAATATATGTGGGTTATTAAAAACTCGAACTCCCCATATATTTCCTTCTTTTAATTTTTCTACATCGTCAATATCTTTGCATATACCTGGAATCATTAAATCCGCCCCCTTTAGCAAGAATTCAGATGCAGGTGGATAAATTACAAAACAAGGAATTATTTGTGGGAATTTCCATAATGTGTACACGGTTGGAAAAATGTCATTTTTGATGGAGAATAAAACTGGGATGTTTTTCGAAAGGTATATCGTTATTTTTGTTTTTTGCACTTTACAGATACTTGTGTTTTCTTTGTCTAAAATTTCATCCACTTGTTCGTCACTTTCCAAGTTGAATGTCGTCTTGATCGTTACGGCTAATCTGTGTTTACAAGTTGAGAAAAATGAAGATTTTATGAAAAAATGTTTTGAAGGGGATGAGAAAAAATTATGAACACTCTGGAGAAGCAACAAATAATTGCTCTCAAAAATTGGGAATGTGCAATATGAAATTATTCCACTCCAAGAAAGACTCCTAAGTCGAAAGCCTTTTTTCTACTATGATGCTAAAGCTCTCTATATATACATTTGTCTGCGTGTGTTTTATTTATTTTTTTTTTTTTTTGCTGCATTGAATTTTAGTGTGCTGTGCTAATTATCAGTTTATAGTGGTCTACGCAAGTATTTCCAATTGCCCATCTCCTTTGCATTAAAGGAGCATAACAAATAGATGTCAGCACGTATAGGCTTTTTGTGTTCATCTATGGAAATACTAGAACCCATAGGAGAATGGTTCCTCTTCATGCATATTATTAATCTGGAGTCCACTCTCCTGGTCAAAATTGGAAAATATATTAACCAAGGTGTTTCTCCATTTTTCTGGAAACATGAATATTAAATGGTAAAATTTGAACATACTTTTTCCTGTCCTTGTTGCCGAGGAAGTTTTTATTGCCCAGGTTTATTTTGCTTTTAAACATGTTTTTGTAAAACGGAAAAGAAAAAAAAAAAAATAAATAAAATGAGAAAAAATAGCGTAAAAAAAAAAAAAAAATAGAGTACAACGAAACAAATGAAATAAAACGGATGAAGTAAAACGGATGAAATAAAACGGGTGGAATAAAACTGACAGAATAAAACAAATAATGTGAAAGGAAATAAGTAAGAAGTATCCAACTTTGTGTTAACTATCAGTAAGCAAAGAAAAGTCTACCAAAAATTTCTATTATTTTGATGACCCTATGCTCAAAATTCATAACCTTTGAAAAATGTAGGAAAAAAAAAAAAAAAAAAAAAGGAAAAAAGAAACGGGAAAAGAAAAAGAAAACATGAAAACTATCTAGCATATGGAAAGAAAATATATAGTATCAATCTGCTACTTTTTTGAATGCCCATCGTAACTGGTATGCTGCAGCATTATGTTGCTTCTCGGATAGTACACTTTAGGGCATATACACATTTTTTTTTTTTTTTTTTTTTTAACTTTTTCGGAGTTTCTCCCCCCTTTTCCCATTTGCTTTCAAAATCGAATGTCGGCAAGGAGATAAATTATATCCATGCCTGTAATGTATCATTGCCTTAACATTCATTACGACATTTCCTATGAAAGCCTATTTTTTTTTTTATTTATTTCACATATCATTTTCATTTGTGGTAGGACATTGGAATGATTTTCAATTTTTTTTTTTTTTTTTTTTTTCATTTTATCACCGCAATATTGATATGTATATATATGGTTAGAAATGGAGGGAAAAAACGAAGAAGGATTTATACAGACTCATTCAGCACATTTTTCTCATTGTGATCCCCTGAAACGGGAAAGGGAAAAAAAAAAAAAAAAACGAAAAAAAAAGAGCTCCTAGAAAGATTATAGAAAAATAGCATAAAGTTGAAACTTATGTGTATATAAAGTAGTCTAAGAATAAGAAAGGTTTGTTGTTATTTAGAAGTACATCTTTGTGCACGGTGTTGTATATTTTTATACACTTATAAACATGTTTTTGTATATTTTTCTCAAAGCTGTAAAAAAGTAAGATAGAAATGAGAAACCATTTTCAGCACCTATTTTTTGACATGCATAATTATCTCTATTTATTGTTAAAGGTTATATATATTCCTATGCCATAGATGATGCATGCAAAATAAAAGGAATATATATATACATGGATATCAGTTTATCATGGATCAACACTTTTTGTTTGATTTCTTTACACTTCCTTTTTAATCTTGTTTTTTTTTTAACCATTAATACCTATTTTTTGCTTCCACTATATGTATGTTCCCTAAAGCATTAAAATTGTATATCATTATATGTGAAGGTTATATGTGAGTGCATATGCTCTAGTGCATAAGGTTTACTTATTTTTGATATGACAATTTCAGGAATGAAAGTCTCATACACACATAGACAGTTAAAAACCACTTTACACTATGCTAATTGTGGCATGATTTGCATTTCAGGAATAAACATACAGTTGTGATACAAGCCTATGTGCATATGTACATATTCCCGAATGTATACATAAAAATCGGACGTCCTTCTCCCCCTTTCCTCCCAAATTACCTTTTAAAAATAATAAAAGAGAAAAAGAAAGAAATATCACTTTAATTCGCTTTTTATCATTTTACAGAATATGTATTTTTTGAAAATCCACAACAAAAAATGGCTAAAATTTTACTTTTGTATTATAACCATATATCGCTCTTTTTATTTACAATTTAAACATATGAAAATTTTAAAATGTATTTTCCTGTATTATTGTGGGACATACTATTTTTCTGCAGAATGTATATGCAGATATTTTTTAGTTTAAAATTTTGAGAAAAGGAAAAAAAAAAGAAAAAAAGAAAGTAGGAAATAGTGCAGAAATAACAGCAGTAGTAGAATTTTTTTTAACAATTTTGTGTTCCAATTGTCTATTCCTTTTACTCATTAAAAAATAGCTCCGTTTAGGTTATACGTAGTGATCGTTTTATTCAATGTCTAAATTTGACTTCCTTGGTGTAATTATTTCTCCAATTTTTTTTCTTTTTTCCCCCTTTTTTTTTTTTTTTTTTTTTTTTTTTTTTTTGCATGTGTGCTGAGGTGTAATTTGGACCAACATTGGAACTGCAAAAATAGTGAGTGAAAAAAAGGGGAACGAAGGGGTATATGTAATATTTAAAAAAAAAAAAAAATAATAAAGAAATAAAGAAATAAAGAAATAAAGAAATAAAGAAATAAAGAAATAAAGAAAATCATTTTACGGTGAAAGACGAAGAAACTGCGTGAAAAAAAGACTAAACGATTGTGGCGAAATGAAAAATTGTTGGGAAAAAAAAAAAAAAAAAATGTAACAGCATTTGGAAATTTTCTACAAAAATAAAAAATTAATTCAAAATAATTGTGTCATGAAGTGTATACCTAAGTTAATGTGTTTTTATCCCTTTGAGCGGATAGTTGGTTTTGTTATTTATGTGTGGATAAATATGTGCATATAAAATACACACACATATACATACATATATATATATATATATATATATACATACACCCTACACGCGGATGTGTGAATTGCTTTTTTTGTAAATATGCAACCGTTTCTACATTGTAACTATCTTCTTCGCCCTGCTACCCTGAAGCACAAATTATATTGCTAACTTAATCGAATTTTTACTACGTCTGCTTTTAATAAGTTAGAAAAATAAAACGTTTATTCTTCGCATGACTGTGCTAATTATTATCAAACTTTATTTTTATTTAAAATGAAAAATTATTTTTATTTATTTTTTTTTTTTTAAAGAAAACATTACATTTTACATTTGTATTAAATAATCGTTTAAAAGGAACTGAAAAGAGACCGCTGCTGGAGTTAACTGCACTTTCCCGAAAAAAAAAAAAAGAAAAAGAAAAGAAACGGTAATAACTGATGAAAATTTTTTTTTTTTTTTTTTTTTCATGTGTACAAATTAGGTCGGATCATGTAGTGCCAGTAAGCATTCATATAGATATGCATATTTAATGCTACATGTACTATGTTCTAATTTTTACAGAATTTAAAGTACATCCACTAAAAAATGCTACCTGAAGATTGCTCCAGAAAATCCCTATCTAAGCTGTTCGATTGCCTATCACAGGCATGTCCATATTTAAAATACTGTATTATTATTATTACTATCATTTTAATATTTGAGCATACTGATTGAATTGCTCACCTTTTTGAAGAACCCCTGAAGGGATTGTCACTATCAGGCAATTTATGTCATTTCACGTATTTACGCGTTTTTTTTTTTTTTTTTTTTTAACATTTCAGGAAATTGAAAAAAAACAACCAAAAAATGTTATTCATTTTATGGTAGATTTCTTATGTAAAAATTATGCGTCTCATTTGAGGGGATTTGCCCATGTCTGGGATGTTGGTAAATTGTCTAACTTAGATTGAGACATCTGAATGTGTCTACATTTTCTTGAATGTGTAAAGAAAGAGACTAGCTAAAAGAAAGTCAAAAAGGCAAATATATCATTAAACAAGTTTATACAGATGATTAAAATAAAATGTTTTATTTAATTTTTGTATATTATTTTTTCGCTCACTCTGCAGATTTAGAACTGGAAAAGGAAAAAAAGCTCGTAACTGAGTTTTTTAAAAGCCAAAAATTAACCACAGAAATCGCTAAACATTTCATCAATGTCGGATTTGATAGTGTAAGAAGGAAGAAAATTTATCGTCATTTCATTCATGTGCAAAAGTTGCAGTGTTTACTTTATGTCCTACATTTTAGCTAATTTTTTTATTTTTTTATTTATTTTTTTTTTTTTTTTTTTACAGATGGAGACTCTGCTATATTTGAATGCGAACATATTGGATGACGTAGAAAAATTTAACAAAGTGAATTGGCTTCCAGGACATAAAATAAGATTACAAGTTTGTGAAAATTGACAATAGCTGTGCATAAACCTTCCTATTTTTATATGCAACATTTATAGTCTCATTTTAAGTCATTTTGTAGCACAGCGTGGGACTCACTTTTTTGGATATTTTTCCGCATCCATATAACCTCTTTACTTCACTACCCTTTTTTTATAAAGCAAATGTTTTCAAACATTCAGGAGAACATCAAAACATTTTACAAGGAATATGACAAGGACGAGATAAAATATGGCTTCGATTATGATGTATTGCGAGTAAGTGAGAACGATTTTGAGAAACATAGAAAAAAGAAAAAGAAAAAGGAAAAGGAAAAAAGAATAATATGAAAGTTTCTTACTAAAGTAATCACAATAAGTGCATGTGTGTATGTACATAACTAGGCAATTATAATTTTTTTTATCAGTCGGTTACAACAAATCTATTTCTAACCTTTTTCACTTAGCAACAAGCGAGGCCTAAGGTATTATTTCCTTTTTAGAATCTCTGAATTATGAATAAGTGACAAATGTGATACGGAGTAATGTGTGTCGTATATGCAAGTTTCGTATGAGCTAGGAAAGTTCTTTTCAAAGAATATCTGTGTCCCTACTCACCAATAATGTTTGTTGCTCAACATAATATTATTATCCCTTTTTGGCTATTTATTTATTTTATTTATTTATTTTTTTTTTTTATTACACATTTATCCATGTGTACAAAGGAGAAATTTTAATATACATATGCAACACATGCAACCATAAGTATTGTGTGTGTGTATATATAAGTAAACATATTTAAATTGTCAAACGGTACATACGATCAACCTAGTGATTGTGACAAACCTGGTTTGTGTAAAAAAAATTGTTTTCGGTTAAATAAGCGGAGCATGTAATTGATACATCCATCCATTGTGACGCTTTACTTTTACGTTTAAAAAAAAAAAAAAAAAAAGCATGGGAATTTATAGCATCCTGGAAAAATGAAAAGTAAAAAGTATAAACGGGTTATTACAAGGAATGTGTCAATTTTCTACAAAGCATATCATTAAAATATTCACTCTCTTTGTGAACGAAAAATATCAAAAAAAAAAATTACAGGTAAATACATTCATCGTGCAGCTGTGCATATAACATTTTTATTTTATTTATTTTTTAATAGACATTTAGACAAGTGCAATGAATTTTTTTTTTTTTGCATATTTGTACATTTTAAAAACACATGGGCTAGAATTTGATCTAGGTGATGGAAAAGTTGGTACTAATTGTGAGAATTAATTTTGCGTCTAGAATGGGTGCACACTAAGAGTAGAGAAGTGTTTTCCTATCGACCATCATTTACATGAAAGGAGCAGGTATATATATATATATATGTATATGTGTATGTGTCTTAACCAGTTTAGCCGTTTTTGAGAAAACAGTAAGCTTTTGTCAACCGAGACATTTAGCCTTGTTATGGGTCTCTTTACCACAAGGTATATATACATGTTTGTTAAGATACACGTATGAACATGCATTAACATATACGCGGGGTCGTGGAGAATTTTTTGGGTAACTTGTTTTAAAAGAAAATATATTTTTCTAGGATTTTACAGTTATTACTTATTCAGTTGAAGCATATAAAATGGGAAAATAAATAATACTGCTAAAGGCATGGTCAGTTTACATGCACGTGTGAGCGAATGTGTAGGTGTGCGGTTTACAAATGTATAAGCATATGTATATGCTATGTATGCTTGTGTGCATTTGGAAATGTGTAAGTATATGTATATGCACTGTGTAGGTATACATGCGAAAGGTGCTTTCCAAACAATCGATGTGTAAACATAGAGGGTGTGTACACGAAATATTCAATGGTCACATATATGTACCCAAGGACACTAAGGATTTATCCTTTCTTTTTTCACATAAAATAAAAAGTTAATTGAGAGTAAATATAGCTTGGCACACATATATAACGAAGTGGTGCGTAATGATGCTAAAAGAATGCCAAAAAAAAAAAAAAAAAAAAAAAAAAAGTGTTGACAAAAAATACTTCAAAAACAGAAAACAGTGTGCATATAAGCAGTAATTATCTCTTTAAGTTTTGTTCAGGGGAAAAAAGAAAAAAAATAATAATAAAAAAAGCAAAAAAAAAAAAAAAAATAAAATAGAGAGATCAAATTTGTTACGAGCATCAAATAAAGCTAAAATATCCCTATGCGAGAAAAAAAAAAAATAAATAAAATAAAATTAACCCTTTTGAAAAGTAAACATTTTTTTTCTTTATATTTTGTATAACTTTATTTTATTATTTTTTTTTTTTTTTCTAAACCCTGTTCTCCAGGATTGTTGCTGTTAATTTTATTTTTCATCGCTTTTTCCCCATTTTGTTTAACTATATTTTTTCCAGCCTTTCATTTGGAGTATCTCTTTTTCATCACTTCGTCCTGAATGGTTCATTTTGATTGACTGACATTTTGAATACCCCATTTTGAATGCTCCATTTTGAGTAGTTTATTTTTTTCCCTCCCCACAATTTACGCACATATGACTTTTATCTTTGACAATTTTTTTGTCCCAAAGGCAAAAGGAGAGTTTTTTTTTTCTTTTTTAAAAACTCACTTAAGCAAATATAACAGGAGTATTGTGTATATGTAAAATGAGTACAGCAATTTGTTAATGTGAAGTGTAACGCTTATATATATATTATATATATAATATGAATATGTACACGTACGTATGCATGTATACACCCCCCTTTTCTTGCTTTTTTTTTTTTTTTTTTTTTTTTTTATAAAAGCATCTCCAAACCATTTTGCATATTCTGTATCAGCACGATCTTTTGATCACACGTGTAGCATAGCACAACATTAGTTGTGACACAAAAAAAAAAAAAAAGGTACTTCCCTTTTGGTACCCTTAATATATATATATCCTTCTTAAGGTCTCTTTAATTGGAACATTTTCCATTTTTGCATTAACTTCCAATGAGCTGTTTCGACAACCGATTCAAGGGGGAAGGGAAAAAGGATAAAACATTAGAAGTTATTAATATTTGATGATAATAAAATAGAAAGGAAAAAAAAAAAAAAAAAACATAATAATAATAATAAATAAAAAAATAATAATAATAATAATAATAAAGCCAAGAAAAGATTTAAAATTATGTAAAAAACTTCCGCCTGATTTTGAAGTCCCCAAACCTTCCACCTAATTACGAAAACAATTACAATGAAAAACCTTGATGCACACAAGTACATTAAATTGGTGAATTTGCTAAATAAGAAGAAAAAATATCCCCATTTTAATTTAAAATATGTAAAAAATGAAGAGGCACAAGATCACATTTCGAATTGTGTGAATATAAATAATGCAAAAACACGAAATAACACAATCAAATATACCAATGAAAATGCCGTCAACAAGATATTAACAAATGTAATGCAATTTGGAAATGAATCGGAGATTGTTACACCCAAAAATAAAGTAGGAAATCTCTTTCCAAATGAGAAGAACAAAATGAAGAGAAATAACAATCTACATCATAGTAATAGAACTGGTGAAGATTTAACAATACAAATAAACTATATAAACGCGAAACAGAAACATTTACATGAAGTAACTTGTTCATTAAGGGGTAATAATAGAACACAAAAGCAAGATTGGAAAAAGGTAAATTTACAAAATGATGATAAAATTAACCAAATTCCTCAAGGGAAGAAGGATGATAAGACGGATTTTGGGTTAATTCAAATGTATTGTAATGGTGGATCCCATGAAAAGTATAATTATATCAATGGAAAGAAGAACACAGGGTTTGATAAGGAGGTTGGCATTTTGAACAAAAATAATGAAACGGAAAAATTTATATTTTTTGAGAAAAGAGAATCGTGCCTTAAAGAAAGTGATTTAGAAAGGAGAAGGATGAACACAAATGAAAAAAACAAGGATTATATATTTAACAATCGGACGAATCGTTACACATTTAGTAACGAAGACAATGAAGGAAATAACTTTACAGAAAAAAATAAAAATATCAGTGATTTACATGCAGATGAAAGTTCTTTTACCAAGGAGGAAGTAGCACAAGGAGAGTTAAGTAATGAGGAAAATTTTGCAAAAGTCAAAATAACAAAGGAAAATATTATAAACATACATGAAATGAATGATGATGGAAAAAAGGGGAATAAATGTGAGAAGATGATCATAACAGAAGAGAACGAAAATATGATCGAAGAAAGTAAGGGTAACTGTAACACGATTTCAACCACAGGTGGTACCATGTGTGTTGAAGAGTTGAATACTTTGAAGATGGATGAAAACCAAGGGAGCGATGGAATAGGTAAAATGGATGAAGCAGAAAATGAAGGATTTTCAGAAAAGCAAAAGAATCGATGTGATGAAAAACAAAGTGGAGAAGATAAAGAGAAAATAAATTTTCAAATGAAGAATGGGAAAACGAATAAGAAATGTTTATATCCGCATGAAATTGTAGAATATTTAAACAAATATATAATAGGTCAAACAGAAGCAAAGAAAGTAGTAGCAAATGCATTGAGACAAAGATGGAGAAGAATACAAGTAAATGACGATATGAAGAAAGATATCATTCCAAAAAATATTTTGATGATAGGTCCTACAGGTGTTGGAAAAACAGAAATAGCTAGAAGAATTTCAATGTTTGTAGATGCACCTTTTATCAAAGTAGAAGCAACAAAATTTACGGAAGTTGGATTTCATGGAAAAGATGTTGATCAAATTATTAAAGATTTGGTAGAAATAGCTGTAAAGAGACAAAAAACAAAATTCGAAATTGAAATTCGAGAACAAGCAGAAGAAACAGTTGAAAATGTTATTCTCTATTCCCTGTTAGGAAATATAAAAGAAGAAGAAAGAAATATTTGGAGAAAATATTTAAAAGATGGTTCACTAGATGATAAAGTAGTAAGTATTGACATTCCAAATTATGTAAATAATAATATGTTTTCTAACGATTCGGTAGAAAATGCAGTTAAAGAAGCACTAAGTAATCATCAAAATATAAAAAGCGTTAAAATTATTCATCAAAATATTAACAAACAGAATGATAAAAAAACAATGACTATACGAGAAGCAAAACAAAAATTATTACAATTAGAAATAGATTCATCTATGAATCAGGACATTATACTAAAAACAGCTATCGCATCTGTTGAAGAAGAAGGAATTGTATTTATTGATGAAATTGATAAAATTTGCTCTAAATCGAATTCTTCCTACAATGGACCTGATGCAAGTGCAGAAGGAGTTCAACGTGATTTACTACCACTCATAGAAGGTTGTGTCATTAATACGAAATATGGAAATATAAATACAAATTATATTTTATTCATTGCCTCTGGTGCATTTCAAAGAGTTAAACCCAATGATATGCTAAATGAATTACAAGGAAGATTACCTGTACAGGTAAATTTATCTAGTCTAACTATAAAAGATTTCATAGAAATATTAACAAAAACGCATAATAATTTATTACAGCAAAATATTGCACTCTTAAAAACAGAAGGTATAGATCTACAATTTACAGATGATGCAATTGAGACAATTGCTAATGCTGCACATGATATGAATTTCTATGTGGAAAATATAGGGGTGCGTAGATTGCACACTATAATTGAAAAAATTATGGAGGATATTAATTACGATGTTTATAATTATGTGAACAAGACAATTGTCATTGATAAGGAAAAGGTGAAGAAATCCCTCGAGGGATTTATCAAGCAGTTCGACTTGAAGAAGTACATTATTTGATTTTTCCTTGCTGTCAACTGTGTATGCATTTTTACATGGTACCGGCATGTGTATGCACATATGTAGACACACACGTACGTGCATACACACATGCATATATATATATATATATACATCACTTGACCTACACGCCTTTTTCCCTATGAAAATATTGATGGTATCTGACCCCCCTCTCTATTCTTCTTGTGTGGGATAAATTTACACTCATCATGGGTTACTTAGTCCTGAGATGGAATAACAGCATCGATTCTCCGCCTTTGTATGTACACATAGATACATTGCTTACACGAGTAGAAAATACATTTTACACATTATGTTGTAATTTTTTAAGCATTGTTTTCTGTTTGCACCTTGAGCGGATACCATATGTTACACGTTACATGTAATCTAAGTTTTCTCATAACCCATGTTTTTTTTTTTTTTTTTTTCTTTTTTTGGCCCCTTTTCTATTCCCTTCACTGCTTTTTTTTATTGTTTTATTTTATTTTATTTTATTTATTATTTTTTTTTTTTTTGCTGCTTTTTTCACATTTGGGATTTGTGCTAGAGTTAATAAGGGAGAGAAAAAAAAAAAATAAAATAAAATAGAAATAAACTACTTTCGAAAAAACAACAACAAAAAAAAAAAAGTGTAATAAATGACCTAAATATAATATAGAAAAACATATGAACACACACGTAATTCGGAATTTTCATCATACCTGCTCAGGAGCCATATTGATAATAATATTTTGCAGTTTTTTGAGGAATTCTAACATACCTACTTTGTGTGTTTCCCCCTGAGAAGAAATTATCTTTTTATCCCTCAAATGAATGCTTATATGTTTTAAAGAAAATTCCATGATTTCTATATTTTGTATGGTTTTTATTTTTATTTAATTTAAATTTTATTCTATTTTCTTTCGTCGTTCCTTTTTCTTATTAGCTGTGAATAAATATACATTGAGCAAAGTGGGAGGTATCTATGATGTAAGCTGCATAAGAAGAAATAAAAAAAAAAAAAAAAAAAAAAAAAAAAATCATCACGGTCAAAACAAAGCAAAATGTATGTTTTGCAAAAATCGACAAAGTAGGAAAATATAAGAAATCTGGTCAAAATAAAATAAATAATAAATATTTTACATTAAGGGGGAAAAGCTTGTATATATATTCATATGAAAGTTGCATATTCTGTATTTGTCAAGGTCTTTCCTTTTCCTATGAACGAAAAGAAAAAAAAAAAAGAGAAGAATCATGGTTGATGAGGAGGGCAATTTACAAAGTGAAGAAATCGAAGGAGGAACTAAGAGACTATTGTTAAAAATAAGAAATGAAAAACAAAATGAAGAAATATTAAAAAAAGCGATAAATGAATATGAACAAACAATTGAAGTTATATCCAACTTAACAAAAAAATTAAATTACCGAATTATTATCCCATTTTCTAAAGTGGCTTTTTATGAAGGGGAAATAAAATATACAAACAACGTGTATCAAGATATTGGTTGTAACACCTACTGTGAAAGGACAGCAGAAAAGGCTCAAGCATTTCTTGAAAAAAAATTAAAATTTTATCAAGATAAATATAAAATTGTCAATGATGCTATAAACAAATTAACAAAAGAACTTGAACTCTCTTTAGAACTTAATTACAATTTAAATTATGAAAAAGACGAAGAGGAAAAAGCGAGTCTAAATAATGTGTTTGTGCGTCCAGATGGATTTTTAGAAATTCGTGAAGAATATCATGAAAGTGAAGACGAAGAATATTTGGCCAAAATCAGAAAAAGAAATTACCTCAAAAATGAACCAAACGAAGAAGCACAAGCACCAAAACGGGAATATCATGACGATGACCATCATACTACGATAACGAACTCATGCAAACAAAAACAGGATAGAGACAATCTTACTTCAAACAGTGTTAGTACAGAAGTGTGCAAATCTATTTCAACGAATAAAAATGATAAGAACAAATGTTTGCAAAATAAAGAACAAAGTACTTGTAGAGAAAAGGACAATAACTCATCTAAAATGAAATCCTTGAATGTTAACGAGCACGGATTTTTAAATATAAAAGAAAACTACACCAGTAGTAGTGATAGCGAATGTGTCCAGTGAAATCTGCCTCATTTCTGTGGTTCATTTTGTGTTCAAGTGATAGCGGTGGGTGGTACTGAGTTCTCTATTCTACATTATTCTGCTTTTTTGTTTTTTTTTTTATTTGTGTTATTTAGTTTTATTTTATTTATATTTTATTATTTTTTTTTTTTTTTTATATTATCCCCCGTATCTCCTATGTATATCCCCCTTTACATTATATTCACTCAATTCGAACACGTTCAAAATTTGCATTTTTCAAAACGGGATACACAAGAAAAATGTTTTTTTCTTTGTGTCCTTTTTTTTTGGGAGTTCTTTTCCCTATCTTTACCTTTGGCACAAACTAGCAAGCAGCACTATTCTTCATTATCATGTATATGTAAATGTATATACATGTGAAGAGATTTCCCGCTGCATAAATACACAAGAAAGTGTAAACGCGTTTCAAATGTTCTTTACATAAAGCGTACCCCGAAGGACTAATAAATTATGTTTACCACTATTTCTTGAAGTTTTTTTTCAGGCCCTACGACCCTTAAAGTGGATTAAAATCTGAAAATAATAAATTTCTACCAAATTGTGGGGGTGGTGTGGTGGCGACGAATAAACGCTATCTAGGGCTAATTTAAAAAAAAAAAAAAAATTTTTTTTTTTGTGTTTTAAATAACAGGAAAAAAAATATACTTTTATGTGGTGCAGAAGAAAGGAAAAAAAGAAAGAGTGGGTGAAAAAAAAAAGGGAAAAAAGTTTAAATCAAATGAATTTTAAAAAAGTGAAAACACTGGGAAGAATATACGTATGGTGTTTACAGGTGAACAGGTAAAAAGAACAAATGTGTGCAAGTGTGTGAAAATTACAAAATTACGACGAATGCACAAATGATTAAATTGTTAGTGAGAGGTATAATTGGTACACAAAATCGTATGCATAAAAAAAAAAAAAAAAAAAATCATATTTTTGTAAAAAAATAGGAATAAATTTCATACACATGAAAAAAGGGGAAAAAAAAATGATAAGAAAATCCTATTAAAATGATTAGTACAATTTTAAAAAAAATTACTTTGTAGCTCCCGCTGTGTATTTCAAATGTACAATTGTTCATTTAGTGATGATGGGTTTGGCACACTCGATGGAAAGACTTAGTGGTCTAGGACAGGGGTACGGATACACGTGTGACACACATGCTCAAGCTAATGAACGCATTACATGAATAAACGGGAAAGAAAAAGGGAAAAATAAAAGGCAAACAAAAGGAAAGAATAAAAGGGTAACTAAACAAACAAGTGAATAAATATGTAAGCATATGGACTAATTAATTTTTCTTCTCATGGGGATAATGGTCCAAGGTGGCGAGAACATAAATGGCTGTACACACATATAGAGCCCTCCCCCCTGCATTTGTCTTCTACGTATACATATATATATATATATATATATATATATGTATACATTGATTTGCTGACTTTCAGAACTTTCTAAGCATTACTGGAATGATGCTATAATATGCTGGTGAGAAATAATACCAAGGGTGGCCCCCAAAACAAGTGGTTCACATAGGGGAGCGGTTATCGTCCCGCTTCTGATCTTGCGGATAATACTCATTCGCCCTATTTTCATTATCTGCATTTATGTCATCCAATTCCATATCTCCAGTGGTTTTGCTAAATTGGTAATATTTGTTTATTGACGAAACATCAAACCAGCTACTGTCCTTAGCGTAGGAATGTATTAAATTAAAGATTCCTAACCCATTACTTTGTTTTTTTTCATTGTCGTCTGGGTTAATATATTGGCTTATGCTGAAAATACTTTCCTCCTCCTCCTCTTCTTCTTCTTCTTCTTCTTCTTCTTCTCCTAATTCATCTTGATTATTATAATTTTGGTCGTCAACATGGCCACATGATTCCTGTTGACCTACTACATTCGATTCGTTTTTTTTTTTTTTTTTTTTCTTTTTTTTTTTTCTCTGGTTTTCCATCGTTTCGAATACTTTCGTCCTGCGCAATTCCTTCGCCCTGCTAATTTCTTGTTCCTCCTCTTCATTCATTTTTTTCTCAAACTGTTTCACTTTTCCTGTTATTAAACTTTCTGCAGGGTTATCATCATCATCCTGAAGAAATTGCCCTTCGCGTCTCGGTGTGCTGTTTTCTCTGTTGGAGTAATAACTTTCTTTCCTTCCATCATTTTTGTTATAATAATATGCATGTCTTTTTAAATTACCTGTAAGACTTTTTCTTTCTTCACTTCTTCTAGCATATTGTGTTTGTAAATTTTCTTCCTGTGAAACCCAACATGAATTATTTCTCATAACATCATTTTCGTTTTCTTTCAAATTATAATGAGTACCATTTTTGCCTTGAACTAACTTATATTTTTCTTCTTTTTGATAGTTTTTCTCTCCTGTAATTTTTCTTCCATACTTCCTATAATTAAACTCAACGAAAGAGTCACTTTTATATAACATATGTTGATCTGGTTTCTGATCCTCCTCCTCCTCCATGTTATACCCCTCACTGTTATCATTACAATCATCACTCTGGTCATAATTATACTTTCTCCTACTGATATTTTTATTTTTTATTTTCCCAACTACGTTGAATGAGGATAAATCTTCTTCGCTTATATAACTATCGTATATTTCATAATTTTGTATATTACTTGTTGTGATATATTCATTATTGTCATTTTTTGTGTCAAAATGATTCGATATGATAATTTTTTGCTTTAATTCCTTGTTATCAGCATGCACATGTGGATCCTTTTCATAGGTAGTGCTGCTTTCTTCCATATTAACTCCCTCACGAACTTTTTGTCGTCTATTGTACGTGTGTTCAGATAACTCTTGATATGTATCCTTCGGAACCTTCTGAATGTGCCTTGATGCACAATTTTCGTGGGAGCTACTTGGACACGAGTCAGGCGTTGTCATCATAATTCCACTTTTAAGTTTTAATTTTCTATCCCTTATATCCTTTTTGTTGTAATTAGACGTTTTTGTGTTCGTTCTTCCAGCACTGTTGTTATTCTTGTTGTTTTCGCTGTTATTGTCGCTGCTATTGTTGCTATTGTGGCTATTGTTGCTATTGTGGCTATTGTGGCTATTGTTGGATATGTGTATTCCTTTGCTTCTCCCAGAGGGGCATGATCTAGGTACGCTAAAAGACTTTCCATGGTTATACAGTCTGTTTACTGAATTGTGGAAAACGGAATTTCCTGTATCGTTCCTACTATTTTGGCTAACTGGGGTAGCATTTTCTTTTTTCTTTTTTAATTTTTTTTCATGACTACTTAAAATTTTGTAATAAAACGTGTTCAAGTTGTTATTTTCTCGAATATTTTGAACAGCGACTTCTTCAGAACCTCTCGAGTTGCAATTGGTCGGTGCCTTTAATTCTTTTCCATTTTCTTCTTTTTGTTCAGTTTTTGGTGATTTTCCTTTCGTTTTCTCCTGTTCTGTTGGAAAATTCCTATCAAATTTTCTTTCTCCCTGTCGATGTTCCAATTTGGTATCCCTCTTCTGAACTTTGTTGGAGAAAAAGTTCAGTAAGGTTCCTCCATCTAATGCGACAAAATTGTTTGCAGCAAAACTACTGAGGCTATCATTTTTTTGTGTATAACAGTGATTTCTATTTTGGTTATCTATCCTATTCTGTTCATCCATATTGGCATGATTAGTTGAATGTTTCACTACGTGTGTAAAATGACAATTGTTAATTTCTCCAATGGCAAACTTGTATTTACCATCAAAGGGGATGTCTTCCCTCTCAATATTTTCAAAAAGAAAAGTAAGTTCAGGATTTAATATAACCGATTCTGATTTTTTAATTAACAATTTGGCAATCAATATATCATCATTGCTTTCATTATACTTCAACGATTTTAATAATTTCAAAATTTTTTCAAATTTATGTTTCATTAAATAGCTTTTTAAAATTTTTAACAAGGCTACAGATATAATTAGTATCGTTTTTATGCTAGTGCAGAATAGGTAATCCCATATGACTATTACACTTTTGATTGGTAAGCTAGCTATAAATAAAGTAAGTAACCATTGATGTAGATATACAGGTGGAAATACTTCCTCTCTATTAAAATGATCAACTAGATCTGGTGCTTCACATTGTAAAATTTTTTCAAAAAGGTATATATATCTATTGAGTAATGGAAATTTATCTTTATAAAATTCTTTTAAATGATAATTATTCATGAGACTAACTAAAACACAAAATGTTTCAATTTCATTGAAACTACTAACTATAAGTAAAAGTCCTACTAAAAAATTCATTCCTTGACAATATCCAACTGCTGGTTCATAATTTGAATATGCATTTAAAATGCGAAATAATTGTTCTTGTGCATATTTATCAAATATTAATAGTTCTGGAAATGTTCTAGAGATGTCTATCATTATTAAATTTGTATAATTTGACTTCTTTCTTGATAAGAAGTAATATTTTTTTTGAAATTTTTTTAATAAAATTTTGCTATTCGTTATTTGGAACCATACTTTCCATCTATATTTTTGTGGAATACCTCTTTTAACTCTTCTTAAAAATGTCGTTCTGTGTGTTTTGATAAACCAATTTATATCTCTATTAATCATTGATGACCATTTTTCTAATATTCTTATGTTATTCTTTTCACCACATGATAGTAATTCATTTGTATAATGTCTTCTTAGTCCTATTGTTGGATCGTAAATTTTTTTTTGAGTGTCTTCCCAATTTTCCATAAATTTTGTTTCTTCCTCCAGATCTGCACATGTTGAATTGTCTAGCATTTCACTTGATTCATGATTTCGATTTTCCTTTCCATGGTCAGGATTCACGTTTCCACATGCTTCATCATTTCCTCCCATTACATCATCTGCAGTGTTCCTCTTCTGTTTCTTATTTTCATATTGATTACTTTCGTATTTTTGATTATATCCATACTGTGTATCTCCTCCATCAATATCGCTCGCAGAGTGATCACCCTCTTCTTTCTTTTTGAATTTGACACTGTGACTTCTCGATTCAGCATCTTCTTGGTTGTCACTGTGGGGAGTGCTTGTATTGTCATTTGTCTTGCTTAAGGATGTTTTTCTTCGGTGATGTTTCTTTTTGCAACTTTCATTTCTTGTCATTCCTTTCATTCCTTCCATTCCTGCGGTTTCTACGATTTCTACGACTTCTTCCATTCCTGATTTCTTATCATTCTCATTATCATTTTCATCGATGGAACGTAGTTCTACTGCTTTGGGATCTCCCATGATTACGTTTCTGCCAAGTTACGTCGATTTTGATCCACTAACTCAAATCAGAATGAGAGAATTAAAAAAAAAAAAAAAAAAAAAAAAAAAATTAAAAAAAAAATAGTAAAAATAATAAACGCACATCAAGTTGGTTAGCGATTAACCTTTAGTCCAGTTCTTAAAAATTTGGGTTATAAATATGTACATATGAATGTACGAAATCAAATTATCAAATCGACATAACATCTCACGTAAAATTAGCAAGCACATATATGTCACTTGGACATACAGATGGGGATGATAGGAAACATCATTTGAATTATATCATTCTATTCACCCTTGTTAGCAATGCAAATGAAATAAAAAAAAAAAAAAAAAAAAAATTTTTTTTGGTCCATGTATATATATCCCGGTTATACAAATAACAAACTCAGAATAGTGATGCTACAACGTATAATGAATATATTTTATGTGGAAGTCCTGCATGGACGAAATTTATATATGTAGTAAAACAAATATGAACATGTTACATATGTACACTTATATGATCCTTTGTCTGAGGCCACGAATCGATATATCTATAGGTGGATTAGAAAGAATAATGCAAGTTCGATAACAAATGATATGATAACAAAAAAAAAAAAAAATAAAATAAAAAAAAAAAAAAAATTAAGATGAGCATTTGCTTTACGTTTATATAATTTTGGCTACTACAACGGGATCATAGAAAATGAATATATAACATTGGATAACACTTCTACGGAATATTTTCACACCTTTATGTAACATATGACCAAATGACTATATTATTCTTTTCTCCATCCATTGCTACTTTTCCATTTAGCGTTTATTATGGCTACTTTAATTTTCCCCATTTACGACTACCCGTTGAGATGATGTCAATACTTCTGTATAACGTTCCTCTACATTATACTCATAATGTAATCATAGGCAATTAGTTAAAATATATTTCTATACATATACATATATATATATATATAATAATACGAGGATATGGGAGACTCAAAAGTGGTGACTGTGAAAAGTGCAGGGTATAGGGCCTTGCAAATATAATATTTTGCTTAGTCCTACGTTTTTGCCAGATTTTACTATTTTGCTTAACTGTGCTAGATTGCTATGTTCTACAATTTTGCTTAACTCTGCTATCTTGCTAGATTCTACAATTTTGCTTAACTTTGCTATCATGCTTCAACGTCGTCCTGCTTTTTTCCGCTTCAAATTCTCCCTTTTTGTTCTTCCATTAAATAGCGATTCAAAAAAAAGTCAAAAAGGTGAGGGAACCAAAATTTTTAAAATTCATACAATGAAAAGAGATAAATACTATTGAATGGCCACTGATAATGGGCGGGGGAAACAAATTTTTAAATTTGCAAAATTACATTCCCTAATATATTCAAACGATATTACTACATATTCCAATATATGTTTTTTTATGTTTGAAATATATGTACATATAAAATAGTTATATGATATATGCATATATATATATATATATATGCAGTTCCAGCCTTCCAATGCGCAAAAGTACGTAATTTGAGGAATTTTATTTTTATACATATTTCAGAGGAGTCATTTTGGCCTATACACGTACCTCGATGTAGCGCTAAAATGGACCTCAAAAATTTTCCCTTTTATGAATATAAAAACAAATTGACAAAGGGGCGTCAATACATGGTCATTGGGACTTAACATGCGCATTTCCATTAAACTCATGCTTGAATATATAAAGACGTATGTTCATAACAATGTATATATATGTATATGTGCATGGTGCAAGTATATTTTATGCGAATTGTGCACATTTATGTGAGATGGTCAAATGATCCTTTTAACTTTTGAACTGAGAAAAGTCGATGAAATTAAAGGCGCAAGTATGATATAATAAAAAATAAAAAAAATAATTGACCCAAAAACATATATCGTAAAAACATTCCTCTAAAAAAATAGTAAAATGTAATGTACATCTGTATAATTACTACTTGAACAATTTTCCTATCATTGGAAAAATTCATTTAAAGAGATGAAAAAGGAAAAAGAAAATTTTCATTCTTTTCTCAGGCTTATTACATAAAAAAAATACACCGTCCTTGGATTCCCTTTTAATCCGTAGTCCTTCCCCATTTTATCATTTTTCCTTACTTTATGAATTTATCCCAGCAGCTTTTTATTTTATGTTTTTTTATTTCACGTTTTGCTAATTGTATTTTGTCTTGGTATATTTTCATATATTTTGTAAATGGTTATATAAACCCTGTATTGACTGATGAATTTAAATGATCTGTTTTTTTTTTTTTTTTTTTTTTTTTTTTTTTTTTTTTTCCCTTTTTTTAAAAATTGTTTTTCTTTTTTTTTTCCCTTTTTTTTTTTTTTTTTATATATTTTATTTTTTTTTTTTTTTTTTTTTTCTTTTTTTTTTTTTTTTTTTTTTTTTTTTTTCCCTAAGCACTTTATGCACACAAAATTGGGTTTTTTTTTTTTTTTAACTGTCATAGAAAAGGGAAAAAAATTATATCTTGTAACATGTTTGTCCATTTTATTTTGTTTTTAAATAATAAGTATATGATAAATAGAGCGAAATATATAATGGGGAAAATTGGAACCATTTTTTTGAACGTTGACTTTATAAATTGTATGCTGTAGGTTATTTGGATCAAGATGGATGTGACATAATGTATCTTATTACAGATATTGAAATACGTTCCTATACATCTTGGAATATGAAATTAATTTAGAGAATTATATATTCATCTAGAAGTCATATAATGTAATAATACATATGTATTATGTATGCATATGTTTAACTACAAGGATTATTACTATTGTTAAGTTATTTCTACGCAGTCCTTTTTTTTTTTTTTTTTTTTTTCCTTTTTTCGGTTGATTTGGATATATATAAAGTTCATACAAATTGGAATTAACCATTACAATTGTTCATATGGATATTATCATTTTTATTTACCTGTTTCGAATGTGTTGACTTTACAATTTTGCAAAGATGTTGATTATAGTTCTTATGTCTCACTTGCTAAGCCCACATAACACAAAGTACATTCACATTGGTAATCCCACCCTCCTCTTCATTCAATTTGTTTTACTACATATAATGTTATTCTCCCATGTTTTTTGAAGTTTGTCTACCTAATTTTGTTCGATTCCATTGGATATCGCATTAGTGTGCAGGCATAAATCCGCACACGGATTCATATGAGATTTTATATTTGTCACAAGAAAGGTTACATGCAAGTGAATGCCTAGCTTGTGTATATATATTTTTCCACTTTATGTTTTTTAATCTTTAAAAGGAAAATTATACCAACGCATGCTTCAAAAAAAAAGATAGGATCAATGAGTCATTGTATGCACCTCCACATAGAGCTCACAAAGGGAGACGAGGTGGATTATAGAGATGTGCATACGCATATGTAACTCATACGTTGGCAGATTAATAGTTAACTCTCCTCATCGGTGGAAAGAATAACCGACGTTGTGCATATAAGAATTGATTATCATTAAAGTGTCCTGCATGGGAAAAGATATAATATATATTTTTTTTTTTTTTTTTTTTTGAAATATAGTCCGCACATTCGAAGAGGGTAAAAAAAAAAAAAAAAATGCATTTCATGCAAAAGGGTCAAATAATAAAATGATGTAAAGTGCTGCAAAATGACATTGGCAAATCCCGTTATATGTTCATGTGAACATAAGAAAGTGTGTTTTAAAAATAGCAATTTTTTGAAAAACGTAGCTCACACCGTCTCTTCGAAAAAAAAGAGAAAAAAAAAAACTACATATAGTGTTGTTACATGTGTTTATCAACACTTTTTATTTTTGCTCCTTTTTGGTCCCATTTCATAGATTCAATTTCGAAAGAACATTCTCCAAATAATAATCTACATTAGTATGTATACTTATGTACATACATTTTTTTTTTTTTTTTTTTAATGAAGGTGTTCCTAAATAATACTCTACCACCACCACCCTTGGGAAAATGTTGATGTGGCTTGAATAATAAATGGGTCGTATATCGAAACGCATTGGTTATACTGCACACACCAATTAAACAGAAATGTATACAAAAAAAAAAAAATAAATAAATAAAATAATGAATAAGTGGAGTAAACAGAACAATAGCATGTACACCCGAATAACGTCCTATCAAAGAAACGTCCGAATAAGGAAAATTAAGACTTTTGATAAACTCAATGAAGGAAAGTTACTTAGGAGATGTTTTAAAATGTGTCCAACATGGAGGCGATGTGGAAAATGAGCTAAAGAATTTCTTCACAACACATATTCCGTTGAGTGTCGAAATTGTGAAATTAAAAATGGGAAAGGACAATGAAGAAGTGTTTGTGAAACTGAAGAAAAATATGAACAAGCTAATTAACGAATGTTTTTTTGTCATATATAATATTATCAATAGCATACTGAGAGATAGCATGAGAATTGAAAATGTTAGAGAAGAAGAAAGGTACAACTTAATTTACGTATGGTTCGATCCAATTTGTGAAATGATATCGAAGAGAAAAGAAACAACAACCTGTTTTGAAACTCCAACGAATGGAGATACCGAGGAAGAGAAAGAGAAAGAGGAACAATGTGTTGTTGCCTCGTACAACTCTTTAGATTTTCTTTTAGATGAAGAAGAAGGAGAAGGTATTATAACGACTCAGATGAAACGTTTACACCCTTCAGGTGGAGTTTATCTGAGTGAGTGGATAATATCTGGAATTAATAAAGCATTCAATATGCTGAATGGGGAAAATGACAGCATTAGTAATAGTAGAAGCAATACCTTTGTAGCCCTAGAGAATTGGGCGTTCATTCTCGATTTGATGAAGTTTATATATGCTGATGCGAACATCCTATCCAAGTATATATGTGGGGGAGTGTTAAACCGAGCAGATGGTGACGCACACCCCAGTCTGACATATTCGAAAAATAATAATAAATATATAAAGGAAATTACGAAAAGGGAAAATAATATTGATACAGAATTGGAAAAATACCATGAAGATATTTACAATATCTTTAAGGCTTATTTTGCTTTTCCTTTTATTCTATTTAAGTGTATAGTAAATGTAGGGATGAAAAAAGGAGATGATGAAAAGAGGAAATTGTATATATATAATCACATTATTCCGAAGGAATTGAATGATGAAGGATTTCACAAGCATATTGTGAAAACTTGTGTATCTCATTGGCTTCACGCAAACGAGTATGGAGTGAACTATGAAAGAATGGCCCTATTGACAAAGAGGATAATAGGTTGCCATTTGGTAAATCCATTTTGCCACACATTGTTGAGCGTTCTGCTGAGGGTAAGTGAAGTCGAAGAGACCCATGACATACCAAAAAAATATGACAAAAAATATGAAAAAAAGAATACACACATATTAATCCGTCTTAATTACATTTTGGAGAACCTTTTTTATTACATACACCTGCATTGTCATGGGGAACATGCAGGAGAAAGGCTGCTAACAAGTATTATAAGAAGCATGTGCCCATTTGTGAAAATTGTTCAAAATGAAAATAAACTGTCTTTATGTTTATTTAACAGAAACGTAGAGGATATTTTAAGCGTAATTATTAATATTACATTTTTGTATAAGTGGAACTTTTTCATTTTGGAAAATTTTTTTAATGTATTTTCACGGAATTGCTTACCTATATGTTTTGCCCTCACCATCATTGGACTTGTGGATAATTTTGTCGCGTCTAATTTTGTTCCGTCTAATTTTGTCGCGTCTAATTTTGTCGCGTCTAATTTTGTTCCGTCTAATTTTGTCTCGTCTAATTTTGTCGCGTCTAATTTTGTCGCGTCTAATTTTGTCGCTCCCAATTTTAGCCCTTTTAAGGCACTGTTCACTAATTTCATGGTGAAGAAAAAAATAATTCATTCAAATCAGATGATAAGTGAAAGAAGAAGCTATAGAAGAATTGTTAATGAATCAGGGGGTAGAGAAAAAAATGGTTCTCCTAACAACCCCACTGCGTGGGATACATCTGATGAATACAGCAAGGTAGGAATAATGGCATTCGATTTTTTGGAAGAAATGTTTTTCTTCGTCTTGGGACAATTCTATTCCTATTCTGAAGAAAAAGGTGCGTACACATTTATCCCCATCATTTTAAGTAAATTGCTTTACACATTTAGTTTGAGAATGAAATATATAAATGAAAAAATTATAAAAAATTTGCACAAATCTGATGTGCTCTCAGAAGTCGAATTACATATATACAAAATGAATTCCATTCATAGAATGAAAATTTTCGAAAACGTTACTATGTTGGTACACGAGTTTTTTAAGCGCAAGGATGAACTGTCATTAGTTTCAGGACAAATATTGGCTGATCATTTTATGATTTATGTTGATAGGCAAATGTTTAGGGGTGAACAAAAGGAGGTGCAAACCATTATAGAAAGAAATGAAGAGACTAATGATGAGACACATCTTTTCCCCAATTTGCAACAACCAGCAGAATATTTCCCTGAAGAAATAAGATGCTTTAAAGTTATTAAACAATCAGAGTTTATGTACTTGAACGATTTTCTTCCGATGAATGATACAAAATGGGGTTCCAAGTCAAGGAAAGTTATGCATACTAACTCGATGATTGTTATGGGTACTGTTGCTCAATCGAATGGTTTTCTTGGAATGGGTGATCTAGAGAAAGTAGAGGAAAATTGTACGAAATGTGACGAACGACCCCACAGTGGGAAGGGCCAAATGGGGGGCCAAGCGAGTGAAAAAATGGGGGACAAGTCGAGTGAAAAAATGGGGGACGAGTCGAGTGAAAAAATGGGGGGCCAAGCGAGTGAAAAAATGGGGGACAAGTCGAGTGAAAAAATGGGGGACGAGTCGAGTGAAAAAATGGGGGGCCAAGCGAGTGAAAAAATGGGGGACGAAACGAGTGAAAAAATGGGGGACGAAACGAGTGAAAAAATGGGGGACGAAACGAGTGAAAAAATAGTAAAGAACCGTCTGATGAGCATCCTTCAGAAATGGCCTATAGAAGAAGACAAAAAAAAAAAGGAAAACGATATGCTGATGGAAAATGCTGATTTGGTAATAGACAACGATCTGTACAATTTAGATGAGAAGGAATTCCTAGTTGAGCTAGATTTGGAAAATGAATTTTATCTGAACGTGGTTCGTAATAAGAACATGTATACAGACCCAGCAGAAGATTTATTTGAATGTTTGAATAGAATGAAAAGTAAAGCAAATTATATAGAAAGAAATATAGGAGAAATGAATTTTGATCCTTTGATATTGAACGAAAGGAAAGAAACATATGATGAGGAAAATTTTCGGATCTGTCAAGCAGTGGTGACATTACCTAAATTAATTAAAAAGGATGATGTATTAACATATATATGTGTTGAATTATATGAAACACTACTTTCTTTAAAGAATTACTCTTGTATATTAAGTAAAGAAGATGATTTATTTGCAACGATTAAACTTTTCGATATGATTCTCTTGACTATAAATTCTCCAGTTGAGATAACAAAATTTGTTTTTAAAAATATCTACTTGAATATGCATTCAAATATTCAAAAGATGTTAATGTTGTTGTGTCTTCAGTTCTCTGTGTTGTTTCTTTCAAATCATATTACCCTGCGCGAAATTTTTCAGTATGTGAAGAATCTCACAGAACAGATGAATTTGAGCTGTCGAATGATGAAAAGGGGAAAGTCTTCTGGAAATTTCTCCAACTGTTCGAAATTGCACCATAAAGTGGAACGAAATGAAGATCATATAACGTACAACAAAAATAATTTAAGTGAGATTTCAGAAAATTTTTACAGCCTTTTTGAAAATCTTCCAAAGAGAAAAAGTAGCCCGTTTAATGATCATATTGCTGACGGAAGGATACCATTGAACATATGTGATAATTCAAAAAACAAAAGAGAATCAAATGACACACATTTGGAGAATGGGCCAACGTGCTATTCTATGCATAACTATAATGATCGGGTGAAAGGGGAAGGGTCAAATGTATGCTGTCCTAGTACAAAAATGAATTCGTACAATCTTATGTTGAACAAGTTCGAGAAAAAGAATGAAAGAAATGACATTTGTGATTTCAGAGAGAAATGTAGAAATACAATGTCTGTTAGAAATAACAAGTTTTCCAAGAGTATCCTGAAGCACAATGAAAAGAAAGCTAAGTTGATGTCAAATTTGTGTATTTTGTTTTTCAATAAAGCTTACATCAAATTGCTAAGTTTGAACATAAAAAAAGAAGTGAGAAATATGGATTATGATGAATACAAGTTGAGAAAATATTATTCAAATGATCCATCCTTAGTATTACTTTTAATTTCAACATATATCATATTTTTTAAGTGTTCATGCAATTCGATTTTATGCATAAACGACATTTTGACAGATGGGTTTACCTTAACAAATATTTTTATTCGAAATAAAAATTTTCTCGTTCGAAGAGTAAGTTTTAAATTGTTGTTTCATATGATTAATCATATTTTAAAAAAAAAAATGTTTCATATATTGGAATATGAAAATTACATGAACGTCATTTCTTACACATTGGAAAATATGCTAATGGAACAAGACGTGTTATCCTTGAATTTCATGAAGTACATCTTGGAAGTTCATGAATCCATAAAGGGAGAACAATTCAGATGAAGGTGTCTCATTTCAATTGTGAGGAAGAAAAGAATTGAGCGTTACTTATTAAGCAACTGTGGATGTGTGGAGATGCTTTGTTTTTGTGCGCAAAAAAATTAGAAACAAGATTTCCTAATATTGGTTGAATCTAGCTTTACTCCTCTTAATCCAGTTCAGTACATTTTTAATTTTTTTTCCACTCTGGAGCATAATTTAGGAATAAAAAATTTTGTTTCCTTTTTTTTTTTTAATAACATGTGATTAATTCTTTAGGTAAAATTGCCAAAAAGGGATCCTTAACAAATAAAGAACATTTCAATTCCGTGATAAACTTCGTTTTTTTTTTTATTTTATTTTAATTTTTTTTTTTTTTTGTAAGAGCTCTATTATGTACATAAAATATATAAACTTTTGGGCTCTCTGGACTTGGATGATTATTTAATTTGAATGTTTCTCTTTTTAAGTATAAACGAACAGAGTAGTTCCAATTCATCAAGGTTCATAATTTTTAGATAGGAGTCATCGAATTCTTTTAAAAATCTACAAAGGTAGAAATATGAACAGGTCAAGCGTTTTTTTTTTTTTTTTTTTTTTTTTTTCATCACAAGAATGTATAAGTACGGGTTGGGGCACGTAAAAAAAGGTGTCACTCTAATCTGGTTTACTTGTGAATATTACATGCACATTTATTTTTGTACTATGAAAATGCAATTCCCATATGCAGTCTCATGATACAAACATGGGTATGTTAAAAACAAATAAAGAAAACTATAAGAACATACAGTTCCCATTTCATAGAAATTCATGGTAAGACACAAACCTTTCGGCAATTATCTTGTTAGAAATATTTTCCATTATGAATGTCCTTAACATATCTGAAAATTTCTTGTTGTTGTTTTTATATTCATACATATCTTGAATAAGTGCATTTTTATTTTGTTCATTATCGTCACTCATTTTGTTCTGTTCTGTTTTGTTTTATTCTGTTTTTTTTTCTGTATTTTTTAAAAGTGGGGAAGGAAATGTGGGAGATTAGTAGTTCCAATTAATAGCTGTGCCACCCCATTAAACATAAAAAAATTGTATACATGTATGTATGTGTGTATGTATGTGTGTATGTGTGTATGTATGTATGTGTGTATATATGTAAGCATGTATATAAGCAATGTTTGAAGCGTGTTGGTATACATATATATATATATGTGTACAAGTATACAAGCGACAGATTTATGAAGCCCCGATGAAAGAACGGCAGAAGCTTTATTTCTTATAAGAATAGGGGAGGAGGCAACTGAATCTGAAGGTTTCACTTCAAAGAATACCCCAGAGAATGGGAGTGGGGTGGGGGGAATGAACTGATTAATCAGTATTACACGCTTGTGGAAATTAATAAAATTAAAAAAAATTTTATAACTTGAAATTTATTCATAAATTTTAATGTATCACTCGCTGTGACAAGTTTAACAATGCAGATTTTGTTTTTTTATTTTTCTACGTTTTTATGTTTTTATGTTTTTATTTTATTTTTTTAATACTTAAAAAGAGGTAAAACAAAATTACGTACCCTTTATGTCACTTTTATATGTTTAGAAAAAAAAGAAATAAAAAAGTATGTATGCTTATGCATTCACATACGTATCAAAGAGAATTTGCCAAATTTTATCCTTATTGTTACGAAGCACTTTCTGGCACCCTCTTTATTCTCCTCCCATAATCGTATTTATTGTTGGGTAGATTTTTATGCAGCGCGTAATAAAAAAAAAAAAAAAAAAAAAAATGGCTGAAAAGAGCAGGGGTATAATAATATTATAATTAAAAAGATATAAGGAGAAAAACCTCGATGCATTGCGAAATAATTTTCATTTGACATTTTTTCCCTTTCGTTTGTCCATTTGTAGATTTATTTTATTTGATTTATATATTTATCTATGTACTTATTTACTTATTGCATGAATTTTTTTTTTTTTTCCTGTTTTGCGTGATGGGAGACAAAAGAAAATAGTGAGTATGCAGGTTTGATCAGGAGTAAGGTCAAAATGGAAAAAAAAATGGCGCTTTAACAGGAACAAAAAATAGATGTCATAACAAAAAAAAAAGGGGAATATATACACATATATACATATATATATATATATATATATATATATATATAAGAATATCTGTACGGGTCAGAATTGTGCACACTTATAAAAAAGCAAAACGTAATGGGTAACCAGAATATGTATACAATTATACTTAACGAAGTAATATAATTCATATCAGTGGCAAACCTTTGGATGTTGCATAATATGAAATATTTCTATCTGACGAGTTATAATATCTCATAGGTTGTCACACATTCAGTGTCGCTACACTATACCGTTACCTAATTTCATGACTAAAACATATATGGACTTATTATAACAGACTAGATACCATATTTATAGAAATAGATACATGTCACGTGACAGATGGGGATTACAGCCAAGATAGACAACAAAAAAAAAAAAAAAAAAAAAAAAAAAAAAAAAAAAAAAAAAAAAAAAAAGGAACAAAATTCCTTTCGCACTATCTCTTAGTGTTTAAAATTCCTCGAAATTCATAATGTCGAAAGAAGGAAAGTCCCCTACTTCAATTGAATTTATGTTCCCAATGTAGCCATATTTGTCTCCCTTGCATTCAAATAAATACTTCTTTTGATATGTCCCGTCGGAGTTACCTAAAGGTTCATCTAGGTCTACACCAACAGAAATTTCATTCCCTTTTTTTAATTTTCCTATAAATTTTAAAACACCTCTACGATCCCCTATTTTAATTCTGCACCTGTTTCCAATTTTGTATATTTCTTGATCATACATATTGTTGCTTGTATTTTCATTTAACGCATTTACATTTTGGTAATTTTCCCCCACTGGTGCATTTTTTTCCCTATTTACTCCCTCTTTTGACCTAATTTTTTTTATGAAATTTCTAAATGTATCCTGTCGCTTGTCATAATCTTCCTCCTTCATTTCATATTTCAAGTGTTTCAATTTCTCCAACTGCTCCGTATCATCTATATGATAAATTATATCACTTGGGACAGGATTATTTTTTTCTTGTATATAGATTGTATAGTTGTCTTTAACTTGATAATCATTTAGACAAAATTGATCATTACTTAAGAATACTTGACTGTTTTCGATATTTAATTCGTCATATGCATACAAGTTCATGTTGTCCCATGCTGTTCCTGTGTGCGTGTATATTTTCTTTTTTATATTCTCTATCGCTTCATATTTGTTTAGTTTTATTTCTCTCCATTTTTTGTTTTTGTACAAATTGTGCACCAAGTCGACCTTTATGAAGTCATTCATTTTTTGTGGAAGCGATAGGACCAAATGTGGGGGAAAATGTTGGAAATTGTGTAGGAAAAATGCTGGAGATTGTGCAGGAAAAATGCTGGAGATTGTGCAGGAAAAATGCTGGAGATTGTGCAGGAAAAATGCTGGAGATTGTGCAGGAAAAATGCAGGAGATTATGTAGGAAAAATGCTGGAGATTGTGTAGGAAAAATGCTAGAGATTGTGTAGGAAAAAGGTAAAATATATGGGAGAAAATTTTACATTCTCAGGTGCAGCAAAATATGTTATATGTGCTTTGCTATATAGTTAATGCAATTATGTAAGTAGATTTAAAATCAAATTAATGCTGCTGTTTGTGGGTACTAAAATCTGACCATGTCATTAATTGTGCATTTTATGTTAATCTCACGAGAACCTATTTTACACGTAATGGAGTTAAGAATGGAAAAGTTTTTTCTGTCCATAATTAAATTGTTGTTTGTGTGCGTGCGTGTGATAAAAGGAATTGCATTATGTTCCCACTTTTTTTTTTTTTTTTTTTTTTTTTTTTTTCTCTTTTGCATAGTTCTTTTGGTTCTTATTTGAGAATTTTGAAATATTTTGGAAAACTGCTTGGTGCCCTTTTGGGAAATATGTGGATATTTATGGAGAATTTCTTTGGGTCTTTTTGGTAATTCTGAGTGAGCAATTAAAATATTTGCAGCAGGTGCAAAAAACAACTTTGGACGCAGAATCTTAAATTTAAATGAGTTTTCTCACGTTATGAGAAAAAAGTTATAAAAACGAATTTAACTTTCTTATAATCCTTTGACTTAGGAACTTTTTAAAGGACAAAGGACAAAATGTATCGAAAATTTGTTCAATATTATCAAAGGCTTGGCATAATGAACTTCCTTGTTCCAGAATTGGGTTTAATACCTCAAAATGATTGTCATGAAATTTAATAACAAGTTTTAACGTTTTCATTTGGACATCATTTTTGGACTTTTCATTTTCATCATTTATATTTATGTCTATGCAAAAAGTGTTTTCATTTATGTAGGAGAATTTATCGTAAAATTCTTTATATTCGTTTTCAATAAATTTCACTTCGTCGTTATTCATTCTTTTGTTTCCTATGTGTGCTCACGTTTATATTGATGTTTTTTTTTTTTTTTTTTTTTTTTTTTTTTTTAAATACAGGCTCTTAATTGGGAGAGGGGAAATATTCCATAAAATGACATTTCATGTGGGAGTTAACTGCTTGAATACGCATAAACTGTAGTAATAATTATGTAATAATTTCCTAATAGGGAACCACTTGTACAGCTACTGTTGGATTCAGTTCTTTACTTTTTCTCTTATGTATTAAAAATTAATAGATTAGGTCCTTTCTCATGTTTCTGTACTTAGTAGCAATCACTTATACAACTATCACACGTGCTGGGGTGAGTAAAAAATCAAAAAAAAGTGATAAAACAAATGGAGAGGCAAAAGATAAAGTATCAGTGTGGAAGAAAACAACAAAAATGAAAAAAAAAAAAGAAAAAAGAAAAAGAAGGCTTTTTCATGCCACTGTAAAATTAAATGTTAGCCTGATTTGATTCCCACCACCACGTTAGTATACTATTTATCATGTAAAAAAAAGATGTGTACATATATTACCTAGTATCCTACACATGCATACGAAATAACGACCTTATAATTTATAGTTTGTATTTTTTCCTTTTTAAGGATGTACAGGTAATGTAGAAAAAGCGTGGTGCAAATGTTTTGAGATTCTTTCTTATAACTTTTTTTTTTCCTACCAAAAAGATCTGCATGAATTTCAATCTTTGTTTCGTTGTACCGAAAAGAATCGAATATACCACGTGCCGATCACGGCACACCTATTTTGGTTTCCATAAGGCTAAACGAAAACTAGAACTTTGTATTACATTTATTAATTTCTTTACTTTCTTACTTTCTTATTTTGTTATTTTCTTATTTCCATATTTTCGTATTTCCATATTTTCGTATTTCCATATTTTCGTATTTTCTTATTTTCTCTTTTTACTCAATGATGCTGTCATGATAAGGGGGATGAGTCTCATATTGTGAATCGGTGCACCTTTAGTTTTGAATAAGTATACATATATACGCTTGAAAATATAACCAAAAGTATTATACATACAAAAAACATAGGCCAATTTGTACCTGTTTTTGAGCAACCATATCCTAATCTTCCATTTCCCCATTGCACAAATAAGAGTACTGTATTATATAGGTTTAAACTTTTGTACATCATATATAAATTTCGAATATTATGATTTTCACTCCATTCAGTGAATAATCCGTTATTCTCCCTAACCTCTGTACAAAGACATTTCATCCATATTTATGTAACGAACAGGCTAAGTCTATTCGGGCGTACTAAGGTGAATAATTTTTCTGTTGCACTTAAATTGCTACTTTAGGAACATGTGCAAAGAGTGAAGGTAAATTTTCATACTGTGCGATGGGGGAAAAAAATGGAGGCAGAGAGATTCTGAGTGCAGATATGACTAGCGCTATGGTGGACGAAATGGAGGGATGTGTACCTGCTTCTTTGAGTAGTAGGATTCTCACTGATGAACTTCACGGGAAAAGTAGGTTGGAAAAGAAACCTGGAAGTTCCTTCATATATATAGAACGAACAGTTAAAGAGTGTGATCCCTATGTCCATGTCATATTAAATTTTAAAAAACTAAAGTTAAATAGCGAGGAGAGTTTTTCCCAAATGGTACGTGAGAATTGTGAAAGAATATTGGATGACCTAGAAAATGCAGAAATTGGAATAAGATCAATTAGTACCAATATATGGAAGGCACTATCTTGCCAAAGGAATAAAAATAATAAAGGAATAAAAGAAAAAAAAAAAGAAAATGAAGAATCAGGAAAATTATATAACATATACGAGAAGAAAAGTATTATTGTGTGGGAATTAGATCTGTCATATAATTTTTTTACAAATCTCTCCATTGATAACATTCTGTTTGTTCTTATTCAAAATAAAATAATTAACGAAATGAGTATTTTCAATTTAAATAATTTAACAACAATAAATTTGCAAAAAAACATGTTGACAACTTTCCCTCATTGTAGCAAATACAAATTGATGAATTTGCTTCATTTTTGTTTGTCACACAATGAAATTTGTAAATTGGGGAACGTGGATATTTCACAAGAATGCGAGAAATATGAGACAGAATCATGCGAGGAAAATTTTGTTGAAATGGAGACAATTCCAATATACAAAATTAAAACGGAGACAGCTACACTTGTTGGTGATGAGATGAATTCCGATGGTCGTTACGTCTACGTAGAAGGGATATTGAATGAATCAGCACCGAATTTAACTCATCTTTATCTGCAAAATAACAAAATTATGTCACTCCAATTTCTTAAGTACCTACTCAATGGGCATAAAAACATTTCTCACATAAATTTAAGTTTCAACATGATAAAATCATTTAATTATTTCCCTTTTTTGAAAAATTTAAAAAATTTCGATTTATCATTTAATACACAATTGACAATCTGTTATAGTGGTGACGAGGTTGAGCGCAAAAGGATAGAAGAACTTATAAAGGAGCATAAATACAATATACCCATGAGTAATAATTTTTTTAATATACCTATACGTGACAGTAAAGATTTGAAATATTGCAACACTTTTCTTAAATTAAAATTGTTTTCCCCCAATTTACAAAATGTTAATTTGAAACATACACCATTATTATACAGTTTAAAATGAAACAAAGTGTGTAAAAAAAAAAAAAAATAGCGAAATAGTTGTATTGTCCGTTCGTGTAATATATTCGCGTTGGTGTTCCTCTTGGAGATACATATGTGCATATATGTAAATATATATATGGAAATGTGCATACATATGTGTTGATTCTTATTCCCACATACGTGGGGTTCACAGAATGGACATTGTTTAAGGATTTTTGTATATCTCCTTTTGTTAAAGCTAGCTGCTAAGAAAGGTGAGAAATATGAAAAAGATAAGAAAAAAAAAAAAAAAAAACAGTTATGAAGGAGTGAACAAAATGCAAAAAAATATAGTGCATTCTCATTATGTCATTATAACTGTTTTGTACGTGTACTACACGTGGAAGAAAAACCTCAAAAAAAATATATATGTATTTATTTAATGAGTGTAGTGTTAATACCATGTGTGTAAAAATATATGTGATGCACACAGATGCCTATATATAGTTGTCTCACGAGAAATAGAACCATATTTGATAAATTCTTTGTATATATAAAAGTCCATTACCTTATATAAAACCCGTGTCATAATCGATTCACTACTATTTGATGTGAGAAGTTATTTTTGCTTAGGATTGCACAAAAGGGGGAAAGGGGGGGGGATGCATTAAAAATAGTGCATATATATTTTATGACAGGACTATATACATGTTGTATCACTACTAGTGGTGTTGTGTCCTAATGGCATGAAATAGAACTCAACGGATGTACTATAGTTACTACTACAAAAAATGCACATATTAACACAATTCCTTTTTTCCTATCTTCCCCACATGCAGCTAATACATATATTATAAAAACAATAATAAAATTTGAAGAATAGTTTATCCATTGCTTTTTTATTCGTAAAAGTGGTTCTTTTAAAGACATTCACATTTTTTATACGTAGGGTTCTCATACTGATGATTTTGAAACTGTTATAGAGATAAGCAAAAAAATAAAATATACCACGGGGTACAAAGTTTAATCACCCTTGTTAAATGAATAAAAAAATGTACATGTTCGCGGTATGCTATATTAATATATATGTGTTACACGTATATGTTTTGTATATGTGTATGTTGTTATACCTAGTGAAGCACTATTAATTCCAAAAAAAAAAAAAAAAAAAAAAAAGGCTAGACCATTATAAGGGGAATGTTAAAATATATAAATTGCATGCATCAAAACAGAAAAAATTATAGACTTTTTTTTTTTTTTTTTTTCTTTTCACATGTCAATTAAAAGAGAACAGAACTTTTGAATATTAATTTATTCTATGAGGAATATATATTTTGAAGGGTCTGGGTGGCGTGAAAAATGTTGCTGAAATGTATACGCGATATATTATTGCTAACCCTTGTGTTCTTTCTCTAGAGTTGCGAATGTTTGCATTTCATACATATCTCGGAGAAATTGTTTACAAATGGTTTACTGAACCTTCTAAGAGTTATTATATATATGGACATATCAAGTGTTATAGAATTAACACTGAAAGTATTTTTTTTATATGGTGAACACCTTATGTAACTTGAAATGCAAAATAAATATGCCCTTTAAGACAGAAATTCAGCAAAGAGTGTATTTTCTGGAAATTCTTAAATGTCATGTGAAATACAAATATCTGAAAGGGCGAGAAAATTTGATATATGCATAAGGGTGTGAAATACATAAGATATATGCATCTACAAACAGGATAAACAAAATCATAGTTGTCCTCTTTTTTCCTAATTTCTCCAAATGTACGTACATTGCAGATTTTATATATTGAAGAACATTTACATTATATTTCACATATATTTAACTCAGACTGCTTAATTTTGGCCGTATTCATGCAAAAAGAACGAGAAAAATGGGTGATTCTCATAATTTACACGTGTAAGTTGAATTCACTTTTTTTACTTATATGAATATATATATATTGCGCTACTACAAGTTGTGTTGCAGAGGTTTTGCAAAACTTTCTATTATACACATTTGACATAATTAGCACAATCTTTCGGAATTGTTGGTTTTGTTGAGTTTATTTTTCACATCGTGTTATGCCATTTTATGTCACTTTTTGTAGCTTTGCACGTTTCATATCGTTTTGTATTTTTTTGTTTTTTTTATTGTATTTATTTTTTTTTTTATTATTTGCATGTTTTTTTTTTTTTTTTTTTTTTTTTTTTGTGGTTTAATTTTTATCACATAATAATACAGTTGGATATCACATAATTAAGTTATTCTTAAAGTGGTGATGGTATTATACAGCACATACCTGTATTGCTAAGATTGCACATGTGTATATATATACATTGTAGGCGTAAAAATATTCCAACATGTTGCACCTTTTTTTTCTGTCGAGGTGTTTACGTATAGCACAAGTGATAATGTATTTGCATGTATACATGCATATACATTTGTATACAACTTATGACACTCCCCACTTGGCAATGTGTACACAATGTGTTAAAAAAGGCACCTAATTTTACGCATGTGTTTTTGTTTCTTTACAAATTGCATGTGTTGCAAATGCTTAACATGCAGCAAATCTCCTATATGTTACTTTCAGCTTTCCTTTTTTTTTTTTTTTTGTATTATTTTATAATAAGATTTTTTTTTCTCCATGCATATATGCACAAAAAAAAATAAAAAAAAGGCACTTCAGAAAAAAAGAAAAAAAATGAATTTTGTGCATATGCATGTGATACAAATTACATATGCTTAATTTTGTTTTTTTTAAGATGAAGAAGAATCGATTTCATTTTTAACAATGTATACATTGTAAGCAGATGCGATAGGGATACATAAACCGAACATGTAATTTACATACGTATATGTAATTATGTATATTTTTTATATATTTTATACAGCGTTTATAATTATCTACATAAGATAGAAAGATGTATTTTTTTTTTTTTTTTTTCTTATACCTTTCATTCATGTGTTCATTATTAATTTAACGGAATAATTTTTGAAATCTTGCATTTAGGCTAAATTCAACACGGAAAGGAAAAAAAAAAAAAAAAAAAAAAAAAAAAAAAAAAAAAAAAAAAAAAACATTATTACATAGGTGGTATACATTGTACATATTATGTTATGAACCCCCTAACAATTTATATATACGTATTATATATATCACGTTTTTATTTACATAGCATATTTTTTGTGATAATTTTTATAGTTAATAATGGCCCTGAAAATAAATTAATACCAATAAAAAAAAAAAAAAAAAAAACAAGGCAAAACAAAATAAAACAAAACAAAACGTAAGAAAAAATTAAAAGAAAAAAAAGCAGAAAAACAAAAAAGCAAAAAAGTAAAAAAGCAAAAAAGTAAAAAAGCAAAAAAGTAAAAAAGCAAAAAAATAAAAAATAAAAAAAGCCGCAAATGAGTTAAAGAGCTAAGAAGTTAAAAATATTTAAATGATATAAAAAGGCAAAGATATATTATATATATAATATATATAGATTTTTGTTTATAAAAAAACCTCCCTACCATCTCAAAAAGAAAAAAAAGAGCTAAATCATAAACCTGCTGCTACAAATAACATGTTCTTTTTTTTTTTTTTTTTTTTTTTTTTTTTTTTATTTGTGACATTTTTTAAATCTTTAAAAAAATGTTATTTAAGTAAACCACGTTTACATAATATTTCATAAACATTTTATTTTTTTTAATAGTATACATATCTACACATATATATATAACTACATCAACTGTATATGGGTTTTTACAGATATGCTTGCGTATGCAAATATATATACATATAGATACCCTATATATATGCATATATAATAAGCGACGTATATGTATATATAAAAGTACCATATTACATACAGTGAATTTCTGCATTATTTTTTTTGAGACAGTTTTTTATATTTTTAATACTTAAGCCTCTGCTTGTTTTTATATATATATATTTTTTTTTATACATATATATATATATATACGTGCGTATACGTATTTTTTTTTTTCCATTTTCATGATCATACTTTCTGTAAACGTACCCAAGTAGAAATATATAATGTTCATATTTCATTAAATTTTTCTTTAACAATTTTTAATAGTTAGTTTTTTGTGTTGAAGGATATTATCCATTTCAAATTGAATGTATTATGCGCTGCATGTACAAGACTATGTGTATAGGTTATATTTATGAAAACAAACAGATACTTGTACGAATGCACATGCATAAAAACCCTACTGCATACACCCAGCATTACATGTGCTATATGTGTCTGTGGATGCCTCTTAACTGCAGGGATATATATATGCAATAAATATATTTCAGTTATAATTTATGCATTAGCGGTGTTCGTGGGTATCAATTTTTATGTATATTAAATTTTACATCCATTCCTTGTGTATGCACGCATACGTGTTAAAGATTGTGACAGTTAAAAAATAGAAGGCCTAAGTATATTTAATGTAATTTTTTAGAACGTTTATATAGTCATATGTGTGTGTATGATGGTGTATACATGTATATACATATGTAAATGTCAGTTCAATTTACATTACACCTATGGTGTTTAACATAATTGAATTGTTTTTAGCATACCATATATATATGAAGTTTACGCTTGTATACAAACAGTATGTTATAAGGTCGTACCTTTTAATGAAAAACGTGTATATATTTATATATATATATATATGTCACATATACCGCTTGAATACCCTTATAGACATTCACACTAATCTACATGTATAAGTGTATAGGCATATTTCTTTTACAGTTCACGATTATACGTAAAATAATTTTTAGTTTCGCTGAATTATTCCTTATATTCACGATATTCTAGTATCCACTCGCCCCTCACTTTTCTTTTTTCTTTAACTTTTTTACCATTACGTATTACTAACAAATATATACACGTACAAATACAATACATCTATGTGTTTTAATTTTTCATACTTTTCCTTTTTTTTTTTTTTTTCTCCCCTTTTATTTTATTTTTCCCATTTTATTTTACTTTTCCAATTTTATTTTCTTTCGTTATTTTTTATTTTATTTTATTTATTTTTTTTTTTCGCGTGTTAGAATTGTTACAATTGTGCACCATATGTTTTTGAACTCAGTTTACTTAATTGCATGCTCTCATTTTATTGTACATTAAAAATATGTGCACACATATATATGGACATATATTATGAACATATGAACGCATGTATGCATATCCCCTTGTGTTTCTTGGTTTATTAAGGACCATTTCCTCGATTATTTTAATTTCTGTTATTTAATTTTTTACAGTCCCACGTGTTCGCATATTACATACCACCGAACCAAACACTAAATTGCTTGAAACACACGATCGTCCATTTGACCACCCGGTGGACAAGGTTACCCGAACATACATCTTTTAAAATATTTACACGAGCGTTGGTGTATTATATGAAAATGTTGTTTGTATGCTTTTTATAAGTATGCACAAGGAAATATACATATAGATAGGCATTTTGTATTCGGTTTTTAAGCTTTTATTTTTAAATTGAATTGAAATTATATATATTTTTAATTTTTACATTTGATTGCTTTTCTTTATATATATATATATATATATATATTTTTATCAATTTTCTATTTTATTGTTATTATTTTATTGTTATTATTTTTATTGTTATTATTTTTATTGTTATTATTTTTATTGTTATTATTTTTATTGTTATTATTTTTATTATTATTTTTATTGCTATTATTTTATTATTATTTTTTTTTTATAATTTTTTAATGTACAACACTTAACCTCTTCATTTTTAACACGAAGCAGGCTTAGCTTGTTGAATAAGTATTTGCTAATATTTTTTATTGAGATCCGTATGTATTTTTATATGGTTTTTTTTTGGGGGGATATTCCAGTTATAGAAGAAAACGTCCATATATATGTCCATGCGCTTACCCAAGATCAATCACCTACTTACAAATATACATGCATATGAGTACACATTACCCATATCTGAACGCAGCTGTGAATTAAGCAGTGATATTGTAATGTACACGCATATATTCCATATGTATATATGTGTGTATGCATAAGCGTTTGTATACATGTATATATACATATATATATATATACATGTATACATACACGATTACATGCGTGCATGATACACTTATGTAAGCGCATATAATACCTTTTCTTGGTATTTTTAAAAGGCATAATTACTTATTTATATATATATATTATACACATGCACACATTCTGTAATATATCTTAAAAAAATATATACATGAAAAAAAATATTCAGAACTGTTATTATATGTAATCGTTTTTAATATTAATTTTTTTTTTTTTTATTTCTTTTTTTTTTTTTTTTTAATTGTTCTTATGTAGAACATTATAAGTAATGATATATTTGTATGAACTGTGTGGACGTTCGAAACTCGTACGGAAACATTTTCATTACTTTCCTCACACATAAACAAACCCACATATTAATGTATAATATATTACTATTTCATGTATTGCATTTTTTAAGATTACACTTATTAAGATTTCCTTTTTTAAGATTGTATTTTTTTAAGATAACATTTTTTAAGGTTGCATATTTTTTAAATTTTATTCTGTAATACTTTTGTAGTTACTGTGTGTAACCTTTTTTTTTTTTTTCCTAGATCCCTATTTTTTTAATGGTTCTTTTTTTTAATACATCAATTTTTTTTTTAATGCTCTATTTTTTTTTAGATATTACGTCATATAGATTTTATTTTTTACGATATTTTATGTGAATTTTTTTTTTTTTTTTTTTTTTTTGCTCCTTTTTATTATAGCTGTTTATTCAAATTTTTATTGTATTATTACCATTCTTTTTTTTATTATAATTATTTGTTTTTGCTCTCATATAATTAACATACGCTTATGTGTGTGAAAGCTTATGTATGAACATATGTATATATAAATGTATATACATATATGTGCAATATCTGCACATACGCTTGTTAATTCACCGGCGCATGTTTTTTTTTCCCAATTCTACCGAACTACACGTTATACTTTTACGTAGTTGCCTAGAAAATTATATATCGTGTGCAACGCTACCTTTTGTGACCCTTAGATTTCATGTAGGCATATTAGTATCTAGCTTATTTAGTGGTGCATATATGTATATATGCGTGGGCTCACATTATAGTATACATTACATATTATAGTGAAATACATACCTGTGGATAGAAAAGTACAACCAGACCTTAACATATACACTAATATTGATCTTCATTCTTACGTAATGAAATAAAAATAATAACATTGTAGACACCAAAAAAGAAAAAAAAAAAATTGTAAAAGAACAACATAGTGAATTCCTATATTTATTTACATACTATATCATTTTGAGAAGCTAAAAATATATTTATATATCGTAACAGTATATAAGATTAGCATATATGCATACAAGTGTGAACAAGAAAAAAAAAAAAAAAAGGAAAAGTGTAATTATAATTCATACTAGAAGAAACACAGGGAAAATAGTACATCTATGTTTTATGCGATTAGTGTCCTATTTTCACATTATATATGTATATGTATATATATGTTCTAATTTATATGTACCAAAAAAAAAAAAATTAAGGAATAAAAAGAGAAAAGGAAAAAACGAAAGAAAAAAAAAAAAAAAACAGAAATACAAAAAGATAGAAAAGAGATAGACTATCTATATTTTATCAACACCGTGCTATATTAAAATTGTTATATCTATTTTTGTATGCTACCGTTTAATGCTTTTATAATACAACATTAATATATACAGAAAACATATTTTCATGTAAAAGTTAATAGATATATATATTTTTTTTTTTCTTTGCTGAATTCTTATTGTATTAATGTTTATATATATATATATTATAAGAACGCATAGTTTTTTATTGTTTTCATCTCCAAAAAAGGTAGATATATTTTTTTATCGTACACCATCCCCTCCTCTCGACGTTTACTTGTTTATATGAGTAGTTGAGACCATAAGGCATGAATTATTATTTCTATATAAATATATTTTCACGATTTAGTTGCAATTGTACAAAATTGTGTATTCTCATCTTCCGACCTATCGTCGTGTACAGTATCTGTAGAAATACGAGTGTATATTTACAAACACTAAGCAGAGAAATATTGAATTGAAAATATATTCAAGAATTTAGCACAACTTGTATCATATATAAAATTTACTCCTAAATATATTAACCCATCTAGATCTTGATAAAATGAGTGGCAAGAAAAATTTTGCTAAATTTATGGAAAAGAAAATGTTTTCCAATGCTCCAAAAGAAAAGATGAATGATGAGTTTCGAAATATTAGGAAGGAAGAAAACCTGAGTAATATCGTGAATACAAGCGAAAGGAGAATTTTATTCTATAAGACAAAAATATGTCCATGGTATATTAAGGGAAAGTGTGAAAGAAGAAAGACATGTCTATATGCTCATGCACAGAATGAACTAAGAGAATTGCCGAATTTATGTAAAACCAGTTTGTGCCCAAAATTAAAAATAAATGAATCATGTAATGATAAGAAATGTAAGTATGCACACACGAACATCGAATTAAGAGCTACCGAAAATTTGTATAAAACGGCATTGTGTGAAAGCTTTATTAAAGGAAAATGCTTCTCAGGGCAATTTTGTAGGTATGCACATGGCCAGAATGAATTAAGAGAGCATCCAATGGAAATAACAGACAAAAATATAATCATTGGAACGAGTAAAATGAAAAATGATAAGTTGGATTTTGAAAAGAAGAAAATCTCAAATAACAATTGCAACAACATCCAGAACATTGATAACTGCAAAAGAAATGAAACATATTGTGTTATGCCCAAGAAGAAAGAGACACATCTTAACAAAGTTAGCGCACTCACAGAAGATGACGCTGTTGGAGAGGTAACGGAGGCCATGGATCCCCAAGCGCTCAACGATAGCACGACTGACAATTCTTACGACTGTGCCAAGAAGGGAAGAGCAGAGAACACCACCAAACATGGAGGCTTAAGCGGAAATGGAAACAACAACGGAGGAAATCACGGCGCAAATAGCAGCGGAAATCATAGCGGAAATAATCTTAGTAGGAAGAACGATGTGCACGAGTACCACAAGAGAAGCCATAAGAATCAAAAGTACAGGAACTCGGAAATCATGAATAACAACAGCAGTAGGCGTGATGGTAGCAATAGGAATGACAGATCCTCCTCCTCGGTAGGAAATTACTTGAAGCACGAAGACTGCACAAAATTCAATGATGAACAATTTTTGAATGATAGCCTTAACGTTTTGGGATTTTTGGAAGAGCATAATAATGGCGTAGAAAAGTTTTGTAAAGGACACAGCATGAGTAACAGTATCATAAATGATGTTGGAAACAATTCATTAAGCAATTTTCCAAATAACAGTATTATTGGAGGAACCAATAGCAATAACAATGCCCTTTTAAAATATGTGAGAAATAACAAAGGCATTGGAGGAAATAGCAGCAACTCCTCGTCTTTGATAAATTTTAATGTGGCCACACAGAATGCAGGAAATTTGGATATGAATGTACACAACAACAGTTCAGAAGATAATTATTACAACTTTAACACTACCAATATGGAAAATTTGAATTACGAGGACATTTTTTTTGGTGGAAATAGCACAAACAATAGCCTAAACGCTTTAAACAGCTTAAATAGCATGAACAGCATGGGTAGCATAAGTAGCTTTAACAGCATGAGTTGTGTGAGTGGTATGAATGTAAACACTATGAACGAAATGACAATGAGCAACATGAACAGCATGACTATGAACATGGGGAACATGGGCAGCATGAATAACATGTGCATGGACATGAACAGTGAGAATTTGAACAATATGGACATGAACAGTATGAATATGAACAATATGAACATAAACAATATGAATGTGAATAGTATGAATATGAACAGTATGAATATGAACAGTGTGCATATGAACAGTGTGAATATGAAGAATATGAAAAACGTGGGTTGTGTCAGCGGTGGTATGGCCATGACCATGAACAGCAATGGTGACTGTGGAAGTGTGACAGAGCCCATGTGTAAATACTTGATGTTGAATAAAGAATTAAAAAACAACGGTGTAACAAGGACGGATCTTTCGGGAAATAACGTAGGCCTAAACAGCATTAACATGATAGAAGTTGTAGGAAACTGTGAACAACAGCAGGATAACATAATAAGCAACAAATTGATGAAAGAAAAGGAAAATTCTGACGATCTAGTTAGCTGGGAAAATTTTTCTCTGTTTGGGAAAGCCAAAAGTTTTAGCGCAGAGAAAGACTATTTTAAAATTTTTAATTATGGAATGTGCAATAATTTTGATAATAAACTGTTTAATAATTGCGATGTGCATAAGAACGAAATGGAAAAAGTTGATAAATCATTATTTATTCTTTAACAGCAGAGGAAAAAATGCTGTTTTTAAAAAAAAGATATGAACAAAGCTACGAAAAAAAATTAAAAGATAATGGAATAATGAAAATTTTTTTTTTTTTTTTTTTTTTAAATAGCTATATCCGAATAGAAAAAGCACGTGGCGGAAAATATATATTAATGATATATATATATATATATCATTAATATATATTTTTCCTGGGAAGGTAGGGGGGATACCCACATGTGACAAAATCCATATATGTCGATAAAATGAAACAAAACTAAATATAATTAAAATTAATTAATTTTTTAAACAAGTTTATAAATAAGGAATTAAATTTTATATTTTTATAACACATGAGAAAAATGAATTTTTTATAAATATATATGTATATAATATATCTCCCTAATAAACAAGGTATTTAACAAAGGAAACTAGAGTACTGTATATTAATGTATATATTTATTTTCCCTACATATAAATATATGTAGTACGGATTAATATAGTATAATCATTTATATGTATAGGTATTTATATGCATCAGCATATATATATATATATACATATAAATGATTATACTACTTATAGGAAAAAACACACGCATGTATAGTTTTACATATGAGCATGCATTAACATGTATGCGTATGCATATATATATTATATATATACATACACGTGTAATCATCTGTATATATAAACATATATATATATTGCCTAATTATGAATGAATTCATGTGTATACATGTGTGCTCAGAAAGGAGACACCATTCCAGTGCGTGTGTTATACGTAAAATTATAATATTATCATTTTTGTATTCACTTTTTAAAATATATACAATAAAATACAATGTGTACTATGTACCATGTTACCTGTTCCTTATTACATACACATTTATATATACATATATACGCTTTTATTATGCTACACCTTTTTTAAGTTTTCTTTTTTTTTCTCCTTTTTTAATAATTAATATTTGTTTTTACATAGTATATCAATTCTTTTTTTTTTTTTTTTTTTTCCCCTTTTTTTAAAAAAAAAAAAAAGAAAGAAAGAAAATTGTAATATTTAATGTATATTTATTTTTTTGAGGCTTTTTATTTCTAAATGGTTAATGTTTTTCAAACATATTTTTTAATTAAATTAAAACTGAAAAAACGAAAAATGTACAATTAATTATATATTTTTAATAATAAAATGTTAAAAGAATAAAAAATTCATTAATAGCAAAAAAAAAAAAAAAAAAAAAAAATGCCTTGCCAAAAAAAGTCACGAAGTATACAAGTTGGGAATTTTAAAAACACAGCAAAATTTATATTCTTGTTTTTGCAAAAGAGAGGCATGTTGTATGTGTAATGGGAAAAGTATATGATGAATGAATAGGCGAGTTTTATGTAGGTTTATATATACCTATACATACCTGCGTCGTATACACATGAATATTCAATGAATGATGGTCATATTTGTAATTCCGATTTCTAACTCGCATGTGTTGTGCGGTATGTGTGCATGATAGGGCAAACCCTGAACCCTGTACGGACAAGGCTTTCATAACTTTTTTTTATTTTTAGATTTTTTTAAAATGGGCTAGTGGGGTGCTTTCAAGTTTTCCCTAATCCCCCTGTGCGTATATATATATATATATATATATATATATATATATATATACATATATTACTGGTTAGACTATGTCATAACCAAGCACCCTGGCAATAAGTTCCAGACAAAGTTTCCCTGTTTTAGTTGCATTTTCAGCAATGGGCAATGAATCCCCATGAACTCTTTTGTCATCTTCATCGAGTGATGGATTATATTCCACTACATCCATCGAAACAACTCGCCTTGTGTCAGCCAGAACTTTCATTAATAAATTTGTTTCTCTGTAGCTTAGTCCACCCTTTGCAATGGTACCTGTTCCAGGTGCATAAAAACTATCAACACTATCAACGTCAAATGAAATGTGTATAGGGTATTTTTCATTAGGATCTATTATGTTAAGGGCTTTACTGATGATATTGTATATTCCATTTTTTTCAATATCAAAAATTGTAAAATAATTAACGTTGCATTTTCTTAAAATTATTTTTTCATATGTATCAACATCTCTTATTCCAATAATAGCAACATTTTCTGGTTTTAAATATGTTAAATGTTCTGACCACTCAAAATATGGAACTTTTTTTTTAAAAAGTCCTAATGTGTGAGCTAATGACATGCCATGATAATATCCCGAAGGGGAGGTTTCCGGAATGTTAATGTCACCATGGGCATCTATCCATATAACTCTCAAGTCTTTGTAAATTTGTAGAGAGCTTAAAATACTAGGGAATGCAACGCTATGATCACCTCCAATATTTAATACGAAATTTTTCTTTTTTAATTCATTACTCATCAGAAAGAATAATTTTTCACAAAATTTCCCGATGATTTCGATATTTTTTATATTATTATAATATATGTTTTCTGAATATTTTTTGCTCAAAACTTTCCCATCATCCCCGTCATCACCATCACCATCGTCACCATTAACGATAGCAGTAACGTTATTATGACTTCCTGTGTTTATACCTTCTTTACCATTACAGACATATTTTAATTTTCCATTCACATTCATTCCTTCTGTTCGATAATTCTCTTTTCCAATGTAAGTATTAGTATTTTTGTGTGTATTTTGTTTTCCATTAATTTCTAGATTTTCCTTAACAATTTCCCCTGTGATATCTTTGTTCCACACATTTCCTACATCTTCATAACTCCATCCCATTGCCTTTATCACTTTATGTAGACCTAACATCCTTAAGTTGTCACATGCTAAGTGAACTCCTCCTAAGGATTGTCCAGCCGATAAGGGGGATCCAATTATAGAAACATTTTTTTTTACGTACAGATTTTCTTCTTCCTTAAACGTTTTTATATAATTCTCGATACATTCATTCATTTTATGTAGCAAATATAATGAGGTATATTTTGTGCGTAACTAAACAATGGTATAGAGTAAAAGCTCTAATTTCGAAAATTCAAGTAGCATTTGGTGTGTATTGTACATGGGAAATGTATGGATGAACCAATGATTTTAAATTACTGGACCTTTATACAACTAAATTAGTGATTTTTAAAAAAACATGTGCAACCTGGTATTTAAATGAACAATTGAATTTAAAGATAATCAGGGGGGGGGGGGGGTAAAAATATCGGAAATGTTATGGCAAATATGAAGGGAAATGTACAGACAAGTAAGCCTACAAATAGATCGTTAAATATGTATACGAATAAGCCCATAAATAGGCAAGTTAACACATACACAAACTATGTGGGAAAATAAAGAGACAAACAAAATATCACTAAAAAACAAAAACAAAAAAAAAAAAAAAAAAAAAAAAATTGATTGGGAAGTAAAAATTTGAGGGGAAAGAGGGTAGTTCTGTTAGAATTGTTTAAAATGGATGGTGAAAATTTGAAAAAAATATTACGTACGCTTAAAATATGAAAAATAAGGAAGAATAAAAAAAGAGTGCGAAAAAATAAGAAAGAATAAGAACACATGGGAGATTACGTAAAAATAAGGTAAAATAAGAAAAAAAAAAAAAAAAAAAAAAGGTTTCTATTTATTGAACACAAAATCCACATGTAGGAACTCGGTGTATGTTAAGCCATACTTGTAGTTATTTATATTATAATTGAAATTGTATATGGTTAAATCTTAATATATTTATTTGTTTTTTTGTTTTTTTGTTTTTTTTTTGTGCTTTTTTTTTTTCACCTCAGTGCATTGTATTTTTACGATGACAAAGGGAACATTTATCCACAAACAAAAAAATATGAACAACATTGTTTTCTTTTGCATTTGTTCAAAAAAAAAAAAAAAAAAAAAAAAAATTGTATACAATTAATAACTGCTTAATTGCTCTCTACAGTTAACAAAAGAGTGTTGTATCCATTACTAGATTTTTGTAATGATGAACGAATTGTTCTTTTTTAAAGATAATTATTATTTTTTCACAATGTTTTTGCAATATGCGCTTTGACTCGCGCCTTTCGACTTTCTATTTATTTACCATTCTGTTTACATACTTTGTGCAAATTAATATAAGCACAAAAAAAAAAAAATTCTTTTTAGTGGATATTTTTTTAACATATATTATTTTTAATTATTACCATTTTGTTGGTATATCATCGATTTGAGTAATTGCCATGCTAATAGAAAATTAAAATGTAACAATAGCGTTAAATAAAGCAAGGTAGAGCAAAATGAAAAAAATAAGTCAAAACATAAAACTTAAGGATTGAACGGCGTTGCAAATGATAGAAAGCAAGCTAAAAATAAAGAAAAAACTCATGGAGTGAAAAACTTAAAAAAAACGTAAGAAAAACGTAAAAAAAAATATAACAAAAATGTGATGACAAAAGGTATGCGTTAAATTGATCATATTACAGGATAATTTTTACAACATGGAGTGGTACATGAACGACATAAGCTTTTTTTAAAGAACGAACTGTTGCAAAACATAAAAAATAAAAGGAGAAAAAAAATATGTTTGTGCAGTGGTGGGCAAATATGTAGGATGCATGTACATATATATACGTATATATGTATTTATGGCACTTCTCGTTAATTTCCCCTTTAAAAATATTACCCCTGTGAGAATTAATAAACACGAAACTTTTCAACTTTTTTTTTATCATCATGTTGATTACTTTAAAAATCAATTTACACTCGCATGCATTCCTATATTTTGTTAACATGGGGCAAAACGTTCTATAAAATGTTATTTACCCATTTTAGCAAAGAAATTTGCACGTGAAAATACACAACTTCAAGGATATATTTTCTCATGCACATGTAGGAGACAATAAGTAAATAAAAGGTGTTCACAAATATCTGATTGCACACGTGAATGTACCATCACGTGAATATTGCTTATCCCCATGTGTATTTAAAAATACACACTCATGCATTATTTACATATGCATGGGGCTAAGTTTAGCACAAAAAAAAAAAGCATGTATGTGACCTCTTGAAGTGGAAGCAGAATGCCATAAATGCTATGTTTTGTTTTCTCTTTACATGCTGCAAACTCTAGTAAAATGCAAGTAAAATATGGAAAACTCAGATCCAAATGTATATATATACAAATGTGCAACCAGCAAAAATATGCATATTTCAAAACCTGCGATTTTTTTTAGCAACAATCATAATACAACTATTAAATTTTTTATTATTTTTTGATTTCATATTTTCATAAGAAAAAATTCTTAAATGAACATTCTCATGTCCCAACATGCAAAATATAACTTTCTTCTTAAAGTTAAACACAATATTATATTTTTATATACATAAAAATCGCACTACATAATGAGACGTAGGGGTCATTTTAAAGGTCATATTTAAGGACGAACTTTTAAACGACTCAACTGTGCTCTTGTTGTCTTGATAAAGTGTGTATATAATGTATCTCACGCAGAAAAATTCCCCTTAGCTGCGTTCATCTTTCATTTTTCAATTTATATATATGTATATGTACATGTATATATGTAGCCAAAATAAAATAACATAATAGAATACAATACTATAGTATGATATAATAAAGGGAACGTGGCATACTTATCAAATCGTAGAATTAATCTTCAGGCATCTTTTCCTTTTTCATAGCCCTCATGTGGAACAGTTAACATAAAAAAATATACAGCGTGAAATATATATTTTTTCTTCTTTTTTTTTTTTTTTTTTTTTTTTTTGCGTTTTAAAAGGAGCCAATTTATCTATTTGCTAAAAAAAACGATGGCGTCTTAATCTAACGAGTATTAAAATAACTAATTTTCAACAGGTGAAAAAATGTTGCTGTGAAAATGTTTATGCAATTGTAGCTTCGCAGGTATAGAATATCTTGTGTACATATGCTATACACACTTCTTTTTATTTCTATGTCAAGCACATTGATTTAGGTATGTAATGTACATATATCACATATTGTACCATATGATATATAACAATTTTAAAATAAAAATGTGTGCACATTTTCCTATCTCGTTTAAACTTTAATTTTTTTTTTTTTTTTTTTCATACTACACAAAATCGGACATTACGATGTAATTTTATTCATGTGCACATTTTTTACAAACATGTATAGTAGTCCCATTCGTGGCAAACGCAAATACAGGGGCTTAAAAGGTAGCTCCCATTCTATAAAAACAAAAATAAACAAAAAAAAAAAAAATAAAATAAAAATAAAATAAAAACCTACTCGCGCACATATATATACACATATACGCTTAAATACATAAATAACACTTGAACATGCATAAGAACTTTCCCACTTAAGTATTACGAACTCTAGTCTTTTCATCCTTGAACAATTTTTTTTTAATGACATAGCAACTTAATTACTGTTTAAACCCTGCAATAATCAGTCGAAAGTGATAAAAATTTTGTCTTAAAAAATGTTAAAATGTTTTCCATAAAATATAAACAAATATGCGCATATACACAAATTGACATAAGTATGAGCACACATTTGTATAAGACATTTTTATTTATTCATTTTTTTTTTTTTTTTTTTTAAAAATGTTAATAAGTGTTCATGCTTAACTATTAGGTTGTTCACTCTTCTTTTCAATGCAACACTGTTGAAATAGTTTGTTAGGGGAGAAATACTTTTCATTTTGCTTATTTTAATTAAGGGAAGGCTGTTGTTTCAGTCTCATAAGTTCGCTTTTGCTATTCGAGTTTATGCACATATATATATATATATATATATATATATATATATATACATATTTATATGCATGTACATGTGTATGTACGTATGAGAAGACACATGTACCCTGCGTTACGAAGGTTCATAATTATTAATCCCATATGAGGGAGAATATAGAGGGAACCAATATGAAGCGAGAAAACAAAAATTTGTCAAATGCATCAATGAACATTTTGAAAAAAAGCAACACTACAACTAAACAAGGGGGACTGAAAGGTAGCACGAAATTTAGAGAAACATATAAAGAAAAATGGAGCGTAAAGGTTGAAAAAGATAATGCTATAACTTCCAGGAAAAGTAGCGTAAATCTGATAAAAGAAAGTGTCATAAAGGTTGTCCCAAATGGAAAGATGAATGAAGAAGAAAGTGGTGTAGGAGTAAAAAACAAAATTGAGGCTAATAAGAAAAATGCGGAAAAAAGTAATGTCAGTGGGAAATTTAATCGAGGTAATGATAAAGCTTATAGCAAAGCATATGATGAGAATAAAAATGTTAAGCAAGAGGGAAGGACAGACAGAGCAGACAAAAAAGATAGGAAAGACAGGACAGAAAGCACTGAACTTAATGCTGAGGAGGAAAAGGATGATAAAGAAGCAAATAACGCAGAGAAAAAGGAAGAAAGAAATGGGGAAATCAACTTGACAAGGCGCGAATCGCAAATTAACCAAGAGGTATCGGTTGCAGTAATGCACACAGAAGATTTCAAACGTGGTTTTGAAAATGAAAATGGAGAGAAAGAGGGTATCGACGAAAAAGTTGATAAGCAAGCACAGAAAGACACGGAGAAAAATGGAATTGAAGACGAAGATTTAGATTCGTTTATGCAACCGTTTGCAAACGAACTTGTGGAAAATTACCAGCAATATAACACTAGCGAAGAAAGTGAATACTTACAGGGGGAAAGGGAATATAACGAAGATAACAGCGATGATCTGAACTATGAAAATAATGATGATGATGAAGAGGAAGGAGAAATAGACAAAAGAAAATACAAAGAAGGAGATGATGCACATGAAAAAAGTAGCATATATCAGAATATACTAAAAAAATTAAACATGGGAAAAAATGAAGAGATAGAAAATAGTCACATCATAATACTTGGCAATAAGGATGTTGGGAAATCTTGCTTAGTAAAATCGCTACAAGAAATTCCATTACATGGTAATAAGGAAGGTGGTGAAGTAATATACCAAAACGGAGGTAGAGTATTACCATTAGATTATGCATGCTTAGATGTAAAAAATTTAGATGAAAAAAGAAAAATGAATGATATGAAAAGAAACAGCCACATTTGGATATTAGAGCATTCTTCTTATGTCAGCTCATTAATTAAAAATTTAAAAAAGTTTCAGAATATCAAAAAAATAGTTGTTTTAGTATGCACAGATTTGTATAAGCCTTATAATATTATGTCTGACATAAATCACTGGATCGAGGTTCTTTATGTTCTATTTGAGAAGTTGCATTCTGATTACAACTTAGACGTATTACATGAATTAAAGGTTAACTTACAGAATTATGTATATAACTATAAAAAAGAAGCATTTGAAAAGAAAAAAAATAAGAATCAGAAGGCAGATACAAACTCCAAGGATGATGGGAAAACAGGAAATGGAGATGACACCATAGATAAAAACAGTTTATATGACATAAACAGTGATGATGAAATGTTTAAAGTAAAGAAGGAAGAATTAATCAAAATTAACCTGTCCTTTCCAATATTCTTTATTATCTGCAAATCGGATGGATACGAAATCTTAAACAATAGAACATATCAAGGATACATCGATGTTATCATTGCATATTTGAGAAATTTAGCTGTTAATTATCAAGCAGCTATAATTTTTTGCAACACAGTAAATAAAAAGGAACCAAAAAATGTGGAACTTCTGTACAGATACATAATGCATCGACTTTACAATTTTCCTTTTAACGAAAATGCTATTTTGGATGATTATGATAAAATATTTATACCATCAGGTTATGATAACATGGATTTAATAAATGAATCCATACAGAATACATTCGTTCAGAATTTTAACAAACCTTATGATTCCATAATCATTAAACCAATATCAAATAGGAGCATAGTGGAACATAGCCAGAATGTTGTGGTGGATAATTATTTTAACGATTTTTTAGCTAGCTTAGGGTCTGATGTAAATACGAACCCAGGGGATGGAGCTGAAGACGACGATGTTGATGATTATAATGACAATGGTGATAGCACTCGTAGTAACAATCGTGATGGTAACAATGGTGAAGGCAAAAACATGGGAGATAAAAAAATAAATGTCACCCTGAAAGAAAGTAGAACTATCGTAGACAAAGAAAGTAACAACGAGAACAATGCGAGTAGAGATAAAAATGATAAATCTTTACACAGTTTTTTTCAAAGTCTTTTAGCAAAAGGAAGGTCCAAGTCACCAAGTGCACCAAACATCCCACTTCGGACGCTAGACAAGAAAAAAAACATGAATCTGTAATGAGATTGGAATTGACGGGGCTCTGATGTTGATTATTAGAAAAAGGAGTAATAATTCCGTGTCTGCATTTTTTATACTGACAAATTCGATACAAGCACGAAGAAAAAAAAGTAAAATATACTTAGACACATTTGTGCATGCACAGATAGAGGTTTTTTTTTCTTTTTTTTTTTTTTAAATAGCACCTTCTGAAGTGCAGTTAGCGCGTCCAGTTCGTCATTTATTATATTTTTTTTTCTCCTTACGTTTACCTTTTTTTTTTTTTTTTTTTTCCCTTTATATCATCTTTGTGCTCTTGTGTTTTCATTCAAATTTTTGCAATTAAGGATCCCCTCGCTTTTGGTTACTTGTTTGTTTACGCGTTTATAACGTGCATATACATACATATATACACATATATACTCATATATACACATATATACTCATATATACTCATATATACTCATATATACACATATATATACTTATTTATTTATTTTTTTTTTCTTTGTTGTTTGGCTTCCTTATGTTTAAGGGCACAACTGTGAACAAAATGAAAACTGAGTACAGGAATCATACCCATGAATTTAAGAATGTGGTTATTTGAAATGAGTTTTTAAATTCGGGAGGGAAAATGTGGTGACCGTGGGGGCCTTAAGTTGGCTCTTACATGCCTACACAAAATGGGGATAATAATGGAGACGCAAAAATGTTACAACGTAATGTCAGAACTGGGAGAATTTTTGGCAGTACGAAATTTATGCTGTGATAAACTTCCACTGTGTAAGACTTTTCATTTGTAAGTGGAAAAAAAAAAATTGGATAGAATAGCACACAACGTTACGGGAATATAAAGGGGGATAAGAAAAGGAGCAAGGGTCAACTTGCGGAATACAATTTATAGGAAATTGACAAGATGAAATAAAAGGTTTAGTGACAATCCAAAAATGCTGTCAATGTTTCCTTTGATGACTTTTATATACTTGTGCATATGGATATTTTCAATTTTTAATGCCCCTGCACAAAAGTAAATGGATGAGTCATCAAGTATTTTCTTTACAACCGAATCATCCATATCGTAAATATTAATAATGGATTCATCAATACCGGTTATAACTTTCTCTGTTTTTAATTCGATTAGGGTAATGCTACTATAACTATAGCATTTGTTGTTACTGTACGATTTGAGGAAATTATATGCTTCTTTTTCATTTTTTGGTTTCTCGTATATTTCTTTATTACAGTATATGACTTCATCTCCAACTAGTAGAACAACTTTTTTATCTTTACTCAAATCTGAAATTTGTTTTTGTAACGAATTATTTTTTTTAATCATATTCAATAGCCTCAATCCTTTTCCCACAGAAATATTCGATGTTAATGTAAGTGGGTTGTGTCTTTTTCTGCATCCTATTTTTTTCTCATCAATGTGTATACGTACTGATAGGAAATCTAAGTTGCTTTGTTTAAGGATATATTTTCTGGAGTTAGAGGTTGAACCAAGTACGAAGAAGTAATCATTAAGACTGTTGGTCGTAGAGCTGATATTGTACACTCCATTTGGGATACCTACTAAGTTAGGTGCACTAACTTCGCTAACCCCATTTATATTTTTCAGATGAACACAACTTGATGGATACATATTGGACATGTAGTTTTTCTTATATCTGTCACATACATCACATTGCTCATTTATTTCATCGTAACATAAATATAGAACATTGTTCTGTTCGTTTTTGCTGTTATATACAATTCTATTTCCCCCTATCAAGTTCATCATTTTTATTTTCTCAAAATTTGTGTGCTCGTCGGAAGTGAGCTCATTTGGGGAATTATTTTTACCTTTCGTTTTACTTTTAGAATGTATTTCTTTGTTTAAATCATGTGAGGGTATTTGTTCAGGGGTATTATTTTTCCATTCAAGATTATCATATGCAAATTTGGTGCTTAAGGATTCACTCCCAATTTGCGCATCCCTATAGCCATTATGCAAGTTAAAATGCTTTTTCTCTGAATCTTCGTGCATATGATTGGTATCATTGGATTCGCTTATATCAGAGTCTTGACAATTTGTGATGTATTCATACATATGATCATCTATTAAATTGTTTATTTTGATTATTTTATGAGTAACATTTTTGTTACATATACGCGAAGACAAATGGGAAATAATATCATCGTCAATTTCTAATTCCAAATCGTTAATTGATAGTTTCTTGTTATTTGATTCTTTTTCCTTCTCTAAAAATACACCATTATTTAGGTCCCCTATTTTTTTGTTTGAAGAAACATGATTTAATTTGCACTCCTCGACGTCAGGTTTGTTCATTTTCGTTTATTCTCCTCCTATGCTACGTTGTCGCTCTGATTCGTTTCTTCTATGCGAATGCCTTTCTGTTATTTCAGTATTTGTAGGTTGTTAAAATATAACTACCTTTAGTATATATATTCGAGTCTAGTGAAATATGCTTATAGCATTATGACTTTAATTTCGAAATGGGGATTTGATTGACTTTTTTAGGTAAAAATTTGCTTATCATAAATTATCTTTGCTTCCTTTGTGTATTTTTTGGACTTTTACATTTTTTTTTTATTTTATTTTTTGCAGGACTAATTTGGAAAAATGACAATCTTACATGTGTGTAGAGCAGTGTGTATCAGAAGAGCTGTTTTTTATGTTGATCATACGTTCAAGTACTTTTTTACATTCTCGAGGTTATAGAAACGTTTACGTATGTATGGGGAACATATGATGGAACATTCCTAGGAATATTTTAACCCCACATGGAAGCAATAAAAAAGATAAATAATTTTTTTTTTTTTTTTTTTTTTGATAAACCTTTTGTAAGTATCTAAGGTGAGCTGAGGAGAGGGGGAAAATATAATCATAATTGGAGAAAAAGAAAAAAAAAAAAAAAAAAAAAAGAAGATGAAGAGGAAGAGGACGAGGAAAGGGAAGAAATAGAAAGTGAGGTAGAAGAAGTGGAAGAAAAAAGTGCTAATGAAGACATGTAAATAAAAGCTGGAATTTGGCTCAATTTAATGGCTATTTTTTAATATAACAAAAACAGGGAAACAATCATAGAGACAAAATATGTATTCGTTCTTGTTTATGTACTAAATAATGGCACTAGGATATTTAGAAGGGCTCTCTAGTGTATTGCAGCTCCTTTTTTTTCTGAACAAAAATATTCACGATATAATTAACTTAGCGTGGAGAAATGTTAAAATTGTAATGAAAATAATGTGTTCTGCAAAATTTATTTTTGGAGAAGGCTTTTAAATTTAAGTGTAAGGAACACTGTTGACAGTGATGCATTGTGTATATATTATGCATCTTTAAAGAGGATCTTGTGAGGTGAAATGGACACAGAAGAAAATATATATACATATTATATATACGTACATGTAATTTTTTTTACCTTAAAATGATTTAACGGAACATTTTATATACACATATATGGAGTGAATCATTTTTATGTTCTCCTAAGTTATTAATGCTCCCTCGCAGAAAAAAGGAGAAAAAATATGTACATATTTTTCTGACATTTTGGAAACTACAAAAATTTCAACAAATTAGAAATAAAAAAGGGATAGAAAAATGGATTATTCATAGTGACAATTTTTTTTTTTTTTTATTTTTTTTTTTTTGTATACTGATCGATGCAGTTGTAAAAACACTAAATTATTTTGCTCTTTTGTGGTTGCCGTAGAAGGCACTTTTGGGAGCTTCAATCAAACTTTGGTACATTGAAAAAAGAAAAGTAATGTATTCAAATAGTCTGGGGGTCTTACGAGACTGATTATAATTCATAAATGTGTTTTCGTGTGGTACAGGAAGCAATTTAGGTTGAGGCGTATGTTATCTTATAAATATAGATATGCAAAAATAGATATATGCATATGTATGTCGTTATCTTAACCGTGACCCTTGTACTTGCTATTGACGAACGTCTCATCAGCTGGATTTCTAGTCAATAATTGCACCTTTGTTGTTATGTTGGGAAACTGACATAAAGCCCACACGTTTGTGCTCCTTTCACAGCAAATAGAGAACAAAAGAGGGGACGAAAAAAAAGGAAACGAACATAAATTTGCAGCAAGGTTGCATGTACCTCAAACGCTGCAAAAGTTGAAGACGATTAAAGATGAGCAATTATCGTTCGAGGGTTGCAATGTGTATATGTTCTCAATGTCCTATTCAGTCCGATTGACAAACCAAATGTGTACATCCCAACCCACTCCCAAAAAAAAAAAAAAAAAAAAAAAAAAATTAAGGCAACATGTCTGTATACAAGTTACACATATATTACTTTGTTACCAAATAGCAAAACAACTGTGTGAATCATCCATTTTTCCTGAAAAGTGCTTTTTGCACATTTGCATTCACATTAAGAGGCCAGTGTTTTTTTTTTTTTTTTTTTTTTTTTTTTTTTTTGTTACTCCCCCGGAGCTCTCTTATCCATTTTATGTATTCACAGAATTATGACTCAGAAAATTTCCCTTTTATTTGTGTTACTGCTTTTGCTAATAAGGAATGAAGCAAAAATAACAGAAAATGAGAAATTATATATGAACAAGAAGGGGTTGTTATTACCTCCGTACTATCAGCGGAGGTCTGGAAAAAGTGGAAGAAGGAGACCCTATTACTTTTTCATGGGAAAAAATAAAGAGGTTAAAATTGATTCAAAAAATATGAAGAAATATGTACTTACAAATATTCACAATTTAGAAAATGAAAAATGGTGTAACTTTACTGAACAATTAAGAAATGTAAAAAATAGGATATTCAATTTTTTCAAAAGAGATAAAAATGTTATCGATAGGTTAAGAGATTTAAATGAAAAAGAAAGTCTTTGGTTTGTAACTGGATATGCAAAAAATATGTTCACTGATAATTCTTTTTATCACATTATCGGTTTTGAGCACATAAAAGAAATGGATTTTAACAAAATAGATCTAGTAAATACGATGCCAGCACTGGAGAATTTACTAAGCACGTGTGGCAAAAAAGGAAACTTGCAAAATGGAGATTATATGATAGGGGCTTCCTATAGGGTAAGAAAGCATGTAGTTTTTTATAAAAATAACAATTTTTGTTTTAATGAGGTGTCCAAATATTATCAGACCACTCCCACTTCAGGGGCCACTTTCACTCGTGATACCCCTTCGACTAACACAGCAGACGAGAATAACAAGAAGAGGATTCATCACATGAACAAAAATTACATACTTTGCTCGTACACATACTACCTGCTTTATATATACAGTAAAAAAGACCTAAAATTTTACATATGTACATATGATATGAACAATGAGTGCTCTGTTTACGAAATGAAGACATTAGACAAGGAAGATTTGCACCATTTTCTGAATAATTACATATCAGGAAAAAAAGACTTAAAAAATATAAATGTGTTTTCTTTAATTAAGAAAAATAAAGTTAAGAGACATGCCCCTGAAGATATTAGCTGCTCAGAACTTTTAAATGTGATAAATTACACAAATAAGTTTAGTTCCTATTTGAAAAGGCTATTCAATTTATGTCACAATTCAGACATGCTATTAGAAAATAGAATAAGCCCAAAATGTGAACAAGGAAATATTACTTTCATTTTTGGAAATACCAATTTTTTACTTAAAAATAAAACGTATTTGGAATGTGTGAAAGATTTTTTTTTTAAAAATGATCAAGAGAAAAATATGTTTGATCATATTTTTAAAAATAACAAAGGGTACAAATTTTATGTCCAAAAAGGTGTAACAGATAAATCTTCTTACGTTTTGAGATGTACTAAAATTACCAAAAAAAAATTAGAAATGTTACACAAAAAATTGCTTACAAATTACGAGCACAAAAATTTTAATGAAAAGAAAGGAGACTCTTTTTTTGATTATACGAAAATTTTATTTGATAAATGTGCAAATTATTTATCAAGCAATGCAAAAAAAAATATATTCAATGAAGAAAATTATACGCATAGAAGCGTTTGCATAAATATCAGCTCAAACAATCGTTTCGGAGACGCAGAAAACATTTCATCCGATATTCCTGACGAAACTTTATTATTTACTTTGACGAAGAACTTCTTGAACAGTTTAATTTCCTACTTGCATGTGTAATATCCCCTATTGTATAGACGGATTGAAAGTAGAGAAAAACCTGATTGATTGTCATACTTTGCCCACTTGAAATAAACTTAATTTGTTGTTCTTTTTTTTATCCCCCCTTTTTGAAAAAATTCCTCATTATTTCCTTTCCTGAGTTTGTTCAGTATTGTATTACACTATACTGTGTTAAATTATGTTCTATTTTTTTTTTTTTTTTTCCTAATCCGTTGCCCCTTTTTTTTTTTTTTGCTTTTTGTTTCTGTGTATACCACAAAAAGAGTATATTTGAATTATTGAATTATATGTTTTTATGTATCATATCTGTTCAAGGCGAAAATAAAATGTCACATATGATAACCTATCCACTTATTTTATTACATTTTATTTTATTTTATCTTGTTTTGCTTTGTTTTGTTTTACTTTTTTTTTTTTTTTCTATACTACACAAAATGATTACACAATTTTACTTTCAAAATTTTCCCCTTCGTATTAATATGGCACAAATTAACAAAAAAAAAAAAAAAGTTTAAAAATTAAAAGATCCAAAGTATGAACACTGTAAATTTGTGCATTTTTCAAACTATGGCAAATGTTGTACAATTAGGGAAAGTATATATTCACACACAAGTGTGAGCAATTGCATGCACATATGTAACTTGTATATATGTATACATATTTTCCTTTTACATAACAAAAACAGAAACAAAAACACGTGGTAAACAAAATGGTTTAGTCTGTTAAATATTTTTTTTAAAAAATAAATACTGGAAAAAAATAATATGGTGACACAAACATACATTCTTACAAATAGCCCAAAATATATGTCCACTTAAGGAGAGTGATATATATATGTGTGCATATATGAAAAGAATGAGCTGAAATTTAATTATTGTTACTTTTTTTTTTTTTTTTTTATTATTTTAAATTTTTTATTCGTTCGCTCATGTTCGTGATTTCTTCCAAATGCTGTAAAAAGGGGATGATAAAAAAAGGAAAAAAAAAGATGGGGATGTGAATGTTCTTTTTGCAATCTTAATGATGTAATAAATACGTATTTCGTTCTTTCTATTGGCATTTATATTAGGTTATTTCTAGGTATCTAAAATTATACACAATTATAAGCTGTAATTTTTTTTTTTCTTAAAGAACTTTTTCTTTCTTCAGAACTATAAACCATAGCAATGCATAGTTCAGTTTGTGTATGCTGTGCTACTATTTTATTTTTATTTTTTTTTTTCGTTTCCTCTTCTGCGAGTGTTAATATATACATATGTGTGTGTGTTTTACTTTATTAATAGAATTTACAGGGCCCAGTTGACCATCTAATTTTATGGCCTGTTCATCTGCTATTTTTGAGATCAGTTCGTCAACCTGTGTAAGAGAACACGATATAAGGATGCAAAAAAAAAAAAGTGAGGAGAAAAGACAGTATTTAGCAAAGTAAATTAATGAAATTATATTATTTCATTTTCTATATTTTAATTATCCTTATTTTACCTCCTCCGTTGGGGCACTGATTGCAGAGGACGTTTGAACCGTGTCGTTTATAATTTCTGAGCTAATACTCTTTAAGGAGATAAGAAGAAGAAAAAATGTATATGCACGTATATATATATGTGCATATGTATATTTATAATGTTTATATGTTTATATACGCAATTCCCACGTGAATGCACGCACGCATTTGTGTGTATATTTATATAGGGTGATAATTTCCCCCTCCCCCCCATTTCGTAATCTTATTGGTCGTACAATTTCGTCAAAAATGTTTTCTAGCTTCATCACATCATTCCCTATTTTTACCGCATTGGTCTCGGCGTTAATTTTCTGTATTAGTGGGATCATTACACCTACGTCCTTAACTAGCTGTAAAAGGGCAGGTTAGGAAAGTGACGCGAAAATGCACATATATTACATGCACATGTGTGTGCACATTTATACATCTCTATACAGGTGTTGACAACTCGCACATTTTTTTTTTTTCTTTTTTTTTGAGGGTTTCCTTTTGCTCATATTTTCTTTAAATTAAGTAAAAACTAACGGAAGCGCATCTGTGGGCCCCCTCGAGTCTTGATACAAGGACATCCAATTTGTTACTTAAATTCAGATAATTAACTTTTTCGTTTTTTTTTCTTATGCATTTTTCTGCATATAGTCTGTTTAGGCAGGGTGGAATAAGACAGGGTGTTGCAGAATATGGCTTGGTAAAATGTGGCATAGTAAAATATGGTACAGTATTACGTGGCAGTGTGTAATGTGACATGGTAAAACATAGCATAATAAAATGTGACAAAACATAACACGAAATAGTGATACATAGGTGAGCATAATTTAACGACGGTTTCTACAACCCAATGAATTAACGGGGGGAGGGAAAAAAAAATTGAAGAAATAGCAACATAGTGCAAGCAAAAACAGTACTGTGCTATATAGTTGAAAAATGAATATGTTTAGTACAATGTTTAAATATGTATGCATATGTGCTTGTGTATAAACATTTATTAATTTCACCAACCTTGCTATGTCAATCTTTCCTGCTTGTATGGCCTTTTTCACATCGGCTATAAGTTTTTTCTCTTCTAATTCTGATCTGTTTGATAATTTTTCCTAAAATTATTGGAATGTGTAGTTGTAATGAAGGGATGGAGATCAAATCCAGAAAAAAAAAAAAAAAAATCATACTGTAGAAGGCATTTGTGTCCTTTTTCTTCTGTGGACATATTTTATATGTGCATTTGCATGCGAGTGTGTATATATGTATGTTTTCTCTTTTTACTAGTTCCTTTGTTTTTAATTTTAAACGGAAGATGTGATCCTCTGTAGATATTTTGTTACCCATCGTTTTATTTTAAAAGGTATGGATAGGTGTCTATGGAAAAGTTTTAGCAACAAATTTGAGGTTGTGCCCCTTTGGGGAATAAGTAAAAAATGAGTAACACTTTGGGGGGTAAAAAACGAAAAGGAAAAAAAAAAAAAAAAAAAAAAAAAGGGAAAACGAAAGCGAAGCCTGTAAAAATTTTCCAAATTTAAAAGGAAAAAAAAAAAAAAAAAAAAAAAAAAATCGTAAATTTTGATAAACAAAATTACGAAAAATTCATTATTCAAAGGTATTTTTTTTTTTTTTTTTTCTTTTCTTTTTTATTTCTTTCATGCATACAAAATGTCTGTGTTAAAAAAAAAGAACATGTCAAATATATAACATTTGCATTTACCAACACTCAGTTGCATACATGTATAGTGCGCACTAAACTTTTGAAGAACTACGCATGTACATTTTTTTATACATGCAGCATATAGGAACAAAAAAGCACATGCTTTGCAAAAAATATACACTTAGAGTTGTATTCTTTACTCGAGCAAAATGTGTTCAAAAAAAACGGCATCGAAGAAAAATCTACCCCTGTGAAAGAATAAAAATTTCCTTATAACAACACATAAAATGTTACTCTGTGTTGAAAAAAAAAGGAGGGCAAAAATAATTTGTTATTAATCAATGAGAAACTGCAAAAGAAAGAAGAAAGAAAAAAAAAAAAAAAAAAAAAGAACTTCACAATTTTATGGGGATAAGAAAAAACAAAAGAAATTGACGACTTTTAAAAAGAATAGAGAGAATATGAAATTTTTCTAGATAATAAACAAAACGGAAAAAATAGAATTTTATTGAAGGAACAAAGCTAGAATTTTACTATAATTATAGTTCCTATTTTTTTTTTTTTTTTTTTTTTTAGCATATTTAGTTTTCCGGAATTGTGTAGTTCGTTTTATGTGCACGTATGAATTGTGTGCCACATTAATATTTGAATGAGAAATAAGGGTTGAAAAAACTGATTTTTAAAATCACGACAAACATTTGAGACTTTCACAAATTTGGAAAATTGTCAAGGGGGAAAGGCAGAATATTGGCTGTTATCAAAAGAATCCGTATCATTCTGTTTTCGTGCCACATCTTTATTGTAGCAATTAATATTTGACATTTACCTTGTCCTATCAGGCCAACCGATAGCTCGTATTTGTGTTTCTACTCTGATTCAGCTGATTGCGAATTCCCACAGGGCAGAAACTTTTCAAAGGAAAAGAACAAAACACGACCCAAACACCACCACCACCCCCTGTGCATATCTACATGTCCAACAAAATGATATTACATAAAAGAGACGGAAGTGTGAAACAGATAAAAATGAGATAATGTTTTTTTTAAAAAATGTAAGAAGATATTGCTTTTATTCGAAAATTTATGAAAATATAAGAATTGTAAAGCAGGTTAAATTACAGAGGAGGGAAAAGCAGGATGGGGAGAAATCACCTGTTTGTAAAAGTGAGCAAACACAATCGAGTGTTACTGCGAATGAAAGGAAGAATGAAGGTAACTTCACCACGAAAGATTTAAAATCAGATAAACAATTTTATGAAAAAATATATAATAAAATAAAACAGAAAAATGTTAAATTGGAAGAAAAAGAAGTAGAAATACCATATGATTCTCTTGAAGGACAGATTCGAGAAAAATTCACTGTTAAAAATGAGCCTTTTGAGAAAGATCAACAGGTGGAAAATGAGAAAAAAATATCCAGTATCAATCGTCGGAGGTTTAATGAAAGCCCAATTGAGGGGACAACTTGTGTAATAGAAAAATATTATGAAAAAGGATACAATACATATTTGAAAGAAAAAAAAAAAGACTCTCGCTTAACATGTAATTGGGACCTTGCAAGTAACAAAAGTAAAAATATTAAAGATGAAAAACATTTGAAGCTGAAAAATAATTACTTAAAAAGTAAGGATATGTATTTAAAAGTTAAGGATGAATATGTAAGTGGATATAAAGGATGTAGAAATAGACAAGAAATGGAAAAAACATCAAATATACGTTCAGATAGGGCAATTTCCCCCTTACAGTCATGTGCATCTAATGGGAAGAAGATTAAAAGAAAGGGTAAATTAGAAGAGAAAGATTCCTGTTTGACACAAAAAGAAATAATATTGGGAGATTTACCATTCAGAAATGAACAACCGATGAAGACAAAAATGTCTGAATATAATGTAATAGAAAACGAGAGTCAAAAAAAAGTAAAAAGTCTTCCTAGTAGCAAAGATAATCAAAGAAATATACAACGCCATCTTAAGTATATTTATAAAAGTAAGTTAAATAAGGATTTACAAAATGGTAAAGACTATAAGGAGCATAATAATACCTTTTTGGAAGCAAAGTTGGAAAAGACAAAAAACACGAAAGGATTATCCAAAGGAGTGGACGAAACGGTGGATAAATATTACATCCTCGTGGAGTATGAAAAATATTGGGAAGAGGAAAAAATAGACAAAATTTTACAAATACAAAAAGATAGTAAGAAAATTTTAAAAAATAAACTATTCAAGGGAGTCTTATGTGTTTCCCCTTTTGATACAAGTAAATGTGTTGTGGTTAGTGAGGAAGATTCCATAGGTTTATCGAAAAAAAATGTCTTTTCTATTTATGGATATATTAGCCGAAATAGAGCACTAAATGATGATATAGTGTATGCGTATACTGCTCGAAGAAGAATCAACAGATTTGGAGATTCAGAAAATTTAGAGGAAATACTTGAAACAAATCAGATAGTAGACACCATTTCCGTAAGTGAAAAAGAAGATGAAAAAATGGAAAATTTTTGCAGAGTTGTTAATATTGTTGAAAGAAAAAATACACAAATTGTATGCACTTTGAATTATCAAAATATTAAAGAAAGTATATGCAACACATTTGGTGAGAAGGGCGTATCATCTAGGTTGAAAAATACAGACCCATCGAAAATGTGGCATTTTGTAAAAAATGCACAGGATGAAGGCGTAAATTACAACTGTGATGAGAATAACATAATAATTGAGTCAACTCTGGAAAATCCATTTAGGCAAACTATTAAGAAAGGGGCAAAAGGAAACGAATACCTATGCGCAAAAATACAGCCCCTTGACACAAGGTTACCCTGCTTCATATACGACTCTTTTAATTTTATGATAAATGAGTTATTTTGCTATTTGAAAAAAAAAAAGATGAATTTATACCTTTTAGTGAAATTTAATAAATGGGATGAACACCAAATTAATCCATCCGGAAGTATTACGACCATATTAGGAAATGAAAAGAATTTTTTTGGTCTCATTTACTTTTTTATCCATTTTTACAAAATACATTTTCACATTTATAATAAAGATGACATGTCTTATTTGAGGAGTATGATGGAGGTAAGCAGCAAAATGCTTTCAACTTTTGAGAATCGTAATTTTGTTTCGTTGAATTTACAAGGTATGGAAGGTGGAACCCAGTTAGGAATTCCATACGAAACGGGACCTCTAACAGATGCAGAAACGGATGTGGAAAGAGAAGCATCTTCAGTAACACAGCATCGACTCAAAATGGCTTATTTGAGGAATATTCAAGAAAATAATAAGTGTATCGAAAAGTATATGCTAAAAAGTTTCTTTAAAAATAGGGAAATTATAACGGATTTAGATATATTTACTATAGATCCATTAAATGCAAAAGATTTGGATGATGCATTATCAATTGAATTCATCACAAATAATTGCAGCAGTGTAGAAACTGAATTTGAGTATCGAATAGGAGTGCACATTTCTGATGTCTCCTTTTTCGTACATCCCGATTCATACTATGATAGAGCGGCATCCAAAGTGTGCAACACGATATACATGGATTTTCTGTAAGGACCCAACACTGTGCATGTGCAGAAGTGGAGGCCATTTAGCATGAGCCTATTCGCGTGTGTTTGTGCATACGTGTGTTTGTGCATGCGTGTGTTTGTATGCATACATGCATGTGAGAATTTCCATCTACGTATGCTTTTCTTAGATCCATCAGAAATTCTTTAATACCATCACCCCATTTTCAGTGTAATTCACATGCTTCCACGTATTTTAAGCGAAGAAATATGTTCCCTAAACACTGAAGGCGAGAAACTTTCCTTTTCTGTCTTTTTCCATCTGGACAACCGAACGAACCCCTATGATATTACAAAGAGAAAAAATGGAAAAGATGTGAAATTTAAAAAAACCCTAATTAAGAGTAAGTACAAATTAAATTATGATGTAGTTGAAGATTTCCTGGATGAAGTTTATTTCCACATTGAGAATGTTAGTAAAAATTTAAAGGAAATGGAAAAAAAAATACTAATAAATGGTAATTTCCCTCTAAACTATTTTTTATTAGAATTTGAAAAAATATGTAATAAGTATAATATAAACACCAAAGTGGGTAGTGACATATTTCGATTATACCTATTATCCAGAATGTTGAAGGAGAAAAATGGAAGGAAAAGCATGAACACAAAGTCGTCCTTGCTATTTTCATTGAATGAGTCCGATTTAACTGAACAGTACTCACGTGATAGAGTAGATCCAATAATGATAGAAGAAATGGAAAAAGATTATTATCATTCAAATGGTGAAGGTGATAATGGAATTCATGATTGTACGAGCGGGAGAAAACCTAGCATGGAATATTTTTTGAAAAAGTATAGATTTCAAATGATGTTTAACGAAACAAACATGGAAAATATACATGTGGAAAAAATGGAATACAAAAAGAAGAGTCACATGCTAATAGAAGAAATGATGATTTTAACAAATTTTTTAGTAGCAGATAAAATTACCAATAGTAACAAATTGGGTATTCTAAGAATACATGAAAATACATCTGAAGACATTAAAAATAATCTCTTGCATATTATTGATTATAATACATACAACAAAATTAACGAGACCATTAATATAGAAAAAAGTACAATTAACGATATTTTAACCATGTGTGAAGAAATTTTAAATGAAAACCAATTTTTGTGTTTGCAGCATAATATTTTGAAATACTATAAAGAGGCAATATACATTCCATATGGAGAAGGAGAAAAGAAGACTGATCATTTTGGTTTGGTGCTAAGTAAGTATATCCATTTTACCTCCCCTATAAGGCGATATATTGATATTATTACGCACAGAATTTTAACTAATATTTTGGAATATGATGAGAAATCATTTTCTTACAGTTATGAGGACTTGAAGAAAATATGTGATCAGTGCAATATTCAGAAGAAAAAAACAGATGAAGCACAAATTCATTTGAAGAATGCCCTTCTAAATAGATACCTGATATATTTGAACGATTCATATCAAACAGAACAGGAAGTAGTTGATAAAACACCTGAAATGTCAACTAAAAATGGAGAAGTTGATAATTCAGAGGATGTAGTCTCGTGCACGCTTCACACAGAGGCTCACAATTCGTATGATAACACCACGGAGCAGTATATGCTTCGTTCTAAAGAAAACAATTGTATGTATGAACAGAACACGAGAAAGGAAATTAGATACACTCCACCTAAAAAAAATGAACAAGAGGAAACTCATAGACCTATAAAGAAATATTTCTATCGAAGAGATGGTGTCATAAGTTTCCCAACCGAAGCATATATTCAAGAAATAGTGATAACGAAAAGTACAAAAGAAAATATTTGCTTAAATATATTAAATAACAATTATATAGATATTGGCAAAATTGGCAATACTGATGGAGTGGTCAAATTAGAGACATACACGTCCTATATTTTTAATCCATCCAAAGAAAGCAACGGCATAAACAACTATATGGTGGAAAGAAGTGCTTCAATATCTGATGATATAAAACTTATGAATTATAGAGCTGATGAAATAACTAGTTTGGATAATAATAGGGAAGAAAATGCTAAATGTAAATTTAAGAAAAATCAAAGTGATAGTGGAAAATTAAAAAATGCCATTGTTTTTTATGTCCCATTATTAGAAACAGAGAAATCAATCAGTGATAGTTTGTTGAATCTAACGTTTCAATATATCTTCGTGTTATATAGGGAAAATAATTTTATTTATGATTTATCGAAAGGGGTGTTATACAGATTATGTGGAGATACTGTTCGCGTAAATGGACAGCCCAGTGATAGTCAAAATAAGTTATTGGTAATCGAAGCAACAGAAGGAACAAAAGAAGAATCAGGAAAAAACAGGAACCAACTTGTGTTTAAAATTCTTAAAAAAATAAACAACTTTGAATTAAATGTTAAATATGAATTACTAAAATTGAATGACAAAAAAGACTTTCAAAATATTTACAATGTTTTGTACATTCAGGACGTTTTCTTCAAAAGGGATGAAAATAACAAATCGGATGGAAATTCCAAAATAGGTCTGCAGCAGGAGAAATGTATAAATGAGAATAATAAAAGAGGTGAATGTTTGATAAAAAATCCTACTTGTTTTGTTGGGGACAAAAGGGAAATGGAACAAGTGTTAAAGGAAGGTGAAAATGAGAATGTTGAAGAGTACGAAATTATAAGTAGATTTCAGAAGAAGGAAATTTATATTATCCCTGGATCTCAGCTATGGACATTGCGTTTAGCATGACAAAATGTAAGTTATATGTCAGGTGGGTTTCCAAGTGGCTATAATTTCCATGTTTTTATTTCTTTAATATATATTAAAATGAAGCGAGGTTATTTTAGAGTAAAAAAAAAAAAAGAAAAAAAAAAAAAAAAAGTACCCACCGTAGCAACCTCTTTATGGATATAAAAATATGGGTTGTATCTTTTTATTTTTTACCCTCAACACATATTTAGTTTTTTTTTTTTTTTTATTTCATTTTTTCTAGCCCTTTTTTTATGATGTCCATATTTTTCATACTATGTTATTATAATTCAGTTCAATTTTTCTTTTTTTTAAGTGTGAACAATATGACACGCTTTGGAGTTAACTAATAAAAGTGAATCATCATGCTGTTAGCAAAAGTGCACAAGTGTATCATTATGTTTATGTTTTCCTCTACGTACGGATAAATGGCCAATTCATGGCTTTTATGTTTTGCCTGTTTTGTCAGTCTTGTCTCGTTTTGCTTATTTGCCTTTTTTTCACCTTTTTCCCATTTTCCCTGTTTTTCCTGTTTTTAAATTTTTTTTTTTTTTTTTTTTTTTTTTGCACACATCGGTATGAATATCTGAAATGTTTGATTCTCAAATCTGAAGGTATCTCGGCTGTAAAATTTTCACCTTTTCTATTTTATTTGTTCTTTTTCGCGTCTTTTTATTCATTCTTAATTAAAAATTTTGTCAACTTTGAGTTTTAAGTTTTTTTTTTATTTTTGAATATATACAACTGAGTTATTCAAATAATTTAAAATCAAATTTTCATTAAAGTGTAAACATTGAAGGTGTAAAAAAAATTGACACACTGAAAATGCGAGGAGGGATAAAGTAGTGTATGTGCATGTAGGGTGACCACATAAATGTATACTCATTGATATATTATACACATATAGGTGTAATGAAAGTTACAAAAGTGAACACACATGTAGTATCAATGATCTGTTGTTTAAAGTTCTCACATTTGTATATATATAAATAAATTATACAACTGCCTAAAAAAGGAATATTTTAAAGAGTACTTAAAAAGAAAAAAAAAAAAAAAAAAAACTTGCAAACTTGCAATTAATAATGCTTAATTTAAATTGAATCAATTGGAACATATGTGACGGTCAAATAAACAGTAAAATAAATGAAGCTACATAGCAATGTTGAAAATGAGAATGGTTAAAAAGAAAAGAAATAATAACATAATAAGTCACATATGAAATGATATGAATTAATAATGTATAAATTAAATATAATTAAATGTATTTTTTTTTCAAAAGGTACAGTCCAAATAGCATAGGGAAAAGATTATGCGCTAGTTTGGTACACAAAGCTCAGGGGGGTGGAGAGGATGGTGATAATAAAAAAAAAAAAAAAAAAAAAAAAAAAAAAAAAAACTGTGAACATGAAAAATATTACTCCGTTTGCGGTAAAAAAAAAAATAGCTAGAATATTCATAACAATGTCTGTGTGTGTTATATTTACATATGTATGAAGTCAATTGCTCATATACAAATGTGTACATAGCTGAATAGTCCACCTAAGGTACGAAGAAGAATGTAAGACAACGTATCCCTCCTCTCTACTTGTTATGGACAAACTTATGATTTTTTTTCAGTCTTAAATCTATCTTAATAGCGTAATGATCTGACATGGTCACAAAATGGACATTTTTTATTTTCATACATACAGAATAGCAGCAATTAAAATTTTTGTAATTCCTATGCGAATGAACCATTACAGAAGGTTCGTTAAAAAGTATCTTGGCACTCTTGATATAATAATGTTTCAAAATTTTTTGGTCTCTATATTTCCTTATATTAAAAGTTTCTTCTTCTGCTTCTTCTTTTCTGTGTTCATAGATCATATCGCTTTTGTTATTTCCAACAAGCGTTTTGGAGGTACCTGTAGTAGCTTGGGGGTTCCAGAAAAAATTGGAATACTTTTGACATTCGTGATTGGTACCACATGTTTCAGAGGACATATTTGTTCTCTTCCTAATTCTGCACCCCTTCTTCATGATAATTTCACTGTCGCTATTTTTTTTTATGTTCATACTTATATGCGACTTAGCTCCACTAGGATTATTACTTTGTTTATCGTTTTGTCTAATATGGGCATACTGACTACTTTTTCCTCGTTTAGCGTGTTTTCCATTTTTTCCATTTTTTCTTTTGTTATGGTTAATGGGAGGAAAGAATATATAATCGCATCGTAATCCATTACATCTGGAATGTGGTCCAATTGCGTTTAACGGGTTCAGGGGGTCCCAAGTGAATTCATCACTAGAAACATTTTCTTTTTCTTGCATTTTACAGAAGCTTTTATTTTTTATATTTAGATTCGTTTTATTATATAAACTTCCTTGAGATGATTCATCCCCTCTTGTTTCGCTCCAAATAAGTGTAAACTTTTTCTTTTTTGATGAATCGTTATTTTGCCAGATTACATTACGTTCATCCAAAGAGTTTTCTCCTTCTTCGTTATTCTCCCTAAAATGATCGTTGTCGTTTTTCTCTTTATTTCTTCTTTTAAAAATGTAATGTTTTTTACTTTTTGGAGAATTCTTCTTATTTTTCGCATTCTTGGTATTTCTCTGCTTCGCTTGATTCGATTGATTTTCTCGATTCCCTTGATTCGCTTGATTCGCTTGATTCGCTTGATTCGCTTGATTCGCTTGATTCGCTTGATTCGCTTGATTCATTTGATCCATTTGATTATTTTGATTCCCCTGATTTTTTAACTTCGTGTCATATTCACACATTTTGAACAAGGTATTTACCAGTTTAATATGATTCATCGGCTTTTGAGGATCCGAATTATTTTCAACAAAATTGCAGCTGTTTTGAATACGATGTGATTCACTTTTCTGCTCCTTTTCAAGTATCAGAAATTGTTTCTCATCATTTATATTGTTTATTGTACTATGTTCCTGATTGTAAATTTTCTGTTTCAATTTGTTTGTCGTTTTAAATTTTAATTTTTTAATGAAATAAAAAATGTCTTTTTTCAGTGCTTCTTGGCTTCTATTGTTGTACCACCTTTTGGTGAATCGTAGAAAATTCCCACCTGATGTTTTTCTTTCGTCATTTGTTATTTTATCATTTTGCACTGAATCCTCCCCCCCAGTGTTGCTGGGAGAATGATCTACCGTTTGTTTCTCCTCATTTTTAAAATTAGCTATTTGTGCAATGTTCACCTTTTGGTTAAAGCACGGAAAGAGATAGTAATCATTCTCATTTTTTCCCTTTTCTTTTTTTAATATGAATTCATTTTCCACTGCTACCTCTTTCTTTCTATCCTGTATATCGAATAGCTCGTCATCTCGTTTTCTTTCCTGATCATCCCTCAACAGTGTTTTCTTTTCAGCCTTGCCTGCATGATTCCTTTCACAATTTCTGAGAATGTTATAAAAGAATTTTTTTTTCATTTGTTTTATTTTTTTCTTTAATTTGCTTATTTTTTCCGTTTTTTCATTTGGATTAATATTCATTTTTTCCTCCGTGGTATCCTTAGCTGTATCTGGAAGGGTGAAGTTGATATCATCGTAACTACTAATAGTTGAACCGCTTCTACTTTTTGCAAGCATAGAGTCGTTACAATGAGCAATGTTTAGCACGTCAATGTCATAAATTTTTGTATCACTTCTGTCTTTGCTAATGTCCATACTATTCAACATAGAAAACTTCTCCTCTTTATCTCCTCTCTGTAAGAATTGTAAATTGGCGAAAATATTACGCATGTTTTGTTTTTTCAATTTGTTTTCACATTTTGCATCCACATTCTGTATTTCTTTTTTATTATCATCATTTAACGAAATTTCATAAAAAGTAGTAGTTGTGTCACTTAATTGCATGCATCTTTCATTTTGTATTTGATCATGTGTTGAGTTATCATTTTCACTATTTTTCAGGATTTGCATATTGGCAGTGTCCTTACCATGGTGCAGAAGATTCATTTTATCAGCTCCTTTTTGTTCTTTCAATTGTTCAAATGGTATGTAACCTAATATTTTTTTACTTCCTTCTTTTTTAGAATCACTACCAATTGGTTGTTCACTTTCTGAAAAATTGATTCGTTTTATCGTGTCTGATGCCTTTTCCCTTGTGTCAAAATGGATACATCCCTCTACTGTATCTTCATTGTTTCCTTCGTTTATGTCTCCTATGATAACCTCTATTTGTTCTTTCTGAATCCTTGAACCTGTGTTCACACTTTCATGTAGGTCATTCCTTGATACATTAGAACTCCTGTCACTAAACCAATTAGATTCTTCTTCTTCTTCCTCCTCCTCATCATCATAAAGATCGGTATATGAATGATTGCTTTCACTTGATACATCACTAGAGAACAAATTTTGTTCAGTGTTGTTATAATATCCATTTGTTATGGCATGATAATTTTCTGCTTCTTCTATTTTATGTGCATTCCATTTTTCTTCCTCGTTAATTTTAACAATTTTAAAAAATTCATCACTCTTGTTGCATGTGCTAAATTTACAACTTAAAATGTTACAATTTAAATTCTCTTTATTTTTGAAATAATAACAAGCTGAACAACTTAATAGGTTCCCTTGTCTTCCTTGATTCTCTATTTTTTCTTTCTTATTTGTGATGTAATTGATATGATTCTGTATGTCCCTAGATTTTTTTAAAAATGCATGTACATCTCTATCCATATGATTATTTTCTTTCATATCAACATCTTTTTCATTATCTCTAACGATATCTCCATTACTTAAATTATAATGCTTTATCCAATTACGTATGGTGCAAAATTGTTTACGATGGATTCCATTCATATGTAAGTTTTCTTCCACCTTTTTATCAGAAGTTTTACCCAAAAGGTTATATTTTCCATTCACGTTATCTGAATCCACTGTAACAGAACAATGGGCAATACCACCGATTTTCAAAGAATGTGAAGAGGAATTGTCTAAAGCTTTCACACGATTAATTCTTTTAAACATAAACATCTTGGAACTGGATGCAATCTGCTTGACATAGGGGTTCCGACTTTTGATATTTTTTCTTGTGTACCTTTTTCTGCTGTGGTAGTTTATTTTGTCTTCACTCGTGGGCAAATTTTTTTTTTTTTTTTTTGAAATTATTTTTGAAGATATTCTAATTGTTTTGGATGTCGTTGTTGAACACATTTTTGAATATATTTTTGAATATATTTTTGAACAAATTTTTGAACACGTTTTTGAACACATTTTTGAACACATTTTTGAACGCATTTTTGAAATTATTTTTATGACTTTCTTGTTGGAAGCACACAAGTACTTAGAAACGCTCTCGCCCACAGTAAGTCTTTTACTGTGAGCACTCATATCTTTCGAAAAGCACATGCGGTGTCTATATAGAAAGCTATTCCTAAATAGCATATTTTTTTTTATTGCACTTTTTATTTCTTTATTTCTAATTTCGTTAAATTTGTTTACGCTCTTTTTTAATTTTATATTTCCTAAACAGGCTGATGGTTCATATTTTATGATATTATCATCGAAATTCCATTCCTTTTCACCATTAATATGTACATTCTTATCACACATGCTGACATAACATCTTGAATTTATGAAATTATTACAGAACGGTTTTTCAAAATTTTCATAAAATCTGACGTTGTTATTTGTCGAATCGTTATTACATAAGGAAACATGCAAGGAATTGCCGTTACCTATTTCATTATCATTTTTATTTTCTCTATCATTAAAGTTTTCTCTTTCTTGGTAGAAAATAATTTGTGAATTCTTCGTATGGTTATTGTTAAACATAGCATCATTGATAATACTGTCTGTTAGGTTTACGCTGTCTTTACATTTATAATTCTCCTTATTATTACGATTGGAGTTATTGTCTGATTTTTCAATTACCACTTTTTCTATGTCACTGCTGACATTGAGATTTATCCCTACAGCAGATTTATTCTGGACCTCTTTGCTATCACTGGGAAATGGGTAATTATGGGAATTGTAAATAGTGGAGCTGTAAATACTTGGAGAAATTATACGCACTTTTTTTTTCTGCAACTGTGGTAATGCTTTTCTTATGAATTTTTTTTTTTTTTTTTTTTTGACATTTCGAGCGTAAAGCCAAGCGTCTTTCCATCCTCTTTTAATAAACGAAGAATAGTTATTTGGACACAAATTTGGAGCTGCATTTAAATCTCCAATAATGATTGGAATTGTATTCCTTTTCTCTGCATTTCTAGCAGTTTCCATAATTTGCCTGATTTCGAAATCTCTTACCTTTTCTATATATTTAGATTCAGTATCTGCGGCACCGCTAGCTAGATGCATATTGACCAAAGTAATGCAGCTAAAAAATGGGACATCAATAACGACTTCTAGAAAACCTTTTGTGCCAAATATATTTTCCAGATACGTTACATGTTTAAATCTATGGAAAAAGGAGTATATAATTGGGTATTTACTAAATACCAGCAAACCATGGTGAAGGGCAAGGTATTTTTTTCTTCTACAGGTTAATTCTTTTTTATTTCCTCTCTTTGTTGTAATGATGCCCTTTTCGGCCCTCTTTCTATTCTCTGAATTATATATATATTTGTCATTTTTGCTATCTTGGTTATATAAACCATTCTGTTCCTGTTCATCTTTTGAATAATCTCCATTTTCTCCATTAGAATCATTAAACATTTCTTTGAAAGTGTCGCTACAATAATTATCTCTAGCACAGAATGGATAAATGAGCGTTAAATGATTCTTCAGGTATTCAACATGCTTTTCATCATATACTTCCTGTAATGCTATGATGTCTGCATTAGTTCTTTTTAGAGCAAATGGAATGTGTAATAATCTGTTTGAAATGAATGGAGGATTCTGATAGATACGAACACCACATATTTTGTATTCTAGCAATCCTGTATTGAATGACATGAAAGAAAGGTTTTTAAGCATATTATTCATAATATTGAAATCTTTTTTATCTGTTTTGTTTTTCACGCCATTAGTATTCTGTTTATTATTGCTTTCAATTTTTTTTCCTTTTCCTTCTACGTCCTGCTTATTAGTCCTGTGTTGCTTACATTCGCCACATTCACATTTTGCATTTCCACTGAGTGTATTGAGCGTATTGAGCGTATTGCAGCTTTCTTTGGGACTGTTTTCTTTTACTTTATTCTTGTCTTCAGAAATATTATTTTTATTTTCTTCATGACTGATCTTTTCATTAGCAGTAATATCATTTTGATGAAATTCCTTCGCTGGAACCCTATTCCCATGGGGCATGTTTTCAGGAACAATTTCATTAGCAGATTTAGAATTCAGGTGATTCTCTGATGTAGTATTGTAGCTAGGTTTCTCTTGCTTTCTTTTTTTTCTTTTCCTTCTCTGGCCTTCTTCTTCATCTTCTTCTTCTTCGTCTTCTTCGTCTTCTTCGTCTTCTTCATCTTCTTCATCTCCTCTCTCTTTTTCTTCATCTTGCTTATGGCCATTACAACTTCCCTTATCATTGCTTTTGCTGTCCCTGATAATGCTCTTCCATATCTCACCTGTATCTGTAAAAATATTATTACCATCATCTTCAAATGTGTTGTTATATTTTCCTGTTTTATTGTTTTTAGCATTACCATCACCTGCCTTGCTGTCCAATGTACTTGCCATACTATTTGCTTTGTATGCATTTCTCGATTCTCCCTTTTGTTCTTTATTGTCTGCAGTTATGGCCACAAATATATCATTTTCTGCATTGTCATTTTGGTTTCCATCTTGCTTTCCATCTTGCTTTCCACCTTGCTTTCCACCTTGCTTTCCACCTTGCTTTCCATCTTGCTTTCCATCTTGCTTTTCACCCTGCTTTTCACCCTGCTTTCCACCTTTGTCATCTCCATCATTTTCTTCATCACGTTTGTCCTCTTCACTATCATCTTCTCCATTCTCATCATCACTTTCATGATTCTTCCCACTGCCACCACCACCACTCTGGTTATCATCATTTCTGTTTCTTCTTCTCCCACTTCCAGTCTCTTCTCTGTCTCCACTGCCATTTCTACTAGCACTGTTATTTTCGTTATCGTTTTCATCGTTTGTGGCACTCCGCCCGTTGCTACCAAACCTACAATTGGAATGAATATCCTTGTCACCATTTTGATTCCTCTGTGTATCATAACAGTTTCTACTTGTTGATAATTCTCTTCTGTAGGTACCACTGAATGGACGAGTTTGGATTTCTGTGCACCTTATTCGTATTAAAGTGTTTATGTTAACTCTATTGATTTTATCCGAAATTTTTTTATTTTCTCCATGGATGCAATTGTCATTAATGTTACTTTCTCTAAAATGGAATTTTCTATATCTTCCTTGGTTTTCTTCGATAGAATGGCTACGATTGTGTGTATCTGATTTTCTGCTCAGATTGATGTTTTTTTCTCTCTTATCTGTTCGTACTGAAAAAAAATGTGCTTTTTTTGATGGATTTTCTTGAAAACTATAAAACTTGACTAAAAAAACTAACAGACTCAATGACCACATTTGTTCTAAGTAATGATACGTAATATGAAATTTCTTAATTCTATACACATTTTCGAAAAGGAATAAAATTTGCAAAAATAAACTAACCAAACCATTCACTTGAGCACAAAAGCTATTAAAATAACAATGGACATCGAAACGATATTTGGTGATTAGATAAAAAAAGAAAGAATCTTTTTTATATGTATTTATTATATGTAATGTTTTCTTTAATGGTAGAGATTCTTTCGAGAATATTTTTTTCCTCTTTGTGTGATATAAAAAATAATGTTTATTTTTCATCATCTTATGCATATATAAAAGTGGGATGCAATTTTCCATTTCCTCCTGATAAGCTGGCATAATAGTATTCTTTAAAAATACATTTGCAGTCATAAATGGATTTTCAAAATTGATATAATTAATCTGTTCTGTGCATAAGCAAAGTATCCAATTTGATTTCACATTCTGGCATATGAATGTCTGTTGTAAAAAAATAAGTTTCACATGATATTTTTCTTGTTGAATGATTTCATCTGTTTTATGCTCACATTCCTTTAATTCATTTGCATTGCCTATGTTGTAACAATCTGTAGGGTTGTATTCACTGCTTTCTTTTTTTAAGTGGATAAAGGAGATATCTCGTGTGGCAACATGGAAATTTCGTATGGTAATATGAATAATTCGTGTCATGATATGGGCACTTGTAGTAATCATATTTGTAATTATTTTTTGATGATCCTTACAAAGCGAAATGTTTAAATAGGGATACTTTGCGAACACAATGAACTTACAAAGACGTAGCAAATACTTTTTGGCGTAACATAGGAATAAGTTCTTCATGCATTTTCTCACTTCTTCCAGAATGTACACGATAAATCTTTCAATTAGTATTTTCATTAGTCGAGTTATTAGTAGGTCTATTAGTTGTCCAATCAGGACAAGGTGTAGTGAAATTGGAAATGACATATGCGGGGATTGCTGCAATAGAAGACTATGTGCTTCATGCATCCAAAGTGGCGAATTTTCTTCCAATGACGAATTGAAGATGCATTTTTTTTTTGCGTACCCATTTGGAAAAAAGATAAAACTGATTATTTCTACTCTTGTAGTGCCAGGTGAAATTTTTTGGATACCCCTTCTGCAATTATCCTCATACATGTAGTCATACGTGGGGGTGGAAGTGCTTTTTCTAACACAGACTTTCATTATTCGTGTTCCCATTTTTTCCTTTTTTTTTTTCATTCCTTTTTATTTCTACATATGTTCAAGTGTTACGATACATGGTTCACACATAATTTCTATTTTTGTATTGTTACATTTTATTGTACTTTTATTATATTTCGTTTTATTTTTGTGTGTGTGTGTGCTTGATATTACAATCGTGTATTTATACCATTCTCAAGCGTTTCCACTTTCTATAGTAAGAATGTAAATAATAACAACACAATGGAAAGGAAAGGAAAAGTGAAAATGTAAAAAAAATAAGGATAAACAGGAACACAAAACGTTATGGAAAATGCGGGAGAACTGGAAAAAAAGGAAAAATTGGAAACAAAAAAAAAAAAAAAAAAAACACTTAAAATCTTCTTAATTGTGATATTTTGGAAAATTTATAATAAAAGATACATTCATTAAAAAAAAAAAAAAAAAGAGAAATTAAAACGTGTAGAATTATCAAGGTATATATATATATATATATATATTAATTCATTGCTTATTATTGTATTTTTTTTTTTTTTATTTATTTTGCGCCAAAATGTGAAAAAAAAAAAAAAAAAAAAAAAAAATGAACTGGGTTCGTTTATCATTTTATGCATATAAAATTATGCACATATGTGTAATCGTGCACATTGTAGGGAAATTCGACAATATTTCTCTCCGTCCCACCGTTCTTTCCTGAAATTTGAGTGTATCATCTATATTTATTAATACAAATATAAGAAAGCGCAAGGGTATAATACACAGGTGGTAAAAAAAAGCCCTCTTTGTAAGAAGTAAAAGCGCAAATAGAGAAAAATTACGCTCCTTAAATGGACAAAATTTGTATAATTTTGTGTTTCTTGTTCTTTTTCCATTTGTTCTTATATCTACACTTAACTGTGTAGGTATCTGTAACATGTGAATACGCAAAAATGTGGAGTGTGGATTTAAAACGCTTTCAAGCAAAACCCGTTAAAAATTAAGCCAAGTTTTTTCTCATAAAAAGAAGAAGAAAATGAAGATGAAAATGAAGAAAAAATCACATTAGAATTTTGTATGTACACATGTATACATATATATATAAATGCATACGAATGTGTGGTTCTTTTTTTTCCCATGGTGCTTGATCACTGGGAAATGTGCTTCATTTCTTCATTTTATTTCAATTCGTTGAGCGTAATAACGGGGGCAATGAAAAATTCATTTTGAAGGTGTAATGTATTCGTTTTTTCCATGACAGTGAAATGAAATATGTTTCAGTTCTGAGCTGTGCCACTTAGGTATTGATTAACAGTTTGTCATTAGTCATCAACCAATAATTACACGAATGGCTTGTGTATATTTCCATAAGGAAAAAATGATTTCTTATTTTTTACTCAAATGCAAGGGGTAAAACAAAATGACGGTAATTGGATCAAATTTTATGCAATATTTTTCGCAAAAAAAATAAAATAAAATAAAAACTTATAACATATTTTTACTTTTAAACTTGAAGTTAAACTTTTTTCCTTTTTGAACACAATTATTCCTTAGAGTGTTCCTTAAAAATTTGATAAGGTGTTAAACAGGGATATTTATGGTAGCAAAATGTATTTGATTAAAATCATAGGGAAGCCCGAGAAAATGATATAAAAAGTTATATTGGAACCAATGTATATGTACATTCACACCTTTACAAAGTAGTCAATAATTGTAAAAGAGAAAAAAAAAAAAAAAAAAAAAAAAAAAAAAAGTATAATATACATATATAAAATGTACATCCAAGACATATATTTATCTTTGTGTTCTTTTTCGTTTCCTTTCCAAGGAGGCCAACTCAATGCCCTTGAATTAGGTGGAAAAATAAAAATCACAAAAAATTTTTGAGGTCTTGTTCTTTCAACGAATATAGTTATTCGAAATATATTACCTTACTTTTGTTGAAACAAATTTCTTTGTAATATTAAGAAGATAAAAGGGAATGACACAAAAAAGAGGAAAAAAAAAAAAAAAAAAAAAAAGAGAGATTTTACACCTGTTCATATACTACTGTGTTTTTTCAAATTTGTTTACTTTTTTAGTTCTATGTTCATTATAGTACAGTTATATGTACTTTCTGTTGATCCTTCAATAAGTTACTTTTCATTAAAAGTTAAAACGGAATTTCATTTCTAGCTGCTATAATGGGATTTACAAAAGAGGTGATGTATTTTATAAGTGTAAAAAATATGAACATATAAACAAAAGTATGTAATATATGGGTTCTTCAAAATCTAGAGATTATGTATATATACATCCAGGATGTATGAATCAACTCTTTTTCCACTGTGTAAAGTAATTATTACATATGAATAATTTCACAGACTTCATAATAAGAATATGTTTTTAGGTAAATGGTGAACATAGAAGAATGAAAAATTGAAAAAAATGATAACACCATTTATAAAGTGTCACATGAAAACTTTTTAACACTTTTTTTTATATTTCACAAAAGAGTTTCACACACCCCTTGTTTGATATCATGATATTTCTACTTTTTTTTTTTTTTTTTTTTCTCTCTACATATTGTATTGCTGGATAATCAATGGTTTGTTTTCTTTTAACTTTTAAAATAATCCTTATCATGAGGTCAGCATATGCTCGAGTTAAGAATAGAATAAAATAAATGAACAGTTCAAAAAGCTCTATATAGGTTATGGAAACATTCATGTGTGTGTAGTAACATGACAAGTATGATTCTGATTTTGCCGCGAATCTGTTGAAAATATACCAAAAAAAAAAAAAAAAAAAAAAGAAAAAACCTTCTTGATAATCTGTATAGTGGAAAAGCCTGTTAAGTCTGTATTATGGTACTATAAAAAAAAAGTCACACAGAGTAAATTCCACAAAAGGTGTCGCGTACCCAGGTTATAAGAACGTGTATTTTGCCTCTCCCCACTTCAAGGTGTGACAAATCAGGGGACATATATAAATGCACATAATCCATTCATACTGCATATATACATACGAAATGCATACATAATACATATATATATGTAATATACGTGCAAATGTATCTTGTTAAAAAAAAAAAAAATGGGAAAAAGTTAAACTACACTATTTAATAAAAAAAAAAAAAAAAAAAAAAAATGAGGCAAATGAATAATACTTAAAAAATGACAAATGTGCTTGGCTATTTTGCAAAACATATACAATGATTTGGTAACACCCAGTTTTACTTCCCTTTTTTTTAGCACAATTTCCAAGTATGTTTCATTTTTGCAATATGGATGGAATGCTTTTAGCTTATACGAAAAATGAAACATCGCATATATATATATATATATATAAACATATGCACATTGCGCCCTCCTGAATGAATGTACATGCGGAGGTATGTACGTATAAGGCATGAATTACTTGTGCTTTTTTATGTTTAATAGGTCATACGATATAGCAACCAAATCCAGGGATTAATTGCACATATAACGAGAAGAAAAAATATATTTTACAAAAATTTGATTCATCTCTTCTTGATGTATGGATTTTTCGCATCATTACTTACTTTTTTGCCTGACATAAAATTTTCAGCGAAGAGATAAGTAAAAAAACTGCATGAAAAAATTTGCACGATCTAATTGTTATTACATAATCCCCAACGCATATGCTATTTATGAAAAGCTTATGACCATTCGATATAGTATGTTGGTTGTTCCACTGTTATATTATTCCAATTTATTTCTTCTCTTCTTATTTTGCATTTTTCATGCACGAAAGTATGTAATTAAATAATTTGAAAAGAAGGAAAAAAAATTATGCCCAAACATAAGAAACAGTTACAACTGGGGAAATATTCTTTTCTGTTTTTGATGGATTTTTTTTTTTTTTTTCTTTTTTTTTTTTTGCTTTCATACTTATTATTTACCTTCCTTATTGTTATAGCAATAGTGTGAAGCATAATTCTCAAATGAATATTCCATAATTCGATTGTGTGTATGGCCGTTTATTCGTAATCCTACACTATAAGGGCATATGTCGCTTTCAAAAGACAACATTTGGATTAAGAATAAATTTACACTATTTTTTCTTGACCGTCTGGTACTGTGGCCTATTCTGTTTCATTAATTTCGTATTTTTATAGAAGCTAGAACAGATAAAGAAAGAGAAATAACATAGTTAACGAATATTCTGTTATAACAAATCAGAAAGATAAGCAGTATCCTCCCATAGTCATAATATGCCTCTGAACCTAGATATAAAAAAGAAGTTAAACTCTCGAATTGGTAAAGTAAAATGCGTTGACATTCATGAAACGGAGACATGGATACTGGCCGCGCTGTACAGTGGGAAGTTAATAATTTTTGATTATGCAAATCAGAACACGATTAAAAATATCGAAGTATCTGCATTTCCCTTAAGATGTGCAAAATTTATTGAAAAAAAACAATGGATTTTATGTGCGGGTGATGATATGACCTTAAGGGTTTTTAACTATAATACATTTGAGAAAATAAGATCCTTTGAAGACCATACAGATTATATAAGATATATAGAAGTACATCAGACGTTACCATACGTATTGACAAGTTCAGATGATATGACTATAAAATTATATGATTATGAAAATAATTTCGAAAAATTATGTTCTTTTGAAAATCATATTCATTATGTAATGATGTGTAAATTTAATCCTAAGGATACTTACATATTTGCATCAGCATCTTTAGATAAAACAATAAAAATATGGGGCGTACAAAATAATACACCTGTTGTTTCGAAACCACATTTTACCTTAACAGGTCATACAAAAGGAGTAAATTGTATTGACTATTCATGTAGTGGCGAAACATCGTACATAATAAGTGGAAGTGATGATAAAACTATACGTATATGGGATTATCATACGAAACAGTGTATACAAATATTAAGTGGACATACACAAAATGTATCCTGTTTGATATATCATAGTAATTTGCCAATTATATTGTCTTCATCAGAGGATTGTAATGTGAAAATATGGAATAGTTCAATGTATAAATTGGAAAGTACTTTAAATTATAATATGGATAGATGTTGGTCTTTATGTGTAAAGAAAACAAAAAATGATTTATGTATAGGTTATGATGAAGGGTTAGTAGTTATTCAAATAGGATCCGACAAACCAATATTTACTATATTTAAAAATAAGATAATTTATATAAAAAACACAGATATTTTTATTATCAATTTGTTGAATGTTACGGACAATGATGATTATAATGATGGGGATGTATACAAAGTAAACAAAAAAGAGTTAGGAAATTGTGATTTCTACCCAACTAATGTTTCATTTCATCCAAGTGGAAGGTTCATCTGTGTAAGTGGTCATCATGAATTTAATATTTACACATCTCAAGTGTTAAGAAATAAAGCATATGGAAAAAGTGCTTTTTTTGTATGGGCACATAATGGTGATTATGCAATAAAAGAAGAAGGAAATAAAATTAGCATATACAAAGATTTTACATCTTTTCATTCATTTCAAACACCTTATACAGTTCTACAGATATTTGGTGGACATTTATTAGGAGTTAAATCAAACAATTTTATATGTTTTTATGATTGGTATGATTACAGTAAGGTAAGAAAAATTGATATTAACGTAAAAAATGTATACTGGAATGAGGCAGGGACGTATGTAGCTCTAACCACAGAAGATACTGTTTATATTTTAAGTTATCTAAATGTCGAAGGGGGAAAAAGTAGTACATTGATTGATGGAAAGATTATTTCCTCAGCAGAAGCAGCAGGAGCTCTTGGTAGTTCTTCTGCTGGTGGTAATGACCCTAGGGAAACTAATAATAAACATCTTGGTGAAGATGAAGAAAACAGTTTTGAATTAGAAAGTGAAATTAATGAATCAATAGAGAGCGGAATATGGATATATGATAGCTTTTTATATGTTTCTAAAAATTTAAGATTGTATATATATACAAAGAAATTTATTGATATATATGCCTACATAGATAAATATTTGTATATTTGTGGTTATGTACATGAATATGACAGAATATTTTTACTGGATAAGAATTATAATTTCTACAGTTTCTTTTTACCAATCACTTATTTGCAATATCAGAAATATATAATGAATAAAGATTTAGCTTCTGCCGATGTAGTACTAAAAAATATACCCGAATCTTTATACAACAAATTAAGTCTCTTTTTAGAAAAAATGGGTTATAAAAATGAAGCACTAAATATATGTACTGATTTGGAGAAAAAATTTGAACTTGCCTTATCGATAGGAAAATTACAGTTATGTGTAGATATAATAAAAGATATAGAACAGAAAGAAAACAATTCATTTATTTACAATAAATATAAAGGATTAGGGGATACGGCACTGGTGTATAATGATATACCGATGGCTATTTATTGTTATAAAAAAACGAATGACTTTTCTTCTCTCCTAATTATTTTATCAACTTTAGGTGATAAAATAGGATTGGAAGAATTAGGAATGATGTGCTTGAATAAGCAAAAATTTAATATAGCTTTTATATGTTTTTTTTTATTGCATAAAATAAATAAATGTGTTGATATCCTTCTAAATAACAATAATTTTACGTACGCTGCTTTTTTTGCAAGAGCATATAAGCCATCTTTACTTCCATCAATCTTGTCAAAATGGAAGGAACATTTAAATAAAATGTATTCAAATTCCCCCGTTCTTTTATTAACACCTGATGAAAATCCCGAATATTTTCCAAATTATGAACAAGCTGTTAAATGTGAATCCATATTTGACAAAATAAAAACTGTGACCAGTACGAAAAATTATAATACTGTAAAAAAATTAATAGATTTAAATATTATTGAAGAAATAAATGAAATAGGTTACGAAAAAGTAGAAGATATTTTTGTTAAACAATTTAATGATGATATGGAAAAGGACATTCAAAATTTTAACATGATTAATTCTTTTAGTACTACCCAGAAAAAGGAAGAATCAAGTCAAATCAAACAAAATGACACAGGAAGAAAAAAAGGGGCGAATAAATCATCCAAGAATAAACGACCAGGAATTCGTAATAAAGCAAATGAATTGGAAAACAATCAGGACAATTTAATTGACCCTGATCATAACAATTTTGAAAAAATGGAAGATACTGATTTTTTAAATAACAGTGATATAATAGACATCAATAATGAAGATGATATCCCACCTGCTGATTCTAAATCGGGTGAAGATGATCATGCAAAAGAAATTACCAAATCTGTACAATCCAGAAGTGAGGGAAGCTCATGAAATAGAAGAGAAAATGTGGGAATGAAGAGGGTGGTGGGTGACACATCGCGATTTATTTTTGGATAACTGGCAGTGATGAGTTCTGAGGACAACTGAGAATTTTCTACTATGTTGAACAAAAAATTCCATCAACTGTATGAAGAAAAGCTATAATTAATTCAGATTTGTGTAGAACGAACAAATATCGCGCACAAATATGTGCATGGATGGCGTATATTTTTTTCATACCCTTTTGAAGCCTAAGGGGAGGGAGAAGTTATATACCACAAATGGTAGAAAAAACGAAGAGTAAAAAATAGCCCAATTTTATGTATTTTACATATGCTGATGCTGAAGCAAATGTACATTAGGCATATATTGTGACATGCACACATATATGTGTGCATTATGAAATGTTAACAAGGTTTTTTTTTTTTTTTTTTTTTTTGTCTGTAAAATGCTTACAAGTTGTCACGCCCTTTGGCCTAATCGGGGCGAATTTCGTTTCATACATTTCCTTTGAGTAGTATGCAAGCGGAAAAATAGAATAGTACTGTCTAAAACCAGTGCACATGCACAATTTAGAAACAAAAGTATTTTATAAAAGTTTTCCATTTTGTATGTATTTATGTATTTATATATTTACGTATTTATGTGCTTATGTGTTTATACATTTTTTTTTATAAAACTTTTTAATTTGTGGTGTTTATTTGAATCAAATTATGAAACTCTGTTTAGAGATAGAAGTGAAGCATAAGGGAGGAGAGTATCACAATATGGGGGATATACGAAATTAAGAATGTATGTGCCAAACGCTTGAAAAATTCAAGTTGGTTACATTGTTAGTATCATGATTTCCATACGGAAAAGTTGGGAAAAAGGTGATACGTTGACGTATATACTTAATTACAAAAAAAAGAAAGAATTAAAGACCGTGGGTAATAAATGAAGAAGTGTTTCTTTTATTTTATTATTATTATTTTTTTTTTTTTTGTAAACATAACATATCTAGATGGATGTTAAAATAGGAACATTTAAAAGGTATATGCGTATGCATATATATATAATATATTGTGTGTGTAGTGAGGGAAGATAAGTGAGGTGTTGAATATGGGGTTTATAGTAAAATGTGGCTTTGTAAAAATGTATGTGAAGTTATTAACAAAAAATTGTTTGCTTGATGGATGCATATATATGTAATTTTTACAAGGAGATATAAACCTTCCCTTCTGCAAAACTTAGTTGGAGGATCTATTCCAACTTTTCAGCTCCTCTTCCAAGGAACACAAAGCCTCCTGAAAAAAGAAAAGCGAAAAAGGAAGAAACATCCAAAAAAAATATAGCTACATACATGTTGAATGCTGCGTGTTTGCGTGCTCAATAGGTACACATATCTAAAATAAGAACCTAATCAGGTACGAGGGGTGTGTTGTATGTGTGTGAAAATCTTACATTAATGTACTTAGGGCCCTTCAGCATCTTCTTCACTACATCAGGTTTGCTCATGAGTAATTTAGCCAGCTGAAAAAAAAAAAAAAAAAAAAGTAAAATTGGGAAGAAAAACAAGGAGAGGAAAAGCATATGTTTGTGTGAACGATGTAAAGGGTACACTTGTCGTGTTTTAGTGAATGGAATGCAATAGCTTTCTGTTCGTGTGCTGGTGCGTTGTGGTAGGGGAATCAATATTTTGTGTTTTTAAAGAATCATTCACGAAGTCCAACATTAGAAGGATATCTATTTAGCTCGCTCTATAACGGTTGCATAAATTTTTTATTTCTCTCTTACATCTGTATTTTTGAGAAGAATATTCCGAAAGTCCACATCAAAAATGTTTAGAAATTCGTCAAATGATTTGTACAACTTGCCATCATCGATTTTGTCTTCCATGGTACTACTTTTCATTTGGTTGTAGGGAAGATTGTTCATGCTATCAAGTTGTTCATTAAATGGGCCGGAATTGTAGGGGAATATAATTGGAGGGATAATGTTTTGAGATGAAGGAAGAGTAGGTATTATTGGAATAATAGGTGGTAATTTGAGATCATTTAAATTAGGCGGTGTAAATAACTGAGGTAATGGTAACATGTTAAATTCCTTGGGCATAAGATTTGATGAGTTATTATTAATATTTATCATTTTAGGTTTGTATATATTTGGTGACACATTTGATATATCATTATATATTAAATATATGGGAACTTTTTCTAAATTGTTATAATTAAATTTGATAATTACATCATTTTTTAGCATTTCGCTATCTTCATACATTTTAGGGGGATAATGGTTTCCTTTTATAGCAACTTGATAATTTATTTTTACATTTTCAAAATGTTTATAATTTTTAAATATTTCGTTCAATGCACTGTTTAGCTTTTCTTTTATATGTGCAGCATTGTCACCACTTGATGAACTCGCAAATTTATCATCATCTCGGTTGTTATTATCATTTCTAATATTGCTATTATTGCTATTACTATTATTATTGTTGTTGTTATTTTGTCGACTGTATAAATCAAAATTGGCATCACTCAGTTTGTTGAGGCTTCGTTCTTCCGTATGATTTCCACTGCCTTTTAGCAAATTTTGGTTAAGTACGCTTAAGGGGGTGTTTGCATTGTCATTTAAAATGGAACTAGCGTGCACTGATAATTTTTTTTCCATTGTGCTTTCCACCATTTTGTCCCCTTCTTGGGGTATATTTTTAAAGTTCAACATGTTCATAAACGAGTTTTTGAAAGTACTCAAAAGGGTATCCTCTTCTTTTCGATTATCAATGCTGTTAGCAGTATTGTTATCACTGGTATAAAATGATGTGGTGTTATTATTATTTGCCATTTTATGATTATTTCCTTCTCTATTTGTCAAATTATGAATTTCTCTCTGGTTTATATCTCTTTCGTTGTAGTTATTACCACAATAGTATTCAAATGGGTCTTTAATTGAATTGTTGATATCACTCATTTGGTTTTTGATTTCCTTTTCTTTGTTTCTATTCAATCTAGGAGCATCATATGAATACACTGTTGGATCTTCATCAACAAACTGAACAGTTTTACTACCACTACTCTTTTTACCCTTATATGGATAATCGTGTATAGGATTCTCGGTTGGATGTTCTCCCCATTTGGTCATATGTTGATAGGAAGAGCCATCTGGGTTACTGTCCCTTGGTGACATGTTTCTTCTTTTTTTGTTGTGAAATTTACCAAAGGTTTCATCTTTCATTCGATTAAAATTATTTCCCAGTAGTTTTTTTTCTTTTGGTTGAACTTTATAATTGTTTACTTCTCTATACTTTTCATCATGGATCTGATTACTGCTACCAGATGGAACATAAGAAATGCCACTTTTATTTTTTAAATAATTCATGTCATTATTCATCATATTAACATTTTGTTTCATTGTATTATTCAAATTATAATTGTTCATCGTGCTGTTTTTGTTTTCTGGAAATTTCTTATTTATACGATCATGGTGAAATGGAGGAAGAATTGAAATAGGAGGTGGAGGTGGGGGAGGCAAATCTCTCAAGTTCATTTTTTTAATTAATGTATTATCCAAATGGGATTTGGAAATATTCGCTATATCGTTGATGAGTTTTTCATTTTTGCTACTTTCTGATGTATTTTTTAAAGCACTATATTTTTTTATTTTTCCTTCTATTTTTGCCTTTTTATACTCTTGATGTCTTTTTTTTTTCTTCTCATATTCTTCATTTAAAGTATCTATTATTTCTAGCATAATGTTTTTGTTTTCTTTTGATTTTTCTGATTTTATTTTATCCTTAACTTTAGAAAAATTTATTGTATTTTTCTGCTCTAAATGTGAAAAGCTCTTGCCTCCCTTCTCATCTTTTAAATCCATTTTACTTTTTTTGTCATCTACTTTAAGGTTCAGAGATTTGCTTTTTTTAACGCCATTATCGTTCACGTCATCATAAAGTTTGTCCTTAGGACGACAATCCATTGTTTTACTTTTCATTTGAAGAGTTTGAGTATCTGTATGCTCTGAGGTGTCTACTTTGCTGTTAACATCATCTGGGGTCTTTACCTTGCTGTTAACATCATCTGGGGTCTCTACCTTGCTGTTAACATCATCTGGGGTCTCTACCTTGCTGTTAACATCATCTGGGGTCTCTACCTTGCTTTTAATATCTGCTGAGGTGTCCACTTTCTTGTATGCATCACCTGGGGTTTCCACTTTGCTCTTAATATCTGACGAGATGTCCATTTTACTGTTCATATAATCTCTGGATGAAATATTCCCCTCCATTTGGGTCCTACTTTCGTCTTGCATCGATTTAATGCCCTTATTTTTGTCCCTGTCATTTAAGGCCTTATCTCGGATAAGCTTCCATTCGTTTATTAGCTGCTTGGCCATGTTTCTAACATTCTCATTATCAGTTGTGTAGTTGAAATCATTCTTTTCATCTACCTTATTTCTCGAGATAAAATTAATTGGAATCCCGATTAAGGTATCTCTTAAATGATCCAAAGTGATATTTAATTTCTTTAATAAATTTAACATATGGGTTAGCAAAATGGTACATTTTTTCATGCGCTTCTTCTTAGCTATGTTTTGTAAAATGAGCTTAATGCATAAAAGTCCATCTTCCTCTAGGAATACATCATACATATCAATGGAAGAATTTAATAGAAAATCAAAATAATACTTCAAGTTGATAAAACTGTTTTCATTCTTCATAAATTCAATTATATTTTTCATATACTCCTTTTCTTTTAAATTTTCACAATTGTTATATAAAATGCTCATAATTTTGTCTCTGCAATGCTCAAGTCTGCCTTTGTTTTTGTCTAGGCTTTCGTATTTCTTTGCACCTTTGTCTCCATCTTTCTGATCACTGTTGTCCTCATCACTTTCCTGTCCTTTGCCCTGACTACCTCTCTTTAATGATTTTTCATATTTCTTTTTCACAAATTTTAAATAAATGATTATTTTCCCTTTTTTATTTCTAAAAGACGGTTCCATACAATACAACGAATTCAGCAAATTCACATTTATCGGTTTATCTTCAAATAGGCAAGGGATAATTTTTAGCTTATTTGCAAAGTACCATGAGTCTAGTGTTTTTATTTCATGAATATTCAATCCATCAATTTTTTTAATTCCATTGGAAGTGTCCACAATATTTAGAGTATTCTTTAGTTCTAAAATTATTTGTTTTGTGTCTTTTGTTGGTTCTTTGTAAATATTATCAATTTGTTCTTGTATAGTGTCGATACTAATGTTTATAGGGTTGTTTTTCTTTTCTTTTAACTCCTTTCTGATTTTTCGTGCTTCTTTCAATTTTTCTTTTTTTTCTGCCTCTGTTTCGGCATTTGTATCTGCCCCCTCAGTTTTATCTTTTTTATCTGAATCTTCCTTTTTATCTTTATTTGCTTGCTTTACCATTTTCTTTCCGTTTTGTTTATTCTTTAAATCTCCAGTGGTTTCACTATTTTCCTTGTCGAAAATCACTGTTTGTGTCTCATTTTCTGCATTTAACATGTTAGCCTTTTTTAGCTTATGTTTTTTTATTTTACTCTCTGTTGTTTCATCTTTACCATCAAGCTTGTTTTTTTCTCTTTGAACAGAAGTGAGTGGTGCAGATGCCACATTAGTGGTTTCATTTACTTTCAAATTATTTAAATTCGTTTTAGCATTTTTTATGCGAGTATATTTTTTCCGTTTATTAGGTGAAATTCTGTTAGAGTCCAATTCATTAGAAATATGTTCCATGTCATTGAACTGATTAATGATGTATTTGACATGCGTTATTCTGTTTGATTTTATTTAACTGTATTTTATTTTTACTTTTTTACATTTCAATGTTTTTAGCTTTTTTTCGTTTAAGCGTAAATTCTTATGGGTTTACTTTTGTCTTGTTCTGTTTACAAAACGTACAAACTTTTGTCCATGAAAAAGCAAAGAAAAAAAAAAAAAAAAAAAAGCAGCTTGTGTAAAAAACTTAACCTGTTTTTTCTTTTCTTCTTTTTTATGTAATTAATAAGGTTCATAATGAAAATTAAATTAAAAAAAAAAAAGGGGCATCCTTAAAAATATTTTAGATACGCAAAAAAATACACCTCCCTTTGTGACAGGTGTTCAATGTAGCATAATAGCAAAAAACTAAGGCATATTATTATGTCTATGTAAATATACATGATAATTTAAGCAAATTGGAGAAATTTTCAAGCATGTGAACATTCGTGTGTATGCATATGTTAAAATTTAAAGAACATCATGCACCTTAAAAGACGTTCACATATACAGCTAACTCATTTGGATGTTCTTTTTTTTTTTTTTTTTAACTTTATAACACTAACAAATGTTGTTCTATGTGCAGGAGTAGTATGAATGTTTTCAATGAATTTAAAAACACATGCAAGATAGTATGTAAATTCACACGTATATGATCATAAGCGTACGTAGTTAGGTATGTATATGCCCAAGAATATGATGATATGTATCTATCTTAAAGGGACTAGTTGTGAAACAAAAAATATAAAAGTTCCTGCCATCAGTCTCGGATCAAACAAGAATATGTATTTATTATTATATTGTAAGTTGTTGTTGTTGTTTTCTGTTTCCGTTAATCATCTGTTACATCTTAAATAGGTGATACACACACATACATATATATGCATACATACAAATGAAATATGCTGGATTTATCTCCCTATATAATTCGTTTTTTCAAATAAAGTTTCCTCTTTAAAGACAAAACATGCGAGGGCGAAAATGAAAAAAAAAAAAAAAAAAAAAAAAAAAAAAAAAAAAAAAAAAAAAACTTTGCAATTTCTTCAAATGATTCTCATAAATTTTGCTTTAGGCATTTCACTTTTTAACATTTATAAGTTATTTAGCACCTAATGGAAAAATTTCGCACACACATATTAGCACGTATATATATAATGAGAAACAAATGTAATGCTACACATGGACATTGCTACATATGGGAATGTATCTATGCATATGTATGGACTTTATATATGTGCCCCCGTGTATATGAGCTCATTTATATGTATTTCATTCGTCACAATAACATGTTCCTTCGTTCAAACTTTACGTTATTGCTGTTTCTCAATATATAGTTTTATTCTGTTTCTTCTTGAATTTATTTTACAAATGTGTGCTACTGCTATGTTCTTCTTCTTTCCCAGTGTTCAGTTTATGTTGTTTTTAACTTAATTTTCTTTTTCCCCTGTAAATCTTTAAGTGAAATAATTTCATAATCTTTTAAAAAGGAAAAACACTTAAATCGTAATCTTGTATGGCTTGGATAAAGTCAAATGAGAATTCTTTTTTTTTTTTTTTTTTTTTTTTTATGGTATATAAAATAAAAATATATTATTATTATTAAAAAAAAAAACAGTTTTTTCTTTTTTTTTTTTTTTTCTTTTTGGAATTCATTCCCCATTCGTTTGGTCTTCCCAAGCATATGAAAGTTCCATTGCTATGAATTATTTTTTTTGAAAATTGCTGAATGGTTAGCTTCTTGTATATTTATATATGTTCGTAAGTATGCATATATTATATAAGCTTTTGTAAGTTATATATGTATATATATATATATAAGTATCAATAACTTGAATTGATACCAATGCTATTTACAATCTTCGCATGCCCAAAGCTTTTCGTTAATAGTTTTTAAACATGCTTCTTTTCCTTAAGCTGAATTATGTTTATTGAGTTATATAGTAATTTTTTTTACGTTTCGCATTTAAACGGCCCCATGTATATATTTATTCATGTTTTAGTTGCCATGAGAAGGCATAATCTTATATACAAGTGAGGAAAAAAAAAAAAAAAAATGAAATGTTGAATAAATATGTAAACTGATATATATATATATATATCCGTATATATGGATTAATTATACAATTCTATTAAAAATTACAAAACAAGCAAATTTCTCTAACGAGATAAAATACCATGGAATAAGTTAAATTAGAACTCGGGAAAATGAATTATAAGAAAAGTGGCGTAAATCTTTTTGTCATACATATAAAAAGTATATTATATAAAAATAAATATATGCATGACGCAGGAGTGCTAAAATAGGAAACTTTTAAACTTAAATATTAAAGAGAATTAGGAAAGACGCATGCAAACAAGAATATAAAAATAGGGATATGAAAAAAAAAAATATTTCAAATGGAGAAGGATGGGTGCTTTTAAAATATTTAAAATATAAGAAGAAAAAAAAGAAATTTTTTTTTTTTTTTTTTTTTTTTCTGTTTGCATTTATTGTGTCCATTTGAAAAAAAAAAAAAAAAATACGTAAACTGTTGCAAAAAAATATGAACTCCTTGCTTATGTTGAAAAACTTATAAATGGTAAAAAGGTTCCATGATGACATAAATTATTAAAATAATACCGAATTAAATAATAACATTGTGCGTGCATTTTGTCATCATTCTGGTTACATGATGAATAGTGTATGCAATCTCATACGCACACAAAAGTTGCATAAATCCGCGTGAAGAGGCATATAAAACACTAACACGTAACATACTAATACACAAATACACATATACATACAAGAAGGAAGAATACACACATAAACATTATATATATATGTAATATAATTTTCGTTGAACGGCTTGGCAACTTGAGGAAAAAATATCGTATATGTCTGTTTTAAAATTTCTGCATGTCGCAAATATCATAAGGGTGAGAAAAAAAAAAAATAAAAAAAAGGGAACGAAAAATACACACATCGTTTATTCTGCATCACCTTCATGAAAAAAAGAAAAAAAACAGAAAAACAAAAAATCGATAAAGTGGTAAAACGAGAGCGCTATAATTCGATAAAATATGCAACCGTTAAAACAGAGCCTTGGAAAGCCACTGCATATAAATTTTGAGAATTCTTTTTGGCAAGAAGCCTATTCACAATCTTTGTTTTCATATTTACCGTTTTAAACGATTTTCTTTCTTAGCAAATTTTACGACTGATCATTGTGATTCTCCAGAAGCATCAACTGAAATATACTTACTGAAGAAAATTTGTTAAGTAATATTGTGCATATGGGAAACACTACATCATGTGATACATTGTATCATAATATAGCAAAGCAAAATATTCTACTGCCATGACAAAAACACGAGGTAGTCAATCTTTTAAGTCGTTTTAAAATCGCATTCGCAATAATATTTTCTTACAATTTTCTTACTATTTTTTTTTATTTTTTATTTTTTTAACATAAATTAAGTGGGTAGAGAGTAATTTATAGAAACAGTGGGTACAGTAACTTGGTATGAACGGATTAATTACTTTATTTTGTCGGCCATCTGGACGATGTGAAAAAATTCATCTTATTATTCTTTAGTCCACGATTTGTATAATAGGTCGAAAGCGAAAAGTGATGGAAAAGAAAAGAAAGAGAAAAAAGACATCTTGAAAGAATGAAACATCGAAATGATGCAATAAATAAAGAAAAGCAATATTCCGCTATTTCCTTTTAATTGTCCGTTCTTTTTTTTTATAAACTTTTCCTTAATTCTTTAATGTTTGCAGGGGTTTAAGGACAAAACAAAAACAGTTTTACAAACTTACCTTTTTTTTTTTTTTTTTTTCTTTTTTTATCTGATCAACCTGGAATGGGTGAACCAATAAATGTAAAACATAAGATAGGAGACACTTATCGAAAAGTTTATTCTTATTTTAAACCAATCACAAACTCTTCTTCATTTGCTAAAAATGGTAAAACTTCATTTTATCCTCTTTTATTTTGTTTCAAATCATGCAATTATGCCAGTGTTAAACGAAATCATTGCTCAATCATTGAGAGAAAATTGCAAATGTCGATTATGAATCATGATATGGGAGAAAAAAATATGCCCAAACAATATTTCATTTGTGGTTATTTTAGCGAATCTCTATTTTCGGTACTTTTGTACTTATCCCATTTATAGGGACACTTACCCCAGCTGAATTTGTAGATGCGGGAGATTTTTTGGTTTACAAATTTAAAACATGGGAATGGTAAGTTAAAAAAATGAAAGTTTTCAAAAAAAAAAAAAAAAAAAGAGAAATCAGACAGAATGGATAACTACTAATAAACCATCCTTGCAATAACGAAAGGGAGAGAATCGTTAATAAAGTCTTTTTTTTTTTATACACCTTTTGTTTGCAGGCAAGATGCAGATGACAATAGAACAGTTCCCTATCTACCAGAAGGAAAACAATATCTCATATCAAAAAATGTACCGTGCAAACATAGAATTAAAGACTTAAATTATATTATGCATGATGTGGTAATCTTAGAATTAGAAAAAGAAAAATGTGTACTCATATATATATTGTTCTTATTAATATTATTTAATTAACGGAATTTTTATTTTATTTTATTTTTTTTGTGAATATATTATATATGAATATAATTGTATCCCATTTTTTCAAGAAAATCGTAGAAAATGATTGGTTGCTTCCAAGTTATGAAGAAGAGAACAAAGCCACTGACATAGATGAATGTAATAAATGAAAACAGAGAGATGAAGAAGAAGAAAAAAAAAAAAAAAAAAAAAAAATATCTATGTGCTCATATACAACATGGCTTCTCTGTTTATTTAACCGGAGGAGTACTTAGATTTAGTCTCTCAGATTCTTATCACTAACGGATAAATTTATATATTACTTTTTTTTTTAGACATGCTTAATTTTGAAATTCCCCCTAGAAGTACAACCAACAAGGAATATGTAAAACGAAAAAAAAAAAAAAAAAAAGATTACTACTACATCAGTGTAGAAAAGTGGTAGTCGAAGAAGCATAAGCGAAAAAAAAAAAAAAATACATAAACATTTATATATATATATATATCTAATATAACACAATATAATCACCTCCAAACAATTTTTTCTCTTTTCTTCCTAGGTGGATAACGAGCAGGATGACCATTGGGACGAGAATGATGAAGCAATTGATATAAATAACTTTGACATAGAATGCGACTTTATTAAGGTTGTGTATATGAATTAATTACTAGGGAGAAATATACCCATTCAGTTACCCATTCTTAATTAGCCAAACTTTATTTTCTGTTCATACTAATGTATCCAACCTCTTAAACATGTATTTATTTCTCCCTGTAGGAAAATGACCCAGCTGAGTTTGATAACTCAGAGTTTTATTCTAAAAGTGCACAAAATGAAAGTAAAATTAAAAACATTCATTGGGAAGTAACCCCTCTCTCCTATATATATGTATATACGAATGTATTTATATGGGACACATGAAATGAAGTGACTTTATTCGTTCCATTACTACCATATTACATCATTCTACTTTTTGCACTCAACCACGTAGACGTTATGAATATACGTACATATGATGTCAGCATAACATATGATAAATATTACGAAACCCCTCGAATATGGTTATTTGGATATGATGAAGTAAATAAGCAGTGCCAACTCACGTTTATTTTTTATTTTATTTTTTCCCACAGTTTTTATCAAGCATTTTTGTTACACAGTTTTAATTACCTCCTTATGTATTTATTTATTTATTTATTATTATTATTTTTTTTTTTTCTTGAACCAATTTATTGCGAATTTACTGTTTTTCCCTCTTTATCGTAGAATGGAAACCCATTAAAATCAGAACAAATTTTTGAAGACATCTTGGCAGACTATAGCTACGAGACAGTCACTGTTAGTTACTAATATAAACATCTGTAGAAACGTTTACAAAAAATAATATGTATTATATGAAATAGGGATAATTTTAATTTTTCTTAGCATTTCTACCATAGTATATGTATAGACAAATATAACAATTTGTGTGCAATTCAAATTCCTTCACCACTTTCAGTATGACCCCCATCCATGTACAGGAGTAATGACTGCATCTATTCACCCGTGCAGGTAGTTTTTATATGAATGAAAAAGAATTATTTCCCTTAGGTGTGTGCTAGCTAAATTTAATTTTACCTTATTTTCTTGTTTTTTCTTTGAACAATATTTTATCCACCCAATTTTACAGACATGCAGAAGCAATGTTAAATATTATAAAAAAGTGGATGAACGAAGAGAAGGAACCGAGGTATATACACCTGCGTATGCTTTCCTTTTTTTTACATTTAGACTGCACATATAAATACACTTGGGAATAATGAAAAGCTGGATGATTTTTAAAAATATAGTAAATGTTTTATTTATTATTTTATTTTATTTTTTCTAAGGCATGATTTGTACCTCCTGTTTCTTTTGAAGTTTATCTCGGGTGTAATACCAACTATTGAGTATGACTTTACAGCGGATTTAGAACTTCCGAGGGGTGATAAGAAGTAGATGGGAACCATAGGTCCTAGTTAAGTGCAAGTTGAGAAGGGATATGCATCGTTTAATGCATATATACATCCATATATATATATGTATATACTTACATATCAATACGTATATTCATGCTTGACCTTTTTTGTACACATTACTATGTGACACTAGTGAAGTGGTCAAAGTGTGTACTGCTAGGAATATTTTTCCCCGTATTTCTAAGCATATTTGTGTGCGCAGAAGAACATTTATTCTCATGGAGAAATTTTGCGCGAAAATTACGTGGAGTTTTTTTAAAAATTTAAGCGTGAAACGTTTTTGAATTTTTTTTTTGAAAGCTGGGTAGGATATTCTACTGTAGAAACTCTGTTAACAAACTGAAATCGAATGTGTCAGCATCTTCGAGAAATTTCTCGCTCTTTGTAAAAATTTGAAAAATCCTTCTAAACTCGTTTTGATCCATCGGTTCTCCATGATTTTTTACCATTTCTAAAAAATCATTACAAGAAATCTTTTTTTTATTATTATTTTTTTTGTAATAATTTTCTATGTCATGTATGACTTTTTCCAAATTTATATCATACTCCATGAAGAAATTGAAGTAGGTATATATGAATGCATTGATGTTGAAGTATATATATTCGCACTCTGCTGTTATGTCTCCATCGTGGGTATTATTGTCTGTAACACTTAGATTTGTGTCATTTGGTTTATTATCCTCACAGTTTTTATCTTCTTTATCTTCCCCTTTTTTTTCCTCTTTTCTATGCTGACTTGAACTCATCTCCGCATGACTATCGTTTAGCATATATTTAGCAGAGTCTGTCTGGGTATCTAAATAAAAGATAAATGGGATAAAAATGTAAATTCAGGTGATGTAAAAATATAGCCGAATAGATAAATTAGAAGTGGTATTAAGGGAAATTCAGAGAAGGTACCTAAAAGTTTGGTACAGCATATATAGGTAACGTGCTTTATCATTAAAAGTATATTTAGTGTGTTTCATTTAAGCAGATATACATGTTGAATATTTGATGTAACACATGGTGTCTCCTCTGTGTCTGGATTATTTTATTTTATTTTTTTTTTTTTACCTGTTTCTTCCAGATTCTGCACAAAATATATATTTTGAAGGAGAAGGTCACTATCAGATTTGTAATTAACCAGAGTAATATCCCCCATGAATAATGATTCGTTAACGGATGCATTTCGTGCTCGTAGAAGAGGAAGGACGTACTTGTAGTAAAAGTGATACTCTTGTATTATATTTTGTATTTCAAATTTGGATAGGAACACATTGATAGATGCAAATATGTACTCAATAGACAAAACATTGAGCAGTTTTTTAATGTCATGTTTTTCTTTTTTTTGTTGATACTTTTTTTTCTGAATTTCACAATAATAAAAAGAGTCCATAATTTGATTATATATTTTACTATTTTTACCTCCAATTTGTTCGACAAATATTTCCAGTGTATTACTTTGAATTTCTATATTTTTTCTTAGTATGTGAGTATTAATATGATAATAAAATATTTTATTATTACTTAGTATGAAAATATTTTGATTTTTGGAAATGACATTCTTTATGGTTCCACTGGAAACTATGCCTCCAATATATCTGAAGCAATTTGGAACTATAGGGGTCTGTGTGAATACGATCATTTTCTCGTTAAGGACAAATAGGAAAATATTGTTTTTGTCAAAGTTATTTTTTTCTTTTTCGTTCAATTCTTTTACATCAGTAGAAATAGTATCATCAGTTAAGGGGTTAAATGTGCAATAATTCCCTTCTCCAGAACTCATCAGGGGGAAAATTTTTTTCACATTTTTTTCCTTAAATGGAAGATGGACCGTTTTTATGATTTTTTTTGTTTCCAAATCGAAAAATCGAATCTTGGATGCTTCATTGCAAATACATAATATTTGTCTATTGTAAAAATATAAATTTTGAGAAATGCATGTTGGGGCATAAACCTGTTCTATCAAAAGATATGAAATAGTTACTGTGTTTTCCTTAAAATTGTAATGATGGAAAATGATGTATCTATTATTCGTTATACCTATTATAATGTACTCATTTTTTTTATGTACCTCTTTTACAACATTTAAATCTGTAAATGTGATATTATTATTGTTAACAATTCTGTAGGTAAATTTCCAGTCATATATATTGTCACAGTTTTCATTTTTATAAATGATCAAATTAGCGTTTTGTGAAGAAGAGATAAGTATTTTATCATCTTCACTAAAGTATAGGTATGTTATTTCGTATTTCATATCTTTGCTAGAGAAAAATATTTGAAATGTGGTTGCATTTATCATTTGAATGAATCCACATTTGCAACCGACACATAGAATATGTCCATTGTTACTGAAAGTCATTGATACTATTTCTTTGGATGCTAAGTCAATTGTGTGTATTTTTTCATTTTTATCAAAATCGAAGATTTCGACTACCCCATTTTCGTTTCCAATGTATAAGAAGCTTTCATCACTTGCTGGATTGATGCATATGGCACTAATAGATTGGCTGTTAAAGTGGAGAAGTACTTTGTTCTTCTTTGCTCTTGGTTTTTGTCTTATGCATTTAGAATACCTCGTTGTGCTTTCCTCCTTTGTGTTGTTAGAATTTTCTCTAGGTTCTTTCTTTTGCGTCAAATTATTAAGCAGGGTGTTACCAACTTTTATCTCCTCTTCATCAGCATCGAATTGACCAGCTGTGTTTATCTCATTATGAGCTTCATTATTCTTTCCATCATTTCTAGTAACAGTACGATCGTGGAATTCTTCTTTGTTGACAGATTCGAGGTTCCAAGTGTCCGTAATGCATATTTGATCAGTTTGTCCATTATCCAATTTGGTAACATTTCCCTTATCGTTAAAACTTGATGGATATATTTGCTTAATAAAATTTTCTGAAGTAAACAAAATGAAAGAATTCCATGAAAAAAAATCTTCCTCAAAATTAGACAATTCAAAGGATAGTGATTTTATTTGACCTATATTGCTATTTTCAAACCATGCGTAACATTTGAGATCTTTATCAAAGATCTGAACACTACCATCACTTAGTCCTAGAACGATAAAATTTCCATAACTTTGTACAATATTTATTGAGATGTTTTTCCTTATTTCTAAATATTTTTGATATTCTCTTTGTTTAATATTTTGTTTCGTTTTATTTATAAAAATAGAACTATAATCCCAGACAATGAGATAACCACTTGTCGTCCCTGTCAACAATGTTGTAGAATTTTCAACAAATGACGTTTCAGTAAAAATGAAACGTTCATTTAATTTATTGCTTTTATATAAGGAAGGACTGTAATGACTTATAGTTCTATTTTTTTTTTCAAAGTTGTAAATATATAATTTCGATTTACTATTTGAAATTACTTCATATTTTCTATTAAACCGAATTTTTTCTTGTGTCTCTTTTCCGTATATTTTATCTTTACACACGATGTTATTTTCTCCTCCATTAGTATCAAAAATTAATATTTCTTGATAAAAAACAGCATTACTTTTGCTGTTTATTTTACTTAGACTTTTCTGTCTTCTTTGTACATCTCCTTTGACATACAGTCTTTTCTCTGTTAAGGCACATATATATCTGTTGTCGAAACTTATGTCTACACATTCGTATCCTACGTTTTCTATGTCCTTTTGGTTAATTTGTTCTTCATCCATATATTCTAAGTTTTCATCATTTGGAGCGTTTGTATTTCTTGGAGTATTTACACTGCTTTGTGTGTCTCTCCCATATGCTATATCACTATCGACATTTTTTTTCAGTTCATTTTTATCTGAATAATTGTGCGAATTCTTGAAAAAAAACTTCTTAACTGGAAATAAACTGTTGTTGTTTATCTTCCACAAAATGATGAAAGAGTCAACTCCTTTGTCACAAGAAACGATAAATTCATTGTTGTAACTTTTAATTAATTTGGAAATTTTACTAAAATGTCCTCTGAATAGTAGTTGCCTTTTTCCATCCAGCATGACAATATTGTTGTCTGAGCTATATACAATTAATGGATCACCATGCCATTTTTCTGCATTTTCCTCTTTTCCACACTTTTTTACTACATGCACACTGTTAAATGATTCGTTAATCCCATAGCATAATTTTAACGTTATCGGTTCATCCAGGACATGTTCGTTTTGCATGATTCAGCAGTTTTCTCCTTTGAATAACCGTTTCCAATTTTTCTTATTGTTTAGATTGCCAGCTTGTTCGTTCGCTTGTTAGGCTATTTCCTGTGTATGTTTGTTTGTCTGTATGTTTTCCTGCTTGGTTGTTTTTCTGCTTGATTGTTTTTCCACTTAATTGCTTGTCTGCTTGATTGTTTTTCCACTTAATTGCTTATCTGCTTGATTGTTTTTCTACTTAATTGATTATCTGCTTAATTGCTTGTCTGCTTGATTGCCTGTCTTCCACCAATGCGCAAAGCGGTAATGCAGAAATTTCATTGAAAATAGTTGTGTTTTGGCAAAACTACCATTTGGTTTGCGTGTCCATAAAAGCACACCACACATTTCGTGATACTACATCTGTTAAGCAGAAAAGCAATAAAGCGGGGAATAGAAAAAAAAAAAAAAAAAAAAAAAATTGCAATAAAATAAAAAATATAATATTACTAGAATTATAATTCTATATGTACAATATTGTGAACAATTGAAAAAATCTTTCTTTAGATAAGAATACAGGAAAATTAAGACTGATAAGAGAGAGGAGTAAATTCACGCTTCTTGAGGGTTGAAGCAGATCACATGTGTGTATGCATATCTTTCTACTTGCGTGTGCACATTCTTATGTATGTTTATTGTTTATGATTTTAACCATAGATCCGAATGAACAAAATATATTTTTCCCTCTTAGAGTGTAGGATAGTGAAAAATTTATCATGCATTTACAAAATGAGAGAAAGTGTATATATGTATATAGCACCTTTTATGATTCCCTTAAAATTACAATTTTTTTTTTTTTTTTTTTTTTTTTTTGTCTATATTTTTTTAAAAAAGATGCTCAAAAGACTGTGCACAATTAATGCTGCTTTCGTTTTTTGCTTTTTCTAATCATTTTGAATGGCGTGAGACATTAACTTACCAGGGGAGAATTAAATTGAGTTATAAGTTGAAAACAGGGGAAAATGAAAAGAAAGTGGATTTATCAAAAGGTTAAACTAGTCCAATGACATACTTTCACATATTTAAATAAACTCTATACATATGTGAGCATTTTTTTTAGCATGGATAGATGTAGATTACTGCGCCATTCCGATATGTTTAGCATAGTGGATGAATATCACGAACTGTCACAGCATGTCTGTGCGTGCATTTTTTTGAATGCTTTTGAGTATGCAGAATTTTCGATGATTTTTACCCATTGAAGAATGGAGAAAAAGGTATTACCTCTTCACTCTCTTCTACGTAATGATTTGTCCATTATGAGCTATGCAAATTTTCTATTAGGAAGTTTCGCTCCTACACCACCTCGTGAGTAATAGGGTTCAGGATTTATTATTACTATTATTATTACTATTATTACTACTACTACTATTATTATTATTGTTATTTTATTTATTTATTGACTTTTTTTTTTTTTTTTTGCTTTTAATTGAGAAGAATTTACTCCATTTAGCGAAGCAGTGACTTCGAAAAAATGGGCGTGGTTAAAGAGAATTTTTTTCAAAATGGAATTTTTAAATATTAACAAATTTTAAACAAAAATTAAAAGTAAACGAATGACATACTAGTATCAAGCAAATGAAAAGAAACGCTTCATTGACATAGTAACGATGAAGCAATCAATGAGAAAATATCACAGAGACACACATTAACATGTTTATTGTGTATGCATGCATACACGCGGGAGAATGGCGATATTACATATGTATACATATATGATCACATCCCTTGTATGCGTAAATGTGAACGTTGCTCAGTGTTTGTAGTTATGGATTGAATGTGTAAGAAAATATTGTGAAGAAAGATATATATAATAACCATCACATTTTCCTATAGATTGATGTGATTTGTTATAAAAAAGGGATAAATGAAAATATGTTAACGAAAAATAAAAGACGGAATTAGTTAATGCGTATGAGATATAAACGTTTTATAAATGAAGAGGGAAATGCAGGAAATGCACACATGATATGCAAACTCATATATGTAATCATTAATTTTAACTTGTATACGAGGGGATATACTTGTCATTGTAACCTATGCATGAACATAAATCCAGGGTCCTAACTGTTTGATACTAATTTTTCTCCAAAAAGTCGGATATTCGGTATGGCTGTCCAATAAAAGGAACAAATTCATTCTGTGTTGATGGAGTATTTTTATTATTGTCTTCATGAAAAGTACCGTAAGGATATTTACCCAGTAGTAAATCATTTTGACTATAGTTTAATGTGTATTTATATAACTGCCAACTTATATAAGAACCAATAAAATATAGGAAGATCCCAGCTAGAATTACAAATAATTCTATATAAATTTTCCATGCACTTGTTTTTTTCTGAACTGGTAATAATTTAAAAAAGTTTTTTATATATTCATATTTTTTGGGTATATTTTGAGGTGCATCATAATTTTTCTTTTCATCAAACATGTAGTGCAAAGAGGTTGATAAAAACTCCAAAAATATATTGTCATTATTTATTATCTTCCAATAGTATTGTGAGTCCAGCCATTTAAATCTATTTTCTCCTATACATTTAAACAGTATCCATATAAAATCACTAATTCCAAATATCATATTCACAACTGTAAAACAAAAATACTTAAAAGTTAAATAGGAGCAAAAACAGTCAATCCCAATAATAACCACCACCAAATGGGAAATAAAAAGAAATGGGCGAGGCGTAAACAGCTGAAGCCCAGCTAAAAGCACGTGTAAAATTATGCAAAATCTATATTTCTTTATGCATCTTTTCACTTCAAATCTGTGCTTATTTCCTAAGTCGTACATTATAATTTTGTATGTTGTAATAAAAAATGAAGAGTTTTGTGTTTGTGTCGGTCTGGATTGAAGGGGCCGGAAAAGAAAATCACAAAATGAGTAGTAGGGTTAGTACTACGTTGTGTTATTATATGCTATGATAGGATATGTAAATATATGTGTATCTTTTTTTTTCCCCCCTTTTTCCTCTTCATTAATTGCGTTTCCTTTCCACTATGCGGAAAAAAAAAGAAACATAAAACGGTTATTCACAAAAAAGCATAAATGTCTTTTTATTTTATATTATAACTATGTAGTAGATATATAAAACAAAAAGATTTACACGTAAATAATGTGGTTGTCTTTTCCTCATACATGTATAGTTTTGTATGCACTCAGGTTATATGTGTGCTTAGGCACGGTTAGCGGGCAAAAAAAAAAAAAAAAAATGTGAGCGATAATTAACATACGTTAAAAATTCATGTTGAGTGCTCTCATTGTGAAAATGAAAGAAAAAAAAAGGACAAAAAAAAAAAAAAAAAAAAAAAATACAAATGTATATATGTGTGCTAATCGACAATCTGATTAATTATCTAATTATTTTATTCTTAATTAAGTTCAAACAAAATTAAAATGGTTGTATGCACATGCATAACATGATTAACGCTATTTTTTTTTTTTTTTTTTTTCCGTATGCTCTGTTCATAGTTTACCTATTAAAAAGCGGAAAAAAAAAAAGTGCATTTAATATTTTTGCAGAAAATGAAAAATACACAATATTAGTGTGAAACTAGTTCGAAGTCAAAAAAAAAAAAAAAAAAAAAAAAAGAGCGGAAAATGGAATAAAAAAGAGGTAAATAAAAATTGAGGAATAAATAAAATTAAGGCTATTTTTTCTTGTAAACGAAATGATAATTAATAAATTTGCAAAATGAACATGAGTTATATGCGTGCTATTTTAAAAGCAAACAAAAATAGCTAAGAGAAGTTTTTTTTTTTTTTTTTTTTTTTTTTTCTTGTGCTATAATTCCCAATGTAGATTTTTGCAAATTTTTAAACAGAAAGTGTAAAAATTGGTGTCTAAAAAAATAGAATAACTAAACAATCATGTGATGATGCAATTTTCACGATAAATACGTGAGAAGGGATGAACAGAACAGAATGCAACATGGTAAAGGGGCGTAAAGTAGGACACACTACTATGCAACAACGCATAATGTTGTAACAGCGAATGAAAAGGAGAACATGAGTAAATAAATAAACTCGCGCAAATGAAAAATTAATAATAAAATAGATATTAAACAAAAGAAAAGAAATTTAATTAAAGTTTGCCAAATGAAGGATGTGCAATTTGCACATTTTCATTCTTTGGATTAAATAGAAAATAATGAAAAAAGAATATAATACATGTGTATATATTGCCGTTGAATCATGTTAGAATAATTTGAATTTTTGAATTACTACATTTTATAAGCATTTTATGTTCTTTTATTAAATTAAATAAATGAATCTTGTAAAATATTAAATGTTACAATTTAATTTCATTAATTATAAAATAAAAAGGGACAAAAATGTACCTTAATTTTTGCAAATGTTTTTTCTTTTTAATTTGTCTATAATTTCCTATATTTTTTTTTTTTTTTTTTTTTGAAATTTGAATACTAAAATGTATAGTGTTACATAAAATAAAATCAGTGATGTGACGAAAGGGTGAAACATTCAACATGTGTTTTTCTATAGAACAAAAATTAATTAAATGAGAAAAAAATCATAAAAAGGACAAAATGAGTAATTATAAATAATGGTAAATGATAAATAGGAACATATATAATTTTCTCTTAAGTGCCAATTCAATTGAATTTACCCTATAAAAAAAAAAAAAAAAAAAGAAAGAAAGAAAGAAAGAAAGAAAAAACATAATGATTCTTGATTCGGTGGCACACATAAAGTGTGTATACGTGTTGTGTAAAAGACGTGCACATTTTTTTTTTTTTTTTTTTTTTCTAACTTCAAGTCTTGAGTTACTTTAAATTATTACAATCTTGAAGGGTTGTAAGAACAAATAATTCCACATATAAACGATTACATATATGAATCAGTGTATGTATACATATATGTAACAAAGTAAACCGTTTACTTGACTTTTTTTTTTTTTTTTTCGTGAAGCGTTTTTCTAAATAATGCAAGTTATACCAAGGTGCATAATGGTGCATTATAATTATTATTTTCACTTATTTTTTTTTTTTTAAATTGTAATTGTTATATATATAATGAACAATAATACGTTAGAGTTTTTAACATATTAAAGAGCGAACTTTTTTTAATGGTTCTTATTTTCAAAAAAAAATAAAGAAATCATACTTCCCCACCCAATAAACATTGTTCAAATGCTAAAATTGTGTATAATGTACATATTGTGCATTACACATTGTATATATTACATTGTTAAAGGCGAATGTGCAACGTTTAAAACTATTTTCTTGGGGTTATAGGCATACTGAATGAATGAATATTAGGGGGAAAAAGAAAAAAAATGTTAAATGAAATAATCTAAACAGAAAACAAGAAAATACATAAAATAAAGTTGTTTAACCATACATTTGTGCCATAAACACATTTTTGCAAGAATACACGAAAACCTTTATTATTTCTAGACAAAAAGAAAAAATAATAATAAATAAAATAAAATAAAAGTAATAAATTCAAACTATCCAGTAGCAGGAAATGTGAACAAGCGCACTTACATTTTTAGGTTTTAAGATTTTAGTTTTTTTTTTTTTTTTTTTTTTAAAAGAAACACTTTAAAAAGCAATATGCAAAAAGATTTACATTTTTAACGAATTTTTTAAATATGTATTATGGATATGTACATAAATGCATATATTGTTTATCTTTTGTATATCTAGTTATAATGTGAAATTTCATTTACACTATGAATGATTTAATTTTTAAAAAAATATTTTTTTAGTTTTTCAAAAAAATAGTATAGTATAAAAGAGAAAAATAGTATGTTTTAATATTTCAAAGAGATAACCTTTTAAGAACAAAAAGTTGTAAAGAAATACAGATCGCATAAGATATTTAAAAAAAGAAAAAATAAATAAATAAAACAAGGAGAGGAAAAACCAAAGTTAGACAAATTTCGTTAAGGCATGTTTAAAACTGAAAACATTGCAAAGTAATTAAACTGGGTAAGTGTTTAGGTTCATTTTTTTATTTGGATCATATGATTTTATATTAAGTTCATATTGTTTGTTGCAGTTTTTATCTTTTAACTTGTGCTTAGCCTTATATATTTATTTTTTTTTTACAAGGATGCGTTAAAAAAAAAAAAAAAAAAGAAAAGAAATATGCAAAGGAAGCTTTTTGTTACATTATTTACAACTTGTCTGGTAACTCTTCCATCTATTCTGGGTAATATACACATAAAATTTTTTATACATTAATAAAGGAAAAATTGAGACAACTAACACGTGTACAGTTGCATATATTTATGTGTAATAATAGATAATTATATAGGTCTCATACATATACATTTTTTTTTTTTTTTTTTTTTTTAGTAGTACATGGGAAAGAATATTTCAGTGGATTTGTGCACAAAAAATTAAAAAACCTCTTACAATGCAACTTCGTAGCATATTATAATATTGGGAATAATGGGCCAGATCCGAATGTAAGCACAATTCATTTGAAAAAAATATATTTAAAGTTCAAATCATTGCAGTTAACTGTGTTTTCGGGTGTTTCCATGTGTCTCCGTGTAAATACAGCAGTGTAATTATATGTGCATATATGAATACACTTTATGGAAGAAATATGTCATCCTATCAAGAAACATATATATTTTTTTATAAGTCTGCAAACTTTAACCCTAAATGAAAAAGGACTTATATCCTTAAACCAGTTATTCAATTTTATTCATATTAAATGCATAGCTGTGCGAGCATATGGATGAGAGTGTCCACATATAGGTTGCACGAGATAAACTGTATTGCACAGAATTCTATTTAAAAAAAGAAAAACGAAAGCGTAAATTTTACTTTTCGAGTATGTATATATTTGAAGACATACCTACTAATTGTGTTCATAAAATATAAGCAAAAAAGCATCTATCACTTCTTACAATTTTGATCTCATTTTTGAAAGTGCACATTTTTTTTTTTTTTTTGAGTAATTTCTTTCATGCATATGAATGCACAATTTGTTTTTGAAGAAATAGAAGGATTATATATTTTTGTACATTTGTCCTTGTACAATGTATACCTATATATACATATTTGTTCTTGTTGACAAATGTGTAAAATATTTGTGCATGTACATATATACATTGCGTTTACAAGCGATTTTTTTTATATGTGTTTTCCCTCTCTCTCTTCCCATTGTTGTTAGTCTTTCCTAGATTTTGTTGGAGAACCCGAACAGTTCTACTGGTTTATAGAACATTACCTATCTGTTCCATTCAAAATTCCAAAGCATTTGAAAAATAATAAGATACACAACTTTTCATCTTGCAAGAACAGATCGTGGGTATCCGAATTTTTAAGGAAATATGAAGAGCCAGATATATATGAACTAATGAAATTTTTGGATAAGGAACAGAAGTTATATTTTTCTCAAAATTTTGAAAATATAGAACCCGTTGCGAAATATACATCATTTTCCTTTAAAGAGTTTCACAAGTATTGTATCCTACCACCTTTAATAGAAACTAATATAAAGAAAAAGGATAAAGGGGGATTTCTATCATATCAATTAAATGAAGAGGAATATAAAATATATTTAAATTCACTTGGATCTCCAATATCTGCTTTAAAAAATGTGTATTCACATATGGAAGACGGGGAGAGAAAAAGTTTACTGATGAATATTGTTGAAATGGAAGATTCAAATGAGGTATTAGTGAACTGCCCCGTTTATGATTTAAAGTTACATTATAATAAAGATTGTGGTTCTGAGCCTAATATTTTAAAATGTCTTGACAATTATATTAAAAAATTATGTAAAAGAAGAATAGCGAAAAGAGAGCATGGTACATTTTGTGATCATTTACTATTTCTTTTTGATGCTTTAAAAGAGCCTTATGTTGAAAATTTTAAGAAATTTCTAAAAAGGAATGATGTACATTTAGTAAAGCCACAGTCTGTTTGGGGTGTACCTTTATTTAATACATACAAACCAAGAGATATTAAGGACCCAAAGAAAAACGTTCCCGCTGACGTTTTCAAAGTATTAAGCAGCAAAAATAAATTGTTTTTGTCTTTTGTCGATGAAATACCAAATAATCCATATTACGTGGAGGAGTCTCAGCCACTCGTCAAATTAAGTAGTTTCACCTCCAGCATTTTCGGTTAGAAAATTAACCAGAAATTTATGCGTTTCACCAGTGTGTGTGTATGTGCATGAATATACGAGAGTATACGTGGGAATACTTGCTTTTCTTCCTAAAAAAAAAAAATAAATAAATAAAAATAAATAAACAAATAAATAAATAAATAAATAAAATAAAAAGAATTTATCCTTCTTTAATCAATTGCATGCATACAATTTAACTTTCCCTTTTTTCGCATTCCGAAGATAAGCTTCATAGGTTCTTTCAGATTTTCAAGAAGCAAGGAAAGGCAATTAGTCCTGTTTCAGGTATTAAAAAATGGAAATTTTAATGCTTACATATGTGTATGTATGAATATACGTGAACGTTATCTTGATGTAACAAATGTACGAGTAGAAAAATTTAGACACAGAAATGCTAATAGTGTTTTCACTCGTCCAAAATTTTTAAAAAAAAATATTTTCCACTGTTTGCGTTGTTCGTTAGGATGTTTTTTTTTTTTTTTTTTTTGATAATTTCATATGGTTACAAAAATAAAAATTCTTCACTATTTCTACTCCCATTTCTGATATTCTATTTATATATTCACTTTATTTTTTTTTTCTCATTCCTGTTTTTTAGTTAAAGAATTAAGTCACAACATCAGCGATTTTAGCTTTAAACGTGATACTAGTGATAGTAAGCACAGAAGAAATGTGTATCTGTTTTTTTAGATATATATATTTTTTTTTTTTTTACCCCTTTTTTTGTAATACTATTGTTCATATGATTGTGAGTTTATACTCCTTATGAGAAATATGAATATGTTGTTTGTGCAATAGAGTGACAAAACTTTTCTCCTTTTTTTTTTTTTTTTTCCCCCTTTTGCTCCTATTCAGTTGAGTGCAAGAATGTGAAAAAGAGCCTTAACCTAGATCTGGAGGTAGAAGTTGCTAAGGGTGTTGCAGCAGAAAAAATTTGTAAAATTATTGAAAAATATGTTTTAACAAAAGAGAATAAGGGTAAAACATTAAAAGGTGAATTCATGCTTCAGCTAGATGATGTACATAAAGGATTTCGTCTTGAATGTGTTTTGTTATCAACACATGTTGAAGGATACAATATTATAAGACAACTTTTAAATATGGAAAGTATGTTATCCCTAACCAGATATACATCTCTATATTTGCATAAATTTTTCAAAACTGTGACATCATTGAAAGGAAACTTTTTATATGAAAATGCGAATGCAATAAAATATGCACAGTCATGTGGTACAGCTGTTCTACACGTACCAGCAGTTTTGTATAGAAGAAATATTTATCTATCTGAGACATTTTTATCATTATATTTAGGATTGTCAAATTTAGTTTCCTCAAATCCTAGTAGTCCTTTTTTTGAATACGCAATCATTGAATTCTTAGTATCTTATTTCAATAAGGGTTCCGAAAAATTTATTCTCTATTTTATATCTATAATGTCAGTTCTATACATTAACATTTATTACTATGAACAATTGTACTGTTATCACAATGAACATTTTGAACTTTTAAGATCCAAAATGATTCATCCAAATGTCGCAAACCGTATTTTAGAAAATATTAGTATGTTGATAAAGAGCCCTAGATACGCAAAAATGTATGCCTTATATACTAAGTTTGATGATGAAGTTATATTTAATAAGGAAAAAGGTAAATTGAGAAATGGTAGAAAAATTGACATCATGTTGTGTTATTTTATTTGTTTTGTTTTATTTTATTTTATTTTATTTTATTTTTTCTTTTTTTATATTTCTGAGAATGCATTATTTGTGCACTGGAAATTTGCATCTTTTTTAGAAGATTATATCCTATGAAAAAACACAGGTCCTAATGTACACTTGTGTGTGAACGTATGCATATGTTTTACATGTTCCCTGTATTTTATTATTTTTTTTTTTTCTCACCACGCTTTCTGCTCTTTTCAGTTTTCGAGATTTTGTACTCCTTTGATCAATTTTTGAGCAGCGCAGATGCACAGAAAAAGGCTAAAATGCAAAACATATCAGACGATTTAGTTGATTTAGACACGACAAGTGATGGAATTGGTTTCAGAAAGGAAGATATATTTTTTGAGTCAGAAAATATTGGTTCAATGGAATCTGCTGGAGAAGAAACTGATGAAGATTTGGAAGGAATTGATAAGAACCAACAAAAAAAAATTACTGAATATTTAAGTATGATTCCAGAAGGTGAAAGTGCAAATCTGGATAACAAGAATAAGGAATTAGAATTAGAATTGTATAAATACATAGGACCTATTAATAATAATACCACAGAAGTTGGAACTATCTCTTCACATTCCCCCTCTGCAAGTTCCCATGAGGGACTTGATGCAGAAGAAGGTTCAGATGTTACTTCTAGTGTCCAAGATGTTAAAGAAAAAACTGGACAAATGGGAAAAGATTTTAAAAGGATGAAAGGAAAATCTTCTTCACAATTCAGAAAAGGAACCGACTCCTATGAATCATTAACTTCTCTGGGTCAAATATCTTCTGGTGAATTTTCTAATGAAGATAAAGGATCTAATACCAATATATCTCCAGAAGAAGAGACACCGGAACAAGAAATGTGAAAACAATACTGAGGACGTATCGATAGATACGGATTTTATTTCTCTACATTAGTCTGTTCAGTGGGGGGGGGGGGGGTATTATATATGCTGTATTTACCTATGTGCTTTCATACATGTAAAAAAAAGTGACTAAAATTTAGGTGGAAATTATAACATTAATATATTGTAAAATGTATATATTCTTTCTTTTTTTTTTTTTTTTTTTTTTTTTTTTTTTGGCTCCTTGTCCTCCCTGTATAGAAGTTAATTTAGCATGTGCATGTCTATGCGAATATATATATGCATGCATTTTTGTAAATCCGCTAGCCGTTATATCTAACACCATTGAAAGTGTTAGAATAACTTAAAAATGTAAGCAGAAAATAGTCCATAAAGCACAAGGAATAGAATCGAAAGAAAATTCCGTCCCCCTTTTAAAATGAAATCGCAGTGCAGAAGTGGAGAACCGAAAAAAGGAGACGAAAAAAAATTAAAATGAATATATTTATGTGCATTGGATCTATTACTTCTCTCTTTCCGCAAACATAAAAAAATGATATATATGTGTATTTTACTTGATTTCTTTTTTGTGACTCTCTGCTCACTTTCATGTTTCATGTGAGGTTAACATTAGGCTTTAATTTTATAGTTTTTAAAAATCCTACATGTAATATTTAGTTTTTTTTTTTTTTTTTTTTTTTTTTTCCCTGCTTGTGAATAGATGTGTCAATATCATTATTGTCAATTTTTCATTTATGAATATTGAATATTTCAATTGCATTTTAATGCATTATTTACATTATCTTTAAGAAAATCGTATGTGTGTATAAGAAAGGTAGTGTACACGTTTGTATGAATTGGCGAAACCTTTGTCTTTCCTAAGACACGCTTAAGCAGTGTGTGTAAGTGTGCGAAAATGTGTATGTAAAATGTGCTTGTATAAACGTGATCATGTAAACATGTATATATAAATATGTGTATATAAATGTGCTTATATAATTATGTTTATATAAATACATTTATATAAATGTACTTGTATGAATATGCATATACGCAAGTATATGCAAATATGTTAGTATAAGCATGCATACACAAAAGTGCATATGTAAATATATATTTAAGTATATACATGTAGATGACTCTCAGCTTAGGGTTATCGAAATAGTAACACGTTAAATATACCATGATTTAAAAGGCTATAATTTGATCTTATCGAATTTTTTTTAAGTTATTACATAACTTTCTATGCAATGTAATCTTCAAAAGGGAGATAAACGTTATTTACCATAGCACATAGGTGAACATATTGTGGTGTTAAGAAAAAAAAAAAAAAAAAAAAAAAAAAAAACACACAAAATAGTGCTAAACTATAGGCAACATTTTAGTGAAAAAAATAAAAAAGATAATCTAAATGTGTGCATAAGATTGAACATATATAACACACTATCCTCTGAAAGATAGACAGATGTGTGTGAGAAAATAATTGCGATATAGCATTGTACATAAGCACAGGGTATGCAGATAATTGCATGCATGAGGTATGTATGGGAAAAAGTTGTACGTGTTATTTTAATAGGTTCAGAAATATAGATGTGTCCTCGCGTTTTCCTCTGTGCGGTTAATATACACAGACACTTTTACATGTACATACAAATATAAATATATGTATATATGTATGTATATATATATATATGTATATATGCATGTCTAATAGCCAAAAAGGATGGAACGGCGAAACGGCGATTCGCAGGCCTATGGTATGCATAAATGGGTTTTGAATAAGCTGAAATTTGCATATAAGGCAGAATATAATGCTAGCTACTTACTAGACAAGAACACAGATGAAAGAAAGGAAGCTGTAGACAATTTTCTGTGTAATGAAAAAAATGATATTCTACTGTTTGGAATAGAAAATGATAAAATGGTGGTAGCAAAGGAGGAAAATATAAAATTTGATCAGAAAATTGTTTATTTTTATAAACACGTAAATAGTGATATGAAAGATGAAAAGAATATATTATATGGTATTTTGTCTGCAAATATTTTAGATACGTTAAAAATTATGCTGAGAAATGTTATTTATCCTTTGTTTTTAAATAATAAAATGATGCGTGAAAATATTTCCACGGACGAAATTAAAAAATTTAGTGTAGAATTTGACACATATGTAAAAGAGCTGAATGAATTTATTCTGATTTTAGAAGATATTAAAAAAGTGAAATTAAAAATGAAGCAAGATCAATGTGAAATGATTTGCGAAAAGGGCATTAACGATAAAAATGAAGCAAGTGAACAAACGGACACGTCACTTTCTCTTTCTCTTTCTCTACAGCAACAGAGTAAAACAGGGAACGGACCTGAAAATAAAATGCAAAAGAAAAAAAACGAGACTGCTCATTTGACGAAATATTTAAACATTTTAGAAAATTTATTTAACGACATGAATAAAAAAATACAAGAATATACAAAATCAAATGTGGATGTCGGGCCATTTATTGAAATACAGTACTGGAGATACAAACACAGGTATTTATTATTTATCATTGAAGAATTGAGAAGCAATGAAATTAAAAACATAATAGATAATATAAATATAAATAATGCAAATAATGAAGAACAGAAGTATACTTACACATTTGATATATTAAATAAGTGGAGAGAGTTAGAAACGAAAATTGAAAATGAATTTAATGAAAGTAAGGACAATATTAAATACCTTGAAAGCATTGAGCAATTCATTCTATCCCTTTATTTATGTAATGTAGAAAATATAATTGATAACATACCTTCTCTTTTGAACTCTATCAAGATGATATACCTTGTTGCTCGTTTTTACAATACCCCCAGCAAGTTGAACAATTTGTTTATTAAAATTACAAACCAGCTTGTTATCAAATGTAAGGAAGAAATATTTTGTGCAAAAAGAAAAAAAAAGCGAAAGAGGAGACGCACAAATAGTAGAAGAGATAAGAAAAGGAGTATAATCGGAAGTGAATATGGAGACACAAAATCTGAAAAAAATATGGAAAATTTTGTTGGCGATATTAACAACAATGATGGTCACACAAATGATTCCAGTTGGGGTCACAACAATGATGAAAATTACATGAAATGTGAAGGTAAAAGAAGAGGTGGGAGTTCAAATTTTAACAATAATTCAGACAATGAAAATGAACAGGAAGAAGAAGATTACGAAAAATTACATAAAAATGAAGAAAAGGAAAACGGATATATGGATGATGGGAATGAGAATGGAGAAAATGGTTTAAGATCGTGGGATGACCAAAGTAACGTATCTGATGAGGACCGTGAAAATGAAGACATGGAAGAAAATATGGATAAGAAACTAAATGAAAGAGATGAAGGGTATTATTCCCATATGAAAGATAATGAGCATATGAAAATAGAACATCTGACATGTAGACAAAACTTATGGTTATTAGATCCAGATGATTTAATAGATAAATTTGAACTATGTTTTAAATTATATGAAAAATATAAAGAAGAATTTGAAAACATAAAAACATTTTTAGAAAATAATTCAAAAAATAAATCTGTTGATTTGAACACGAAAGTTATATTTTGTAAGATAGAAATATTTTGTAGGCGCTTGAAAAAGTTGGTAGATTTATTTCTATGCATAAAACAGTTTAAATCCTTAAGAAGGATAAAATTTGATTGTGTGAAAAACATAACTGCTTCGTTTAATAAATACATAAAAGAGTTTAAAATGAAGCACACAGAAGATATGCTAAATTATACAGACAATTATTTTGATAGAGATTTCGTAGAATTACGTGTTTACATATCTGAGCTAGAAAGTGATTTGCAAGAGAGCATTGTTAACTTGTTAAATAATAGTTCTAACATTATGCTTTCTTTTTTTATCTTTTTTAAATTCAAAGAACATTTTATAAGAGATTATTTGATTGAATTTTTGCGCACAAAATATGATATTTTAATCTCCCAGTTTTTAGAAATTTTAAATACTATAAATAACGATTTGGAAAATTCTAAAACCAGCTTAAATTCCAACAAAAGTATAAATTATTTGAAAAATATTTTTTGGATTCTTAGTATTAAGTATAAAATAAATTATATCATTAAAGTATTCCTAGATGAAAATAATTCAACTTTATCTGACAAAAATAAGGTGTCTTCATATTTTGAATTGCCTCACTTGAATAATAACTTGTCTACCATGAAAATAAAAACAAATTATGAACAGAGAAAAGAAATTAATAATGCTAATGGTACTATTACTACAACTAAGCTGCTTGATGAGAGTGAAGAGAACGTAGATAATTCCAATGTAGATCTGTTTTACAGCATAAATGATCAAGTTTTGAAATTGATGGAAGATCATGAAAGGAAAAAAATTACGGAGGAGGGAAAAAAGGATAGTTCTCTATCTAATGAAATGATTGACATAGAAAATGCAAAGAGAGAAGAGAAATATAATCAAGGTGATGGAGAAGTAAAAGTAGATGCAGATGAAGTAGAAAAGGGATCCATAAGGAGCTTATTAACCACTGCATGTGCCGAAAGGAAAGAGATAAATATAAAAAACATTTTGTTTAAAAATTCTAACGGGAAGGAAGTTTTAAAGTTGTACTTAAAAATTTCCAAATTTATAGAAGAGTATAAGAACAAGTTATTTAAACATTGGTTATGTTTCATAAAAAGTGTGAACAGTTTGAATGTCACAGTATTTGTAAAGCATCCTAAGACTAAGAATGTGATAGTGAACTTTGATAATAGAATTAAAAGAATAATAAGAGAAGCAAAGATGTTTTTGTCTTTTAAATTTGAAATACCAGAAGAAGTAAAAAATATGATAACACAGGAATCGAAAATATACAGCTTTTACTATAAGCTTTATAATATCCTAATACTGATAAAAAGAATGAAAAATAATAAAAAAAAAGACATTGAAATTACTCTGAAAAGATTTTTTGTATACATAGATCAACTATTATTACCTTTTCTTGTTAAATACACATGGAGCAATTACGCACTAGAAGATTCTATAGATAACTTGCAAAAAGAAGTAACAGAATTTGAAGAAACAATAAATTCTTTGTACGATATTATAGATGATCACATTAATTATAATACTAAAGTGATATACAGAATTTTACAAGATAAAAATGAAAAGCTCTTGATAAATAAGCAGAAAAAAAAATTTCACAACAAAATTGTACTTTGCAATTCTATATCTAAAAAAATCCAAATAGCCATTTTCGACCTGTTATGTAATATACAATATGTGTACGAAAATAAATTAAAGAGCAAAATTACCAAGGAGGAAATATTGAGTACAACAAACTTTTATTATGATATCTTTTTATCAACATTGAAAAAAATATATCTAAAGAATATTAAGACTCTTATTAATACTTGGTCAATTGGGGAATGTGACAGCACACACAATGAAATCAAGAAAAAAAATGAAATAGAAATTCTGCTACTAGTTCATGAACATGATATTGTGATTAACCCATCTATAAGTAGTATAAAGGAAAATATTAAAAAGATCATAAACGTTTCGATTAACAATTTAATTTATATAGATAATTGGATAACTGTTGATGATTTAGTGAAACAATTTTTTTTTAAGGATAAAGGGGAAGAACAAAAATTTAGTTCCATGTCGACGAAGGAGAATGATATTAGACAATGTGGTAAGTTATATATAAAAAAAAATCACAAAATAGAGAAATCAGAAAACACAAAGAGCATTTTCGAAGATCTGTTAGATCACTCCTATTTTAATAAAAAGAATACAAAGGAGTCTTCCAAATATGTCATGGAAGATCTACACATGGAAGATGAAAATTGTGTAGCTAACTTAAAGCATAAATTTGATTTTTATGAGAAAATTAAGGAAGACAAAAATATCGAAAAAGAATTGGTAAAATTGAATGATAAACTAAGTATTCTTCAGGGAGTGGTCGACGAATTTATTAGTAAATTTGAAAAGTATAAATATATAATTCAAAATTTCGAATCAGAAAGATTGAAGGATGTAGTGAAAGAGACAGCGAGTCGGTTAGAGGAAGAGGGAAAAAACAGCAATAGTGAAGGTAAAGGAATAGCACCAAAGAATGGAGCTAGCCATGTTGAAGATGTCGAAAATTACACAAACTGCAAGGTGGAAAATAAAAAAGAAAATAATTTATTGCAGTTTGCTCAAAATAGTGGAGAAGTTGAAAAAACAAAGACGAATAATCGTTTGGGAGGTAAAATAGACAATGTAGATGATGACACAGAGGAAAGTTGGTTTAGTGATGACTCTGATGAGGATTATGAAGATGAATTAAAAATATATAAAGAAGAAGAGAATATAAAAAAATTAATAAACACAAAAAAAGAAATAAACAATATAGAAAGCTATTACTCACTTAATGTGTTTAAAATTAATTTGGAAAGTTTTAAAATGTACTTGATAAATATAATTGAAAATGAAGCCTTAGAATGTGCAAATAAAATTATTGAACCTGTTAGGAAAAAAAGTGATATGCTAATAAAAAAAATGAATACGTACAAGACAATGTTGAAAAAGAAAATTATAGATGTAGATTCACTGTACTATGTGATTAATGTAATAAAAAAAATACATGTTTTCGAGTCCACCATAGATATAGTGCTTAATCCAATAAACGAAATGATAGATATACTGGAATTTTACATGAACAATTTTTTAAAAAAACATATCGAATCAATGAGAAATTCTAATCATTATGATGAAGAAGAAAATTATCAGCAAAAATTTATAAGCAATCTTGAAAAGAGAAAATCATCTAGCGAACTATATGAATTAGACGAATCTTACAACAAGAGCCTTTTGCAAACATTCAACAAATTAAATTTAATGAAAAAAAAATTTGTCACATTGTACAAATATGAAGTGGAAAAAAAAAATACCATTCTGGCTAAATTTAACGAATTAATATCTTTAACAAAGAGTGTAGAAGAAGAAATACAAGAGCAAAAAAATATTATGAAAAACGAATTAATAAATAATATATACAACTTTAAGGAAGATATAAAAACATTTCGAGAAAATTTCCTAAAAATGAATTTTAAAAGTGAGCATGTAAATCCACTCAGTGCCTTTGAACTGTTAAAGAGATACAAAGAAGAAATAATTATGTTGAAAAAAAAATACAATAGTTATTACAAGGGAGAATCTATATTTGGTTTAAAGCACCAAGAGCATGCTGATTTATTTTTGAGCACAACGGAAGTAAATAATTTTTATTCACTCTATGATTTGTATGTCCAACTGAAGGAAAAAATGAACGAATGGAAAAACTTAAAATGGAACGAGGGAATAATAAAAATGAAGGAGCTAAAAAATGAAATTTTGTCTTTCGAAAAAAAATGTTCTCAGTTGCCTAAAAATTTAAAAATGATTGTAATTTACAAAAATTTAATCAAAGAGATTTTCTACTTCAAGGAAATTGCTCCTATTGTCGAGGAACTGGAAAAAAAGACAATTCTAAAGAGACACTGGATTGAAATAGTAAACATTTTGAAGGAGAAGAAAAAAAAGGAAAGTACCCTTAAGGACAAGAAGGGGAAGAAGCCTTTTAATAGCAATGAGAATGGAGGAGAGCGGAGTGCAATCCAAAATGATATCCATACTGCTGACGAGACTGCTAACCAAACTGCTGACGAGACTGCTAGCCAAACTGTTGACCAGGCTGCTAGCCAAACTGCTGATCAAACTGCTAGTCAAACTGCGGCGAAACTGAATGAGACAGATGTCCAAGGTACCAAAGAAGAGAAGGAGGAAACGAATAAAAAGGAAAAAACATTCAATGAGGGAATGTTAATCGAAGGTCCTTGTATAGACGAAGAGGAGTACATGAATAATTTAAATAAGCTTGATTTAGACAATATGCATTTCTTCATCAAAGATATAATAAATTCCAATTTATTACAAAAGAAAGATGACATATTGGACATATGTGACAGCGCAGAGAAAGAAGCAAGTATTGAGGAAAAAATAAACGAACAGTATAAAATATGGAACGAAACATGCTTTCAGTTTAGTAAATGGAAGAATAGAGATTATGCATGTATACTGGTTGGAAGTAGAGTAATAGAAATACAAGAAAGTTTAGAAGAAAGTCAGATTTTATTAAATAACATAAATTCTACAAAATATAGTAAACCATTTAAGAGCAAATTATTATTATTGTTAAATAAATTATCTGATTGTAGTGATATTGTGGAAAGATGGATTAAAGTACAAATGCTATGGTGTTCTATGGAAAGTGTTTTTACAAGTGGAGATATAGCAAGACAAATGCCAATCGAATCTAAGAGATTTCATCAAATTGATAAAGATTGGATTAATATAATCAATATTGCTAATGAATCATCAATCGTTATTGAATGCTGTCAAAGTAGTATGCTAAAGGAGTTGTTGCCAAATATGCAAAAGGGGTTAGAAAGTTGTCAGAAATCATTAGAATCCTATTTAGAAGGAAAGAGAAGTAAATTTCCTCGTTTCTATTTCGTTTCTAATCTAGTGTTACTAAAAATACTATCCCAAGGATCCGATATTAACATAATTCAGTCTGAATTGATAAAGTTATTTGATGCTATAAACTACTTAACAATAAAAACGACACAGAATAAGAAAAGAATCATTTGTATAAATAATAAAGAAAAGGATGATATCGAAACAGTCCAATTAGTTAACCATGTAACTATAGATGGGAACATAGAAAATTGGTTAATATTGCTAGAAAAGGAAATGCAAAAGGCTGTAAAAAAAGAATGTAAAATAGGAGTATCTGGTTCTGCTCAATTATTTAAAACAGTTAATTTAAAAGAATTTTGTGATAAAAATATTGCTCAAGTTGCTTTAATATGTCTACAAGTGATGTGGACTAATGATATAGAAAAATGTATACTTAAATATCATTCTGAAAAAAATATATTAAAAGTAACTAACAAGAAAATCAATTATATAATGTCTGAATTGGTAAATATATGTCTCTCTGATTTAGGAACCAAATTGAATAGAACTAAATATGAAACGTTAGTTACTATACATGTACATCAGAGAGATTTATTTAACGAAATTTCAGCAAAAATTAAAGAATATAAAATAAAAACAAGCACCGATTTTGACTGGTTGAAACAAACAAGGATTTATTACAAAGTCGAAAAGAATATCATTCTAATTAGTATTTCAGATGTTGATTTTACATACTCTTATGAATATTTGGGTATTAAGGAAAGGCTTTGTATAACTCCATTAACTGATAGATGTTATTTGACGTGTGCTCAAGCATTAGGTTTATGTTATGGTGGTGCTCCAGCAGGTCCAGCAGGAACTGGAAAAACAGAAACTGTAAAAGATTTAGGAAGAACGCTGGGGATATATGTAATTGTAACAAATTGTTCTAATCAACATAAATATAAAGATATGGCGAAAATATTTAAAGGTTTGTGTAGGAGTGGATTGTGGGGTTGTTTTGATGAATTCAACAGAATTAATTTAGATGTTTTATCTGTTGTCGCTATGCAAATAGAGTCCATTGTAACTGCAAAGAAGCAGTCATTAAAATCATTTCTTTTTCCAGGTGATTCTAAATCTATTAATTTGAATCCATCCTCGGCTTATTTTATTACTATGAATCCAGGATATGCTGGTAGGCAATTATTACCAGAGAATTTAAAAATATTTTTTCGATTTATTTCCATGATGGTACCAGATAGACAAATTATAATCAAGGTTAAACTAGCATCTGTTGGTTATATGGATATAGACAATTTGAGTAACAAATTTAAGTCTCTCTATAGTTTATGTGAAGAGCAATTATCAAAACAAAAGCATTATGATTTTGGGTTGAGGAATATTTTATCTGTTCTACGTACTGCTGGAGATACAAAAAGGGCAGCTGGAGCTAATGAAAATGATGAGGAAATGCTTTTAATGCGTACTTTAAGAGACATGAATTTATCCAAACTAATTCATGATGATGTTCTTTTGTTTTTATCTCTGTTGAATGATGTATTTCCTAAATATCATAATATTACAAAGAAGAGTTATCAACTTATAGAAGAAAATGTAGAACAAATAATAAAAAAGAAAAAGCTATGTGCAAAAAGTAAATGGATTTTAAAAATATTACAACTGTATGAAACATCATTAGTTCGCCATGGGTTTATGTTAGTAGGTAACACTCTCACAGGAAAGACAGAAATTTTAAACATATTAACATCAGCATTGACAAATATAGGAAATGTTACAAAAATTATTACGTTAAATCCGAAAGCTATAACTTCTGAACATATGTATGGTGTGAAGGACAATTTAAGTGAAGAATGGACTCCTGGTATTTTTGCAAATATATGGGAAAAATATAATAATAATAATTTGAAATATAATACTTGGATTGTGTGTGATGGTCCTGTTGATGCTATATGGATAGAAAATTTAAACACAGTTTTGGATGATAATAAAATATTAACATTAGCTAATAATGACAGAATTCCTATGACTGATAATACGAAAATAGCTTTTGAAGTAGAAAATTTAAATAATGCTTCTCCTGCTACTGTTAGTAGAGCTGGAATTGTTTACATATCTGACAGTGATTTGGGATATAAGCCATTTATATACAGCTGGTTACAGAAATTGAAGGATGTGAATACTTATGGAACTACTTTGTTCCAAATTTTTAACAAACTTTTCATATTTTATTTAGATAGAATTCAAATTTTAAACTTTGTGAAGGAGAATTGTAAATTCGTTATGGAAGTTACTGACTCCATTTTAATTTCACAGACCATCAATTTGCTCAATACTCACCTGATTCAGTATGTGAATGCGATAAATAATTTTATATACAATGAGGAAGATTTGAATAAGATATTTTTTTGTAACTCTAATGAAAAGGAGTTACTACATAACAATGATAAGGTCGTGAAGAAGCACTCTGGTGACGAATCTGATAATGTTACCCATGCTGAAAAAGCTAGTAGTAATGTCGTTTACTCCTTATCTGTAAAGAGTAAAAAAGCGAAGGAAATAGAATCGATGAAAGGGAAAGAACAAGTAGCCATCACTAGCGATAATAACAAATCTTCCACAAAAATGAACGAAGCAAAGGGAAGAGTGCCAAATGAAAATTCCAAAGGACAATTATTAAATGTAGTAAATGCTAAACAGGATTTTTCAGGAAAGGAAAAGAAAAGGAACGAAGAGTGCGGGAAAAATGAAGAAGTGAATGGAACCCATGCAAATGGAGGATGTGATGCAAACGAACCCAGTGAAGAAGACGACGATGACAAAATGGACCCCATGAAGAACCTAAACATAACGTCAGGAACAAGATATGAACAAGTAAAAGCAGAAGAATGCGAAGAAATAATGTTATATTCCATATTATGGGGATTATGTGGTTTGCTAGAATATAAAGACAGGTTGAAAGTACACAACTTTTTGGTAAAAAATGTGCCAATGGTGAAACACATTTTGAAAGATGGAGGAAATTCGAATCAGAATACTAGTATGACTACTCCTACGACTACTAGCACTAATACAGGTGCCTCTGCTGCTTCTACTGCTTCTGCTTTTGCTTATAATAATAATCGCGTGACCGGTAAGGAAGATGCGAACCCCAAAATGGAAATCTGTGAACGCACCCAATCAGGAAATGGTAGTGATGATGCAGAAGACGAATTTGAAAAGGAAACATGCCTAATTTATGATTACTACTTCGATATGAAGCTGAGAAAGTTAACCAAATGGAATGTATCCCCATTTAAAATGCCAAAAAATATGAATTCCATTTCGTCTATATTGATACCAACTATTGAAACTAATAAAGTGGAACATATAATAAAATTAATATCTAATATACCTATTAAGTGTTACAATTTCCACACATATAAAAGTACTCTACTGTTGGGTTCCACGGGTTCAGCTAAAACATCTATAGCTTTGCTTTATTCATCTAAGCAGGACAAAAACACAAAGAGATTTAATTTTTCAAGTGTTACAACTCCAGAGAAGTTTCAGTTATTTATTGAATCAGAACTGGAGAGAAAAACTGGAAAAACATATGGTCCAATTGGCAACACTAAATCTATTATCTTTATTGATGATATGTCTATGCCTAAAATTAATGAATGGGGAGATCAAAGCACATTAGAGCTGTTAAGACAACTTATCGAATTTCAGGGGTTCTACTTTTTAGATAAAGATAAAAGGGGAAATTTTAAAAAAATAATTGATTTGGAATATATAGGATGCATTAATCATCCAGGTTGTGGTAATAACGACATACCAAAAAGATTAAAATCGAAGTGGTTTAGTGTGAATATTCCTCCCTATAACTTGAACTCCATAAATACAATATACGGAACAGTTTTGAGAACAAAATTTAATAAAAAAAGAAAATTTTCCGATGAAATTATAGATAACATCGATAAAATAATTTTATGTACAATTAATTTGTTTGGTAGATTGAAAAAACACCTCCTACCTGTTCCTTCTCGTTTTCATTATTTATACACAACAAGAGATCTGGCAAAAATATTTTATTCCATGCTGCTTTGTCCATTTGAAACTATAGATAACAACTTACACAATTTCTTATGTTTATGGAAACATGAGTGTGAACGAGTATTAATCGATAAATTATCTCGAATGGAAGACAAACAATTTTCCCTAGATCAACTGAAGCAAATATTTAATCTGTACTACCCATGTTACAAAGGCATAGCTGATAAAAGCGTTTACTTTAGCTACTTTTACGTGTCTGAAAAAGAGCAAATTGAATATATGATAGAAAATGATCTCATAGAAACTGTGGATCAGACGAAAAAGAGTAAAATAGACAGTATCGATAATGGCTGTATTGGCATTAATGTCATAGGAACTCCTACGAACAGAAGCACTGGTGATCAATCACTTGACAAAGATATAATAGGCAGTAACCCATCTAACAATACAAATTGGGATAAGATAAGAGACGTGAATAACAATAAGGATTTCAATCCATTAGAAACAAATAAGCTACAAAGAGGAAGTACCACCACTTCTGGTAAGAATAATCACAACGTAGAAAAAGGTACAGAAGAAAAAGATGGAGAAAATATCAACCTTTTTTCCTTCTCTTGGATGAAAAAGGATTACAAAATTGTTGTAGATTTTGAAAGATTGAGATATATTGCTTATGAATATATGAAGGAATACAATTTAAATAATGTAAAAAAATTAGATTTAGTATTTTTTGATGATTCATTAAAACATTTGATTATTATAAATAGAGTTATGGAAACACCTAAAGGGTCCAGCATGTTAGTAGGTGTTGGAGGTTCTGGAAAAAGATCATTAACAAAACTTAGTGTTTTCATAAGTGAACAAGTATTGTTTCAATTAAATATAACGAAAACGTATACGAAAAATTTATTTTTTGAAGATCTAAAAAGTTTATATATATCGGCTGGTCAAATGAATAAGAAGACAACCTTTTTGTTAAGTGATAGTGATATAGAAAAGAACGACTTTATACTGGAACATATAAATTCGATTTTATCTACTGGATTGGTATATGGGCTTTTTATTAAGGACGAAAAAGAAGCAATCTGTGCTGAAATGAAAGAGTCTTACTTGAAGGAAATGAATAAATTTAATCAATCATCAAAAATGAGAGGTGGAGGAGGGAAAAAAAAAAAAAAGCGAAAAAATGATTGTAATTTAGATGATATGGAAAATGATTCCAAAGATTCTCAAATTAGAAGTGATACGTCATCAACTAGTAGTGCAAATAATGACAGTGATTACATGAGTAATGAAAAGGATACTAGAAAAAAAAAAGACGAAAAAGTTGTTAACGATTTTAATGTATCATCTAATGTTATTTTTGATTATTTATTAGACAATTTTAGAAACAATCTTCATATTTTTTTGTGCTTTTCCCCTATTCATAAAGAATTTGCCCTACGATATCAGCAATTTCCATGTATATATAATTGTGTGACTATAAACTGGTTTTTAAAATGGCCATTAGAAGCGCTTGTGAATGTTTCCACAGCTTACTTGAACAATTTTAATATTGATATTGAAGAAAAATTAAGAGACGATTTTTTTAATTTATTTGCTATTGTTCATAAAAAGGTGTCAGATACATGTGAAACCTATCGCGAAAGAATGAGAAGAAACACTTATGTAACACCAAAGTCATATTTATCTTTTATTGATTTATACAAGCAAATGTATGTGAAAAAGTATGAAGAGATTCAATTTTTGAAAGAAAGTGTAGATATAGGCTTAAAAAAATTGAACGAGGCAGCTATGGACGTACAGAAAATGAGAGAAAATCTAACAACTGAGGAAGAAAAATTAAAAGAATCTGATGAACAAACCAATATACTTCTAGAAAAGGTAAAAAAAGAATCTCTAAAGGCAGAGAAGCAAAGCATTGAAGTTTCCAAGTTTAGAGACAAATGTATAAAAGAAAAGGACATAATTTTAAAAGAGCAAGAAGAAGCAGATAAAGACCTTAAAGCTGCATTGCCATATTTACACGAAGCAGAAGAAGCTATTAAAAGTATTACTGCAAAAGATATAACTGAATTAAAAAGTATGAAAACCCCATCTGATATTATTAGAATTGTTTTTGATGGTGTTTTAATACTATTGCAAGGAAAATTAAAGGAACCCAAAATTAGTGTAAAATATGTTAATAAACAACATTTGGAATTTATCCAAGATTCTTTTGACGAATATGCGAAACCATTAATGGCAGATATTCGATTTTTAAATCTTCTGTTTGATTTTTCTAAAAATGAAAAGGACAATATTAATGAAGAAACTATTGAATTATTAAAACCTTATATTGAATCTCCTTTTTTCAAAACACAAATTGCGAAGAAAGCGTCCGTTGCTGCAGAGGGGTTGTGTAAATGGGTAGGTGCTATGGCAATGTATAATCAAGCTTCAAAGATTGTTAAACCCAAAATGAGTTACCTAAAAATACAAACAGGAAGATTAGAAGACGCTCTAAAACAGCTAGCAGAAGCAGAAGATTCATTATTAAAAGCACAGCTCTTTGTTGACAATCTCAAATTAGATATTGAAAATATGTTTAAAAAAAAAAAAACATTAGAAGAAACAGCTTTAAAAACGAAACAAAGAATTGAACAAGCCAACAAATTAATTAACGGATTAGCTAGTGAAAAATCAAGATGGACAGAAGATTCTGACAACTTTTCCAATATAAAAAAAAAAGTCGTTGGAGATGTTTTTATATGTTCTTCCTTCATTTCGTATTGTGGTATGTTTAACACGGAATTTAGAAATTTCCTAATGAATGAAGTTTTTTATCATTATACGAAAAATGTAAAAAATATTCCAGTGTCAGATAATATAGATGTAATAAAATACGTGCTATCTTCAGATGATACCAAAATATGCGATTGGAGTGTTCAGAAATTGCCTAATGATAGACTAAGTATAGAGAATGCCCTCATTAGTGAAAATAGTAACAAGTACGTTCTGCTTATCGATCCTCAATGTCAAGCTAGTAATTGGATAAAGAACAAGGAATTCCAGAACGATTTGTCAAATCAGAGATGCGTTACTACATTTAGTAGTAGCAAATTTAAGGATAGTTTGGAGTTCTGTTTAAGTGAAGGAAAAGCACTACTTATCGAAAATGTGGAAGAATATATCGATCCTATATTAGATTCTGTTTTAGAAAAACAAATAATTAAAAAGGGAAGGAAAAACTACATACTAATAGAAAATAATTTAATCAATTTTGATGAAAATTTTAATTTGTTTATGACTACGAATTTACCTAATCCTAATTACAGTCCAGAAATATATGCTAAATGTTGTGTCATTGATTTTACTGTTACTGTTAAGGGGTTAGAAGATCAATTGTTAGGTAGAGTACTAACAGAAGAACAGAAGCATTTGGAGATATCATTAAAAAATATTATGATAGAACTTAAGGATAATACGAAATCGTTGCAAGATCTTGATAAGCAGTTACTATACAAACTGAACACAAGTAGCTCTAATCTGATTGAAGATGAAGAATTAATAGAAGTTTTGAACAATACCAAATTGTTATCAAAAGAGTTAGAAACGAAATTAAAGGATAGCAATGAAAAGAAAAAAGAAATTAATGAGAAGAGAGAACAATATAGGAGTGTAGCATTGAGAGGAAGTATACTATATTTTTGTATTGTAGATATTACAAATGTTAACTATATATATAACACATCATTACATCAATTTCTTGAACAATTTGATTTATCTATAAAGAGAGCAGAAAAAGGGCAACACATTAAGAAGAGAGTTGAATCTATCTTGTCTACATTAACAAACTTGATTATTAGCTATATGGAAAGATGCCTCTTTGATCAGCACAAAATTATCTTCAAATTGTTAATATCTTTAAAAATACTTCTATACGATAACATAATAAGTAATAAAGACATCAGCTTTTTCTTGAACCCACTTTCACATTACAACCCTTCGAATGATATAAGCAGTGAATTACTTAGCAACAATTTGCTAAATGAAAACGCAGGCGGAGGAAAAGGAAAAAAGATAGAAAATGCTACTAATGCTGTGATGAATAACACTATTAATAATACTATGGGTTCTTATTTAAACAAAAATGATAATAGTAAAGGGAACGAAAAAGATAGCAATGATAAAAATACAAATGAAAATAGTGGTGTAGGAGCTAGCAGTAGTGTAGCCACTACTAACAGTAGTAATGACAATAACGTAAGTAATCTAAACACAGACAATTGTGCGAATAAGAACAAAATAGATATACATAGGAAAGGAGGAAAAAACAAAATAAGCTCAACTAAATGGCTATTTAAGAATGAAAAGTTATATAAAAATATTATTTCTTTATCAAATCATTCATTTGGAAATGATAAAAATAATCGCTTCTTTTATGATATCTTAAATGTTGTACAGTTAAATGATACTGTATGGAAGAATTATTATGATGTGTTAGATATAGAAAATAAAAATATTCCTTACTATAACGAAAGGCTAGACGCAAATAGCAAAATAAGTTCATTTATTAAATTATGTCTTATTCGATGCTTAAGAGAAGACAGGACCATATTATGTGCAAATAAATTTGTAGACGAAGTATTAAATAGAAATAGTGACACAATAAAACATGAAACGTTAGAAAATATATTTGCCGAATCTAGTAATAGGAAGCCATTTTTATTTTTGTTATCCTTGGCTAGTGATCCAACAAACATGATTGATGATTTTGCGAAAAAGTATAAGAAATATCCTACTGATAAAATTTCTATGGGAGAAGGACAAGAAATTATAGCAAAAGAGAAGTTAAAAAATGCCCTGATAAGTGGAAGTTGGTTAATATTACAGAACTGCCATTTGAACAAAACTTTCATAATTGAAGTTTACAACATGTTAAAAAAATTAAATGAAATTGAAGAAGATTTCCGATTATTTTTAACGTTAGAGCCAGATGGTGAATTTCCTATATGTATCCTTCATGGAAGTATTAAAATATCTACATCATTAAGTAGAGGTATAAAAAACAACATGAGGAAAATATATAAAGATATAGTAAAGGAAGATATATTAGAAAAAATAGATGACGAAAAGTATAGAAAAATTATATATTCCTTATCCTATCTTCATTGTGTTTTATGCGAAAGAAAGAAGTTTGGCCCCCTAGGTTGGTGTGTTCCTTACGAATTTAGTATAACAGACTTATTTGCCTCCTTCCTCTTTATTGAAAAACATCTGTACTCTACCTTGTTAGTTAATAGACCAATCGATTGGGAATCTATTCATTATATGCTAGCAGAAGTGCAGTATGGAGGGAAAGTAACAGATGACTTGGATAGGGAATTATTATTAACCTATGTGCAACATTACTTTAATGAAGATTTATTCAAAATGAAAGCTGAAACGGGCTCAGAAAATTTTCATAATATGCCAAAATTTTACGAAATTACAAACCTTCAAAGTTTTATCGAAAAGCTACCAAATATTGATACCCCTTCTGTGTTAGACCTACACAATAATGCAGAAATAACTTATCGTGTTAATGAATCAAGACAAGTTTTAAATTCTATATTAGAAATACAGCCAAGGGACGTGGATCAAGGAGAGGAAAAGAGTATGGAAACGGTTGTGAAGGAAATTGCTGCAGGAATACTACTAACGTTACCTGCCGAAATAAATTTAGAAGAAATAAAAAAAATTATATATAGAAAAAACAAAAATCAGCAGCTAACCATTCAGACGAATCAACCATTAAATGTAACAATAAATTTGAATGCAACTACTAAAAATTTTGCAAATTTAGAAAGTAGTTCTCATAAAAGTAAAAATAAAGAAAATTCAGATATGAATGAAAATATGCTACAAAGAAGTGCAATGTTAAACAATCCACTTAGTCATACAGTTAATGTAGGTAAATACTTGAGTCCATCTGATTGCAAAAATAAGAATGCTCTTTTGGTGACAAAAGAGAATGACGTTTTTGATAGTTTGGGAGTAACGTATTGGGATAATAACAATGAAGGTGAAAAAAACGTGCAATATAATTTTTCTCCATTACAAGTTTTTTTCTTACAAGAAATAGAAAGAATTAAAAATGTAATCGATTTGGTTAAAACTAATTTAAATGATATTATTAGTGCAATAGATGGTTCTAAAATAATGACTGCAGATTTGCAAAATGATACAAAATATATTTATTCTCAATCGGTACCCAAAAAATGGATTTATGATGCTAGTGAGACAGAAATATCATGGGTATGTCACAACTTAAATCAATGGCTAAATATTCTTAATTTAAGATATGAACAAATTATGAATTATATTCAAAATGGAAAATTGAAATCTTATTGGCTACCTGGATTTTTTAATCCTCAAGGATTCTTAACTAGTATGAAACAAGAAATTACACGTTTAAATAAAAAGGATCAAATTTCCCTTGATGAAGTAGTATTATATGCTGATATCAAAAACCATGATATTGAGAAAATTAAGGAAGTACCAGAGCATGGGTTTCACATTCATGGCTTATTTATTGAAGGGTCCAAATGGAACTGGCAAGAAGGAAAATTGGAAGAAAGTTCTCCAAAAATACTGTGCGAAAATATGCCCGTTATCCACATTACTGTTGTGTCCAACAAAGACAAAAAGGTAAAATTTATTGAAAATAACAAGCACATGTTTTACAATTGCCCCGTATATAAATATAATGTGAGGACAGACAAATATTTCGTTTTCCGCATTCACCTGAAAACGGACATTGACCCATCTATATGGAAATTGCGTGGCACGTCTTTGCTCTGTTCGAAGGACTAGAATCCCTAGGCATGCTTCACCCTAGGGTACAAGTGAATCCGGAAATGTCCCTTTGGTGTATGTATATACATATATATATATATATATGTGCATAGAGATGATTATGCTGAACATACAATTACAGACGTAAAAGTGTACTTTCACATGTACACCTGTATGTTATACACCTTTTGCACGTCTCAAGATAACCTTTTTTAAAAATAAATAAACATTATGTGGTGACTAAAAAAGTTAATATTTTTTTATTTTCTAATGGATACAAACCACATTTACAATTTTTGCTGCTTACATGTTATATGTCTTTAAGAAAATGCACGTTATTTTTTCATTATTTTTTTTAGCGGAATAGGTGTTACTTGTGACTCTTTATGATTTTATGTAGTTTAGTTTGGCACTTTTGGTGTGCCCATTTTAAGATGTTTTTTTTTTTTTTTTTTTTTTTTTTTTTTCTTATTACATCGTTTTTTATGCGTAACACGATTTGTTTTTGTGTTTTCTTAAAAGAATATAAAAAATAAGCATGTGTTAATGATTTGGATTGTAGTTAATTTTTTTACTTCTTTAATACTTGTCCAAAACGGAAATTTTAAATGACATAAGACTTGTAAGAAGAATTTTTCTTTTTAATAATTTTTTGTAACATATTTTTTCATTTCAAAAATGTCACTTTTTTTTTTTTTTTTGTTAATAAAACCATTTTGAATATTTGAACAAAAAAAAAAAAAAAAAATAGAGGCCATGGAAAAAAGCATAATATTTATTTAAAAGGATGAACAAAATTACCCTGATTTAATTATTTTATGAGAACCTTTAAAGCTGCTTGTTACTTTTTCTTGTAATGTTCATAAAAAGTCTCAAATCTCAGCTTCTCAATTTCGCAACTTCACAATTTCGCAACTTCACAATTTCGCAACTTCTCAATTTCCCATACTTTTGTTTTTTTTTCTTTTTTCTTATATTTCGAAAATTAAGATAATTAAACAAGTGTGTTGTTTCGAAAAGACGCATACATACAAATGTATATGTGCATGATTATACGTATGCATGTGTACATACTTCACGATACAACGATTTTATATACACGCATAAAAATCCAACATCTATAGTAAGATTTTAAGTCTACAGAAATGTTTTTTCTTGTTTTTTATTAGAACATGCTCATTTGCTTCTTGTTTGTCTTATACGTAACTGGTTTATGGGGAAAAAACAAGTTCTTGAAGACCTATTTTTGTGCGAACTTTTTGTCCTTATATTGGTTTTAAATTCGAAGGGTACATAAGTACATGTATGCACACTTTTTTTTTTTTTTTAAATTAAAAAAAAGTGTACTGAAAATGCTCACAAGCTTTTAATTGCTTTTTCCCCCAATTGCAAAAAATCTGCCGTTGTGTTCATCATTTTTCCTTTTTATGAAGGAACTTTTGAATAATCTTTATTTTATTTTATTTTTTTTTTTTTTATTCATATTTTCATCATTTTTTGGTACCTAGCATTCGGTCCTTAAGTGTTATGCAGCAAACTGTGTTAAATCACGTTTTATAACGTAATGCCTCATTATGTTAAAATTTTACGGCCTCATTTCTTTCATTTAAAAAATTATTTTTCTTTATAATTTGTCTTACACATGATGCAATATTTCACCATTTACATATACATTGATCCTTCACCCATCCATACTTTTTCCCAGTTGCTTCTTTTTGCGCAGTAGAAAATACACTGCTCGAAATCCACAAAAAAGAGTATGTAATTTTCCTCTGTTTTTATACTTCGTTTTTTTTTAGCTGTTTTATGCAAGCTCAGTTAGAATATTTATAATTTGTAAAAGATATTTTCCATCTCTCTTAAAAAGAATATATTAAATGGGCTTTTTTTTTTTTTTTTTTTTTTTTTTTTTTTTTACATATGTAATGCATAAAATCGGACTACAGATGTGAGCATCTCGTTTTTTCCATTTAGAGCGGCTTTCCTTTGTTTTTTTACTTGTTTTATTTAAAGATTCATGTCATTGTGATTTTATTTTTACCCAAGTGTGGAACTCTTTTTTTTTTTTTTTTTTTCCTTATATTTTTTTAAAAATTCTATCTAATGAATTTTTTGCTATTTTCACTTCCATTTATTATGTACATGGCAGAATTTTGTCATTAAAGAATTTATGTGGATCATATTTAGGAGTACTATAAACATTTTTTACGTTTGTATAAGCATAAATATATATATTTATGCATGCATATTCCTTTGATATGTTCTCTAATATGCGTATTTAAAAAGTCACCCTCAGATTGGATAGGTGCCCGGATATTTGAGGTGCTAAACTAATTTTTTTTAATTTTCTAACCTTGCTAAAATTTGGTCCATATATAAATCTTTAGCGGAAAATAATCTGAAACAGTTTTAAGTACGTGATAGGATTATATTTTTGTGACATGCGTTTTTACAGGAGTGTTTAACAAAACTTTTTAGGCACCTTGTCGTATATGTGCCTTATTTATTCATAAATGAATACATATTTTTATCGATTATATAGGCTGTATTTGATTTTTTTGCTTTTCGTTTCTATTCTATTCTTTTTGTTTCATCTGTTTCCCACTTTTTGAACCAATATATAATTGTTGTTTTGCTTGCTCATTTGTTTATTTATTCTTTTTTTTTTTTGTTTTTTTGTGTGTGTTCTTTAATTATTCAATTTTAAAAGCTACAAAATTTCCTACCTGCCAAACCCCATTGTATTATTACATACATATATATATATATAATTATAAATAAGCATCTTCATGATGTATTAAATTCATTTGAAACATCATAATTATTAAAAAAATTGTTTTTTTTGGACATGTAAATTAAATGCAATATAATTTGTTTTAATATAAAAAATGAACTGAAGCAACTTTTGCCATCGATTTTTGCTTTTTGATATTTATTGAGACATTTGCACAACTTTTTTTTTTTTTTTTTTTTTTTTTTTGAATTTGTACTTTTATTTTCTTTTTAATTGAATTATGAGGAGTTAGAGAAAAATTATGAAGGGGAAGTAAAAACACGTTGTATACGCGAAGTGGATTACTTTTCCTTTGTCTATGTTTTCTCATAAAGACTGCTAAAGGTAATGATATACGATCAGTAAAAGGGAAAAAAAAAAAAAATCCTATATAAACAAAATATTGTTAATTGTGCAGCATTTGAGAGAGAACACAAAATTGATTCAAAATTAAAGCTATCATGAACAAACTATCAGTAAATGATGCCTTTGACGATATCGAAATTGAGTCCTTTGATTTCATTTGGGAAGAATGGGAAGAATATAAAGGAGATGTCCCTCTTTGGCAACACATATTTTGTGGTAGTATAGCAGGGTTGATGGAACATGTTTTTATGTATCCTTTGGACACGCTTAAAACGTATATACAAACAAATGGTAATCTCGAAGGTAGTAAGTGGATATATAATAGGTGTAACATATATGATTCAAATAATAATGGTAGCACTTTCAATGATATAAAGGTACATGATAGTAACAGTAATATAGATAAGAAAAATATATGTACATATAGAGGATGCGATAACTGTGTTTATAAGAAGACTTGTAGTTATAACAATTTTTGTAATATGAAAGCTATAACATCTCCGTTTAATAAAAAAAATGTTTTACATGCCAGGACCTTCAGTGATGCTCTACATGGAATTATAAAAGACCAAAAAAAATTTAGAAATATTCTATGCAATAATTTAAGTGTAGAAGAGAGGAGAATAATGAAGCATATAATGAATAAAAAATTACAACATAGATATCATAATAAAGTAATGAATAAACGTTTTATTACCACAAATAGAAGTAACAACAAGGAAAATTCTGCTTGCAGTGTGTATGATGAGTTGGGTGATTTAAGAAAAAATAGATCCTGCAACCTATTTGATAAACCTTCCGGAAAGGTTGTTGACAGCCAAATGGTTGGTAAATCCAAAAATAAAAGAATTCATATATTATCTAGAAATATTAACAGAGTTGGGAGTAACACATTAAGTAGAGCTAGAAGTGGAGGAACAGAAAAAATAAAGGAAGATATACAAAATGTAGAAAGGATAAAAAACAAAAATTGTTTCTCATCTACGAGAGACATTACTAGTCCATCCCATAGAGGATACATAAATAAGAAAAGTTGTAGCAATCATAAAAAGGGTTCTTTCCTTTTTTCAGTCAGTAATAAAGAAAATAATTTTCTGGGATCCAAAAAAGTCACAGGCAGAATTATTTTCAAGAACAGTAACAATACGCAGAAATGGAAGTGCAAAATAAAAAACTATAAGTATGGCGTAAATAGTGAAACCGTGAAAAATTATAAACATGTGCAGAATTGTAATAATGCATTGCACACATTTTTGCATAAAATGAATTCAAATAAAATAAAAAAAAAGAAATCAGCAGAGTTAAAAAGAGTATATAAATTTTTTTTGAATCATGCTTCACGAAAATATACCCATGACATGTGTAACAAAAGAAATAATAGCTATTTTGTATTTATGAACAAGAACAACAATGCACCTTTGATGGGCGGCTTAAAACATTATATGCTTCCCAATAGTACGAATAATAAATGTCACATGGGAAGAAGTGAAACTAGTAATATAATGAAAAAAACGGATTTATTTTTTAATATTTCAGGGAAAAATTTTGTAAACAATGGTAGTAACGCTAATGAAAATAATCGAACTAAGGCAAATAGTTATTTCAGTCTATTCCACAGGACAACTGATAATACACAACATAATCATTGTTGTCCAAGTGAAACATTTAAAAAATGTTCTAGATTCCAAAGTTATATATGGGATATTTTAAGAAAAGATAAGAAAAAAAAAAATGAATGTAATTTTTTTGTTCACTTTTTTGAAAATGTGAAAAAGAGTTTTTTTCAAAACAAATGGTGCAAAATTACCGAAATTTCACCTAGATTAACAAATAATAAAACTTTAGAATTGAGAAAAGATGGTTTAAATTCTTACTATTCATTGTTAAGAAATAATAACAATATATTTTCAAATAACGTATGCTATGTTACTAAAAGTTATAATCATAGAAACTTGTTTGATAGAAATATTCATTCATCAAGTAAAAATAGTTTTTTCAGAAATAATAACTCCAATTTTAACTACAACAAATTTAGTAAGAATGTTAAAGGCTTTAATTTTTTTAGAAGCTTATTTCCTAATTTTAATAACGGAATTAATGTAACAACACGGCAGAACTATAGTTTGATAAGAAACAATGTTGTGAATTTGTACAAAGGGGTAAATGTTGTTGTATTAGGCTGCATTCCAGCGCATGCTATGTATTTCTCAACATTTGAGTATAGTAAGAAATATTTTTCAAGTATATATTCTAAGAATCTTCCTATTCAAGTTCAGAACAGAGGAAGTGGAGGCCTGGGTTGTGACCGCAAGATTAGCAGTAACCAAAATATTGATAAGAAGAAACACGATGTATTGAATTATAAAATGAATGACCTGAATTATTTTGGAATAGCTGTTTCAGGTTTTTTAGCAACTATAGCACATGATTTAATTATAACCCCCATAGACACGCTAAAACAAAGGTTGCAGTTAGGAATAAACAAAAACTCTTTGGATTCTTTAAAGATTTTAAGGGAAAATGGAATTAGGAGTTTATATTTGAGTTTGCCAATAACCTTGCTCATGAATATACCTTACCAAATTATTATGATATGCACGAATGAAAAAATGAAGAAAATATATTTTGAATATTTTTGTGGCTCGAATAATGGGTTGGGAAGGAATAATTGCGATAGTAAGTGCACCTCTAGTAGTAGTGGCAACAGCGTTAGCAGTACTGATGGTGATATTATAAGTACAAGACACAATAGTACCCTAACCGGTAGTGACACATTTAAGGAGGAGAGCAAAAGTACACTAGGGTGCAATGTCCCATGTTGCACACAGAATGACGAAATAAATATTCACCAGAAAAATGATATTAGCGAATCTAAAAGTACAAAAAAAGAAGAGGGCTCAACTGACCATTTAATGAACAACATGAAAGAACTTAGTGACAAGAGTAATAAATTAATTAAATTGTTTATTGAACAAGATATGGATTCTGTGAATTACATAAGTAAAGGAAAAAAATATAAAGAAAGTAGTGATACTGGAAATATTTTACTGACTACCCAAATATGTTTGGATGAAGAACAAACGAAGAATGAAATTTTATTTAAAAACGTGATTAATAAATTAGAAAAAAGTTCCAATAATGATCTTTCAGAAAACTATGACAATAAAATAAGTGATTCTTTTAATTTTGCAGATACAAAATCTCACAATATGGAATTAAAAAATATGTGGATGGGCAATTATAATAAAAATGAATTTTTTAATAAACCTTTTAATCATATTACTTCCTATTTTGTGTGTGCAGGAATTGGTGGTGGAATAGCAGCTGTAGTGACAAATCCCCTTGATGTTATAAAGACAAGGATCCAGACAGAATGTTTTAATATTAAAGGTTTCAATTTTTATCGTATGGTGTCTAATTTATATTATAAGGAAGGTATTCGCTCTTTTTTCAAGGGATCTTTGGCAAGAATGACCTTGTGCATTCCTGCTTCGGCCATATCATGGGGAACTTATGAAACAATGAAGCAATTTTTCAAAGTTAACTTTAATTCAGTGTAGCTTTATTTTGCGAAAAATGGGAATATATGTTTTTAGTGTTAGAGTTAATGGAATAAAATTTCGCTTGCATTTATTTAATCCATTATTACAATATATGCCACTTTGTTTTTACATTTTTTTTTTTTTTTTTTTTTTTTTAAAGCATTTTGATTTTTGGATATAAAGGAAAATTACGTGCCGAGTTTTGTTGTGCATATGTTTCTGTATGCATATATCAATAGTTTGCAATTATGTGTGGACGTCCCATATAGCCATCAATATGCATAATATGTGCCTATTTAAGTAGACAATTCAGAATAACATAACAGGTTTATAGTCAATTTTTTTCAGTTTTTTTTTTTTTTTTTTTTTCTTTATTTTTTTTATTTGCAAAGTATGAATTTGCTATGGTGTTTAAACTTAGTTAAAAGAATTCAAGAAAAATATCAGTATGTTTGAGAATTCTCATTTAATGGTATATTAAAATATATGCTCACTACTAAATGGCATATATGTAAAACAATTTTTCGAAAATTGTGCTTCTTTTTTTTTTTTTTTATTTCCTTTTAGTTTGAATAAGCTTTCTATTTATCGATAATAGGACAGAATTGTTTTTTTGTCTAATCATATCATGTCAGTGCTTGAATGTGTGTCTAAAAAATAAACGTAACGTAACAAAAGGAGTGAAAAAAGACATCAATTTACGATAAGAGTGGGTGGGAAATTTCGCCAATTGTTAGGATGGGGTGCAAAATTTAATATACCTTTTTTGGGGGATAAAACTTGGTGTATAACTCCAATATTAATTATAATGAATGAGTGAAAACATTCTTATGTATTTAAGTAATATTTTTTTTTTGCTTGCAAAAGAGGTAAAAAATGTTTAGACAAGTTCAAATAAATAATAGTTACACAAAAGGGAAAAATTGAATTCGTTGGAAAATTCGAGTGGCAATGAATGCTTAGAAGGGTATATTTTTATATGTAATCTCATGTCAACTAGGACCATGTATCATATGTTTTACACTTGTGCTTGTTAAATAAGATTGAAAAAAAAAAAAAAAAAAAAATTTTAATAATGCTACATTCCATCGTATAACTTAGAAAAAAATTTCATCTTTTGCATTTCAGTTTTCCAATTTTTGTAGATTAAAAATTTCCTCATTTTTTTTAACTGAAACCAATTTTTTTTTTTTTTTTTCCCCACTGATGTGATTACAAAGGAAGACTCTTTTAAGCCCATCCTCCTGGTTTATCAGTTCGATTATTATATATATATTTACATATGCATGTATCATATAAAATATAACACTGTTTTTTACAGAGAAAATATATTGTATTAAACATTTTGCGCTCTTCTTATATTGAATATGTTTTTCTCCTAGTTAAGTTTTTTGTATTATTTTTTATTTCCCTCCCACACTCTCAACTTGAGAGTTTTATATTAATTGCTGTTCCTTATGCATTTTCATAAAAATACGGGGGATTTTGCTTTCGTGCATATATGAGATGTATGCTAAATTGCTTTTTGTGCCTTTTATGTACTTTATATATTTTTTCACATATTTTAAATAACATATTTTGATATGTTAGCCTTAATGTATGGTATGACATAGCATAAATTTAATTTTTTTTTTTTTAAACGTGTGCTACCTGCTTTTGATAAATACATATATTTTTTGTTTTTTTCCGTAATTTCAATTTTTTTTATTTTTTCCCTTTATAAACACAGGGACTTTCTTCCTGTGTTTACAATGTATTATTTCCTTTTTATAGTATTTTCATAATGCAAAAAGCGCTTTTTTTTTTTTTTTTTTTTTTTTTTCTTATATGTTAGTACAATTTTACATGTCAATTTTTTTTTTTTTTCCATCCCATAAGTAGCAGTAATTTTACACAAGTGGGATACAAACAAATTTGTATTGAACAAAAACAATAAAAGCAAAAAAATGAGCAACACGAGCGACACAATTTATACGGAAAATATCTAAGAACATGGGTGTATATTATATACATTTTTTTATATGCATAACTGCATCTTAACTTTAGATATAAGAATTCACACGTCTGCAATAATAACAATTTGACAAGTGTTGGAGGGGGTGTATATAACACATTTCACTTTTCGTTAAATATTTTTTTACTTTCATCAACTGTGGAGAGAAGAACAAATAACACATTTTTCTTTGGGAAGACCACAGGTGTTACTTATGTGTATATTGCAAAAAACAATAAGAAACAAATGATTGTCATCTGTTGAATTGTTTTACGAATGATTTAAGAAGCTCATTAACCAGCTTATTTAAGAAGACCATTTAACACATACATAGATATGTATATGCATGTATACTTAGATGCATATATACAAAGTTCATAACCCCCTTTCTCCACACAATACTTTTGTTCTTATTAAAAATTGTTAGAATGTTTTTGTTTACTCCTTCAGTGAAGTGACTACATATATATATATATACGTGATAAGTTCATTTTTCAGCATATTCATAATTGTCTGAAAGGCGTACTATTTTTAGAAAATATTTGCATGAATACACATTCATGAATAAGTACACGCCTTTTTATGTTATACCATATTTTATGTACACAGGAGAGTAGTTACTTATGGATATATCCACATGTTAAATCGAAATCAGCGTATATTATAAACATATTGAGTTGCTATGTTGATATTAACGTGGAGGGAGATAAAAGGTATCAAAGTGAACTACATTTTTGTGTGTGTGAATTATAAAACGTGCCAAGTGGTTACACTGAAGAAAATTTATTAATTCAGGAATATCGTTTCATATGAACAACAATTTAGCAAAAAGGAAAAAAAAAAAAAAAAAGAAAAAAGTTTTTATCCAAATGTTAATAGCAACAATTTAAGTAGGACAAATTTTTCATCATAGATAAAAATATATATATATATATGTTTATATATATATTTATATATATATATAACTATGTATATGCAGAATTCATCATCGAACAATCTCTTCGGATCACTTAACAACCAAGGAAACAATGCAAATAAGGGTATATTTGGAAATGCAAACACTCAGTCAAACCTAACGAACACAAACCATTCTTCCATTTTTGGAGTTTCCAAAACACAACAATCGAATAATGCGCCAGTAAATAAAAATATATTTAATGTGAATACAAGTTCCACAGGATTAAGTGTAAATAAAGGATTATATGACAATATGAACAATCAGTCCAGCCTAAGTAACAAGAATATATTTGGAGGATCAAGCGCGGGAAATAGTGGAAATCAAGGAAGCATGGGTGGAAATAATATGTTTATGAATTCAAGTAATCAGAATAATTTAAATATGAAAAATATATTTGGTGGTACATCAAATTTAAATGCTTCAGGAACAAACTTATCGAATAAAAGTATTTTTGGAGGTTTACAACAAAATAATCAAAGTTCTACTATATCATCCAGTAATCTTTTTGGAAATTTATCACCTAATCAAACAAGCTCAGGAAATATGTTTGGTAATTTGTCTTCCCCGAATCAAAATAAAGGAAATAGTTTATTTGGAACATCAACGCAATCAAACCAAACAACTGGAAGTAATATGTTTGGAAATGCATCATCATTGGGACAGAACAAAGGTGGTGGGCTTTTTGGCGCATTACAAACTTCCACTCAAAGTAGTACAAGCAATAGTATGTTTGGAAATGCATCTGGTTTGAATCAAAATAAGAGTAATAATAATCTCTTCGGAGGAATGTCTAGTACCCCTTCTACAAGTGCAGGGTCGGGGAATTTATTTGGAAATGCGTCCACAATGAATCAGAATAAAACAGGAGGTGGACTTTTTGGTGCGTTACAAACTCCAATTCAAGGAACTACGAATAGTATGTTTGGAAGTGCAGCAGGAATGAACCAAAATAAGGGAAGTAGTTTATTTGGTGGTACTTTTGGAACACCAACGCAATCAAACCAAACAACTGGAAGTAATATGTTTGGAAATGCATCATCATTGGGACAGAACAAAGGTGGTGGGCTTTTTGGCGCATTACAAACTTCCACTCAAAGTAGTACAAGCAATAGTATGTTTGGAAATGCATCTGGATTGAATCAAAATAAGAGTAATAATAATATCTTTGGAGGAATGTCTAGTACCCCATCTACAAGTGCAGGGTCGGGGAATTTATTTGGAAATGCGTCAACAATGAATCAGAATAAACCCAGTAGCGTTTTTGGAAATTTACAATCATCTAATCAAAGCACAACAAGTAGCAACAACATGTTTGGTAATTTATCAACCAATCAAAACAAATCAACCACAGGAGGAAATATCTTTGGAGGAATGTCCACAACATCAGGAACAAGCACAAATACAGGGATGAATAATAATTTATTCGGGAGTACAGTACAAGGAAGTCAAAATAAAACAACTAGTAACATTTTTGGTTCATTGTCAGGAGGAACTCAAGCTGGTAGTAGTAACAGCTTGTTTGGTACTACAACTACTCCAGCTGCAAGCATGGGAAGTACCAACATGTTTTCATCTAGCATGACAACTCCAAATAGCCAAAATAAATATAATAACATATTTGGACAAGCAGGAACAACTGGTCAGAACACATCAGTGAGTTCTGTTGCGACAGGTATTGCACCCACATCTTCATTAGGAGCAGCACAAAGTGGTAGCACTAATAATATATTTGGAAATGTATCAACAGGTACGAATATAGGGGGTGGTGTAGGTGATAATAAAAATATATTTGGAACATCGTCTGGTTTTTCGTTAGGTACTGGAAATGTCAATGCGGGTTCAACCACAGGAGTTGGAGGAATGGGAGCTGGGTTTGGCATTGGTGGAGTTGGACTAGGTTTAGGAACAAATATGGGTACAAATATGGCGACCTCAGGTATGGGTACTAACATTTCCCCAAACATGGCTTCACATATGTCATCAAACGTGGCATCTAACGTGGCATCGAACGTGGCATCAAACATGGCGTCAAATTTTGCATCTAACGTAACTTCAAACATGGGTTCAAATTTGAACACGAGTTTAAATATGGGAACCAATGCAGCAACAGCTTCCAACGCAAGTGGATCAAGTCTATTTGGTGGCTTAGGTGTAGGACTGAATAAAAATTTAGGCTCGAACATTATGATGGGTAGCAATAATTTGAGTATGGGGATAAGCACAGGTACTACAGCTAGTGGGACATCAACAAATATGTTTTTAGGAGATAAAAGTATAAATAGTAATGCTAGTACAATAATAAATACACAGGAAAAATTGTTGTCAGATGATAAAGGAAAAATAAATAATTTCATGGTACAGAATTTTAAAATTGATAAGAAAAATGAAATTGGTAACTGTAAAGATGATTTAGGGAAATCCACTGAAGACTTAACAATTGTAAAAAAAAAAGAAAATATTTTTGATAAAGCTTATGAAGACGATGATATGTTTAGTGAAAATGAGTCAGAAGGAACATTTTACAATTATATTAATTTAATTATAAATGACAACATAAATGATATACAGAAGACAACATTTTCTCTATTGAATGATCATGATTCGTTAATGTGGGACAGCTTTAAAAGTAATATTTTCAAAAATTTTGTAGATTATTTAGTTAATTTTAAACAGAAAAAAAATCAAAAAATTGCTAAAAGTAATGTGTTAGATTTAGATCAACATGAATTTCAGATATTAATTTGGCTGTACAACGTGAATTCATATAAAATTGATTTCATTCCGTTTAAGAGTTTTTATTATTTATTATTAAGTGACACCAATTTAAATTATTCTAAAATTTTTATTGGAAATAGAGATAAAAATATATTTCCAGGGAGTTTTGTGGAAATTAATGATCATTATTACATGAACTCAAAAAGCCATTTTTTCAAATCACAAATTAGTAAATATCAAGAAAGTACCATTATTTCAAGGCGAGACAAACGACGGGGCAGAGGAGGTGGACAAGGTGTGACAAATGTAAGTGCGTTAGATGTAGATTCCATTTACAAGCAGGTTTTAAAAGATATTTTAAATAGCTTATTAAACATGAATTTATCTATAACCAAGGAAAATATAAAAAAAAAGGAAAAAGAAGAATATTATGAAAGCACGGATAATAATAAAGATAAGATAAATTCAGGCATTAATTATACATACGAAAATTTGTTATTAAATTATTTATTTGGAACATTGCAGCATTTACATGATAAGTTTTACAAAATTGAAATAAGTAATTATGTTGCCAAGGATTTAAATCAGATAGACGAATATTTTGTTGATTCCAAATCTAATGCTATTTTTTCCTATTGTTATGACAATTTTTATAAAAATGAAATGGATAAGGAAAATTGCACCATCCATTTTTTCTTTTATCTAGTCAATATAATGTTTCGTTGTGGAAATTATTTAGGGTTAATTCAGATAATAAAAGGGGATGAGTTTGTGAAGAACTTAAGTATTGATAATTACCTATACGATTTCGTGATACTGTTAATAAGAATTTTATTCTTAATTTATAATAAAAATAACGAAATAAATATATTCGAAAATATCAAGATCGATATCGATTGTACAGATATATTAAAGAAAAAAATTAACATGTCTGTTTTGATTAATTTTTTCCATTCCATTATATATCTCTGTGTTAATAATATATATGCATACGATTTGTTATGCGTTTTGTTTTCGGATATATTTTATAAAAAGGGAAATATGTACACCAATAGAGAGAAAAAAATGGAGATGAAAAATATATTTCACTATTTTAGTGAAAAGAGTCCTAGTTATGAAAACAATAGTGATGATAATGATGATAACGCCACTCGTATTGGTGCTAATGGTAATGTGGGATCAGGAGTTGAGAAGGGTTACATGAGAGAAACACATCGAGATCGAAGATCCATGGGTCAGTACAGTGATGATTACTACCAAAATCAGAATGATCAATATTGGGGTAGCTTCTATGATGACAAGAATCGAAGACGTCAAGGGAAGGATGCTCGAAGTTGTAGGATGTCGAGCAATCAGCAAAATGCTGATCAGAACGAGGATATGATTGATATTGAAATGAGAAAGAGTAGTAGATATAGGAATAAAAACAGGATAGATGAGAATATTAATAATGGAAAGGAGCAGGGGAGGAAGGGATACAATAGTAGCGATGAAAATAGTAAGTTTGTGAAAGATAAGAAAGGGGAAAAAAGTAAAGAAAAAACCTTTTTTTTTGACATTTTTACAAATATGCTTCAGAAACCGAATAAATCTAAAGACGATGCTTTTGGAAATATAGGAATAAATGAAGAAATGGAGGATAGAATGAATAGAGGTTCTGGACAAATAAGTAATATCGAATCGTTAGGAATCACAAATAGGTATGGTTATAATTTTGAATACTGTAACATCGAAACGAGTATTTGGATTGAGTTAACATTATTTCTTGCGAAAAATTTTGATTTGTATGGAAGTAAATTTCAAGAAAATTTTGATATTCTTGATACGAATTTAAGTTTTTATAATTATGATGATGATAATAACGCGTTTTTAAATGACACAAAATATAGAAGGGAGAAAATAAATAACAAAATTGAAAAATTATTTATTTGTATATCTAACTGTATTATTAATGAAAACAGAGAATACTTTTCTGTGTGTTCTAAGCTGAGAGTTGATGAAGTGATAAATAATTTTGTTGTAGTAGATGGGAAAATAGCTGAGAAGGTCAAGGGAAATATATCAAAAGTTTTAAGGAACAATTTCGTATTATATATTAAGTTATTTTATTATTTATTATTAGTAGGAAATATATATACAACTGTAGCGTTTCTATCATGTATATCTAACAATGTTCAGAGAATTCTCCTAGTATTGACTATATTTTTACATAAAAACAATATTTTTGAAAATGAAAAATTGAATAATATAAAATTAAAAACGTTGCATTTTTTAAAATTAAAAAATGAAAGCGATTCATTTTTAGATCATTCTATACATGATATTAACGACGATATCCCTTCCGCTGCTGCCGCTGCTGCTGCAGCGGTAGAAGCAACAACAACAGTGGTAACATCATCAGCAGACAAAATGAATTTAATTTTCATAAGCATGAATAGTATTGATATCCCATTTTATTATTTTGTTCTTAGAAATAATAACATAAATATTTTATTAAAAATTACGTATATACTTAATTTAAAAACAAATGTAAGTATAAAATTGTTAAAAAGTATCGTACAGGAAAATCAAGATATCTTATTAAATGAAAGCATAGTTGGGCATATAAATAATGATGGAAATATATTCTATGGGAAATTACATGACTTTTTATTTATATTTAAAAATAAAGTAAAAATAAGAAAAGATGTCAAATGCTATTTTTTAATGTATTACGTTCTATATAAAAAGAGATTTTTTCACAATACTAAATTGAGTAAAAAGAAAAATGAAAATGATGAAGAATATCATTACAAATGTAGGAATTTCAAATATGTTCAGAATAAAAATATTAACTCCTTGAATAGAATATCACTAGACAACTCTGTCATCAGTGTGCACCCATCTATTCTATACAAAATATCCCAGATTTATGCTATACTGGCTTATTTTGCCAACCAGCGAAAGAACTACATAATTTCGTTCATATGTTATTACATCCTCAAGGACGAGCATAGCGCAATCAATTCCTTGATTAGGATTTACAATGATGAACTTATATACTACTACCACAACAATGAGCGGGAGTACGTTTATATTCGCAAGTGTGCCTTTCGATTTTATCACTTGGCTAGGGTATGAGAGAGTGTCATTTGAGCGTCTGTAGCATGTGATGTATGCATAATTTTGCGCTTCTTCATTTGTGTTGTGTATATATATATATATATATATATATATATATATATGTGTGTGTGTGTATATTTTTTTTTTTTTTTTTTTTTTTTTTTACGTTCATTATTTTTACTGCTTCTCACATATTGTTCCTCGGAATTATTTACACTTTTAACTTTTCCCTTCCCTTCCACACACAGAATATGTGGCCCTCAAATGTAAAGCTAGAATCAATAGAAAACAAATCGTACCTAATTCTAAGCATCCTATTTATGAAAAGAAAAATGTTTGAAGAAGCATTTGTAATTTTTTCGTCCACCTTAATACCCAACAACATGCTAGAGAAACTGTCCACAGCGGATTACTACAATATTGATTTGTCTTCCAACTTTTTAATGACTTTGCGGGAGTTGTGTAGGAAAAATTATCGGGTATGTATGAAAAAGAAAATTTGCATGTGCATTGTCACTTCTGTTGTGTTACATGTATGTTTATTTTTTTTATCACGAGCTTTGCTGGGGCCCTTAATGTTTTTTTTTTTTTAGTTTTTCACCATTTTTTTTCCTTTTTTTTTTTTTTTTTGCAGATAAATGAGCTTGTAGGACAGACAACTCTTCACGCTGTTGTTAAATTTTTATTACCTATTAAGGATAAATTAGATGTGCAAGTTGTTGAGAGTATTAACTATTTGAGTGCATTAAGTTTTTAAAATAAAAACACACCATTTTGTTTAGTATTGACGTGCACATAAGTTTATTTTATTATATCTGGTTATGTGCTCTTGTCGGATGGAATATTTGTCTTGGTAAAAAAAAAAAAAAAAAAGTGTCATTTTTAGTAAGTAGTTTTTAATATATATGAATTTGTGACAGAACATGAATGCGTCAAAAATCCATTTTGTTGTTTCACCTAACATGATTATATATGTGTGGGTGTATAAACTTATATTATGTATATATAAACACACGTAAACGTTTTGCATGAAAAAAAATATGTGCTACATTTACACCGAACGAGGCAGTAAAAACATTTCTAATATTATTTTTTACCAAATGTTTTTTAAAGTATATTTGTATCTTTCATGATATAATTGCCCTTTTTCGTTTTGTAAAGTAATGAAAAGAAAATACACTTAAATTAGTATTCATATAACCGTGTCACGAAAATATGGGTTAATTTTCAAAGAACCAAAACTTCCCATTTGTTAATTTTTTCCCCTATAAAATATATCAGTTGGGGTGAAATATAGATATGTATGTGTGTATGAATGTATATATATATATATATACATGTGCCTAACTGACGTTTGAGCTAAGCACACCGAATCATACAATTGACAAAGTTGATATAATAAAAAAAAAAAAAAAAAAAAAAAAAAGCGATAGCTTGAGCGTGTGGAAAGGTGGATAAAACGAATTTTCTTATTTCCATTTTTCATGAAAACAAAAGGAAAGGATTATATTAAGAGCAATTTTGCTTTAGTTAAAGGAAGAACTTATGAAGGGGAAAAAAGATAAATAAACAAAAAAATAAAAACACTGTGATGTTATATATAACATATGTACCCTGTGATGTTATATATAATTTATGTACACTGTAAAGTATCATATGTGTGCTGCGCATAAGGTTACATACGCGCGCTTAGCACTAGGGTTATATTCTTTTCGTTTTTTGTTATATGCATATGGGACACTTTTCTCGTTATAATAGAGGGTTTGAAATTAATTTTTGATCAATTTTTTTTTTTTTTTTTTTTTTTTTTTTTATTATGAAGGTACATATTACTATTTGTTAGTTAAAGCCCTTTTAATTTTAACAAAGCTTGGAAAAGAGTTGAAAATTCCATTTTAGGAAATAATTTTCTTCTTTCTGCTTTGCTTAAATCTTTTTGTATATTGACTTGAAAATTCGAAAAATTTCGCACATTTGGGTATATTATCTCCCTATTGGTACACACTTTTTGAGTATAAATCATTCTGGAGAAAGAAAAAAAACGACGCATGCGTGATAGAATAAAAAGAAGAGGCACTCGTTACAAGAATGATTGACACATAAAGCTGAAAAGGATCCCTTTTTTTTTCATCTTCTGCTCATTATTTCCCATATCTTCTTTTTTTTTGTTGTTATTTTTTTTCATCACTACAACTTCCGACCACTGTACTTATACTATGACTGCTAGAAAAAAAGAGAGTTACATAAGATGATTAATATACTATATTTATGCAATCGAAGAAAATTTCACCGAATCAGTAGTAAATTTATACCCGGGTTATTATGCAATTATTATAGCACAGCGAAAGGTGATAATGCCACAACCGTTGATAACAAGTATATTTATAATGTGTATAAACTGGACGACATATATTACAATAATTTGAAAGTAATAAATAATTATGATGAATATCACAATTTAATTATCAAAAATGAATATTTCAAGGATTATTCTCAGATACAAAATAAATATAATTTGGGACACAGCAGGGGAAATATTAATGAACATATGATGACTCACGGGTTTCAACCGTCCATAGAAGAAAGAAAGGATACGATGGGAACAGATTTAGGAGAAATAAATGAAGAACAAGAATGCAAAAATATAATTACGTCTAACGACTTACAAGTTCTATATTTTGGTAGTTATGAAAATAACATTAGTGTAATATTATTTGAGAAATTTAAAAGTATAATTGAAAAAAATAAGAAACTACAATTTTTTTTTCTTGACATTAATGTTTGTCCACAGTGTTCTTACAATTGTGATATCACATATGTACCTTGTGTATGCTTAATATATAAAAATCATATATATAGAAAAAAAATGGAAATAAATTATGAAAACCCCATTAATGAGCAGTACCTCAATGAATATTTGAATAATGTGCAAAAGAGCATAGATTCTTTCCATGCATACAATAATAAGTTTATCTACAAATTGAAGAAGCAAAGCAATTACTTGAACACCAAATATATAGATATTGACAATCAGAACATCCATAAGGAAAACTGGAATACCTTTTAATGTGTGCTCAGTGAGGATCTTAATAACTGGGAACATGTGCACATAGGTTTATGAACGAGTTCCTCTTAGTAGTAACTATTCATGCGTATGTATGTTCGTATGTATGTTCGTATGTATGTTCGTGTGTATGTGTGTGTGCATGTCAGCATACATACACGAATATATGCATATAGGTATATATTCTCTGCAGCCTTGTTCCCCATCTGAACATACGTACGATTTTATCCCGTTACAAACTCCTCTTGGTGTGTTGCAAATCAGCTACACCGTTTCATCATTTTTTATAGCGTGTTTCTATATGTTACATCACCTTGTTATGTTAACCAAGGTCAAATTATTGTCATGAATTTTTTTACGCCTAAAAAGATATCTTAGTTGATATTGTATTTTTTCTTAATATAAATATTTGCTTATTGGAGAAATGAAAAGTCGAACAATGACATTTCTATTTTTTTTTTTTTTTTTTTAACAACTCATTAATATAGAAGTGTACATAATATGTGTATGTAGCATATTTTATGTACATTTATCCCCATTGAGAAAAAAAAAAAACAAAGAAAACATCCATTCTATTTATAGCTCAACAGTTATTTAACAATTAGCACGTAGCTAAATGTTTTCTTTTTCAAAATTTATGTAATTCTATTTTGAAAAAGCAAGAAACGGAAACAAAAAAAAAAAAAAAAATAAAATAAAATAAAAGTCAAAAAAAAAAAAAAATGATTAAATAACATCCCAGTGTGTATATAATTCTTAAATAATCTTAAGGTTCTTGTGCTTTTATATGTACTTTAAAAAAAAGAAGAAAAAAATCATTCTGTTTTTGTCATTGTTGTTATGTTTTTTTTATTTTTCTTTTAAATGTGTATTATTGAATCTTGAATCTATGTCCCCTCGGTTACATTATACACCTTTTTGTATGAAGTTTTATGCATTTATTAGTTTTTTTGCTTCATGATAACCTTTTATTTTTCCTCAGCTACATATATATATGTGTGTATGTGAAATGTATTTATGTTAATATACATCTATGTAAATATATATTTATAGGAATGTGAACTTGTTCAAGTACTCCGCCACCCCTTATTCGAATACACAAATATAAATATGCGTTTATGTATAAATATACTGATTTGGTGCTTTCTTTAATGTCACTAGAGAAATTCCCATATTTTTGATAGCCTAGCAACCAAAGTAATAGAAACTATACATATAGCGAGCACGATAAAAATACTTTTATTTTTTTTTTTTTTTAGTATTTATACATATGTACATAATTATATGTGTTTTTGTTTACGTTTTTTCTTATCCTTTCAACTTTATTTTATATACCCATTTCTGTCCCCCTTTGGATTATTAACAGTTAGATATGTTCTTTTTTGCGTAAACTATGCTAGACTGATTCAGATACCCTTAAGAGTGTTTTTACACGTGCCACATTTTAAAGTGTTAACACTTATGTACCTTTTTTAAAAAACGATTATTTAGAATTAAAACATCATTTGATGCGTATTTCTTTTTACTCCTCTTTTTTTTTTTAATTAGCCCATGTGAACGACTATAGTGTGTTTTAGTTAATTCAAGAACATGAGTATTATATAGTTCTTTCGGTTAACTTATATGCATGTGCTTATGGTGCGTGAATATGTGCATGTATAATATATGTATGAACATACCTAACACTGACACATATACAACAGACACAGAAGAGAGGGGGAAAAAAAAAAAAAAAAAAAAAAAAAAAAAAAAGGTCTTAACCGAGTCTACGGAAACATTATGAAAATAAGCTTAGGAAATAAACTCATTTTGAAATTTTGTTTTCATCTCTCATAATGTTTAGTACCATTCATTATTATTCCTTTTTTTTGTACCTTTTTAACGTAATTTTTTTTTTTTTTTTCACGTATCATATGAGAATGTACATGTTTAGTGTGCCATTCTTTATATATATATCCTATGAGTAACATTTTGACAGAATGGCAAAAAGTGTTTTATTACTTAGTAACATAAACGATAATGTGAAAAATAAAATAAATTCCTTGAAGATAGAAGATGTAGAAGGGGTCGAAGGGCTCACTTTTACAAATAATTCTGCCTCCATATTGTTCAATGATAGTATTATTGATGCTAATAGCTTAGTAGCAATTATTAACAGTAGTAAGGATATTAATGGGATTTTTCAAGAGAATGAAGAAGTAGAAAAAATGAATGAAGAAAACAAAAATGTTCATTGTGAAAATGGAGAATATGTAAATAAACTAACATTTTGTCCAAATGAAGACTACACACAATGTAACAATCAAAATTGTTATATTAAAAAAACATTTACTGAAAAAAATACGGATGATGAAATAAACTCAACAGAGTTAATATATTGGAAGGATAACGTAACTTCATTACATGTTCATGACATTGATAAAGACATGGAATGTGGTATCAAGGATACAAAACATGTTAATACAAAAATTAGGGAACCGTTCGGAAACACATGTGGTGGAAAAAATTACTATGAAAATGAATATCAAGAGATTTATAATAAAAATGTGAATGATGGATTTTATGCCATATCAGGAAGTAATGAGGATACAGATAATGTTAAGGCTTATGAATTTGATAATAAAATCCAAGAGCATCATGTTAATAATAACATGTTGAGGGATGTTCACATTGATAACACACGAAGCAGAAATGTACATGCAGTGGAATCCACATATAATTATATAGAATTGAGGAATGAACAGAGAAGTGACAAAGACCACCTCGAGAGTGAAAAACTCAGCGTCTTTGAATTGCTCAAGAACAACAAAGGTGAGAATAGCAAATTGAATAAATATTACAACGTGAAAATCGATAGTAGAAGGGGTATAATGTCTCAGGAAAAGGAATTTGAGCTAGGTAAAGGGAATTCATTTGTAAGCAACCACAGTAGGAGCGGTAATATTTTTCAAGATTATGAAACTTACAGAGGGAAGAGAGAAAATATGTACATCTGTGAATTGAGAATTTACAACATGACATGCGATAATTGTGGGAATAAAATTATAAGTTTTTTAAAAGACAAAAATTTAATTGTGGATGGTTATAGTTTTGCTACGGATAGTAAAATAAAATTAAAATTGGACGTTTCCGAAGGGAATTCTTATAGACCTAGTAGTAGTATCGATGAAAAGAATGACGATAACAAAAATAGTATTAAAATTTTCGTGAACAAAATAATGAGTGAAATAAAAGATAGTGGATTCAACAACGATTTAATAGACTTGTATAAAGAAGAAGATAATAATAATAAAGATATTTTGTTTGATATAACTTTATATGTGTTCAGAGATGATGTAATAAAAGCACATGGTTTATTAAAAAGTTTGAAGGGAATTAAAAGTGTGGAATATGATGTTCGACAAGAATATATTTACATCTTGTATAACCCTGATGTGATAGGTATTAGATTGATATTGGAAATATTAAAAAAACAAAAGAATATCGATGCTTATTATGATGAAGACAAAGAAAAATATTTTAGAAGCACGAGAAATAATGAAACAAATAATTCTCTCAAGTTAATTGAATTGATATGCTGCTTTTTTCTGAGTATCATGATTATAATTCTTAATAATTATCAGATGAATATGGGATCAATGAATGGCTTCTATTCCTATGGTAATTACAAGAGTTACATGAAAATGTTTAATTTTTTACACTTCGGAAATGTAAAGGATAAAATTTATGAAGAAAATTTCACACATGAACCCTCAATTGAGTCAAATGCAGGGAAAAATAATTTCCCTGAATTTTTTTTTAGTAAGCATTATTTTTCGACAGCGGGTGAGGAGGACAAGGAGATGACTAAACCAGATAGAAACTCAGTTCGCTCTTTTGGAACAAATGAAATGTATGATAAGAAGAAAATGAAGGAATTTCAAAAGGTTGAAAGTGGTAATAGAAACAAGAATAGTAAGGAGAAGAAGCAGAATTCAATTGATCATACTGACAAGTATGAATTGGATCCCAAAGCAAAGGGACACAAAAATTCAGATAATTCAACAGTTTCCTACCCGGAAGGAATAGATGTCACAATGACACAGGATAAACTTTCGAACTATGAACAAGATAGTAAGAATAAAAATCTGCAAGGGAGGAATGTCTTGGAGAAAGAATCGATAAAGATGAAACATGGAAAAGTGTCTAGTAAGCCACTCAATAAATATGTAAAATCAGTTTTGAAAGAAAAACAAACGAAAGAAGGTGAAAAAGATAATATAACACTGTCAGACAAATCTGAATCAAAAATGCTCATAGAGAATCATTTGAATAGTAAATTAGAATCTGGAAATGTTATACGAAAAAATATGCATAGTTCGATGAATGTTATTCCCAACTCTAATTTTTTTCTCAAGGTATATTCAAATATTAGTGATAAAAAGAAAGAGAATTTTCCCGAAATTAACGAAATAGATTTTTTGTTTGATTTTCGACGAGATTTTAAGCGAAAAGAAGAGTCAAGGAGTTTGAATTCAAAGGTAACTTCTAATGATGTTGTATTATCATGTTTGGATACTACTTCAAGGAAAGACGCTCCAGTGAAAGACATGGAATATTTTCGCTCCCGCTTTAGTAGAGGGTTAAATATGAGTAGGAATCCTCTAAATAAGAAAACGGAGGTACAAACAAGAAAGGAAGATAAAGTGGAATTTTTCCACGAAGGAAATTTGAAAGAAGAGGATGTAAAAAATTGTATATGGATGAAAAAGAAAAATTCGAATGATGAACCCAAAAATACGGTTGAGAAGAATGGACTCTTGAAATCACAATGGTTTCTTGATGATAATACATTATATGATACTATGATGAATATGTCTATAAGTACCTATTTAGACAATAAAATATTCGGAAATTTACCCCTGAGATTATTGTTAATTTTCCTGTTAAGTTCAATTGTTTATATTTATTTTGGATTTCACTTTGTTTTGAGCGGATACAAGAATTTAAAGAACGGAATAATTAATATGAATGTTTTAATTTCAATTAGTTCATCATTTTCTTATTTTTACTCTCTACTGCTTTTGTTATTTTGCTTGTTTTTTTATGTGGATTTGGAAGGAATTCCACTTTATTTCGATTCTTCAGCTTTGCTAATATGTATAATGAGAATGGGCTTCGAAATTGAGAACTTTTTAGTAAGTTTTACAAAGAAGAAAATGGAAGATTTATATGAAAAGAATACCAAGCATGTGTACATCCTGGAAAAGAGGAATGACAAAACGGATGATTCAAAAACGGTAAATGAGCAGATAAATAATTGTCCATTTGGCAGTTCACAAAGTGGAAAGAACAACATATCGATTCTTAATATTATCAATTCGAATAAAGATGATATTGTATTCAAAAGTGGAAATCAAGGTTTGTCTCCTACAGGAAGCGGTGCACTTTCCAATTTTTGCAAAAATAGCGATAACTATTCAAGGAAAGAATTTAAGATTGCGAATGGAAGAAGAGGAGGAGAAGAAGAAGAAGAAACAGGATATGAAAATTACAACAACGCTTTTCATCGAGATAAACCTAAAGAAATAAATATAAGCAAAATATTTTGTGAAGATAAAAAAATTAATATAAATGATTTTATTATAAATAGTTACCCTGTTCAATTTATACAAAAGTATGACATGTTAGTGTTTTATGAAGGGGATACGTTACTAGTTGATGGGATTAAAATGAATGATGATATTTCTTATGTAGATGAAAGTATGATAAGTGGAGAAAAAAAAGCAATTACAAAATTTAAAGGTGATAAAATATATGCTGGATCTAAATGTATGCAAGGGGTAATAATTCTCTATATTGACAACATTTCTAAAGGAAATTATATTGAATATGTAAAGAAAACATTAGATGAAGTTAACTGTAAAAAAACGAATTTGCAATTATATGCAGATAAAATAGCTAGTATATTTATTCCATTTATTATAGGACTATGTGTTGCAGTATTTTTCATTTGGTTCATTCTGACATACTTTGAATATGTAAATATAAAAAAAGACAATTATTTTAAGTTAAATAAACTTTTATCATGTATCTTTTTTTCAATTCATTTTTCTTTATCAATATTATGTGTGGCATGTCCATGTGCTGTTGGACTAGCAAGTCCTCTATCCATTGCCATAAGTTCGTATATATGCAGTACCATTGGAATTATAATAAAGAATATAAACATTTTTGATATTTTTTTGGAATGTAATCATTTTATATTTGATAAAACCGGAACATTAACAATTGGAAAACCAGTTGTCAACAAGGTGTATATATCTACTAACTTAGAAATGTTTACAGATCAACTGTTGAAAGGTAGAGGTACACCAAGAAATAATTTAGAAGTAAATTTTACTTATGATAATATGCCTAATGGGTTTAGCAATATATCCAATGATGAAAATCAATTTCGTAATTTTCATCCTCATAAGAGGAAGGGGAAAAATGCACATACAAAAACTTCCATTACAGATGATAATAGTGAAAAACGTATGTACAATCATAATCTGGACACTTCTTCTAGTGATGAGAATCTTTGCAACATCAATGATAAGACAAATGAAGTAAGCGTTTTGCATACTTCGAACGATGGAGATAAGATCCGAAAGGATGAAAACATTCATCTGGTGAAAGGAAAAATGCATAATTTATTGGCTTACCAAAGACTCACAAATGAAAATGAAGAAAAAAAAGTACTGAAGGAAGATAGAAATAGGAATAATAATAGGACGTTAAATTTTATAGAAAGTCTTAACTGTTCAGGTAGAAATGTTACTTTTTATTCCTTTACGACGCAAAAGGATTATTACAAAATTGAGATAAAAAAATCATTGATAAGAACAGAAGAGAGAAGTAGTGATAGAAGTTTAACCGAAATGGAAAACGTTGCATGTAGTGGAAAAAAATCCATTTTTAATCGTATAGTGTCATTTATAAATAATAAAAGAAAGAAAAGTAAATATAATAAAATAGGAAACAAATCTCTTAAGGAATATTTTATAAATGATTGTGAAATTTCTATATCATCATATGATGATGATTCATACACTAGCGAAACAAGTAGTGAAAATAATGACACTAGCATTACAGATACAGAGAATAGACAAGTACCATATGGTGAAGAATATGAAAATAAACACATGAGAAATATAAATAATGAGCGTTCATTTGATGATAAAAATAATTTAAGTGAAAAAATTAAAAATTGGTTATACCTGTTCCTAAGTTTAAGTTCGAATTTGGAAAAATATAGTAATCATTTATATGCCACTTCTATAAATACATATGTAAATACTAACTTTTGCATTAATGAAACATTTGACATTCAAAATTTAAAGAATGAAAAAAATCAAGGAATCACTGGTGTAATAAATGATCTATCTGTCACCATTGGTACTTTATACTATTGCTACACGAAATATAAAAATTCACACTGCTGTCATTCAGAGGAAGCAGTTGAAGAAAAATTGAACATGAAGAATTTTGAGGCTAATCTGTATTCCTGTGATTGTAATGTACATAAGACTTATCAATATTTGTACAATTATTCCAATAGTAAAAAAAACGAAAGTAACAATATTATTTTTATGTGCATAGAAGGGATAATAGTTGGCTTTTTCACCCTTGTGGATGATATAAAACCGGAAGTGTTTGATTTGATTAGATATTTAAAGAAGGAACGGAAAAAGGTGTATGTGTGTACAGGTGACAATTATATGAATGCTATTTACATTTCAAAAATTTTAGGAATACCAAAAAGAAACGTGTCTTCTAATACCCTACCGATGGAAAAGGTACACTTTGTCAAGAAGATACAATCCCTCAATAATGGTAAATAAGGAAAGAAATAGGATATATGATGTTGTTGAGATTTTACTCTATCTTTCCTTCCAAAAGAATTTCAATATTTTCTCTTTAAATGTTTTTTTTTTTTTTTTTTTTTACGTCTATATATGGGGTTTCTTGAGTATGATTATTTGTAGATCTGTGTTCATTCTCTTTTCCCCCTTTTTTGTTTTATCAATCATATCAAATATTAATGGTACATATTTTGCATCACATTTGTACCCCCTCCCACTTCCCTACTCTTATAGGAAAAGTTTGCATGATTGGAGATGGAATAAATGATTGCTTTGCCCTGAAAAGCGCAGACTTGGGATTGTCCCTAAGCACAAGATCAAACGTGGTGATGGATAGTGCTGATGCATGTATTGTTGACAACAACTTAAGTGTTATAATTAAGTTATTTGAGATAAGTAGAAAAACATTGATAGTAATAAAATTTAATTTTTTATTTTCCTTCATTATCAACATCTTTTTCATTTTATTGGCAAGCGGGTCTTTTTACGCCCTGAATTACGTTTTTTCGCCGTTTTTGTTTACCTTCCTTATGTTTTGCAGTTCTATAGTTGTTATCTTGTCATCCTTGTCATTGAAATTGTAAGGGAAAAAAAAAAAAAAAAAAAAAATCATAAATGAATGTACATATGCGTAAAAATGCTTGCAAATGTGTGTATATATCTATGCACATGGGAAAATGTTATATATATGAGCTTTCAAACTGTTTGATTCTTATTTCCAACACCACACCCCCCTTTTTTTTTTTTTTTTTTAGTCTTTTACGGGATATATGAAACCGGTTGTACACAAATCGGGTCTGGTGCACAAACAAATACACAAGTATGGGAAGAAGAATCTCTAAAAATCTGTGGATTCTACTTTCTATGTGTGGTTAAGATGAGTCAATCCAAATGGATCAAAAAAAAAAAAAAAAAAAGTTTTGAATTTATTCACACTATCTACTTCACCTCCTCCCACTTTTTGTATATTCACCTTTTTTCGAAAGAAAATACAATGTATTCCCAATTTATTTTTTACATAGTTTATACATAATTAATTTAATAATACAGCTTTGTTGTTGTTCGTTAATCTGTCATTATTTTTATTTTATTTTTTATTTTTTTTTGAATTTTTATAAATAAAAGGAAAAGAAAAAAAAAAAAATTTTTTTAAATTCAAACAGAGTAATCATTTCAATTATTCTGGAATATCTTTGGAAGAAATGTAAAAATAATTCTGAAAAAAATTATACATATATATAAAAGTTGTGCGTGTATATGTATTAGTTGACAACTTTGTGTTATGATGTTTTTTTCGATTCCAGAATTAACTGCGTCGATGCCCCTATGTACAGGTAAAGAAGGGGTCATTCCGTGCTCTATGGGTTTTCTATGGGTTCTCTATGGGTTCTCTATGGGTGTGCATTTTTGAGAAACGAGAAGGGATCATACAACTTTTTTCCGTAGTGTAACTGTGTTATAGTTATATTTTCTGCTTTTTGGCATCATGAGAATCGTCATTTAGGGCTCTCTTATATTTATTTGTATTGCTATCCTTTGAAATGAGTAATTGTATTTCGTTTAACAAATACGAAATGTCTGAATGTTTTTGTGGGAAAATTCTCATGGCAGTAAAGTTGACACGTTCTATTCCATTGTAGACTTTTTGGTTAACCCTAACAACTACCTTATATTCTTTATATAAGAAATCATAGTTGAAGAGATAATCTAAAGTATCTTCATCTAAGCTTTTTAATTCTTCTGCTTTTTTCCCCAATAAGTTATATCCTTCATCAGAGAAAGCTCTTAACGTTATGGAGCCGGAAAAATCCATGAAAAGGAAATTAAAAGTGTAGTTATAATAAGGTTTAACATTGTTTTCATCACAGTTCATACATGAATATACAACATTTTCCTCATCATTTGTATTTGTTTCATAATTATTATCTAGTGCATTATCCTGCCCACTTGATAATAGTTTTTTTTTACATTTAGAACATGCAGGGTAATAAAATCTATGCTCATTTTCTTTACTTTTCCAATATATTCTTTTAATTCTTCCTACCAAAGTGTACGTGCCTGAAATTTTTGCTAATACATCATTTACATCACTTAGGGCATAGTGTTTATCAGGAATTTGCGTGACATCATTTGATAATATATTCCTCATATTAGTGAATTGTTCATATTTTCCATTAGTATTATACCAGTCTGAAATCATAGCACATTTGGCTTTTAGTTCTTCATTTAAATTTTCTATTTTTTCGATTGAACTTGTTACACCAAACGTTCCATTTTTCATATCATTCCAATTTCGTATACTTATGTTAGTAAAGATATAAATTTCGTTTTCTTTTATTTCATCTCTAATTAAATTAACATTACTATCCCAGAATGCTATTTCAAAGGAATGCTTCGTGTCATCAACTATAATTATATTTTGTTTAGTAATATCATTTCCTTGTTTGGTCTTTAAATTACTTATACTACCAATGTGTTTAACTATTCCTATCAAATCTGCTGTAAATGGGGTTTCTTTTGTTGCTATTTTTATGTCTCTTAAATTTACTAGCGAAATTTTTTTCTGTATTTTTATTTCTCCATCATCTTTTACTTCATGAATTTCACTATCCTCATTAAATGTTAATTCATACTTGTGCTTTACTGTGTTATACTTAGGGTTAGCAATAGAAACCCTTCCTTTGGAAAATATGTACACTTTTTTCAGTTCTATGTTGTTGAACCATTTGTCTGCGGCGCTTCCCCAAAATTTACAAGAAATCGAGTCCCCATGTACGTCCGTTACATCTATACTGAAAAAGCTATTATTATTTTTGAAGGTTGACAATTTGGACTTGTTCACTACTTTGGCCTTAATTATCCATTTGCTTACGTAGGTTGTTATTTGACTGATACGGAAGAGCAGACTACAAAGAGGTGTGTTTGTTAAGAAGTGATGTTTTTTTTTTTTTCTTTTTTTTTTTTTTTTTTTTTTTTTTTTTTTTTTTTTTTTTTTTTTTTTTTTTTTTTTTTTTTTTTTTTTTTTTTTTTTTTTTAGACATAATATGAATGAGTAGGAAGCACACAACACAATAGGAATAGAGGTGGTTAATAAGAAAACATCTCTAATCTCTGCAGCAACTGATACCTCAAAAATATACCTATAAAACAATCATCAAATGTATGTCAACAAGAGTGCACTAGTAGTGCCATTATAATTCATGCACATAAAATGTAATAAAAATATATGTTTTTAAAACAGAAGATAAGATACTTCTCAGTAAGTATATGCAGAAAAGTGTGTATTCATTTGTAGATGTACTACATATTCCACATGCACAATTTTATGGACTCATTATTACTCATGGACTTAAAATCGTCACATTCAAACAGTTCAACATTTTTTTGTTGCCTATAATAAAACTTACTCGTTTTCACTCATTTTGAAAACTTTAGATCAAACCAATATGGGTTTTTTTTTTTTTTTTTTTTTTTTTGATAACTATATTTTGAATACTTCAAAAAATGAAAACTATATTTTTATACATTCATAAATTTCGTAAGAAAGCTAACGCGTGGATGTATGTGTATATATATTTTTTTTTTCTCTTGTTTTTTTGTGTTATAAGTTGGCACACTTTTAACTTATAAAGTGCTGCCAAAAAAGGGAGGAAACAAAAATTAAAGGAAAGTACGAAGAAAAAAATGAAATGTAATAAAATAAATATAAAAGGGCACCTGCGGAAGTACACAGTTTAAAGCCAAATAACAGTGTGCTAAAGTTACACATGTACTCAATGACTATTTAAGCGAATAAACCGGGGAAAAAAAAAAAAAAAAAAGAAAAAAAAAAAGGCAATAAAGTAAAAAAAAAAAAGGAAGAAATAAAATAAAATAAAAAAGCTTTTCCCTTTTACGCATGATTGTCCATTGTACTACGTCATGTTTCTTTAAATTTTATTTTTCCAAAAATAAGTAATTACTACTGAGAAATTGTTTGTAGCATGTATTATAATGGTATTTTATTTATTTTTTTTTTTTATTATTAAAGCCTTATACTCTTTTTGTTAGCAGGACATCTCCTTCTTATGTTATAAAGTAGAGTCCCATGAATTCTCTAATTCATATTCTTTTCGTATTCTATTAATTCGTATATTTTTCTTTTACTTATTATTTATTTTACTTTATTTTTTTTTGTGATTGCCAAAAGGTTTAGACAGATATATATTTTTAAAAATTATTTATGTTAACGTACAATTCGCAAAAGCTTCAAAGTAAAAATTGTTCAAGTAAGGAAAAAAAAAAAAAAAAAAAAAAAAAGAAAAAGGTGCAAGCAAAAATACGTAATAATGAATGATAATTAGTAGAATAATAAGAATGTAAGAATCAATAAAATAATTTAATAATGAAACATACCCGCGAAATACATGGGCAGGTAAAAGAAAGCGCATTGTGAGGGATATTCGAAAGCGTGTGCAAATGTAATGAATATTCTTTTATGTGCTAATATTTTTATACTAAAAGTCTAACGGTTACCCTTATATATATTTTTATTTTTTTAATATATAGTTATATATAAGAACTGATTCTATGTGATGAACATATGGGATATTTTTTCTATGAACAGTCATGTTTGTTGGGCGTATTAATTGTTTCCTAAACATAAAGAGATAACAAAAAATGTTCATAAAATGAATAATAAATAAATAGTATAAAGAAAAAAAACCGAATAAAAAATGTACGATAAAAAAGAGTCATAAAAGAAATTGCATAATAAATTATTACCAAAAAAGACAGCATTGCAGATACCCAAAAGATAATTTTTAAAGGAGACAACGTGAGAAAGTGCTACATAAGATGCGTTATTATGAGGAGCACGCAAGGCTCGTCAGAGAACACATGCGTGTGAGCACACATGTATATACATATATGTATATATATATGAACATACACTTATATATACATTTTCTTACGCTTATGCGCTGGCACGTAAATAATTTTCACGTCAAACATTTTGGATTAAAGAGAAAGGAAGAAAGCCCTCCTGGGGGTGTACCTCGCCTATGGGGGGCCACAAAAAATATTGTTTATGAATTTATAAACATAAAAATTAACTTTATTTTCCTCTGTCCAATGCGCTTAATTGCGAAAAAGAAACCCAATTCAAGGTATAAATTGGGAATTTTTCAATTTAAAAAAACTTGGTTATATAAAAGGAGATAAAAAAAAAAAGAAATACTATCAAATCCTTTTCTTTTCAGTAGCTTAATTTATTACAAAAAAAAAAAAAAAAAAAAAAAAAAAAAAAAAAAAAATTTACATAAAATTTTAAAAAAAAAAGGGAAAAAAAAAAAAAAAAAAAAAAAAAAAAAAAAAAAAAAAATGAAATTTTATCGAATAAGTGTAACGAAAAAAAAAAAAAAAAAAAAAATACATATAAATAAAATAAAAATAACCTACGTTCAACAGATACATTATATATTGTTACGCTGAATATTTAATTTAAAAACGAAACATTAGAATTAGGAACATTCTGGTTACTCGTGCCATGTGCCAATCTTTGTGTGAGTAGCTGAGATGAGAAAATAATGATTTTTCCATCGTTCCTTTTTCAAAATTAGTGTTAAGGTGAAATGTTTGCATAAAAAAGGGTGAGAATTTCTCGTATACATATTTCCTAAAATGTTCTTTTGTGTAAATAGAGATAGGAAAAAAAAAAAAAAAACAGAAAAAATCATTTTTCCCAGCGAAAAAACACAATTCTGTGAAACACTTACGAATGTTCAATATGAAGCCTCAACTGGTACACTCAATTTTAAACAACTTTTGTTTAATTTCTTGTGCACACAAAAAGGGAAAAAAAGAAAAAAATATATTCTTGCCGCTTCTTGGATTAAAAAAAAGAAAAAGTATACAACTAAGTGAAATAAGAGCTAGAGGGAATATGGGTGTTTTTTTTTTTTTTCTTTTTTTCCTTCATGTTTACTTTTGCTAAAATGGGAACACACAAAATGTGAATAAAACAATATATTTTTTATTATTATCTCTTTTGAAGCCTATTAAATTTATTTTTTGACCAGGAATTGCAAAAACTCACGCATTTCAGTCCTTTTTTCTTTTTTTTCCCTTTTTAAAATGTATATTTTTTTATGTATATTTTTAATAAAAATAGGCATTTTTTTTTCTTTTATATATCACATATACACAATACTGTGCAGTTCTTTCCATCACACTTTGCATAAATACATACCACGAACGTATGCAACAAGATTGAAAACCATAAAATAGTACATAAGCACGGCCGCAAAAGATTGACATGAATATTTTTTTTCACAAAAATAGTAGTAACTAGAATGAATTATTAAGAAAACTTAAACAGGTATATGTATATTCACATCGAAATATATGTACATACCAAGATATGCACTTGTTCACTACAGTAAGGTATAAGATCTCAAAAAATATGTTCAGTAAAATGCACATAATATGGTATTTCCTCTTCTTCACGTCTGAGTTTGTTTATTCACGTCGAGCTTTTATTAATGTCCATAAGAATAATATTATAAATAACAAACTTGGAGTTAATAACACATACAACAAGAATGCACTATATCAGAGTTCGTCAAAGGTTCCCATTTCTCAGGTTAAAATGGAAAGGAGCACATGAAAAAACCGTTCGAGTTACTCTAACGCACAATGCGCTCCCCTCACAGTAGACAACTTTGTCACATTTGTTTTAGTACCTCATTTTCTTACCAATGTGTATTGTTTGCTTGTTCTTTGTTTTCTAACAATTCACAGATTTAAACAGCATTGTATTGTATTTAACTACAGCGAGCTGCATTTATTTCATTTTTTTTTTTTTTTTATATTTCTTTTATTTTAGTGTATGAGTATTTCTTCACTTTTATTTTATACTGTTCTTCTCCGTTTATTCCCCACACATACATATATATCCTGTTCAGATGATTACAAAAAAGCAAATAATAGAAGAAGTATCCATGGAAACAAAGGAGAGCAAAAAGACAGTTGAGAAAATTATGAATGGAATATTTGATAATATTTATAAACATTTAGAAAATAATGAAAAGATTTATATTCACAAATTTGGAATGTATTATAACATTTTTAGAAAAAAAAGGTGTATTAAAAACATGAGAACGAAGGAAGATATTCACATAGAAAGTAGTCATATGCCTCATTTTAAATTCTCAAAAATATTCAGAGACCTCATAAAGGTAAATGTAAAGACAAAAAAAGATGATACGGAAGATGACGAAAATGAATTAAACGAAGAAAACATGAATATGGGAAGTATTAATGAGAGTTTTAATGAAAACGTGAATGAAAAGTTGATTTATTAAAATGTGTAAGAAATGGGAAAGCAGAAATTTAAAAAAAAAAAAAAAAAAAAAAAAAAGATGACATATTGTCACAACTTTTTATAAAGAATGTACCATTTATTTATTTCATTTTTTTTTTTTTTATAAGCAAATAAAAATTGACACACCTTTTCTTTGTTTTAATGTAATTATTTTTTCTAAGTTATTCCAAATACGAAAATGTACAATTTTTTATATTTTTTTCGAATAAGTTGTTTTTTCCCCTTATTTTTTCAAGTCACGGACACAATGCATTGTGTTTTTCTGCCTTCAAGTAGCTCCACCCATGGCTTATGATCTGTTGTGTTTTAATTAAAATGCACAAGTGTCCTTTTTTTCATAGGCTCCATTTTGCCTTTTTTATTTTATTATTATTATTTTTTTTTTTTTTAAAGTCTATGCAAACATATTCTATTTTTAGATAAACACTTTTTCAGTACTTCCTTTTTTTACGCTCTCTCTCTCCCCTACCCCCCCTCCTTTACTCGTGTCTTGATCTTTTTACGCATATAACCCGTAATGCATTATATAAAAGATATTGCTAGGGAATAGATTCAAATGAATTTATGAAAATTAAAACCAACAAAAATTGGATAAAAAAGTTTCCAGGGGAATCATATGTTTTAATATGTAATTTAAAATATAACGTTAAAAAAGTAGCATATGACAGGGGCATGAAAAAAAAAAAAAAAAAAAAAAAATGCGCTTTATAAATGGAAAAAGTAATAGGTTTAAATATATGGAAATTAATTGGGATATTTGTTGGGGGGGATTTAAAACTATAGGTAACAAAGTATAACTACAAAGATAAGTAGATCTAATGTGATTTAACTATAGGACTATAAAAAAAAAAAAAAAAAAATCATAACAATGTGTAGAATATAATGAATACTGAGTTTGTAAAAAAGAGGTTAAAATTATTTAACTGGAGAAAAGGATACTTCATTTAATTATTGGCTTTCATAGAAAAGGCAATATGCTTTGGCAGATTCCACTTCTGAAACATCTACGACTGTCACTATGCTATCATCAAACTTATGCCACTGAAAAAGAGGGTATTATATATTGTGTAAATGTGTGGTATATATATGTGTACGTCATAAAGCATGATATGTACAAAATAATTTTATTCTCAGCAAAGAGGTATGCACACATATATGTAGATTGTGTCCCCTATGCATGATGCTGAACGAGTTTTGCATAATAAGCAAAAGAAGGAGAGATATTTTTTTTGCGTGAATGTGTATATAATATCATGGGGGGCAATGATATGCCCAAATTGTATTAATACCACGGTAGCTCCATTGGAGTGCCTCCTCTTGGTGTAGCAAATGTAGTGTCCATAATTTGAGTTCAATCCCCTGTGAACTATAACACCACATAAGTTGTATTTCTTTGGATTTTCAATATATTGTGAATTTTTTTTCTTCAAAACATTTTGAATGGTAAAATTGTTGACATCAAATTTGATTGGATTGTCAATTTTCGATCCATCCTCTAATAGGCGAATCAAATGGACAATGAGTATTTTTGGTTGTTTGTAGACACATGATTCTTTAAACATTTTTTTACATTTACATTTTTCACAAGTTGAATTTACTTCTTCTTTTTTGAAGTATTCAACCAAATTATCATTTAAATTATTTTCTGGATTTTTTTTAAAAACATTAACACTTAAATTGTATATAGGTTGGTATATATAATTCACATAATTACATTGAGAACATGTAATTTTTTCTTCAATTAGACCTAAAAACAAATCTGATATGACTGATTGCTCTTTTTTCAAACAGTAATCAATTTTATTATTTTTATCGACGTTTTCATCAACCACTTTTGTCATATTATGAATAAAATCAAATAATAGCAAAAGAAATTCATGACAATCTTGTTGTTCATTATATTCAAATAGGTAAGAATATTTATCATTTAATAAACTTAGTAACTTATTAACATTTAAAACTTTTCCTTTATTGTGCATTTTGCTTAATTGAAATAATTTCTGTGACAAAGCTATCAATAGACATTCATCTTTTTTTTTGTTATTATTCCCAAATAGGTTAAAAGGGATGCTATTGGTAAAAAAATTTTTATTAATAAATGAGGAATTCATATTATCTGTGTCTTCACTTGAAAAATTTAAATTTTTATATTTCATTGTTACATAATTGTGTAATGTATATATTAATTTAAAGTAAACAGCCAAACACTGTAATACTACATTGATATAACATGTCGCAGAATAATTTACAAGTCCAGCTGGTTGTTCTTTCATTGTTATTATGTTAAGGCTGTTATTATTGAAGTTGCTTTCTCTCTTAAGGTTGCTCGGGGCCATCATATTTTTCATGTGTTTCTTATCGTTGTACGTGCTCCGATTCGATGTGCTTTGATTACGAATGCTAAAATTGCTGCTCCCACTGCTGCTTCGGTTGCTACTTCCATTGCTGCTTCGGTTGCTACTTCCACTACTGCTTCGGTTGCTACTTCCATTGCTGCTACTACTATTACTATAATAGTTGCTTCTTTCCTTCAACATTAAATTGGTGTGGTTTAGCGTGTTATTTAATGATAATATACCTTTCTTTGCAACCACTCCATCTGGTTGTTTTTTTATATGGAAATTCTTCTCGTATTCTTCCTTTCTCTTATCCCTTTTACTAGTGGTAGTAGATCCATCTTTTTCAGTAGATACTTTTTTGGGAATAGCACCACTGGAAATGCTACTACCATTGCTTCCATCGTTTCCATCACTGATGTCACTGCTGTGCATGCTGCTCTTTCTATAACTAATGTTCCTTTTCTGGATACTTTCTTTTTTGCAATATATTTCGTCTTGTTCCTCATCTTTATGTTGCAAATTTTTGTCATCTTTATTCTTTTTATCCTTATGGGTAGATGGAATTGCTGCACTTTTAACACTGCTATCTGTAGTTCCCTTAGAATCGGTCTCACTGGTTGTTAAGTATCCATTACTAGATGCATCATCCCCATTGTCAGCATTGTACTCTTCGCATGATTTATATATTTCGTTTCCGTTTGAGGAATAGAATCCTAATGAATTCTTTTTTGGAGGCGGGGCTAAGAGCACTTTATCTGAATTGTTATGATGATTAATATTCGAATTTCCCATTTTATTATTACTAGTTTTACATAAATTACTGTTTTTATGAGTGTAATTCGAACTTAGAATGCTGGGTGAACCAACACGGGCCTTGGGTCCGAAGTAGCAATTATTATTATCGGATTGGTTTTCTCTCTTCATGCCGCTGCTCTGGGTTGTTTCCTTCGCTTCCTTCAGTTTTGCTGTTGTTGACGTTTCTTGTTCCTCCTGATTGTTACTGTTACTGTTCTTCTTGTTCTTACTGCTGTCTTCGTTTTCGTTGCTATTTTTGCTGTCATTATTTTTATCGTCATTATTCTGGTCTTTATCACTGTTATTATTGTTGTTGTTGTTGTTGTTGCTGTTGTTGTTGTTGTTGTTGCTGTTGTTGTTGTTGCTGTTGCTGTTGCTGTTGTTGCTGTTGTTGTTGTTGCTGTTGCTGTTGTTGTTGTTGCTGTTGTTGTTGTTGTTTCTGCTGCTGCCGCTGCCGCTGCCGCTACCGCTGTTGTTATTATTGTTACTATTGTTGCTATTTCTTTTGCCATCGTTATTGTCATTGTTATTATTCCCCCCCATGCCCCCCCCCGTCGAGTCCGCATCATTCCCCGGATAAGCATTTTTCACATTTTCATTTAATACCCGCGCGAGGACTTTGGACGATGAGGTTCCATGTATCGTGTCAATGTTGCCTAGAGACATGTTTTTGGTCTGATTTTGAATAAAATCGACACTCAGTTTGTTTTCCATTTTTTCTTTCTCTATAATGTTTTGTTTTTTAATTAATTCACTAGAATCTGTTTTTATATTGGAAAGATTTGCATTGTGAATAATGTCATTACGACTTAAAATGTCATCTTCATTTGAATAAAAAGAGTACAAGCTTTCATAAGAATTTTTATTTTTTAATTCAATCATTTTGTTCATAACTTTTGGATTGGATTGATCATATTCCAAGTAGAACGAAGAGTTGTATTCTTTTTCTTTTATTTCGTAAAAATGCAAAAATTCATAGTAGTTGTGTGCGCATTGTTTTATTTTGTTATTTTTTTCCGTTACATTCAGAAGTGTGGGATGAGAAATGGAAGAAGAGCTTGATAATGATGTTGCATTCGAAAGTATTTTGTATGCTTCATCTGTACTTTTTTCCTTTGAATCTGTACTAACTTGCAAAAGTTCATCATTAGAATAGTTAAATGAGGAAAATAAATTATCCACATACTTTGGTTCTATCAAATATATAATATTTTTATTCATAATATCAGAATTTGATACAGGAACATAACGATCATATATATTGTTGCTATATCTTTTAACACATGGTCCACCTCTAAATATGAAATGTAGAAATCTCCACATATACTGATTAATACATATATAATCTTTTCCCTCTTTTAAATTAGTTTTTAAGTCTTTTTTATTTATCATATAATTATTGTCCGAAAGGTTTAATGACTCAATGTTATCATATAATTTATAATTTGAAATACAGCCTGGGTATTCCCCATTTTCAGAAAAGATAAATGATTTCAACTTGTTGAACCAATCTAAGTGCAAAAAATAACGGTGATCACTTAAATCATTTGGGAATCTTATATTAATATATTTTTGGTAAAAATATTTTTGCATTCTTTTTAAGAATAATAAATTTTTATTTATATTATCTATCTCATTTTTGCTTAAATTTTTAAGAAGTAATTGGAGAATTTCTTCCTTTTTTTTAGTTAACCTATTTGAGTTTTCAATATGTTTATCTATTTCTAAATTTTTCCTCTCAATTGAATTAGGGTCATCATTTGTACGTACTTTTCCTCCTATTCCTCCTTCTGCTACTACTCCCATGTCTACGTTGTTCATTTCATTTTTATGATGTTCATAATGAGATTTTTCATCAAATTTCTTTACATCTTCATGAGGGTAAAAAAACTCTGAGGATAGTATTTCCTTATTCCAATAATTACACAAAACATTCATAATTTCATAATGTGAATAATTTTTAAACAATTCTGATTTTTTCCTTTTTTGAACTACATCTGCCTTATCCATTTGTGTCTCTTCTTTGGTATACTCCGATAAATCATTGTCCTTATTAATGCTTCTTATATTAGATCCGATATTTTCATTTTTTTTTTTAAGAATCGTCTCTTCATTTTTGTGTATGGACGTACATTCCTTCTTTTCATGCCTACTTAATGATTTATCATCTTCAGAGGTGATATGCTTATGATTCGTTATAGAATCCATTGAACAGTTTGTACTATCAAGAATGTGATGGTTGTTGTTTTTCGGATTGCAACTGGAATCATCTTCCTCAGCGCTTTTTCTTTTTCCCTGATGATTATCTCCATCTTGATTGTTTTCATTTTTGGATTTTTTTTCGATTATATTCGAGTTGACATTATGAACCCCGTTGGTGTCTACATTCATGTCATGTGTGCTTAGGTTGATTTGCTTGGAGTGTGTGTCTCCCAAAATGCCTTCCCTTTCGTGTAATTGTTCATTATTTAGTATATGAACATTTGATAAATTATTGTACGTACCAACTTCATAATCCATACTAGAGTTAATACCCTTACTTATATTATTAACATACACCATTATTTCATCATTTATATCAGAATGAAAGCTGAAACTACTACACCTTGACTCCGCCTGATTTATTTCGTTAAATGTATTATTACTAGTTTTATTTTCATAATTAATACTTTTTTCGTTCGAAAGAACATCATGTTTTGTTATTTCACCATATTCAATGGAATTAACCAAATGAGTATTTTTCATAAAGTTTTTTATTCCATAAGAAGATTTCTCAGATGCTTGGTCATCATTTTTTAGGTAGCTGGATGTTTTATCTGAATAATCTTTTATTTCACATATTTTATTTGTTTCATTTTCTACATTTACTTGATTTATGAGCCTGTGATTAATATTGTCAATGGTTAACTTGTTGTCTTTAATCATTATTAAAAATAATCCGATGCGACAATTTAAACTTTTCTAAAATGTGCAAGGTGGATTCTGGTACACTATCAGCTTGTGGTATGGATATGACTTGGCGCGATAATAGTGAGGACATGTGAAATTTCTGCTCCTGAGCGCTCTCACTCTTATATGTGTGTGTTCAGAAAAATTATGCTACATTAAAATTTCCAATTTAAAATAAACAAAAACATATAACATATGTATATACCTTTCATCAAATGGATCAAATGTCCTAACAACACATGGGTAACGCACATTGGGGGTTAAGATATATGACAAGCGAACGAGTAAGAATTTTTGTATATGTACATATATATACAAAATACGGTGCTCTTCCTATGACTCTCTACTTTAACAAGTGTATAGACGCATATGCTACGCAGCTTCTTAAGTTTAGATGTGTTATCAGACTATGCAACTGCTACTGTGTCTTGCAAGTACAGGCAAGGAAAAACTTAATATTTAATTATTCATAAAAAAATGAAAAAAATAATATAAAATGTGAATTACTGATTCCATGTAAAATAAATAAATCCATGTTAATTAAAAATTCTAAAAATAAACAAAAAAAAAAAAAAAAAAAAAAAAAAAGTCATATTTTTAAAATTGTGTCCTTTAAAAACGGTTCTATAAAATGCTATACATAAGAAAAAAACTGATCATATATATAAACACATATGCCCATACAATTCATCTTGCTACATCATAATTATAAAAAATTACGTCAAAAGAACTTACAGCTTTTATTTTGCATTATAAAGTATGTGGGGTGATGTACACATATATACTAGTTTGATATTATTCAACAGCATATTGTGCCGTGCCATTTATATATAAATGTACTCCTCAAAATAATACGTATGCTAGAAGTTGTAATAAATATATAACGTAGAAGTGTTACGCATATGGGGGTACGGTCTGTTCTTCGAAGTGGAGGCTGTAGTGAAGGAGCGTTTATAACATAAGAATTATGTGACTACTAAAATTATATATAACATGGGGTTTGATATATTTAACAGTGCAGTTTTTGCTGGTTAATAAGTGTCACATATTTTTATGCTATTATATATATGTATACCAAAAATTTAACTTCATCTTAGTAGAAATTATATTTTTATAAGAAAAAGAAGCTTATATTAACTAATTTTTTTTATAAAAAAGAAAAAAATTAATGGCATAAATTTGATAAGATTTTTTTTTTTTTTTTTTTTTTTTTTTTTTTTTTTTTTTTTTAGGCGCAAAATAAATGAAAATCACAAAAGCTGAAAAAGGCTTTTTGTTTTATTTCATAGCAATCGTTTCTACTATTTTTATGGTAAGCGTGGACCAGAATTAGTTTATTTCAATGAATTTTTTTTTTATTCAGGCTGAACAAATATTGCATGTATTTTAAAAAGAGCTATTCATAAGAGTGGTAACAAAATAACAGAACTCTTGCTATGTTCGTTTTCGCGCATGTATTACATGTATATATGTATATATACGTACAAGTATACATATTGCATTTGTTATAAAGGTATATGTATATATATATTAAACTACTACTGCCTTTTTTTTTTTTTTTCTTTTTTTTTTTGAACTTGTATATGCTTTTGTTTTTATTTTGAGTCTTGTACCTAATGAATAAATAACACAAATTTAATGATAGGTATATCTCATATACTTGGTTTATTCTAAAATTAAAAAAGAAAAAATATATTTTTACTCTTTTTTACTGTTTTTCGTACTTGTACGTTAAATATGTACATATATATATATATTTGTAGAAAATGTGCTCATTTTGTGTACACATTACAGGTATTCTAATATGTTTAAAATTTTATGAATTCATTTCAGTATTGCTATACGAGTGGATGTACCTGGATGCATATAAGCAAATACACACATGTTCATAAGTTTATGTACATAAAATATACATTAACACATGTGTTTACAGAACATGATTGTTCTGATTCCTAGGTTGATTAAACTTATCCTAAGACCAGAATTCCTTTTTTAATGCATAGCACATGTTATTAGAAAATTAAGAATTAGAACAAATATGTAGCTAACTGATAATAAGCACAAATTTGTTAATCCATTTGCAATTTTGTTCGTTTACGTTTTCTTCTGATCCATATGTATGTACAATTCCAATATCCCCAGTTTTGCTTTATTTTAATCATTGTACGTAATAAAGGGGGAGATAGGGGAGAGAAAAGAATACATGTAAGTTACATGCACATATATGTACATACGTATAACACATGTATACATATTTAAAACCAAATGAAATTACCATTTCCCCTTAGCTTGGTAAGGATGACACTGAATAAAAAAAAAAAAAAAAAAAGTATGCCAAATTGATGATTCATCTAGATAGCAAATAGGGAAGGTTTTTATAACATACAAAGAAAGATCGCTCGAAATATCTGCACATGTGCATACACATACCCATGGTTTACTGTGTGAACTATTCATTCATGCATATATGAGGAAACTCCTTATTTAGACATTGATATACGCAATTTAATCTTCAACTAGATGTTGGATTATAATTGCACAGTTTCAGGGTGAACTTTTTGTTTTTTATTTCCAACGAAAAAAGGTCATTTTACGAAATTTACCAAATTAACCAAATGGACGAAGTGTCAAAAGAAAAAAAAAAAAAAAAAAAATTCAATAAAAGAAAAAACAAAAAACAAACTTCTCCGTTACGCATGATTATGCAACTGTATACGGTAAAATGAGTTGTTTTACCAAATGAACCATAATAATATATACCTAATCGCAGGAACATAATTCCATTTGTTTTTTGGAATTTTCACTTTTGTACACCTTCAGACATGTGTACATACATATATGGCACATAAGCCCGGTTCCCTACCAAGAAAAATTCTCAGTATGCAGTTCGGCCATCTGTTCTACTTTGTGTTTTTATTTACACAAATATAGAAAGGAGGGAAATAAAATAAATATTAACAAATTTTATGAAGGTAGTAATTACATTGTGTTATGGATATTGTGTGTTTTTTTTTTTTTTTTTTTCAAAGCAAAGGTGTCTTATTCTTTCAGTTGAGATCAATCCTATTCCCAAATTTTGCATATAACTCTGTTTTCAGTTTTTGTTTTTCATTTAACATATTTTTATAATCAGATTCCAATTTCTTCAAATTCTTTTTCTCCTCATTTTTTACTTGTTCAAGACTTTCTTCCATGTATTCGGTGTCCACGTTAAAGAAACAGTCACCTGGAAAAGGATAAATAGAGTGGACATATGTGTGTATGTGTATGTGTGGTGATAATTTGGTAAATGAGATATAAGAAAAAATTATGGCTGATATTAAAAAGGAGACGCAATGCAGAATGATGCTGCATGGAATATGTTTCATTATCACAACAGGGATAAACTTGTACTTGTATATGTGGATACATATACATATGCATGTGTAAACCTGGAGACAGATACATACCTATGCTCAACATAACATCCTGAGGATCAAACACCAATGAAACTTCGTCTATTGATGCGTCAATGTTTGAAATGTTTTCTTTCATTAATTTTATCTTTTGTTCATAAACAGATTGTTTAAAATGTAAGTTGGTGAATTTTCCAATTTTTTTTTGATCCTCAACAGTCATATCTAACCCTAAGTCATATTTCGCATCTTTAATGTCTTCCATTTGGGTAGAGATGATATACAAGAGGGGATATGATGAAAAAGGGATTAATACATGTAAAGTGGATATTCAATGAAGTTCATAAGACAATGTATGTAAATGTATATATAATTAATTCTTCAGGATTTTAAGGAAATTAAAAAAAAAAAAAAAAAAATTGTCCATTAATTCATTTAATCTTCTATTATATTCATTTCATTTATTTGTCGACAAAATTGAATCTTCTTATTTTAAGAAATAATGTTGTCCTGGATGCAACTTTTGCTTTTAAAGTTTGGGAAAGGGGTAAAAGGAAGGCAAAAAAAAAAAAAAAAAAAAAAAAGTTCTAATTAAAATACATTTCAAAGGAGGTACAGGACTTAAGCTAAAGATCCCTTAATTTTTTTTTAAAAGTATCATTCCACAGAAGTTCAGTATGTATACATAAATATGTAAATACACATACATATATGTGCATACATTTTATGCTTCCCTTCCTGCTTGCTGAACTTTCATCTGAGTAGTATGCATATTTACTTGTTTGGCCATATGCAGTATGTACAATTTTTGCTGTTAAGCAATTTGAACCTGTAAATGGATTTGAAGGTACACAGTTCGGATGAGAACCACAATGAAAATATTCATGTATATATATATGTTTATGAGTACATTTATGCACATGTGCATATTGAATATATATATATGCAAAAATTGCACCCAGTGGAGAAAGGAAACAAGCGGGTACATAGTTCACATAAAAAGAGAGGTGCATATGACTGTGTTATTGGTTCTCATAATTTTAATGTTCATAAGTGTATGAGGGGGAGGGAAAGAAATTGTGACTCATCTAAATACTTAAGCTAAGATTATAAGGGCATACACTAGGCTTCAGGAAACTTTTATAATTGCATTTGCATGGAAGGAGTAATCCAATTTTCTCTTGTCATGTCGTGTTTTTTTTTTTTTTTTTTTTTTTTTTTTTATATTCGAAACTTTAAACATTTATTTTACTAGATTAAATGACAGATATTATTATGCGTTATAATATGAGGTGAAGTCTGCAAATTTTGCGAAAATGTTGCGTATGGGATTCTGGAAATAAAAAGATAAGTGTACTTTCCCTCTCTAGGTCGCCCTTATATGATGTAAGTAATTATTATGCATGTATACAGAGTTACACATATGTATAGCTGAGAAAACAAGCCCTATACACAAACACACTCATTCATAAACATATGAATACATAAAGGTATCAATACATAAACGTGTCAATACATAAGCGTGTCAATACATAAACATATGCATACACAAGCATATACATATGCGAGAACATGAACACGTAATGGTATGCCCATAGAATAGTGTAGGTATTTAAAAAAACAGCATGACTGTCACACTACATATCCATGCCTGTGTCGAAATTTACGCAGATGAAATATTTTTATTATAAAAATTATGAAAATAATTTTTGTACGTATTTCTGTGACATTCTATTTTTTCTTGATTTTTATTGCTTGTTTTTTTTTTTTTTTTTTCTTTTTATAATTATATATCCCCAGAAGCCATTTCCTGTTTGCATTAACCTAGTCCATTGTGATTTTTATGCATGTGTACAAGCCTTTGTATAGTATTTTAATTTGAAGTTTCAACTTTATTGTTTCTCCATAGCATTTGTTAAGAAACTTGACAAATCCAAGATACAAGACCCCGACTAAACTGAATCAAGCAGAGGTATCATAATCATATATATATATATATATATATATATATAACCCCAACCAATCGTCCCTTCATGCGTAAACATAGAGCAGTGTAAACGACCCTTTTAATTCCCAAACGCTTGAAACCAAACGAAAAACTAGTCCCACTTGTTTAAACATCTCAATATTCCTTATAAAAAAGAAGAAAAGATGGACAATGTATTGAATAGGATAAACGTTATATTTTATTCTATGGCTTTGTGTTTTTTGACTTTATGTCTTTTCAATTATGGAACTTCATTTTATTTATTTGATGAGAAAGAAATGATAACTAATATAAAAGTAAGAAGTGTGCGTAGACTAGTGTATAACAGATATATAAAAGGTGACGAAGCTGTTTTATCGCTAGATTTATCATATGATATGAGAAAAGCATTTAACTGGAATTTGAAACAATTATTTTTATACGTTTTAGTAACTTATGAAACACCACAAAAAATAAAAAATGAAGTTATTATACAAGATTATATAATAACTAATAAAAACAAGGCAAAAAAAAATTATAAAAATTTTATTACAAAATATTCACTTAAAGATTATAATAATGGATTAAGAAATAATAACATTAATTTACAAATTTGCTACAAATATATGCCAATAGTGGGTTTGACTAGATCTTATGAAGGTAAAAAAATTTCATACAAATTACCACCAGAATATTTTGACAGTTTACCATCCAATTACCCTTTGTATTACCCGGATAAGTGACTTTTTTATTTGGAAACATTATACAAGACAAATGAAGAAATAGGACCCCTTTTTTTTTAAGCTGCTACATTATGAATGCATTTCCACTCATGTGAAGCTTTGGAAACATATGTTGAATATGCACACATGTGAGTACATGTGCTGTGATAATAAAATATTTACATGGTAACGCAACAATACAAATAAATAAGAACGAAGAAGAGAAGGATTCCTCCCCTCCCTTACACACACAAATTAGATACCAAAAGAAATAAAACGATTTTAAAATTAAACGAATATGTAATATACAAGCCAAGTACATACAATTGATACTGTTATTAATTGATATCTCATTGGTGTGTGTGTTATATATGCATGCTTATGTTGTATATTTACGTTCATTTTTTTTTTTTTTTTTTCGCGTAATTTTGTTAGAAAGCAGTTTTCATTTTTTATTGTCATTTCTCCTTACGTCACTTTGCCTTTAGTGTTTTCACAATCTGTTGCTTTTTTTTCCGTTCTTTCTTCTTCTCTCTTTTTCCTTTTTTTTTTTTTTTTTTGTTTTGGTGAATTTGTTTTTTCACCGAGTCTTATCAAATGTAAGCACATTTTCATGAAAAAAAGAAGAATTAACTGGAAGTGCGCGGATTAGTTACAATGCGTATATGTATAAGGGGAAGAGTGCTCTTTAAAGTGCCCAAATTGAGCACTTATTTAAGAAAGAAAATGTCTCATCGTTATTTCTATTGTGTTGTTTATTTCATTGGTCGCTTTACAGCCCATTTCATTGCCCATTTTATCACTTATTTTAAGATTTTTTTTTTAATTTCTTCCCATGTATCTCTATTTTAATATATTGCAAGATTGGAAGACTGCATAGTACATGTATGTTTTACCATTTCCTTGCAGTGCTTTTTTTTTTTTTTTTTTTTTTTTTTATAAAATTATTGCTTATAAAATAGAACAAATTATTTGCTTTTATTTGTTAAATACATCACCATCGTTAATTATGTGACAACAGAAGAGGTGGCCCACGAAAGTACTACAAAGCAATCTCGCAAATTGTGCAAATTGTATAAAATGTGCAAAATGTGCGAAGTGGTTAAAGCATATATTGTGAACTATAAATTACGCAAGAGCATGTGATCAACCTGTTCCTATTTTATTCTTTCCTTGGAGTAACAACCTCCTTTTGTGCAAATAGAAATAGAGAATGAATAACGCTGAAATTTTTTAAATACTTCAACGTACGGTTGTCAAAAATGCTTGTCTAATTACACATGTATATACATGTATATTTAAGCAAAACCTCATTTTAAAAAAAGAATGAACAAAGCCCACAGAATGGGAATAAAATTTGTCATATTAATGAACCTTGCATTTATAAGATGGGATACAGAAATATATGAGCTTATCAACAAGTTAGGTGGGGAGAAGAAAATAAGGCAGCTGAGTGTTAAGGTATAGTATAGTTGTAGATATTTTTGCGTTTCATTTAAAATTGCGTAAATATTTGCATTACGGTTCATGTACTGTAACACGGTCTTAACACTGTTTTATTTTTACATTTTTACAATTTTTTTTTTTTTTTCATAGTGCAAAGCTGGAGAAATGCTAACACATGTAAAAAAAAAAAAAAACAGACAAAAAAAATAATGTTCATATATATATATTTTTATATGTGCAAACAACACTTCAAGCATCTTCATATATATCTGCTTTACTTCCTATTTAAACAAATATCTTCTCACTCACCATTTGATCTTTACGTTGTAGAATTACAAATGCGAGAAATGCAAAAAGGGTTTTTACAACATTTCTAGAGATAACAAAATATGTTTACCGTGTCCTCTTGGCACCTTCAGCAACAAGCTAGGGTCTATTGTATGTAGAAATTGTCCAGATGGATCTAGTAATAAAAAGAAGGAAAAAAAATATAATAATAATAATGAATGAAATAAAATGAAAAGACACAATTAAAGTTTATTTATATTCCACAATGTTCCTATTTACATAAACTCATCTATATATGTTTACCTTCTACTTGCACAGCCACAAAAAGCACGGGGTCAAAAGTATCTCTTGACTGTGTCTGTAATAAGGGTTAATAAACAAAAAAAAAAAAAAAAAAGAAAAAAAAAAATTAAAGAATAAACCAATCAAGAAGTGAATAATTTCGATATGATGCAATTAAAAAAATGAAAAATATGTATACTGCGTTGTGGTACTCACAAATGTAAATAATTTTTTTTTTTTTATTATTATTATTTTGTAAGGATTCAAGTTAGACACTATTGTCGGTAGGTGCACAAAATGTAATAGTCTCGAATCCTGTGATGATGATGATGATGAAAATGTTTGGTCATATAAAAATATGTGTATGAAAGAAAGGGGAAAAGAATACGCAGAATTGTGCAATAAAGTACGAACAAATGAAGTGTATAATTTTCAAATTTTATGTTTTAAAAAAGGTGTTTGCTTGAATGACAAAGGTAGAAGAAGTTGCTTAGAAGGGAATAAACTAATACAGTGTAAAATTGTAAGAAAAAAAAAAAAAAATAAAATAAAATAGAAGAATGAAAAAATGTCACAAAAGTGATATGAAAAAAAAAAAAAAGAAAAAAAAGTGACCAGTTCTACCAAATTGCATGAGTCTTATATATTTAAGATGTTCATATTAATATTACCAATAATTATTCTTAATTATTCCTTATACATATATACATCCAATGGGATTATTTTATAACTTCAGTGTGCAGAAAATTTCAGACAAGACTTCATAACCCCAGCAAAAAGTCCTTGTGTATTTTGTAGTTTTGCAACTTATGTAATAGTGTTATACTTCGTTGCACTTGCCCTTTTTATTAACATTTTAATAGTCAATTGTATAAACAATGAAAGAGAGATAAGAATAATAAGAATTTTTATCAAATATATGCAGTTTATGTCTCTCCTCAGGTAGGAACATGATCTCTCGTAGAGTCAATTCGAATCATTTGGTTTGTGGGACAGTGCCAGATTACCTCTGCATAAATGTATGTTCTACTTTGGAAAATGCTATTACATTTTTGCATCTGTTTTGCATTTTTTCACTTTTCAATTTCTGCACACTCTTTTCTCTTACAGGTATGTGAATTCCAATTATAGTAATTTCCTTTTACACGTCTTACATTTCTTTACAATTGGAATTCCATTGAACGAAATTTTTGACTGTCTATTCATGGTAAAGCGATACATGCTAATGTGGAAAATGAAAAAAAAAAAAAAAAAAAAAAAAAAAAAAAAAAAAAAGAACATAAAATAAAATAATACAAAATGGCATAAAATTATATAAAATAATATAACAGCATTATATAGTATGATGAAATAAAGTATGCTGATCAAATTGCATTCTCAAACGGAAATATAAAAGTTCCAAGAAAGGTGCTTGACTCATTGAACAACTCGTGTGTATATGAAAAGAAAATTTCCTTTTCATTTCAGAGTGGCACAAATAGCGAACGAATTCAGAAGAAGATTAACTTTTTGTTAGTATTACCACTTTTGCTTTTGGTATTTTCCATTTTAGGAACGGTTGTCCTTGTTCTTTTAAGAAGTAAGAAATGAAAAAAAGGAGATAAAAAGTGAGAAAAGGGGAAAAATAAATGTTTCTTCTATCCATGTGAGAAAAAAAAAAAAAAAAAAAAAAAAACAATAATAATAGATTCAGCACAGAGACCATAAAATATAGAGGAATGTTTTCCCACACTCATTTTCCTAATCGAAAAATGACTCCCGTTTGACATTTTTTAATAAATATTTTTGATCCTAAAGAGATTAAAAGTTTTGATGTCCCCAGAAACGGGAAATATTCACGTGTATGCACGTACATGTGCACACGCGCACATAAATATAGACACACAAATATAGACATACCCGTGGACAACTTTCGCTGTGCACCTTTCTCATTTCAGAAAAAGACGGACATAAAGTAAATGACAATTCTAGTAATGGGAGTTGGAAAAAAACCTCAGCTGTTCATGTGCATGGTTCACAGTTTGAGAGCATAGAAGAGGGGGAAAACACAACATCATCTTTGGCAAGAAATAATAAACTTAAAGCAAAAGAGAATTGGAAATATTTTATGGAATTTTTTATTTTATACCATGAATATCTATATTTCGAAATAATGAGGCTATGTATTTTTTTTTATTTTTGTAATTATGATGAATTTAGAAGAGGTAATTTTTTAATTATAGATGATTCTTTAGAATGTACAAAAATGAAAAGTAAATATTTTATAAAAATATGGATAATAGTAATATATAACACGTTTGTTAATTTTTTTCATTATTTTTTATTTCCTTTGAAGAAATATGTAAAGGAATATGTTCCCATTTTAGATGCCTTGTGGGTAATAAAATTAAAAGTGAGTACTCTTAGTCCATCAGATGATTTTTTTCTACTACTCTTTCTTATTTTATTTTATAAACGTTTTTTTAACAATATAAATATATCTCTAGATTTTTATTACAAGAATGGTATATACAACAATAATATTCACACGTTTCAGTTTGTTATCATTGTCCTTTTGTTTTTCCTTTATATTTTAATCATGTTTTTGTGTGTGTACGAATATAATGATTACACAGTTGAAGTGCAACCAAACGGATATACCAACAAGCAGCATATGAACAATGGCGTGAAATCACTTCATGTTTATGAAGATGAAGAGGAAAGGGAAAAAAAAGAAAACAAAATCAACATCATGGAGTTGCATAATAACAGAATTCGTGAAGTAGAAAAGGAGGAATTAAAAAATGCAAACTTAGGTACTCAAAATGAAGAAATGTCTAATGTACCACCTGATAATTCGCACACTAGGGAAGTGATGCCATATGTTTCGTGTGAGGAAGAGGAAGAAGAAAAAAGAAAAAAAGAAGAAGGATTAAATATGGATAAATGTAAAAGTCGAAATGTAGAAAAGAATGAAGATCCAAAATTCGATGGAAAACATTCTGAGAGCAAGAATAAAAAATATTATGTTGTCCAGATTAAGGGGACACATAAGCAAATTCATTGCATTCCCCTATTGGGTACTCATAAAATTGTAAGTTGGGTCTACAAATGGATGAGAAAATCCGCCCCAATTGATAAATTCTTTTATTATTTTTCTATGTTCATATATTTAACCATTTTGTTGTCCTACTACACATTTTTATCCTATGTACACACAAGAAATTTACTTGACATTTTAACAATCATTTGTGTCACTTGTAATGGTTTGATTTATGCTACAATTTCCATGTTGTTCATAATATTTGGAAGAGAAAGTTATATGAAGAAGGAAAATAAGAAATGGTTCACAGGTAGCTTTATTAAAAAAAGAATAGAAAAAATGAAAGGGGTTAATATATTCAGAAGAAGAATGGGAAGAGGAACCAAAATAGAAGAAAGAAATGGTAGAAATGTGAAAATTTTCAATGTAAGAAACAATAAAATAGAAGAACAATATGTTTCGAAAAATGAAAAAAGGAGTATAAAATTAATAAATAATATATTAAAAAACAGTACAAGTTTTAAGATTCATTTTGAGGAAATAGATCTAAAGTTAGAAGTTGGCAGTTATGATAAAGTTGAAGAAAAAAAAAAATTTATCAAAAGATACAAATTGTTAAAAATATCAAAAAAATGGATTTTATTTTTGCAAAATATATTGGATTTATCGGATGAACCTGAAAAATGTATATGTATGTTAATAAATTTAACGTTAGACAAAGAATTCCCAAGTTTGGACATGGACACATGTTTAAAAATATTAAAGAAAAATCATTTCGCTGGAATGAAAAATGTGGAAACCATTTTGAAAAATTTTCTTAAATACACAAATCAGTTTTTATCCATTTTGGAAAGAAAACAGAAAAGAAAAAAAAAGCATGCAACTACAAACGGAAGTCTAGGCAGAAGCGGAAAGAACCATGATGAAATGTCTATCATATTTGCATGGGGACTCGGAATTTTAAGTTTTGGTAATTTGCAAGATATCAATTATAATATTTCAACTATTTTGTTTCATGTTTCAAATGTGCTATCTAAATGTAGATATATGAAATATCTAATCGATTATTATTATTTCAGAAATATACGCTATTTTGGAAGTCTTCCATTTTACAATGTGGGAAATTACTGCCTCACCAATGAAACAATAGCTTGGGGTACAGATCCCATTTGTACATCCTTTATTAATAGTATGTATGAATATGAATATGAAGAGCAGGAAAACAATATTAATGTAATCGACACAGGGGTGGGCAATCACTCTATGAAATTAGAAGTGATAAGGAAAGACTACCATTCTGGGAGATGTATAAATGGGAGAAGTACTCATATCAGTGTGGATGCATCGAAACAACAAACACATTTGAAAGAGAAGTTTGAAAAAATGGATCAAAATGATGATTGCAATAATTACGACAAATGTGACATGTCTGATAAAATTAGGAAAATGGAGAACCTTCAGGAGGAGCTACCTGTTTCGTTAATAAACCGTTCCCAGAATAACATACCTCAAACCTGGTTCACCAATGGGGGAAGAGGTAACAACTGGCCCTATTAAACAGACACATATATATGTATATATATATATATATATATATATATATATATATATATGTATGATATGGCTACGTGTTAAAAATTTAGTATGTCCGAAATGTGGGTACCATTCGACATAGGTACAATTTAGTGTTCTTTTTTTTTATGCATGTCGCATGCACCATAGGAAAAAAGTATATAACTATGACTTTGATCTATTTGTACGTTTCACAGGAAGAAGATACAGGGAGACGAAAGGAGGGTTCCCATTTGAATATGACCTTACACGTGTATACGCAAGAGAACTTTGTAGAATTTACATACATTGCTTATTAGCCGATGTGAGTGAGATGTATTTGAACATATACTATACACAAGAGTGCGAAAAATACTTACAGAATGGGATACTAAACCTATGGGGTTGTCACAAAAGTGTGAATTTGTATATGAAAAGGTACTATAAACATTTGGAAAATTGTGCTGTATTTGAAGGGAATATGAATGTGAATTGTTTAGAAGGGAAAATCAAATATGAAGATGGTAATAATATGACTGGAATAACTTTCAACATAGAAGATTATTTAAGCAAAAGGGTTATAGAAATAGATTTTTATGGACAATTTGAATACCTAAGTTGTGACATGAAAAAATATTTAATTAATTTAACTCAAGAAGGTGATTATTTGAATATAAATGAATTAACAAAATTTTCAGAAGCGCATGGTAACAAATTAGAAGAGAAAGAGAAAAGAAAAAAAAAGGAAAGAGAAGAAGAGAAAAAAAAAAGAAAAAAAAAAAGTGAGGAATTTTTCAAAATTTTTACTAATGCTTTACCTGTTAGTATAGAAAAATGTTGTTTGAAATTTCTTGATGAAAATGAATTTAAAGTGATAGAAGAAGAAAAAAGGAAAAAAAGAAATTTCATAATCTCATGTGAAAACATGGGGGATGAATATTTTAATATACACGTTTTGAAAAATTATGAAGAAAAAATAACTTATTTCCAGATAGACAGCTACGGTGGAGTCATTTCGGTTAAGGGTGAATTCGTGAGCAAGGGACAAACGTTTTCAAGTGTGTGTAATAATGAAAAAGAGAAGAGAAAAACAAACTCTGAGGTTGAAAGAGGATACAATACAAACTTGAGAAAAAATGAAGATGATTATTTATTAACAGAAGATGGTTTGGAAATACTGAATAAAAACATGCACAGTTTTATGAATTATGATCGTGTGAGAGGTTCCCAATTGGAAATATTTACCCATAACTGTTATGAGAACTATGTAGGAATTACAGGAGATTTAAAGGGAATGAATTTTCGTGATAAAAACTCATTAGTAATAGTGAATCCGCCAATTATCATACCAAAGGAATGCACTATAGAACTGTGGTTGTTTGTTAATTCAAGGAATGGAAAAACAAATGGAAATGAGAAAAACTTTCTCTTTTGTGACATAAAAGGAAATTCGCTATTTGTTATTGTGAGAAAGGGTGGAAATATTGAAGATGTAGAAATACATATAAGTGATAAAAGAAAGTTAAGTAGTTATTTTAAAAAAATGAACACTAACACTGATGAGAAGAATGGAAATGTAAAGGGAGAAAAAGTGCCAGCAAAAAATGACAGTTGTAGTGTTTATATAAAATGCAAGAAAAGTAGAAAATGGAATAAAATTCACACTATAGTGAAACAGGATCAATGGAATTTATTACATCTAACGAAATGTACTAATGGACTAATTTATTATATAAATGGAAAATATATAAATAGTATTTCTAATGAAATATTAAATTTAGACAATCAATTTGAAATGAGCATATTTGGAAACTCATGTTTTGGAAATAATAACATAGGATTATGTTCCTCTTTTAAAATATTCGAATTTCTAAATAAAGAAGAAATAAAAAGAAGATACAGAATTATAAAAAATCTTAAAGGGAGAGAAATAGTTGGTGACAACCTATGTATGGAAATAAAAGATGATATAATAGAAGGTATAGATATTAGAGATAAATGCATGCAAAATTGGGTATTTTTCATGTATTTTTCTCAGTCACAAAAGGAAAATACAAGGGTTCTTCCTGTTATCAATGACTCCAATTACAAGGTGAGTGTATATCAATTGCGCTTTGTTGTCTCCAAGTTTGCAGATAATAATTTGCACAAGAGGCAAAATGTTCCTTGGGTAGACAAAGGGGGAATACGTGGCTGGCCATACAGAAATAAAGAGTTACAAGAGGAAATGAAAAAATTGGAAGGAAGAAACGAAGAGAATAAGGAGGATAATAAAGAACTGTACAAGAGACATGAAAAAATAATCCGCATAGATAATAGAGAAGAATATGGGTACAATGTATACTTCAAAAAAGTGAAGAGAAAAAAGGATGTACCGAAAATATATGGAATAGATATATTTTCTGACTTACTTACATATGCATGTGATTTGTCAAAATTTTATAACTTAATTTTAAATCCGTCATTATCTATATATAACGAATTAGCAAAACCATTTGGTTATACCTTATGTTTGTGGATATTTCTTCCAATAGAAAAAAATATTTCCTTTTCTGCATTAGTTAGTGGAGAAAAAGATGCACATATTTGCATATTCAGTAACCATATGGTTATAGGATGTATTGAGAATTACAAAGGGGAAAAGAAAAATGGGATAACCTTTTATCATTCTTCTGGATGTAGTATCAAAAGCATGAAAAGAGGTTGGTACTATCTAACCGTTGTTGGTACTTTAAGGGGTCAATTTTATTTTATAAATGGCTTCTTCAAGGGATATCATAAATTTTGTTCTTTTGATAATATAAAATATATAGGGAATAGTAGTTTATTTATAAATCCATTTCCATATATTTCTTTCTTTAAAATGGTAACAAAACCTTTATCAGTGAATGAAATTATGTATGAATATTCATGTCCTACTCATAGCAATTTGAACAGCTTTTACAGTTCCTCATATTTATATTTCCTTTTTGCAAATTTGTTTACCGGTGTATCCGAAAATAATAATAGCATTGTTACTCTGAGTGATAAATCTTCTCCTTCCACTGATTTAGAAAAGGAACAATATGTCCATTTTGAAATTACAGAATGTTGTAATGTACATATTTATCCATATCGAGAAAGGGAAAATTACGATTTTACTTTATCTGTTACATCTATGGAAAATAGAAAGTTATATTTTTTTAATAAAAGAAATTATCAAATTAACAATTTGAATATACACTTGAATGTTATCATAGTATTACCTCAATATTGGACAATTTTTGCCTTTGTTAATTTGTCATATGTGAATAAATATTCTTATCATTGTTTGGTGGGGGGAGAAAATGGGAGTTCGCACATTGCTATTAAAGGTTCAGATTTATCTCTAGGAGTTTTAACAAATTCGAGTGAAAATTTTTTACAGAAGGAGGTATTAGACGAAGTTTCAAATGAGGAAAAAGCTAGTTATTTGAGAATGTATTACTTTGGAAATGACCAAAACAAATCTACAACAAATAGAAACATTGATTCAGATAATATTATTCTGTGCCCAACAAACCAAAGGATGTACTACCAAAAATTCAACACCTCAGGTTATACTTTCCAGGGGGAACAAAATAAGGAAATTTTATTAACAACCAGATGCAGAATAAATGAACAGACCTTTTTTATTAACTCTCACAAGGTGGGAGTGTGTAAATCTTGTCTCAGCCCAATATCTTGTATTGGAAATTGCTTATCTGTAAATAATGAATATTTGTCTCCCTTTGGTTTGTACAAATTTGTAAGGATTGTTTTTGAGGATGTCACTGATGAAAATATAGGCGCATATTACCATTCCCTTCATTTGTTGGAGGAACAAAGATAAGTATGGTTATATGCATGTGTATACGCAATTACAAACACTTAAAATCAACTTGAACAAAAATGGATACCTCCAAATTTGAAGGGTATAAATTCTTAGTGGTTCACACAAAAAACTTGTCGCTTTTGAATGGGTGTACGAAAAAAAAAAAAAAAAAATCAACAAGACGTGTTGTATAATTTGAAATAACTAAACATGAGAGGTATAACAAATTATGTTCAGATATATAAAGAGGAAAAATAAATATTTGACAAAGACAATCGAACAAATTTTATATGCAATTAAATTTAATATGTATATTTAAAGAAACAATTATGCTTTGGGTATCTTAATGTGTAACAAACTTGGCTGTATTTTTTTTTTTTTTTTTTTGATTTTTTGTTTTTTACGATGAAGACATTTAAATGTGTGTAAAAAGTTAAACTGTTGAAAAGTGGAATAAGGAAAAGTTCTGTAGCGATATCTGTCTCTTTATTCGTCCTCTACATCCTGTTCATCATCATCTTCAACCGATTCAATAGATTCATCTTTTTTTTGATTTTCTAATTTATTCGTCCCCTTTACAGATCTAGCAGTAAATGTGAGGTGTTTAAAAAAAGAGCATAATATGTTGGTAGAATTGTTGCGATGTTTTAATTTTTCGCATGTTATAGGGGACTCATGTTTTTTCGCAAAATTATGCATACATAATAGAAACAAACAATAAATGTACGACTTTGGAAAATGCATTTTTTCCAGTTACCGATCGTTTTTAATTTCTTCGACATTTTTGCCATTTATTTTTATATGCGGATTGCCGAATTTACTTTTGGCTATTCGCAGTTTTAGTCCCTTGGGTTCATTTTCTTGCTCTTCATCAAATTCTTCACCGATAATTTTTTTCCTAACAAGATTTTGTTCATTTTTCTGGACACTTGTTTTATCGATCACTGAATCGCTTGCTTCATCAGCTTCTCCCGATTTGTCACTTTCTTCATTTTGTTCTTCCCTCTTTTCATCCATTCCCAGGGCATAATTATACTCAGGTAATTTTCCCCTAGTTTTTGTCAGTTTGCATAAAACTGCATCTGTTATTGAATTTGTCCAAAAGTTCCTAAGAACTTTACTAGCTAAACATAGAATCACAGAATCATCATTATTTTTACTCTGTCGTATGTGAATACACTTATTCGATAAGGTTTCTACAGGTAGAATTATGTCTTTTATATTTATTTCTTTTTCTTTAATATTTCCTAATTTTAAAATCAGCTTATTAGAAATTATTGATCCTTCGATAATTAGTTTCCCTTCTTTGTCTGTCTTATCTAAAATCAACCCTGCCAAATGGTTAAGGGATTTACCACAATATTTTCTATTACCCAAATCGTTTATTTCGTTGAAACTGTTATACTCTTTTTTTGATACTTTTAAGAGTTCTTTCATCCATTTATCCATATTATTATTAAAATATAGTGGGTTACATCTACTTATGAGGGCATTAAGTAGGAATGTAGAGAGAATCCATTTTATCGGATTCATGGTTAACGATGTTTGTAAAAAGGGCTTAAATAGTAGGTAAGACCCGTAAGACGTAATGTGTGGCACATAAGATTCGAAGGATGATGTACGAGTTAGGTATAGATACAAATAAGCTTATGTGTACATTTATTTAATCCTGAGTAGCCAAATGTAAAGTAATTTATATAGTAATTTTTAACAATAAAAAAGATTGAACCAATTTGACTAGCCACAATATTGTGGAATGGGAGGAAAAAGTTTGTTATGTTAGCTTAACCGAGTTTTTTTTTTTTTTTTTTTTTTTTTTCCCCTTCATCCCTTCACTTAATTTCATATTTTAAAAAATGGTGCCTAATTAATTTGTGTATATACATGGCTGTGATGTGGTGGAATAAAAAAAAAAAAAAAATACCCACATTTAAGGAAGATTAAAAATAGTGAAAAGTGGCATAACATGATATATTATAACACCTTATCATGTTTTAAAATAAAAAATTGCTCTTAAGACAGGAAAGAAATGGATCATTAAAAAAAAAAAAAAAATTGAAAAATTCGTTTTCTTATGTCCAGTTAATAACGCCAAAATGGGCTACAAAAATTACAACATTGAGTTAGACGAATAAACTCAAATATGAATTTATTTTACCCTCCTGAAGAATAAAAGTCACTGTTGTACGCGTACATACGTGCACACATACATGCAAACATACAGGTCATTATTGCAATTTCAAATAAAAATTACAATTTATGTAATTCAACATTATCATGCCAGGGCTCGCGCAGATAGGGATTGATCCATGCACTTCCAAAGGGTTAGTAAAATTAAAGGTATGTTGAAAGAGGATTTATTCATAAACCCAATGGAAAATACATATGGATGGGCACTCATCTGGATAATGTACCATGATTATTCTCTTCATGATAGGGAAGCGAATCTTGTCTAATTCTTTGATTTATGCCATTTTAAAAATAATTCTTAAAGTAAAACCTTTTATTTAATGACTACGGGAATGAACTAATTTTGCCACTTCATCGTGGAACCCATATGTAAAAGTTCGATTGAAAATGAAATTGGGCATTTAGTTTTATTTTTCACATGTTTTACTCACAATTTGTTGAGTTTTCGTTATGTATGTATTTTTTTTTATTTTTTTCCCTCTTCTTTCTATATAGTGTAACAATTTGACCATATTATGAAAAAAAAGAAAAAAAATATATCATAGATGACATATTCAATGTGTTTGTTTACCTTTAAAGTTTTTTTTTTGTATATGTATAAAAATTAATAAATCATGAATTTTACAGAATAAAAATTTTTAAATTGTCATAACCATTGAAATGGTTAAAATACGGCAAACAAAAAAAAAAAAAAAAAAAAAAAATTGGGAAAAGGGAATAAAAATACCTTTTTTTTTTTTTTTTTTAAGCCGGATATTTAAGAATTAATATACATATAATTTTTCTTTTCTTTTTAACTGAACCATGATTGTAAGAACTTAAGCCTAATCGCATCGTTTGTAAATTTTGCACATGTGGAACTCGAGAAAGTGCAAACGTATGCTTAAGGTTTATTTTTACGAGGTTAACAATTCTATGGTTTTGATTATTTATTTTTATTTTTTTTTTATTTTTTTTGTCAAAAGTGTTATTAACAATTTTACATAAAAAAAATGTTCACCTTTTACTGATACGCAATTTTTTCGTTTTGTGTTATTTGACAAAACTGTTGCCGCTTCAAAATTTTTAAGCTTAAGGAATGTTTTTTATATGGGAAAATTAAGAATACTTGAATGAATAGATTATATATGAGTAGGTAGCAAAAGTATACCAATTGATGCCTTGAACACATGACTGATTAAATAATTTATGAACACACCTTTTTTATATGCTATTTTGTGTTCCTATATATTGAAAAGTGTACACCAATTTAGACCAGTGTTTAATCGAGTATCTACTTTATGTTGTATTCTCAACATACCCATGCACACATGCAAGTAGATTTACATATAAGAACAGATGTTACACATGTTCATAATTTGTACCATTATCTTATGTTTTGTGTATCCCAAGTGTGGTCAACCCAATTGTTTATAAACTTACCTGATGTCCCTTTTCTCCTTTTTGAACAAGGCAATGGAAAAGTTCGCAATATAATGCATATATCCACTATCTTAGTTATATTAGAAGGCGCTAAAAAAAGAAAAATGATGTGATGGAGTTATTCGTTTTTTTTTTTTTTTTTTTTTTTTTTTTTTTTTTTTTTTTTTGTTTTTTTCTTTTTTTTTTTTGCAATGGAAAAGTTCGCAATATAATGCATATATCCACTATCTTAGTTATATTAGAAGGAGCAAAAAAAAAAAAATTATTTGATGGAGTTTTTTTTTTTTTTTTTTTTTTTTTTTTTTTTTTTTTTTTTTTTTTTTGCGCATGTTTAATATTTCGAACTTTAAGAACACACATTGAATTTTGACATTTCTTGAAATCGTTACACACCAGTGGAAAGGCTCATGCCACCGGAATAGCTATCCACATTCCATTTTGTATTCACCCATAAAATTCCCTTTGGAAAAAAAAAAAAAAAAAAAAAACTTGACACAATCAAGAGAAGTACAAGCTCGGAAGAATTAAGAGGAAAATACAAAGCTGAAGTGATTAGAAAGTTGGGGGAAAAAAAAAACTGATAAATAAATAAACAAGGATAAACTTATATGTGCTATATATAGACGGAGAAAATTATAGAAAAAAAAAAAAAAAAATAGGAAGGTAACAAGCAAGATAGAACCCAAATAAATGAATATATAAAATGCTTGGATTCACGGGATCATGCTTGTCAAAGGAGTTTTTCGATTTAGCAAAATCTATAGGAGAGTCTCGTTCGAAACAGGTAATATATGTTCTTGCTGTGCTCACGTATCCTTTTTTGGTATCAGTATGTACGTGTTTTTACGCTTGTTTGTGTAACGTTCCATAATTATGGATATGCGTAGATAAACGCATGTATATACATACACATATACGCACATACATACACACATACGCACATACATGTGTGTTCTTTTTTTTTCGCGAAGGAGGAGGACAGAATTATATGCAATGAAATCGTTTTGCTCAAGTCAAGGTTTGTGGATCCGAATGCATCAGTAGTAAGTTTACACATGTACTCATGGGGATGTTAAATATCATGTGAAAAAAAAGGATCATGCACCTTGTGCCAATTTTGTGAGGTTGCATAGGGAAACTGTTGTGTGATGCATTTCTGGAATATATGTAAAAGGAGTTTGTAAGTATATGTATAGATTCTAATCACATTTTATAATTCTATTATATATATATATCACTACTTCTCCCTCCCCCTACGTGTCTATTTTTGCAGAAACAGATAAAAGAATACTTGATCAGAGCAATATACATAGAAATGCTTGGCCATGATGCATCGTTTGCATATATTCATGCAGTTAAACTAGCACATGAGAAGAACATTTTGTGTAAAAGGACAGGTTATTTATCATGTAATCTGTTCTTAAATAAAGACCATGAATTGATGCTATTATTAATTAATACAATTCAGAAGGATTTAAAAAGTGATAATCATTTAGAAATTTGGGCAGCCTTAAATTGTGTTTGTAAATTATTAAACAATGAAATGATTCCAGCTATATTTCCAATTATAAAAAATTTATTAAATCATAAAAATGAATTAATAAGAAAAAAAGTGTGTATGTTATTACATAAAATGTATTTAATTGATCCATTATTAATTAAAGAAATTGATATATTTTTAAAAAAGTTATTATGTGATGTAGACCCTTCTGTTATGGGAGCATCTTTAAATTTAATTTATTGTGTTGCTAAGAATGATATGATGTATTGTGTAAAATTAGTACCATATTTAGTTTCTATACTTAAACAAATATGTGAAAATAAATTACCAAGAGATTATGATTATCATAGAATCCCAGCCCCATGGATTCAAATAAAAATATTAGCTATTTTTAGAATTTTAGGATATTCAAATAAGAAATTATCAGAACAAATGTATGAAGTATTACAGAAAACAATGCAAAGAGCTGATTTCGGAATAAATGTTGGTTATGCTATTATTTATGAATGTGTAAAAACTATTGCTACTATATACCCATCTCATCATTTACTAGAATTAGCATCTTTATCTATTTCTAGATTTATTTCATCAGATAATCATAATCTTAAATACGTTGGCGTTACAGGATTAGCTCTCATTGTAAAAATTAATCCTATGTATGCTTCTAAGCACCAGCTAGCTGTTGTAGATTGTTTAGAGGATAAGGATGAAACCTTAAAAATGAAAACGTTAGATTTATTATATCAAATGACGAACCCATTAAATGTTAAAGTTATTGTGGATAAGCTTTTATTTCATGTGGAAAATTCGCTAGATATTCATTTTAAACATGATTTGGCATGCAAAATTATTCAGTTAATAGAAAGGTACACTCCTGATGATATTTGGTTTTTAAATACTATAAATTCTTTATTTCTATCAGTGGGGGAATTGTTGGATGAAAGTCATTCTTATTCTCTTATTAAACTCTTGAAAGACAGTTCGGTGTGCTTAGATTCAGACTCAGGTGATGAAATTATTCGGAACGAAATGAATGAAGAAGCTAACAATGGGGTGGAAGGTGTCGAAATATGTAGCAATAATAATAATTGTGACAGCAATAACGACTATTATAAAAACACAAATGAAATTGAAAGCTCTAAGTGTTTAAACATTGAAGAGGAGGTAGACAATAAAGAAGGCTGTCTGAATGAGCAGATGCATCAGGTAGTACACAATTCTCTTTCACAGGGTGGAGAAGTATTTAATAGAGAATCAGATAATAAACAAAATTGTGGAAAATATGATGCAAATGTTGTACAAAATAACAATGCAAATGACATCATAGATGGGCTAATAAAAGCGAATGGAAATATAGATGAACAGACAATTGGAAATAATAATCCTAGTAAGGATAATAACACTACGGAAAAACTGAACCAAACGATTAGCGAAAAAGAATTAAAAAAAAAAAATAAAATAAACGATAGTATATACAATTTGAGAAAATATGCTGTAAACACATACATAAACATGCTAGAGAATAATGAAAACATTCCTTTTATTTTGATGCAAATTATATGTTGGGTATTAGGAGAATATAGCTACCTATGCGATATAGAAAATTACACAACTGAAGATATTATTGATTTGTTATGTGAATGTTTGGAAAAGAATTTTAATAATCCAGATAGAGTGAAATCATGCATAATAACAGCCATTTTCAAATTATGCTGCTTCAATAACATAACAGATCACGTTGTTGCTAAGAAATTGATTGAGAAATACAAAAATAGTAGGATAACAGACATGCAGCAAAGATGTTATGAATATGATTTCATTTTAAATAATCCTACACTTATTAAAAATGTATTTTCGGCAAAATGTAAACAAAAAATTGTTATAGATGAAAGCTTATCTTTCTTGAATCCATTCGTACAGAAACATTTGGAAAATGGAGGAAAAGCTTACATAACAAAAGATTTAAGGAAATCTGAAAATAATTTCGAATCTTCCAAAAACAATGCACCTGTACTTAATTTTACGCCATACGAATTACCAATCAATAGTAGAATACATGTCGATAATTTTCATACATCATCAAATAGTAACTTTGCATATGAAAAAAATTACAAGTATAACACACCTGAGCAGTTTTCAATAACGGATCCTATGTCTAATCCAAAAGATAGAGAAAAAACATTTAAACTTAATGTAGTGGGCCCCAAAAAATGGAAAAAAGAAACATGTCAAATTGAAGGAAGAAAAAATAACAAGAAAAAAAAAAAAAAAAAAAAAAAAAGGGATAACGAAAATAACGATCAGTTAAAAAGTAGTCTTACTAATGTGTATAAAAATAAATTAAAAAATCAGGAAGGGCAAAAAAGGTTGCATAAAATGAGCACAAATCAGGGAGGAAATGAAGAAGGGAATTTTTACGATAAAAATTGTTTTGGACAAGAAAGAGAAGAAGTGGATAATCAAGATGATGACAAGGTGGAGCCTGGAGATGATGAAACAGGAGATGAAGAAGATGGAGAAGAGGAGGAGGATGAGGAAGAGGAAGAAGAAGAGGAAGAAGAAGAAGAAGAAGAAGAGGATGCGATATCAGAAGACGAAGGAAATTTTGATGATGATCATAATCCAGGGAATGATGAAAGAGAATGTGAAAAAAGAGTGGATGTCTTAGGGGACGGCTATAATCAGAATTATGAAAGATTTGAAGAAAGAGATATTAATAACTTAAGGGATTATAAATATGAAAATGACAGTAACAGTAATAGCAATAACAGTTCATTTTACAAACAAGGAAGTTCCCATCAGAACAGTTATGCAGATTCAACACATAATGAGCTAACAGAAAAGGAAAAAATGGCTGCTGCACTTTTTAATGGTTTAATATCAAATAGTTCATCGGTTGACAATTCAAGAAATAATTACTCTTCCAGTTTTTCAAGTAAAAAAAGCCAGTCATTATTGTCCAATAGGAATTATTTTAATACAAAGTCTAATGATATCAAGACGAGTGAAAGGGGTAAGTATTTTGGCAATAAAAATAATTCAGGGAAATTTGAAAGAGAACATGATTTATCAACAAATCAACATGTGGAAAAAAAAAGTTCTTCATCGAATATGTTGGAAAACAATTTAAATAAATTAGATGAAATGAGAAAACCCAAGTATGCATTTGACATGCTAGACTTAAGCGAACCGTCTGCTAAAGATGATTATATGGAAGAAGAAAATAGTAGAAGAAAAGAGGAGGTAATTTTCTACCCTTTTTTTTATTTTAAAATTGGGAGATAGATGAAGAAGAAGAAGAAGAAACAGAAAAAATAAAAAACCTATTTTTTTATTTTTTTTTTTTTTATCACGTGTGTTGTAACACGTGTTTAACAGTCACTTTTAAGAAACAAGTTGAAAATATAATTATTTCATCCTTGTTCAATATTTTCAATTTGTATGTTTTTTATGGCGTGATATAATTTTTGTTTAAATGAACATTTATTCGATTTGAATGCTTTCTGTGTCCTTCCCACTTTTACATCATTTTATTTTTTTTTTCAGGACAAAAATTTGTGGAATTGCATTGGTAGTCAGAAGAAAGCTGTTTTTTTAAACACGTCCGAGTTAAACATATTTCAGATAATTAAAAAAATCGAGGTACAATATTTTACTATTTGGTTGGACCAAGACACACTGTTTTGTTTTTTTTCCAAATAGTTTTGTGGTGTTTTGGCGCTGTCTTAAACTTTTGCTTGTGTTATTCATTATTTATTATTCAATATATTTTGTATTTTTTTTTTTTTTTTTTTTTTTTTTTTTTTTTTTTTTTGCATGTCCATTTTGCAGAATAATTTAAATGCCAATGTGGTGGAAGTGAGCAAAAAGGAAGCCTTAACATCATGCATTTATAGCAGCAATAAAGTTTTGGTAAAAATAAAAATAGAAGACAATAAATTAATTTTTTTAGTGAAGTCTGCTGAAATTAAGTAAGATATAATAAATAGTAACGTAATTCATGTTTTCACAATGTTATCCTCAGGATGTATTTTACGAATGTGTGTGTTTGCTATACCATTTTTGTTTATCCTTTTTGTTCACATTTTATTTTTGTGGTTTAAGAAATAAAGATATTTAATTTTAACATTATTATAACTTTTATTTATTTTTATTTTTACTCCCCGTCCTTTTTTTCAGAACAATTGACAGCGTTTTTGTTATTCTGAGAAATTTGTTTCATTCATAAATTTATCATGACACAATATGCACGTGCATATAGGCATGTATGTGTATGCGCATGTAGATCAGACTTGTAAAAATCTTTGCTTAACCTCTTTTTCTATCTATTTCTTCTTTTTTTTTTTTTTTTTTTTTGTTAAATTATTCAGAAATATCAAAATATATGTATATATATACATATATATACGCCTTGTTTTAGTGAAATGTGTTTATGCTTCATGATATATTGTTATAAATTAAAAAAATTTTCATATAAATGGACTATATTTGTAGCGTGTAACTAGGCGCGCCCCTTTTTTGAGGTTATGTGTAGATATGTAAATGCATATATATATATATATATATATGTATATATTTATATATTTATACACACGCATTTATTTTTAAAAACGAACATATTCAAGGAAACACTTTTTCAAATTATCATTCCCGATTTTTAAAATAAAAAAAAACAAGACGGTATAGAAGGAAGCAAAAAGGAATAAAAAAAAATAAAATAAAAAATTGTTCCGTAGGTAATGGTTCAGCTGTTAAAAATGTTTATTTCTGAAAAAGTTAAATAGGTATACACAACACACACACAAAAAATGAAAGGTACATAAGCAATAGCAAAGTTAACAATGAATTGGTACAATATAAATAGGACGGCTCAAAATAGCGCGATTAAATTGTTCTCTCTTTATAAATACATTTTATAGGGAAATATTTCGAAATTAACCAAATTTGTAACTGCATTTTATACATGTACATATTTGCCTCTGCCATTTCATTTTTTCTACTTTAATATTTTTAAGGGATTCAATTTTATATTTAATAACTGCAGATATTTGTATATATGTGAGTAATTAACAAAGGGAACATAAAATTTCGTAAATAGCACACAGCATACCTGTAACAATAGTGAAATTTTTTTTAGTAAAAATTTAATTCCTCATTTAAGAAACTTTCTTTTTTTTTTAGATTAAAAACTGTGAGAGGTACTAGAATTTGACTGAAAAATGCGGAAAAAAAAAAAAAAAAAAAAAAAAAAAAAAAAAACACGTTGAAAAGCATAACTGAAATGGGGAAATTACCTCATCGCATAAGAAGAAATTATATATGCAATATGCATTTATACATCGTGTATATATATAACACTTACATATTTGGGGTTTGCAAGCTTTATTTTTGTCAAATTTCTTGAGAATAAGAAAATCAAGAAAAACACTAAGGATTTTAAATGGGTGTTTATGGAATGTTATAAACTTAAAATATGCATGTCCTTAAAATTGTTTAGAAGGAAATTTTTTTTTTTTTTTTTTTCATCTTCCCTATCTCATGGTTTTATTTCAAAATAAGAGGGAATGCGAAAAAAAACCAAAGTAAAAGGAACAGAAGTAAACAAACGTAAAGAAAAAGGGAACGCAAAAGAACGTAAGAAAAAAGGGGAAATAATAGTTCACAAACAAACTTAGAAATTAGTCAAATTTTGTTTATTTTGGTTAGTACATAAGAAAATACATTTATGTACAACCCGACGCACAAAAGCTACACATAACGCGCCAAAGCATACACAGGTATTCAGTACTCATTGTAGCTTGGGGCAAAATGATCGTCGGAGAAAATTTCTGGGATGAGGAGAAGGATGCACCTATTCTAAAGAGGAATGGAAATTATATTAACAAGGATAACTGTGAAGTTATTTGCAAGCGTGCAGAACATTTCTACGAAATAATGTTAAGCTATATTAAAGAAGAAATAAATGTGGAAATTCGAGATCATTGCAATGATAAGGAAATTTTACGGATAATTAAATTAGACGCTGAAAGAACTTTTAACAAAGAAAAAAATCGATCATTATTAATCGAGGTATTACAATCCATTTATCCAATAACGAATGATTATCATCAAGGAATATCATTCATTTCTTCCTTTTTGTTACTTTTTTTAGAACCAAAGGAAGTAATAAAAATTATAACAGGCTTACATAAATATTATTTACCGGGTTATTTTAAGGCAATGCCAAAGGCATATGTGAGAGATTCTCGTGTATTTTTAAGTATTTTAAATAATTTTCATCCAAATTTATATGAACATATAAAAAATTTAATAACTCCTGAAGCCTTTGTATCCAAATGGTTTATTGGTCTGAATGTTCACGTCTTGACATTTGAATCACTTATGTTATTTTTCGAATATTTATTAAAAGAAGGAGAAATATTTTTATTTAAATATAGTATTGCTTTATGCAGAACATTAGAACAGGAAATTATGAACACAAATGATGTTTCGAAGTTACTAGAGCTGTTACGACTAGATCAAAAACTTTTCCCCAATGATTATAAGAAATCGGAAACACAAAAAATTGGAGATTTCTTTTTAAATATTATAGAAGCTTCTCTAAAAGTGGATATGTCAAATATTGACTTAGTCAAATTGAGGGAAGAAGCATGTGCTCAGATGAGGTTAGAAGAGGAAAGGAGAAAACAAATAGAAATGGAACGTCTTCTCACAGATGACGAAATTATTTTTTCTGACGAGGAGGAAGACGAAGACGAAAAAGTTGTCAATGATGATTCGAACCTGACTGAGACAGAGGATGAAGACAAATCAGAGCTTGGAGATTCCAGCAAGTTTAAACGAGAAGACACAAAAGAAAAAACAGTTTCAAGTGAGGAAGTACAAACGAGTGAGAAGAATGATGTGGAAAAAAGGGAGTGTGAAGACGCACATAACTGCATTTAATTGAAATTAAGAGAAATTAACCAAATTAACGAAATTAACAAAATTAACGAAATTAACAGAATTAACGAAATTAACGAAATTAACAAAATTAACGAAATTAACAAAATTAACGAAATTAACAAAATTAACAAAATTAACGAAATTATCTCATGGGTAGAGGAAATCTTGTATAACACAAGTGAACACACTGAATAGATGAGAACGAAATAATTAATTAAAGTAATTTTTAAGTTTGTATTTAAATCATTACACCCAATGCCTTTACATATTATTTAGTGCACACTTATGTGTTCTATCAATATGCAGTGTAAGACATATATACATATACATATGTTATTTATTTTAATTATATATATATATATATATATATATATATATATATATATTTTATAAATGCAACGGATGATGTAAGAATACACATGTTTCATGTTAATATAAGATTCGTTTAAAATAGTTCACCATATTGTGCCCCAATTGTATTACTTTTCAATGTAGTGTGATATGCTACACGTTGTGCACCGTAATGCAAGTGTTTTGTATCACGTGACATATATATATTTTTCTTTTCTTTTTTTTAAACACATAAACATATCTAAATTTTTGTTTGACATATATACATACATTATTTGGATTAATCCTTTTTTTTTTTTTTTTTTTTTTCCACAAACAAACATTTTTTTTATGCCCCATAATTGTAGAATAATTTTGGGGAACGCATACTTGCCCAATTAACCATAAATTGAAGTTTACAAGGAACATATGTTTGATTAAGGATTTATCATTACTATATGCGAGAAAATTGGGAAGAAATTCAAAGTGACAAAAAAGGAGAAAAAAAAAAAAAAAAAAAAAAAGGTTGATTCACAAGGAAATAAACCTTTTGAAGCGTATCTTTTCTCCGAGCAGTTCTTTGAACATTGTGAAAATGTCATAAAAGAATAAGAGGAGTCGAAAAGTGTCTTTTTTTTTTTATTCACATTGATATGGTTCTGTCATTTTAATTATACAGTTGCTTGGGTTTTCCTGTGTCTCATTTACAGGGGGGATATGGCTATATCATTTTATTGCTTTTTCGTTTGAAAGTTCATTTTATAAATTATGTTAAAATTTTTTAGTTGTTGGGGAAAAAAAAAAAAAAAAAAAAAGTATTAAACAAAAAGGTGGAAATGAAAATAAGCTTTGTACACACCAGGCATACGTATATATTTACGTATATCACATATTTATAAAGCATATAAAAGATAGGTTTATTCTTCTGTTTTTTGTAATCTGGCTTTTGCATTAATAACAGAAACGTTCATTTGTTTGGCTCTTTCGATTATTTCCCTTCTCTTTTTACTTGAAACATTATGAGCAATTTGCACACAATATTTGGTGTTGTTCATAATTAATGGTTCCATTTCTCTAACATTCTTTACTATATATTTATACTTATTATTTGGTAATAAATGTTTTGTTTTTTTGTTGCTACCGTAACCAATACTTGGCATTAAGTTCGTTCCTTTGTATCTTCTTCTGACACGACAATCAATACCTCTTGGTTTTCTCCATGCAGGCTATAAGGTGGAAAAAAATAAAAATGTCAATGTTTTACACGTCCACAGAAAGGTTATGCATGTATGTGTTCTTGTTGTACATTACACACATAAGTGGTACATGCGATTGTATCATGAAACACTTCCACACACATGGAAGTTGCAGTAGCAGCAGTAGAAGTAGTATGTACGTCATATATATAGCGTTCATGAATTATTCGAGGGAGAGGAGAGCTCCAAAATGTATGATGTGCTTATAATAATTAGCGTTGGCAGAGATAATACAATTCAGCAGGTTTTTAAAAGGTGTTGGGGTGTATTTTACATTTGATGCATATGTTTGTAATAAATCACCACTATCATATCCCTATTATATATTTTTAAATAGTGTATCAGGCTGAACTGTGTTAAACATTTTCTTTTCATTTTTCCCGCTGCATAAGAAGTATCCCAAAAAAAAAGTTAACACTGATATGCGCAAAAGTATGGGCATTATCCTTATTTATAATACAAATTTAACATGTCATTGTTCTCCTCTCCCAATATTTTCCTTTAACGTTATATCTTTGGATTACCTTGACACGCATAAACCTGTTCGATTGAAAACGGGTAAACTTTTTGGTTCTCTTTTTTACAATTTTTCCAACTTTTTTTACTGCCATTTTTTAATAAATTGTTTGTATAAAATTATCTGTCAAATATGACCTTTTTGTGAAGAGATCTTCTAAATAGTGAAATATCAAATGGGGGTACAAAAGTACGAGTTTGTTTAAAAAGTTACTGATATGTTGTTGTATATATATAAATGTACATATAACTGGGTAAAAATTCCATATATATATATATATATATATATTTTTTTTTTTTTTTTTATCTATAAATTGTTTAAACAGCTTAAAGGGTTCGTAAATATAGGGAAAAAAGTGATTGTATAAAATTAATACAAGGTATGCGTTTAATTTCAATTTTTTCTTCTTTCCCTAAGTTAACTTTTTTCGAACTTTTTTCTTCGTGCATATACATATATATGTATTTTTTATGACAAAAAAAAAAAAAAAAAAAAAAAAAAACTATATACACGTGGGGGTATCTTAAATGTTGTGGTTATATCATTATTCAATTATCTTTTGCAATTTTTACACGCAAAATTATATCTTTAATTGTTATAAAGAATCAGCACAATAATAAAAATACGTGATAAGATATGAAAAAGTAAATGCACGGTGTGACAATAAACTAATGTTTTTATATGGCATACATTTCGCAATTGGCACTGCGAATAAGAATATTTTACAAGATTCATGCACGATTTTTTTTTTCTCTGTAGCAAAATTTACGCTCCTACATGAATTTTCTATTTCGTTAGGGGGGAGGGGGTAATTCATTTCTGGTGGGCAAAATATACTTCCTTTTTTTTTTATATTATATGCCAATGGTATAACACATAAAAGAATTATGAAATATGAACTTGATTTTTAAAGTGGAATTTTTTTTTTTTTTTTTTGTGTTATATAAGAATGATTCTGTCATTATTTAATGTTTTTTTTTTTTTTTTTTTAACATTCTTTAACAGTGAAGCCACCCAGTGGGCTTACATACGTACATAATACATGAATATACACATAATACATACACAGTACATACATAATACATACACAGTACATACATAAAAAATACACAGAACATACATAATAAATACACAGTACATACATAATAAATACACAGTACATACATAATACATACATAGTATATACATAATACATTTATAGTACATACATAGTACATGAATATATACATAGTACATGAATATATACATATCACGTACATATATGAATACTCTTTCGAGTAAAGCAATTAGTAGTAGAATAAGGGGGTATTATTTTTTTACATATATTTTATTCTCACCTAGTCGCTCGTTTCAAATATTTTAAGCGCAATGGTTGATTTTGTTCGAAAAGAAAGAAAAAGGTCATTTGCAAATTTTTAGGTGATAAAGAAAAAACATATTGTATTAACTATACCTTTGTGGATATTTTATTTTGTATAAATATGGTACACATAATAAGGGTTTTACATAAAAAATGCATGAAAAAAACATACCTAAGTTTTCCACAAGTATGACTTGGAAAAATGTGATTATCATAAGAGTATTATTTTGGGAAATTTCAAAGAGTGGTTATACTTGTAACCTAATTTTTTCTTGCCTCTTATGCCTGTACCCCACACATTAATACTTTTCTTTATTCTCTCCTAATATTAATATTTTTTATTATTAGGGATGAACAAATACCCCAATAAAAAGACCACATTATAAAAGTGAAGTTTATAAAAATTTAGCTAACACATTTTCAAAACACATAAACAATTTTTTAAACGAATAAACTGTAAGTTCTTTCATGCTATATCATCCTTTATTTTAGGTTTCATTATTTTTTATTTTTTGCTCAAAAAAATGAATGTAACATATAACAAACCGATGTGGTGAAAAAAAAAAAAAAAAAAAAAAAAAAATTGACATTATCCAAAGTTTGACAAATGGAACAAAACAAATAAACAAATGTATGTTCATTTTTGAACATTATTTCGTGTTAAAAAATTGACATGTACTTTTTTTTTTTTTTTAAACGGATTAATATTATGGAATGCCAAATTGTCTACAAAACATATATATACATATAGTTAATCTAAGGGGGGAGGGATTTTTCCACTTTTACCCCCCTATACATGCAAAAAAATTGTGAATTAGCATGACCATGAGAATGTATGGGATGAATATATATATAAGATATATATTCTGTATCCTATGCTAGTGTCTCCTCATTTTCTCAAATTTTCAAATGTCGATTGGGGAACAAAGGAAATGTCCTTAAATTTCGATTCTCCACTTAAGACCATCAATCCAACATTACCCAATTTGCTACTGTACTCATTGAGTTTTGCAGTGACAAGCGGTTCATCATTTAAGGTTATGTGGATATGTGTACCGTTGTAAGACATCTTTAAATTGTACCATACATCGGGGGTTATTGGTATGTACGTTGGTGCATTTAGATGGTAAGGAATTCCATTGGTAATTTTGAGAAGATATATTTTTCCACCGATCTCTGAAATATCCAATATCAAAGATAAGAAATCTTGAGATGATAAAACGTTGAAAATGATACCAGACTTTGTCAAAGTTTTTAAACTAATGGACGATTTAAATGTAAAAGATTTCATGCTAGGGCATAAATTTTGATGCTTTAAAAGTATAACTGATGGTATGAGCAAATCACCGTTTTCATTTCTTTTCTGTATGGAATGAAGATAACATTCGTTGGTGTTACCTTTTTCAATTGGATTAGCATCATATTTATGAATATTTTGTGCTTCTTCTACGGCTTTGTTATTTTTCCAAATTGAGCTTAAATTGAAATTTTTGAGAATATTCCAAGAAGAATTTAGAGGTATAATCCAGTTAGTTTCTAATGGATCCATACACATTTCTGTGTATATTTTACACTCATTTGGGGAAGAAATATTTTCTTTTTTTTCATCCAGTGAATTTTTATTTAAAGGATTTTTTTGTTCTTTTTGATGGAAATAATTTACACCATTAGTAGTTAAAATCCCGATTGATTTTTTAGTTTTTTTGTAATATTTGGCTTGATCTAGAGAGCCTATCACAACTTTATCAAAAAATATTTTTTCTTTGCAATTGTTTATTCCAAAACCTACGAATCCGTATGAATCATTCTTTGTTTCAAATCCGCTTACGTATTTTCCGTTTATATAGGTTCTAACATTTTTATAACCAAATTCAACAAAAAGCTTTACCCATGCCCCCAGCTGATGAGACAAATTTTTTATTTGTCTTTTCTGAACTTCTTTGCTTCTTTTCCCATCTATAATTTCAACAAAATAGAACTCATTTTTGTTTATCACAAAATTGGAATAATTATTATGATCTTTGTATTTAATTATGATGCCTACATTTCCATCATAAGGTATGTTAATATCAGATGAAATGAAACCTTTATACAATTTGGTATGTTTATAGAGCATATAAGAAGCATATAATTCTTCATTTGATTGTATAAAATTGTCATTTGTGATAGATGCAAATAGATTTCCTTTCGTGAATTTTTCGATAGTCCACTTAGATGACCCATTCATATTTTTACTATCAATAATAATATAGTTGTCGTTAACATTTGTTGAACTGTATTTTTCTTCGAACATATCTACCTTAATGGGCTTAACATTTGCTAGCGATTTTTCTAATTTTTCTATGATAAATTTTTTCTTACTTGTGATCAACCCAAACTGATTTATTGAAGACAACGTTGATGCTTTGGTTGTTCTGATGAAGGATTCATAATGTTTTTGTTCATTCCTCAAAAATGATAATGTTTCATTTAAATTGTGTATTTGTTTATTTTTTAAAATTAAGTTGGAGAAAATGCTCTCTTGTTTTTTTGCTAATTTTTGTAAATGTTCCTTTTCTGTGTCGTACATTTGCTGAAATGTTTTAAATGAGTCCGTAAGCTCTGGGTTCTGATTTTTGTTCATCGAATCATTCCTTTGATAGGAGCTTGGCAAGGCACCATTATGATATGCACTCAGTGAAACATGCATCTGCTGTTCACGCGGTGAAAGGTCTGTATGGACATTGGTTGGAGTGATGTGAGGCTCCCCTTCGTTTTCTTCTTTTCCCAAAAAAAAAGCTTTCCTGTAATTTTCTGTGTTATACAAATTGTGCATGCTATATAGTTGGTTTTTCAAAGCGGCATGTTTTTGATGAACTAAAGTCACGGGTGGGGTTGTATCCTTGAGATATGATTTTAACTGAATAAAGGAGAAGAGAGCATCTTCATTCGTATCGGAATTTAGAGATTCATTGATGTTGTAAGACGTTCTAGGAAAATTACAAATAGAACCATTCGGTTTAGTTATGTAATAAGAATCTTTATTTTTATGATCACTGACAGTTGCTTGAACGCTATTTCTTGTTACTGTAAGTGTACTAGTAAAAGACTGGGTAATGTATTGCAATTTTCTTATTTCTATTAACCCTCCTCCTTTATTTGTTATAATACCAGAATGTATAGAAGATTTGCACACAGGCGATTGAGGAGCGTAAATGTAAGAACCTAAAACTTTTTCTTCATTATGAAGACATTGAGGCAAACATCGTGCAACAATAACATCATTGTTGTCAAAATTAATTTGTTCAAATGTATCATCACAGGAGAGTAACAAAGATGGGTAGTTCATTATGTCATTGGGTTGTTTGTAGTTTACGTAGAGCTGAATATCTTTGCAAGTTTTTCTAGTCCATCCAGGTATATTAATAGAATTTTTTTGGTCTTTATTTGAGTATTTTTCAAATAGTGCAAATGCATCAACAACGATGCTTTGTTCTTTTCTTTTTAAATCAGAACTTTTGATTCGTTTTACAATAAATGCTCCTGAACTGAATTCATAATTTTCTCGTAAATTGTAGTTACAGTTGATATCAATATCTGAAATATATCTTTTAGATAAATCTGTTTTTGTCAAAAGGGAATGTTTATCATCTGTTACAATTCCTTTGTATCCTTCATACAGACTTCTGTTCGTATCATAGTTCAGAAAAAAGTCGTCCATATCTACCAACTTTATATCTGTAATTCCTTTAAATGTGTTGTCTTCCATGTTTGTTGGTAGAATCATACCACATTCTTCATAAATACCTTTTTCGTTTCTTCTTTTTTTTATCATTACTTTTATTACACCTCCACTTTCCTGTGGAAGCAACTGTTCCTTCATTGCAGAGGCACATATGCTTGCATTTAATTGATAACAGGGGAATGCCTCTACAATTGAAGATGAAACATCGTCATTCGAATGAATTTCTTCAGTTGGGATATTTTTCTGGCTACGATCTTGGGAGTCTTTTTCAGAGCATTCGGAAGGACACAAATATTGAAACTCCCCATTTTCGCTAGCTATACTCCCAAAGGTCATTGAGCAATTTATTTTTTTCTGAAAGGTAGTGTAACAAACCTTTTCATATATAGTGGTGTACAAGTATAGGGATTTTATAACTTGTTCAGGTATGTATTTGCTGCTCCAAAATAGAGTGAAAGATGGCATAGGTGTGTTTGTTTGTGTGTTTGTGGATGATATTTCAATATATATAGGTACCAATTTATTCTGGGATAAGTGAATTAGGGAACTTTTTAAATTTTTTTCATTTGGCATGTCTATATTGGAAATAATCTCTTTATTATCTAATTTAATAATAAAATTTCCTACTACATTCTTTACAACAAATGTATAGTTACAGTCATTTGGAGGGTTGAGAAAGCTTTGAATAATGATTTTGATTTGTCCATTTTCAATTCCTAGTTCATTTAATTTTTCTTCATTAACTTGTAACGTTTCTAATGGCACTCTCAATAAATTATCCTTTTTATTTATATCTATATTATCATATATTTTCATTAAAGCGCCTGTTCCATAATTTTTTAATGAAGAAGATGTGTTTATAAGTAATTTTATATTATTCATTAAGTTTATGATTTTTTCTTTTTCCTTTTTCATTTCCTTCTCTTTTTTTAAAAATTCATTTATTTTTTTTTCTGCTTCATTATAGCTATGAATTAATAACTCCGATTTAGTGTTAGAATTTTCTAAACTTTCTTTATTCACATTTTGTAACTTTTTGTGTGCATATTTTACTTTCATGAAGTTCAATTCATCCAGAGAAAAGACATTAATTGAGAATTCCTTTGTTGATAAAGTATTGCAAGTGAAGGAAAATAAGTTATTCCCAGATATTTGAGCACAACTGTTATTCTCATTTTTTAGTCGTTTTTCAGAGTCTACTTTCCACATTTCTGACTTTTCGTTTAATTCAGGAGAGCACGTCGAAACTACTAAAAAGTTTTTGTATGTTTTTAGGCATAGTCCATTTTGAGTTTTCAGTCTTCCATTGTTCGAGGACATCCAGATGATTTTGCCCTTCAAAGGAGAGAAATGTTGCATTCGTGAGTTATAGAAATGTTGCAAGGTTGTATAGTCTTAGTGTTGTAGTGACGTAGTGTCGCATCGTTACATCGTTGAGTTGTTTTTTTATGTGTATAAACACACTTGAAGACACACACACGAAATTTTCCTTTCCATCGAAAATATATACAGTATTAACCATTCTCGTGAACAAAAAAAAAAAAAATAAAATAAAATAAAAAATAGGTGCATTTTATTTCCTACGTTTTGATGCCCCTTTTCGTTGGTGCAGTTTGCAAGTTTTTTTTTTTTTTTTTAAAGCGTAATTTGGAGCGACACCGAAGTTGTTGCATGTTTTCAGTAGGCCTTAGGTGAATACCATGCATTCGTAGAGAAAAAGAAAAAAAAGGAAAGAACACAGAAAATCATAAATGAAATGTGTATACGTACTCAGTTATATGTCCCTTTTACCTCACTTCCGTGAACCAACTTGTCGCATTCATCAGAAGCTACTTCAAATTTGTTATTCTCTATAATATTTTTGGCATATAGGCAATATGAGTCTTTGTACTTTAAAAATACCCTATTGTCGGATGCATACTCACATTTTATTCCTTTTGGAAAAAGAGTAAGAAGTAACGTGTATGTTAAAAAAAATAATATACTCATTATGCTTGGTGTTTCCCTTTTTGAGTTAAATGAAAGAAAAGACGATGTGTGTGGTATCACTAGCAGTAGCCAAGCGTTAACAAGGAATACACAGAAAATAAACTAGAAAACAGAAAGGCGGCAAAATTGAAAAATGCTGTAAACAACAAAGAAACTAAAATTCACATACAATCAATTAAGATGGCTCATTTGCACTATTACACACATATTGGCACCTGGTTCCCGAAACAGAATAGAATGGCTAGCTGAAAAACAAAAACACACAAAAAAAAAAAAAATAAATAAAATAAAATAAAATAAGGAAAAAGCTAAAAGTGTTGAACCAAATTCTGTTATTTGCTAAAATGAACATATTCTACCTAATTTTTTTTCCTATAATGTTAATCCTTTTTAACAACATCACAATGAAAAAATTTCAGTAGTATTGCTATCCTTGTATTTATCATTGTTATTTTGTTAGACATGTACTTATCCGCCCTCATATGTGTAACTACACAATTTTATTTCGATACACTGCTTATCAATTTTATATATGGAGGAAGAAAAAAAAAAAAAAAAAAAAAAAAAAAAAGAAGGCATATTTTAAAAAAGAAGAAAGAAAGACTATAATAACAAATAAATATGTGATTCCAACTATTTTCACCTAGAGAATATATTTTTTTTTTTTTTACACAATACATTCTTGTTTTAAAAATATGGTGAAATATCCTATTTAAATTTTTTTTTAAATTTTGTTAATTTTTATTTTCGATAGGCCTACAACTACGATGTTTATATATTTCCTTACATGTATATATATATATAAATTCTGACAAAGTAAAAAATTATTTCTTTTACACATTCCAACAGAAATATATATATAGGCTCAAAAGGAAGGGTTTTTACAAGTGCTAAAGTGTTAATAGGTTAATGGAAATAGGCATATATACACACATGTGAATATATGTACGAATTAGTCTTTCAGTATATAAAAACGTTATAAATGTGCGTGTGTGCATTTTTATGGATTAAAAATTGTTTCACGTTTACACCTAATTTTTTTTCTTAATTGAAAATTTTTTTTTATTACCAAAAAAAAAAAAAAAAAAAAGAAAGAAAGAAAGAAAAAAGAAAAAAGAAAAGAGAAAAGAGAAAAGAGAAAAGAAAAAAGAGAAAAGAGAAAAGAGAAAAGAGAAAAAAGTAAAAAGATAAAAGAAAATATGTAAAAATGAAATATTTATGATACATATCATTGTTTATGCTAATTTCACATGATATATGGAGGCTGTTATAGTTTTGTGTATTATTTTGTATTTTTACACTCACATTTACACTGTTTAACGTGTGCATTATCGCATGTATATATACATATACATACATGCATTTCATGAGAAGAAAGATGTTCTTCTACATTACACGACTAATTCTTCTGTAACATCTCTTCATAATATGAAAAGTTTTAATAGTCTGCTTCATACCCTTCGTCTTCCCCTTCTCCCTCATTGGATTCAATGCCAACTTCCTCATAGTCTTTCTCCAAAGCAGCCAAGTCTTCTCTGGCTTCACTAAATTCACCCTCTTCCATACCTTCTCCTACATACCAATGAACAAAAGCCCTCTTTGCATACATTAAATCAAATTTCTGATCCATTCTTGAAAAGACTTCAGCAATTGCAGTGGAGTTACTTATCATACAGACGGCTCTCATAACCTTTGCCAAATCTCCCCCTGGAACAACAGTAGGTGGTTGATAATTAATTCCACATTTGAATCCTGTTGGACACCAATCAACAAATTGAATTGTTCTTTTCGTTTTTATCGTAGCAACAGCTGCGTTAACATCCTTAGGGACAACGTCTCCTCTGTACATTAAGCAGCAAGCCATATACTTTCCATGGCGAGGATCACATTTTGCCATCATATTTGCTGGTTCAAATGCTGAATTCGTAATTTCTGACACTGATAATTGTTCATGATAAGCTTTTTCAGCACTAACAACAGGGGCATAAGACGACAGCATAAAATGAATACGTGGGTATGGAACTAAATTTGTTTGAAATTCTGTTACATCAACATTTAATGCACCATCAAAACGTAGGGATGCCGTTAGGGAAGAAATCACCTGTGCTATTAATCTATTTAAATTTGTATATGTTGGTCTTTCAATATCCAAATTTTTTTTACATATATCATATATAGCTTCATTGTCTAACATAATAGCTACATCAGTGTGTTCCAATAACGAATGGGTTGATAGAACTGAGTTATATGGTTCCACGACAGCTGTTGATACTTGTGGTGATGGCCAACAACAAAAATTCAGCTTTGATTTTTTTCCATAATCAACTGACAATCTTTCTAACATTAAACATCCAAAACCACTTCCCGTACCACCACCAACAGCACTAAACATTAAAAATCCTTGTAAGCCTGTACAATTATCAGCTAGTTTTCTAATTCTGTCTAGGCATACATCTATGACTTCTTTACCTATGGTATAGTGACCCCTTGCAAAATTGTTTGCAGCATCTTCCTTTCCTGATATTAATTGCTCAGGGTGAAACAACTGACGATATGTTCCTGTTCTAACTTCATCTACAACGGTTGGCTCTAAATCAACGAAGACACAACGTGGTACCTATGGAGAAGGAGAGGAATGCCACATTTATTGATATGCGTTCATATACATTTGTACATAAATGTATATACATATTCCATTCAGGAACACATACTATATATTAGCCATTCTAAAGAGATGTATATCCAAAAAAAAAAAAAAAATAAAAAAAAAAAATCACAATGGGAAATCACTCATCTGTCTAAAATTAACATGAACATTGTTCATATGCAAGACAGGTATTATGTGAACAATTTTTAAGAAAAAAAAAGAAATTCCGACTCCAGGAAAGTTCACGTTAAATTGGAAAGTAGAATATTCTTTAAAATTAATTATTAAAAAAAAAATTAATCTACAACTGTTCTATTTTTTGTTTCTTACATGTTTTCCTGCCCCAGTTTCTGAAAAAAATGTATTAAAAGCATCATCGTTTGCTCTGGCAGCTTTGTCAGAGGGCATTTGGCCATCTGGCTGTATTCCATGCTCTAAACAAAACAATTCCCTAAAAAGGTGATTACACGTAGGCCAAAAATATGTAAGTGTACGATTGTGTGTATGTATGCCAACGGTATACAAAAAATATATAACGGTATGCAAAATAGGATGAAGACTAAATCAGACATTACACAAAAAATGTATATCTTACACTGCTAAAATATTGTGTGTAAAATAAGCATACGAGTGAATATGTATGCAGAAAAAATTACATGCATGTGTGTATTTATGTGCATAAAAAATAAAAACCGGAATGAAAGTTAAAAAAAAGTTTCGCACGGTAGTTCTTCTATTATTAATGAAGGGCATAATGTGACATTAAAAAAAACATACAACCGTGTTAGTAATATACATAAGCAGAATAGATAAAATGAGAAATGTAAAATGTGTATACAGTGAATTTCCTTTTTTTTTTTTTTGGTTACCAGCAAGCATTTCCAACTTGAATACCGGCTTGTCCTACATGAATACTTATTACTTCTCTCATTTTTATATAGTTATAAAACAAAAAAAAAAAAAATTTAAAACGTAATAAATACTGAATATCAAAAGGATTATATATATATATATATATATATATATATATATATATAATAGGTAAATAAAACAAAAATACAAGGGAATAAAGGAGTTAATTATTGTGTATGTAAATACTTGTTTTACACTTATTTATGCTCTATTTTAATTTTTATACTTTTTAACATTTTTTTTTTTAATTCATATAAAACTTAATGATTAATTATTCGCAAAAAAAATTGTTCATTATACAATTTCTTAAAACGATGAGCGAGCAGATATTTACATTTATTTGGTAAAAAAAAAAAAAAAAAAGGAAACTCTCAGGTGTTATACACTTATTATTTACATATTTACATATGCATGTGTATATATACAGTTTTTAAAACAGCAAGATTTTTTTTTAGGGGGGAGGAAAAAAAAAATCTGTATACAAGCACAAACTGTTTCAAAGTTCCATTTTTCTTTTTTTTTGTTACATGTGATATGGTATATGGTTAATTTTATTAAATATATTTCGTTTGTTCGTATGTTCCTTTTTTTTTTTTTTTTTTTTTTTTTACATGTTTTCTACCAACATATATATATATTGGAAATGTATGAAAAATGTTTACTTTTCCTTTATACCAGTTTTGTGTAAACTTATTTTTATTTTGTTTTACTTTTTATTTGCATATGCAAGGAAAAAAAAAAAAAAAAAAAAAATTCTGGCACAATATAAAGCTAAGTGGTGCGCTGGACCAAGTTCTTTTCCCCTTTTTTATTAATATTCAGACAAATCGGTCAGATATGATTAAATGTTCATAAAAATTCTGTTCTTGTCGTTCATATATTTTTAACTTTAAATTTCACGTAAAAACAAAAAGTAAAATTTCCGTATATATATATATACTTTTAACAAACCTTTTCCTTATGTCCAATTCACCAACATTGTGTAAACAACTTTTAGGGTGTTAACAACATGTGTGCTTATGTGTATGTACATAAATGTTTTATGGGTTAATTTTTTTTTTTTTATTAATATTCAAAAATGGGGCCCCTATATACGCTTACAAATAATTTGTTAAAAAATAAAACGAAAATCGCAAAGTTTTTATCTTTTAAGAAATCATTGAGTTAAAATTTTTTTTCTTTTTTAGCAGAAATGCAATAGTGTGTGTATTTTACATTTTGTTCTATTAATGTTATATACAGTATTCCCTGCAGTTCACAACAATATACCTGAATTTGTAAAGGTTAAGAACTGTCAATAGTTTTTTTTTTTTTTTTCACATACAAATAAATAACATAACACATAAAAAGGATTTCTACTTTTCAAAATAAAAAAGAAAAAGTGTAAAGAGTAATACTTGTTTTTAATTTCGCTGATAATAATTTTTTAAGGAATTATAGGTTACAAATATTTCATTTTATTGTGGAGCTTTTTTTTTTTTTTTTTTTTACCCCTATACGTATATATATCTACGATTGATGACACGCTTCAGTTTTGTGTATTGAATTTATTTTATGTTTTTTTTCTTGTGTGTAGCAATGATGAATGAAAAAATATTAAAATGTGCTTTTTTATTTTTCTGCCAATCTGTGTAAAGTATAAGTAAAATTGAACTTAAAAAAAATATATAAGTCAGTATTAATTTATAAATTCCACGGTAAAAGTATTTTAAAAAGAAATATTTAAACAGTGTAACAATTTTCGAGTTGACACATTTTACTCTTATTCCACAAAAATGAAATTTGAAAAAAAAAAGAAATTATTGAAGCTCAGTCACTGGTGATTGAATACTGGCTTTGCACTCCAGTCTGTATATATTATAAGATATAAAGTTTTACACATGTACATATATACACATGCACTCTTAAATTACATTTTCAACGCTTAATTTATATGGGTGAATAACTATGAAAAGGATTGGGAACACGTGTGCATATGTAATGCCTACTTTTTAAATTATTTCTACATTTTAGGTAAATTTTTGCGCTGAGCTTGTGTAACTGTGTTGTCGTCCTTTTTTTTTATCCTTAAATCGGTTTTTCCATGAACCAAGTAAAAAATGCAAGAATGAAAAAGAAGAGGAAGAATAAAAATTTAATACTGCTAATGACTAAGACACTGTCTGCACACAATTGAACATTAGCCGAATTACTATAAACTGAATAAAGTGCTCATTATAAATATACATGTGTGTGCACTTTTTGCACTGTGAATTATTTAAAGTTTTACTAGCTGTTCCAAAAACACGCAGTTTAACGATGAGCTTGTTTAATATGACCTAATGCATTTCTTTTTTTTTTTTTTTTTCTTTTTTTTTCTTTTAAAAATATGCGAAATTTTTCTCGATGAAATATAATTTCTTTACGTTCCTATAATTTTCTTACTCCCACAAAATAGGGAAAAAAATAATGCTTATAGCACTATTACAGAATATGGTGTTAAGAATTATGATAAATTCAGCAAAGTTTTGAGAGAAAAATGGTAACATTTGCGCCCCTGTTCATTAAGAATGATACACCACGTATAATTGTTCTGCATGTACACATATACACATATGTGTATTTTTCTTTACGTAATATAAAAAAAATTAAAGTGTTTTAAAAATTGGGAGGGGGGGGCACGAAAATGATAGAAAAATGTATATGTAACACTTAAAAAAATTAATAAAAAAAAATTGCTATTGTAAAAAAATACAACCATACGAAAAAGAAGTTTTAAGAGGGGTGTACGTGGAGAAAGAACTAAACAAAAGGATCAATTTTTTTTTTTTTTTTTTTTTTTTTACATGAACAATAAAACTTTGTATTGCATATTTTGTGATTTGTTAAATATTTATGTACTAATGTTGCAGAATCAAGTTGGAATTGCAAAAATTGTAAATAAGAATAAATGTCTGAACCTGAGGGGGTTCTGTTTTATCAAGAATTTTATTGTTTTTGTTGAATCATTTCATAATTAAAAATTTTTTTTTAAAAATAAGGGGGAACAGAAAATGTGATATTTTACTTAAAAAAAGAGTTTCTTTTTTATTTCTTCTCTAGATCTGTGCACGTTTGGGCTCTGCATAAAAGGAAAAATGAGTCCATATGATAATTAAAAAAAAAAAAAATTCATAGACATAAATATAAACATACAAGGAGAGACAAAAATATGCACAATCTTTACAGGCACATTTCGTTAAGAAAACCAAAATATATTCATCACCTTAATTTTATTCCCGTAATCTCATTTCTTAAGGACAAATTATAAGTTTGCAACTGTTTATATTTGAGACCTAAACTGTGAATAATTTCGCTTAATAATTTCTGTTCGTCTTTGGAAATATCTATTTGTGTTTTCCTGAAAGGTCCAAAAAGAAAACAATTTAAGATTTATTAGACAAATAAATACACATGCAATACATATATATGTGTATATATGCACACATATGAACACATAAATACACTTTAATTAGTTCTCTTTTGCAATACAGTGCGTCCTTGTAATATTCAGTTTCCTTTTCCCTAATTTGCAGCTGCTCTTTAAATATTTGTAATGCCTGATTTGGGGTAAAATTATGTAGAACACAGTGTATGATCGTACATGAATGTATGTAACAGGAAGTAACACATTAATTTTAAATAAAAATAATGTGTTATGATTTATTTTCTATTAATAATTCGATTACTCTTTTTTTTCTCTTTCTTTCTTTTTTCCTTTGTACCGAATTAAATTCCTTGCTTAATTTATTTTTTGTGGACTCTTCTACAATTGCGCAGTTTTTCTTCTCCATTAGTAGCTCAGCTTCTAACTTTATGATTTTCTCCTATGTGAAAAGTAAAAAATACGATATTATAATTTTTCTTTTTTTTTTTTGCTTTTTTTTTGATAGTTATTTCCTCTTAATAGGAAGTAGATGAGAAAGGAAAAATTATTAAAATAGAATTACATTTATAACTAAATCTGAGCTTCCTTGTATATTAGGAATTTCATTCTTTATTTTTTGGTTCGTCTTCAAAATTAAAAAAAAAAATAAAATTTAGTATTATTATTGTATATTAAATATTTGAAGAATACGTAAATGCGTGCATATATGCTCGAGGCACTGTATGTATAGATGTATTCATCAAAAAGAAAAAATGGGTAAAATGGTAACCTCAGTAAATTCTTTAATTTCTTGTCTATTTTCATCTATTTCTTTCTGTTTTTCATCTATTTCCTTCTGCTTTTCCTCTACTTGCTTCTCTTTTTCCTCTACTTGCTTCTCTTTTTCCTCTACTTGCTTCTCTTTTTCCTCTACTTGCTTCTCTTTTTCCTCTACTTGCTTCTGCTTTTCCTCTACTTGCTTCTGCTTTTCCTCTACTTGCTTCTGCTTTTCCTCTACTTGCTTCTGCTTTTCCTCTACTTGCTTCTGCTTTTCGTATGCTTGCTTCTCTTTTTCATCTATTTCCTTCTCTTTTTCCTCTACTTGCTTCTCTTTTTCCTCTACTTGCTTCTCTTTTTCCTCTACTTGCTTCTGCTTTTCGTATGCTTGCTTCTCTTTTTCATCTATTTCCTTCTGCTTTTCCTCCATTTCTTTTAATGTTTTCTAAAAAACAAAATAAAAATAAATAAAAATATTAATAATAATAAATAATAAAAAAATAAGTATACTTTGAACGAAATGTAGAACCTCATTATTCATCGATCACCTCATATTTTTCCAACAAAAGTGGGTCGTTTTTTGTGTATTGTTTATCCATAGTTTCGGATATTTTATCTTCTAGCTTTTTATTTATTCTCTTTAAATCATCAATTTCATTTTCAAGCTAAATATTAAAAAGTTAAGAAGTTGTTTATCATTCAAATGTGTTTATACTTAGACATGTGTCCATTTGTGCATACATACATTGACTACGAGTCTAATGAAAGATTGATAAAAATTTACCTCCTTCATTCTATTCATTTCTTGACTTGTGTCTGGAACTATTTGTTTCTTTAAATTTTCATTTTCCTTTTTAAGTCTTATCAATTCCTCCGTTTGGTCTACGTTGCTCAGCCCACTAAGATGAAAAAGTTAAAATAAAACCATGAACAAATAAGCAATTCGAAAAATATTATGCGTTGAAATAGACCCCTGAAATCATTCATTAATGCATACATGCACATGTTTACGTATATTTATATAAATAAACATATATAGAGAGATGCATCTGATTGTTTTACATGTTGATTTTATCAAAGTTTTGCTCTTTCTTCAACTGATCATAAGACTGATTTTTTGCTTCTCTGAAAAAGAAAAATGAGTAAATAATTTATGTGAAGAATATAAACATCCTTTTTATGTTTATTCATTTTTATTCATTTTTTTTTTTTTTTTCTTAAATTACAAGTCGTTCTTTAGTTTTTGTATGGTTTTATTTTTCTCGTCTATATCTTGGTTCAATTTTTCATTCTCCTTCTTCGCATTCACCAAATTGGCGTCCAAATCTGAAATGAGCAATGTTGATAGATTCAACGACATGCATTTAGAAGATTTGCATAAATTGAATAAATATCATAAAAAATAAATAAAAAAGGAAGGAAAAAAAAAAAGATCAAACCTGCGCATTTATCCTTGTATATTATTAGGTTATTTGCTTCGAACTTTAATTTTTCAGCTTCATTTTCCATATCCACCATTTTTTGTGTATTATTCTGTAGATGGTATGTAACATATAAATTATATAATTAATACATTATGAGTATCTTTAGTGTACAATTTTATGTATTAATAAAAAGAAAAAAAAAAAAAAAAAAAATTACTCTAAGCTTATCTTCTAATTCTTTATTGATGTTTTGAACAGTCATTAATGCGTCCAGTTTTTCTTTATATTTATTTATTTTATTTTGCAGATTTTCTATATTTGAATTTTCTTGTTTCAAAATATTTTGCTCATCCTCTAACTCTTTGATTTTTCCTTTTAAATCATTTTCTATGAGATTTTTGTCTTTAATTTGTTTTTCTAAGCTGTTTTGTAAATCATTAATTTTTCTTTCTTGTTCCTCTATTTGAGTCATGTACTGGTTTTTCGATTTTTCGAAAGCTGTATTAATTTGTTTTTGCAAATTCTCTATCTTTTCTTTGTTCTCTTCGATTTCTTTATTTTTCTCCGTTAATGAATTAGTTAAATTTTCATTTTCCATCTCTAGATATTTCATTTTTTCCTTAAGCTGTTTTATTTCATTTTTCATGAATTCCGTCATGTTCTACAGGAGTGAAAAAGGAACATCAAAATGAGACCTTTCTAAGTGTGTGCTATGCATGTCCACAAATTGGAATGTATATATATATATATATATATATATGTGATGAACAGTTTAGTATGCATCTTCGGAGCTTTGATATGCAGTATAGTTGATTTTTTATAAATAAAGTAAATTTTAATTATTATATTACTTCAGTTTCTGTAGGATAATGAATAGTAGGATATTTTGTTCCCAGGGAATTACATTAAAGGGTGTGTGTGAGGGAAGAAATTTATGGATATATGTCTATGCCATTGAATGTGTAGATATGGTTACACGGTGCATTAGATGTATACATATACACATACATACAAGCGTGCACATTCCATGTTATTATTAGTTCTTTTGAAATAAATTACAGATTAATAGGACGTGACATTTTTGCATTAAAATGTACTAGCGGGGTTGAATTAACTATGTATGTATTCGTTTCTTAAAGAATGGTTATAAAATGGTTATAATGTCGTCCTTTTGAGGATTTACCTTTAGCAGTGTTGTCCTGTGATGATAACTTATTTTCCTTATTTGCATTTTCCTGTAAAATACACGTATTACAGAAATGTATGTATATATATGTGTGACTATTTTGTGCTTATGAAATTACGAAATTAAATAAAAGGAAAAAAATGGAAGAGAAAGGCTTGAAAAAAAAAAAAGAAAAAAAGATATACCTCTTTATCCAGAGTTTCCACAATACTATGTATATATTTTTGTGTTTCATGGCTAAGAGTCAAAATATTATTTATGTGCTTTTGTTTGTCATCCGAGACTAGGGCAGCCAGTATTACTAGGCTGTATATATCGATGAACTTTAAGAAAAAAGAAAAGAAAAAAAAAAATTATTAATGTGTTAAGCATATTGGTTTAGACCTGTTATATTTGAATCCTTTTGTTTTTATTCCTCTTAATGTATAAAAAGTGCGCGCTTAAATCATGTGTGTAGGAGTGAGAACAGAAGGATAGACACAAACGTGAGTATTGCATAAGTATATATAATATTGAATACAAAACAACATTATCAGTTATCTGTTCATGTACTTTTACCTCATTCACTGTCATGTCATTTAAATTTTCTATAATCTTTTTGATAATCCTTTCAAACTTGCTTTCGTGGTATTCATTCAAATATTTTAGCAAACATTCATAAGCATCCTTCCAAGAAGTGTGTGTGTGAGAGAGTGAGAGAGAGAGAGAGAGAGAGAGAAAGGGAAAAGGTATTAAATGGAATTAGAAGACATTAAAAAGAAGTAAAAATGTAATGAAAAAAAGATATATCAGAATAATTCTTTATTTTTGTACAATTGTGTTTAAGTGTGTGTCCCCTTAAATGAAGACAATTCCATTTTTTTATTTTATATTTTTCTTAATTATTATGTCCATTATTGCGTACACAAGAGGAAAATGGAAATTACAATTTTTGTTTTGTTCTTTCTGGTTTTGTTTTTTTTTCTCATTCATGTGCATACTCGAACTAATAAATACTCACCAATTCCGAATCAAACTGAGCTGGGTGAATTGATATGTCAAACCATGATGGGTATATTTCATTCATGCAGAGCCACACAGAGTAACAGGTATATAAATTAATTATACTTGCTGCATTTTCCTTGGGTGTTTTATTTACACTTTTTAGAGAAGATTCATCAATAACTATCTCAACATTTTTAGCAAAATAAAATGTCTGTATAAACTCCTTTATATGATTCATGTTTTTTTCAACATCTTTCATTTTGTTAACTCGTGTTTTTTAAGTTATTTTTGAAACGTTCTCTGTGTCAATTCTGTATGCACACAAAAAATCGAGAAAGGTGGTGGAAGAAAGCAAAATGGGCGAAGGAAAATGGAAAATAGTGGGAAAATAAACACAAAAATGAAGAAGTTGGCGTGTGTAATTTACAACCTCAGGTTGGTTCCTTAAAATGTTACCTTTAAAAATACTTAGCATGTTGGTTAAAAAATAAAATAAATAAATAAATAAATAAAATAAAAAATAATAAATAAATAAAATAAAAGTTCTTCATAAAGTATCAAGCACGTTACTGACCGAATAAAAGATGGGGAAAAAAAAGTTGAGAGGAGGTGAACAAAAAAATTGCAAGAATTAATTGCCTATGTTTACCATATTACTAAATAAGTGTGGGGAAAAAAAAAAAAAATAAAATGCACTGCATAAAAAAATATAAAATTGCACAAAATTGCAAAAAGGTTTTTGTCCATTTTTTGAAGTTAATAAATAAATAAAAAGGAATAATATATTTTGCGTAACATCCATTCACAGAATGTTTAACAAAAATTTCATCTGTGTAAATGTTACAAAAATTCGGCCCAGTTGCTCTTTAATTTGTCTGCAACTTTTTTAAGTTTACGAATACACATGAAAAAAAAAAAAAAAAAAAAAAAAAAAAAAAACACAAAGGTGAAATGTTTCAGTAATACAATTGGTTCATTTTTTGTCAAGTATTTTTAATTGCAAAAATCTTTTGATTGCGAATATTTTTTGTCTTTCACGTTGAGCCTAATTCGCACATCCGTATTTTTTTTTTTTCTTGTAAAATTTCAATGCACTTGTCACGATATGTGTGTAGAAAAGATATGAAACTTAAATAATACCAATCCAAGGTACTCCTAATATATTATCACTCAGTGATCTCTTAAAAGAAATAAATAAAAGGCAGTTTTGAAAAATTGTTAACATTCGTTTATGACCAAGATATGGGAAGAATGAAGTAAGATAAGACATGAGTCAAATAACGTGAATGTATATTGTGGTGATGGGGGAAGGAAGAATATACATATTTTTTTTTTTGTAGAGGACCAAACTAGAAATAAGAAAACTGTAGAACAGTACAAAAAAATGTGTTACTATTTTTGATACGATAGTAAAATGTTATCACATGTTATGGTATTATTCGAATTGTTGATTAAACATTAGCACATTATGCCTTGTGTTTTAGTTTACAATAATTGGTTATAGTTACACTAATATCTATTTTATGTGTGATACATTTTGAGGGCTTTTTTTTTTTTTTTTTTTTTTTTTTTTTGGGGGTGGGGTTTCATCAATATTGGAATAACAAAGTAATGGGATTAAATGTTGAGTTTCATTCTGTCTTGATAAAAAAAGTTTGGCTATTAGCAGAAAGATAAGGACAAATAGGCATGAACGATTAGGTAAATATATATATATATACTTAAACATGACGACTTGATGAGCTAATGGTATACATAAATGGGTGTATATAAAAAAAAAAAAAAATCCGGCTTGTAAAAGTATTCCTCGCCTTGTATTTTTTTTTGCCCTTCCTTTTGTGTGTTATTTCATATTTTTCAACTCACTAGACGAATTATTTAACTGCTTTTCAATGGATTCACAATTCAAATCATTCACATAACATTTATTAATAATGTCATTTGCTAAATCTCCCTTTCCCATGTTATGTAAAGAATTCATTAATTCCTCTAAACTACACATTTTGTCAACAAGCTTTTCAAAATTTTCAATGTCTAAATAAAGATTTTTATTATTTATAATATCGTCCTTATTTATATTTTTTTCATTCAGAATTTTTAAAAATCCTAGAGAATTTTCATTATCTAATTCGTTGAGAAGGGATAACATATCACATTGTTCACTTTGTATAAGTCTTAGTCTTTTTTCTAAAGATTCTTGTTTTTTTTCAATTTTTATCTGATCTTCTAATATTAGGGAATACATTTTTTCATAATGTGCAACTTTGTTATATATATCTAATATTTCATTAGAACAATAATTCATGAAATTAATTTTATTTTTAACAAAAGAGGAAAGGTTATTGATAACATCAATAATCATTTCCTTATCCAGGTCCTTTTTAAAATACGACTCACTTTGTTTTATATTTTTTTCAACATTTTTTCTATCTTTTTCTAACTGTTTTTGCTGTTCCATTTGTAACTTTTGCATTTGTATTTTAGCATTCTGTTCAGATAAAAATGGGAAATCTTCAAAATTCATTTCTTTCGTATTTTCATTATTTCGAAGCGTTCCTTTGGTTTCTTTTAGTTGGAAATTAAACGTAGATTGTTGTTGATTCTCTACCACTTTTTTTTCGTTTACATCATTTACATTATTGTTTTGCAAAATGTTTGGTTTTTCAGTTTTTTTTTCATCACTTTGTAGATTATTATTTATATAAACATTTTTTTTTCGACTTTCAAGTGAAATGAAATTTATCATATTGCCTACATTTGTTACATCTTCGTCCTCTTTATCCGTAAAAATATGTGATTTATTTTCTGCTTCATTTTTTGTATTATTGAAGGGGGTTCCAAAAATAGATGAACTCGCATTTGATGAAAAAAATGAATTATTATTCTTCTTCATTTCTGTTCCTTCTGAGAATAAATTACTTTTGTTACAATCTGGTGGAAATGATTTTCCAAAAATGGAAGAACCTGGAAAACTGACGTTCTTTCCTGTTTGAAGATCTTCATTTTTTACTTCATCTTTTTTATTTAAGTTACCAAAGAGACTGTTCTGTCCTAGGTTAAAATTGTTTAGTTGATTATTACTGTCAAAGAGGTCCTTTGGTTTGGAGGAATTATTCAATTTGGTGATGTCACTTAATTTTCCCTTCTCCCCAAGTTTATTCGCGTCCGTCTGATCCTTGGGTTCCTTTTTCTTCGTAAAAGAAAAATTCCAGAATTTTTTTTTTTCATCCGTTTTCTCAGATAAACAGAGCCCAACGTCATCAGTACTTGGGGCTTTCTTAAGATCTGATTTGTTTTCTTCGTATATTTTGTCATGGGATTCCTTAGATTCGTGTGATAATAAGCTAGATGAAATGTCAAAATTGAAAATAGAATGCTTCTGTGTGCTCGTGGATTCATTCCCCTTCTTTTCTTCACTTTCTGATTGTTTCTTTTCATCTTTATGCTCACGTTTTTTATCACTTTCGGTAGGTTTATCTTTACCAATTATGTTTATTACGTCTGTTTGCTGGTCACTGGATGTGCATTCCTTGGAACTGAGTAAAGCCGACTGCTGCTCATTTTTGAGTTCTTCTTTTTTGTCCATCTTGGCCTTTTCATTCGCTTCATCCTTTTCATTCGCTTCATCCTTTTCATTCGCTTCATCCTTTTCATTCGCTTCATCCTTTTCATTTGCTTCATTCTTTTCATTTGCTTCGGGCTTTTCATTTGCTTCATCTTTTTCACCCTTTTCATTTTCTTTATCCTTTTGTCCCATTTTTTCTTTTTGGTTAGTACTGTCCTCTTCCCCTGGTTCCTTTTTCTCAGGAGCGGGGAATACAAAATTAAAGGTGTTCCCTTTATTCTGATCATTTTCTTCCAAATTAGTAATTTTTGTTGCATTTTCCCTTATGTCACTTTTGTTTGTTGTATTAGTTTTAAAGAAAGATGAACTGAAAAGTGAGTTAGCTTTAAGGGGTTCAGTGGTATTATCTTTTGTTTTGTCTGTTTTTTCATCTCTCTTTTCAGTATCTGTTTGATTTGTTTGTTCATTTTGTAATTTTTTTTTTTCTTCATCTTGTACATTTTGTTTTTCGCTCGAAATGGTTTTATTTTTCTGTATGGATTCTATCTCTTTTTTTGACTCATTCAAATCATCTACTTCCTGTTGTATTTTCTCTTTCGATGTTACTTCTTGCACTTTGTCTTTTTCCGTTTTCGTTGGTTTATCATCATCAATTTTGATTGATGGATCTGTCTGGGGAGCTTCCTTTTGAGTTAGATTTTTCGACTGATTGTATTGCTTCTCCTCTTTAATCTCTTCCAAAGGAGTATTTTTTATATTTGACTCATCCGTAGATTTACTTTCTAATTCGTTGTTTTGAGAAATATTTTTATTTTCATTATCTGTAGTGCTACATTTACCACTCTGGTTGTTGTTTGCAAAAATAGAAAAGGTGTTATTCGAAAAGGAATTTGTTTTGGGTAAATTATTAGAACTCTTAATGTTGCTAAATAAAAAGGAATTCTCATTTGACTTGGTATCATTGGAAGATTTAAAAAAGTTTGATGTTAATGGGTTTTCATTATTTGTCGTTTTATTGAAAGGTGACAAAAAAGAGGAAGTAGTTGTGTTATTAGCTGATTTGAAAATATCACTTGTACTTGTTTTGGCAAAAGAACTGAAGGAATTATTGAAACTGTTAAGAAGGGGAGGGGTGGCGTTACTATCTGCACAAGTTCCGCTATTTGCACTATTTACACTATTTACATTACTTTTTGTGTTAAATAAGCTGTTTTCATTTTGGTTAAATGATTTAATACTTTTGTTAAAATCATCGAATGTGTTTATTTTATTAGCTGATCCAAGTGTGTTCATGGATGATAAACCAAAAGGATTCAGCTTCCCTTCATTGTTATTGCTAATATTAGCACTTGTAAAGAATGACTTAGACGTGTTATTATTATTTAAAAGAGATGTGGTGGATGACTTTTCATTTTGAGTGGTGGCCTTCAGGGACATACTCTGAAATGGATTTATATTATTTTTTGCAAATGCACTAGAACTGGATGAAAATCCTCCATTAAATGTTAATTTGTTATTATTATTATTATTGCCTAGTTTATTATTACTGAACCCACCTAATGAATTGGCATTTGACGAATTTGCGAAAATTTGTTTGGCCGCTTCTAACTGCTCTTTTGAAAATAGACCACCACCTTCTGTGCTTCTATCATCATTTAGCTGGCTTCCTAATGCAATAGAACTACCTAAAGTACTTTGCTTGAACATACTTGAGCTATTATTTGTTGTATTTCCTACTAAACTCCTTGTGAAACCTGGATAAACATCTTTCTTCGCTGCACTAAATAAATTTTGATTAAAAGTATTTGTAGAGGAATTCATACTAGGGTTGGAAGTAGCATTACCAAAGAGGTTATTATTTTTATTTAAATCATTGACGCTGTTTGAGAAAATGGAATTTCCTTTATTCAGATTATCGTTTGTGTTGAGAGTGTTTCCAAAAATGCTATTGTTCTTATTTACACCTCCCTGACGATTCAGGGCATTACTTCCAAAGAAGTTGTTATTGCCTAGTGCATCTGTCTGATTATTCAGATTGCTGTTAAAGAGCCCTCCGCTGTTCATGTTGCTCATGCTGCTCATGTTATTCATGTTGTTCATGTTGTTCATATTATTATTATTAGTGTTACTTTGTGTTAAAACATTTTGACTAACTAAAGCATTTCCAAACAAATTGTTGTTCCCTAAATTGGAGTTTGGCATGTTCCACATATTCGTCGTATTTGCATTAGTCCCATTGTTACTCAATGTGTTACTTTTTCCGAATAAATTATTTTTATCTTCATTATTGTTGTTACTATTGTTGTTGTTAAAAAACATTTTTACGATGCTTGGAGGTTGGGAAAATGGGATATTTCTTGCACTTAATAAAGCAATGCTCAAATATGGGCACGGAATATTTTTGCGTTAAGTGGGTTTTTGTTTTATTTTTTTAATTCTTCGTTTGTTTTACCTTCCTTGATTTTGGTTCTTCTTACCAAGGGTTTGGGAAATTCAAACGCATTATGCTACTATAACATGGGGTTTGGGGGAAGGATGGAGATATGTAAAACTTGAGCCTGCTACCTCTCCAATTGTTCTCCTAGGTTTTCTTCAATTTTTTTTCCCCTTTTCTGTTTTCCACTTTTTAATGCAAATATTACATTTTTTAAAATGTCCTTGTTCGCATAATTTTCAGTTAGCAGTCATGAATTGGCAAAGGAGATGGATTATTTATTCAAATATGTATTATAATATGGGTGCATAGCTAATCACAAAAGGGATAAATTTTTTGGATATATGTAGTCATATAATTTATGCTACGAGAAACTTTCAAAAAAAATAATCCACAAAATTACTACTTGCATGGTTAATATTTGGACCTGCCTCGGAAAAATGTGCACGAAATTTTTTTTTTTTTTTAACTTCAGTTATAATAAAATGTTCATTTAAATAAACTCATTGCGGATATGTACATATATGTACATAAATAAATTGTTGGGAAGAAAAAGAAAAAAAAAAGCTTGATGAAATAGGAAATATATACATATATATATATACATGTAGGAGCAGCGGTCTTTTACAAATGTGATGACATAACTGCCCTTTTCAATAATTTGCATTTGATTTTTAGCAAGAAGCTGGCATATGATATATGCTTAAGTGCACGACCTTCGCTTCAATTAAAATATCACAACAGTTACCTTCACATGGGGCACCTTTTTGGGCACATTAAACTCAAGTGGATGAGATGGAATTTCCTTTTGAATTTAAATGTACATCAAAACGTACAGAATTGTGTATGATGCGACATGAAGGGAGAATTTTATTCTTATTCTCGTTTTGCAAATACAGGACCCGCAAAATTGGGAATTTCTTTTGGTGGAAAAACTGAAGGAACAATGTTGTAAGAAATTCGAATGAATTTCAGGAAAAAGAAAAAAAATTTATTTTGAACTATTTTTTTTTTGCGAGAAAGGTTTTATCTCAATGATTTTTTCACCATTGAAAAAATTTAAAATAATTTCCATTTTTACGTTTTTTAGCGTTACATATTTAACTTTTATGGGTATATTTATATGGAAAATAAATAAAAAGATATATGACATATAATTTCGCTTATCGCAGAGGGTTTGGGAGAGGAGGGTGGTATATTTAATTTGGATGATACTTTTATGTAGTGCTTAATTTATTTGTGTTACGTGCACATGAGTATATTTATATAAAAGGTAAAATGAAACATATCGAAATTTTTTTTTTTTTCCAACAACATTTTACTTACAAATTTATGTACCCCTTTAAAAACTTTTTTGTAAAAAACAGAAATGCATAAGGGTGTATAAAATCTCCATAGTTATTAATGAATAGATCATAATTTTGTTCATATAAATAAAACATAATTTAGCAGAGAAAAAATTAAAAATATTTGGATTTAGACATCTCAATGGAGCAACAAAAAAACATTACCTCCTAACATCATATGTGTTGAAAGAAAAGAGAGAACTCATTGACACATACAAATAATAAAGACAGTATATATTTTTATATGCCAACTATTGAGTATTCCTCTCTTCGCTGTAAAGCATTTTGTAGTACATTTCCTCCCCTATGCGCACATTTTTATCATTTATGCTTTATTAGGGGAATAAGTGTATGTTATTAAAAACACACATTGTAAGTATTTATGAGAACTCGTGGTTTGTAACTATGGCAAATCGTCCATTAAGAGACAGGTGACTGCATATTACCACACTGCTTAGTATAAAATTTATCATTTGCACTAATTTTTTATATTGCGGAAGGAATTATGCATATAATACAAGGGGAAAATTAAATGTAATTACTTTAAGTACTCTTCCTCCATGCTACCACCATAGAGTATGTTAAGATTGAGCATAAAACAGGAAACTGGATATAATCACTTTTTAGTGATGTAATTACAATATCGTATTATAGATTGACAAAATGATAAATATGTGATATAACATGATGAGAAAAATTAAAACCTTATTTTGTTTTATTTTATTTTATTTTATTTTGTTTTATTTTATTTTATTTTATTTTATTTTGTTTTATTTTATTTTATTTTATTTTATTTTGTTTTATTTTATTTTATTTTGTTTTATTTTATTTTATTTTGTTTTGTTTTATTTTATTTTGTTTTATTTTATTTTGTTTTATTTTATTTTGTTTTGTTTTATTTTATTTTGTTTTATTTTATTTTGTTTTGTTTTGTTTTATTTTATTTTGTTTTATTTTATTTTGTTTTGTTTTATTTTATTTTATTTTAATTTTTTTTTTTTTTTTTTGCTTTGGCACTTGTTTTGTAATTATACATTTATTTGTCATTCTCATAGGGTTTCAACATAAACAGAACATGTTTTTTTCAAATGAATTGTTGAATAAATTTGGGATGGAAAAGAACCGAAACGGTCGATTATTTTTGTGAATTTGTGTGTTCTCAAGTTAACAAGATGCATAAGAGGGTTAATATGTGTCTGATTGTTTTGTAATTCTTTTTTCATTATTTCCTTTATTTCTTTTATTCATGTATCATTTCCTTTATCTATTTTAGGTATTTTTTTTTTTTTTTTTCACGTTGCAAATTTTGATTTTGTGACATGTTAATTTTCTTCTTCCGTATTATGGTCATATGAATTAAATGATTAGTATGTGCACATCAGTCCTCTGCATAAAATGACTTGCTTTAAAACATTTTTATCTTTTCCCTTTTTTTGAAATAAGAAAATATGCATGGAAAAATGAGAAGGTGAAGACTTCAGCAAAAAAAGAATTGTTCATATTTTACAAATCTGTATTAGTGTACATATATATATATGTGTGTGTATATTTAAGTCAGGGTCCAGTTTCAGAATATCTATTTTTTGCTGGTATAGAAAATATGCGCGAGATAAGCGGTTAACAATAAGCAGATACAATAAAACTCCAACATAATAATGTTCATTCCGTTCTTTAAAAACATGCACATAATCATAAAATATAGACTTCTTTAAAAAATCAATTTTCACGACTTTTTTCTTTCAAATGTTGTGCAAAGATGGCACAATCGTTTTTTTTTTTTTTTAGTTGTAGTTTTTGTTTTAGCTGTAGTGTTTGTTTTAGTTGTATTTTTTAATTTTTGTTTTCTTTTTCTTTTTTTGGGGTATCATATTCGAGGAGTAGCATTTTTACACCACATAAGATTATGAGGCCTTTTTTTTTTTTTTTTTTGTAGATGCTTGGTTTTGTCCATTGTTCATTTAAAATTATGTTTTATGTTATGGAATATATCATATATATCTTTTGTGAAAAGATCAAAGTTGCAAAAATGAGATCAATATATTTACATCACATAATAATTACATATATGTGAAATAAAAAAAGAGGTTTAAACACTTCATTGTTTAGGTTCGAATTAAATATATTCTTTTTTTTCTAATAAATACATTACATCCACTTTTTCTGGTTTTAGGAAAAAAGTCCCCTTCTTCTCTATTACACGCGTGTTTTCTTTTTCTCCTTTTCTGTTTGGATTCTATTTTTTTTTTTTTTTTTTTTTTTTTTTTTTTTTACCATGTATACATTACACCCGAGTGGTGTATGTGACTGATTCATTGCTTATAAATATAACACTTGAGTATGCTTAAACATACGTTGATTTTTTTTTTTTTCTTTTTTTTTTTAAATAAAGATATTTTCCATATCACCCAATGAACATGAACACGTGACTTAAAATATTCACTCCAAAGATAAGTAACACATTAACATATCAAGTGGGGAAAAAAAAAAAAAAAAAAAGAGTAAACAAAGTTGTGCATATTTATTGAAGTTACTTAAATTGTATAAGTATGATCGAGAACATTTTTTTTTTTTTTTTATTTATGTAACTTCCGTTAATCCATAACTATATATAAGATCAGGAAAAAATCCAAAAAATGCAAAAAAAAAAAAACAAACAAAAACTTCTCTTTAACATACATATTAATTCATTGAAAGAAACCTGTTTCTCCTTTGGCATTTTTGTAACCACACAAGAAATAAAAAAAAAAAAAAGTATAGAGAACAAAAGTGAACATCGTAAAATACACAAAAATAAAATAAGAATTAAGGGCTCCCCCAAAAAAAAAGAAAAAAATATATTGCTCCATAAATATTTTCCACATTTCTAATTTTTTACATATGTATTACTAACTTTTATTTAACGGCTAACATAAAGGCTCCCACAAAAGGTTAACGTGTACATTACATAAGATTTTCATGAGCACAGGTTAGTTGACATATTGAGAAAGAACAACACCATTTTTACGGAATATATGAAAGTATGAACACATTCTATAAATAAATTTAAGGAAAAGAAATAACATCGAATGAATTCATAAATTTTAAGATAGACCTTTTTATGGGCATTTTCATGTTGAGTGAGCTATTGCATGTATAAGCGGTTGCATGTATGAACCATTGCATGTATGAACGATTGAATGTATGAGCTGTTGTATGTATGAACGACTGCATGAATGCATCTTTGCATGAATTTACGTTTCTATGAATTCCTGCTTGAATGAATATGTGTGTATGCTTATATGCACACTTATAGTCAAGAGACTTTTTTTTTTGACATCCCCATTTATGTAGGCAATTAAAACTGTTTAGGGGTTCATATGATTGCGTAGAATTTACAGTTTTTTTCCCATTTCATTAATTGCGTTAATTTATTTTTCTCCAAATTATTCGTGTCTCCATTTGCCTAAAATAGATGCACATATGTTTGTATGAACACCACATTGGTGTAGAGATCTAAAATTTTCTATATGAATCAAGATAGAACGTCATATATAATGAATTTAGGTAATAATGAGTATCGAATTAAGAAACTAAAAGATATGAAAGATCTAAGAATATGCGAAGGTGATAGAAGGAATAGATACGAGTTTTTGAAGGAGTGTGGAGAAAATGACTTGAATGATTTTGAGAGTATAGTGAATAATAAATCCATAAGTGTAGACACAAAGATAGAACTATTTTATTCCAAATTGCATACGAAAATATTTGACATATTTCGTATTGTTGCAGATTATAACTGTTTGTATATTATAAATGGGGAGGGGTTGATAATTCATATTTGTATGTTATTATCTAAATTTTATTGTTTTGAAAATGAAGAAGATGAAAATATTTTATCATTTAATAATTCTCTAAATATTAGTAGTGTAATATATTACGTGGAAAAAATATTAAGTGATATATCCACATGTAATTCCAATTTTCATATCTTATTTTTTAATATTTTGAACATATTTTTTGAAAAAGAAACGAATGTTTTTAGAAATTATAATTTAATAAGGAATGCTTTAATCATACATTGTAAGAAAAATTTGATTCCCTTTTTTATATTTGATAATTGGTATAATGACAACAATTACAATTTTTATATCATTAAATATAAGCCCTTGTTTATGTTTGTTGAGGATAGTTCATCCTTTTTATATGCATTCAATAAATTTTACCTTACCCCTATTGAATATTCTGACACTTTGGACGTGTCAAATCATGGGGAAGTGTACTCTAATGATGATACAAACCCAGTGAAGGATAAAAACTACAAGGAATATGTTTTGAAAAAAAAAATTTACGACCATTACAATGAAGAGATTAGGGAGATGTCTATTTGTTTTTATTTTCTCTTAATCAATAACGTAATGAGGGATATAAAGTGCGTATTTTTTTTTAACTTTGAATCTGAAAAAAACACCATAAATGCATTTTCTATAAATTACATGGGCATTAATTTTAAGGCCCTCGAAATATTGAATGAGGAAGCGTCAATTTTGTTTGACAAAAAGTTTTACAACAAGGAATCAACTGATGTAGAGAAACAGAATGAATCAAATAGAGATGGAAAAACGAAACTCCATATTATGTCACACGATATAAGAGATTACGACTTATTGTATAAGGAAGAGGAAAGTTACAGCGAAGAAGAATTGCAAATTGTGGAAACATTTTCAAAAGAAGTTAAGGAAAATGCTTGTAATTTGAAAAATATTGTTTTGAGAATTTTTTATAAGAGAAGCAAAGGGATATGTAGTTTAAATGATGAGAAAAGATGGAATCATTTTATTTTCACACTGAAACTTCTTTTTTTGCAGAATTATCTAATCGAAAAGTTGAACATGAGAAATTTATGTTTATATGATTGCCCTAAGAGCGAATGTGCGAACGGTGCTAAAGTAATAAAATGTGTTGTAGAACCGTATGTATATTTGTATTTAAATATATACAATTTTATTTTGAAAATGCTACAAAAGGAGTCTTATTGTGACACACTGAAGAATGTGAAAAATGCTGATTTGCTAAATTTTTTTAATGCTTCTATAGTGCATAATTTGATTAATTTTACATGTTTTAAACTAAGAAAAAATGTACATTTCATTGTGTATGAAGATTTTTCATTTGAAGAAAAGGAATTTTTTGAAAAATCATTTCAGTATGTGGTCGGTGGTGATAGTATTTCGTTTTTCCCTATAAATTTTAGTTTTCTAAAGGATGATATAACTTTTTTAGAAAAGCATGAATTAACCAATTTTGAGAATATTTTGGAAGTGTCAAATGGCAATATTAATAACACTGTGCAAGGAAACAATAAGGAAGAACCCGCTGTTATAGTAGATAATGGACAAAACGAAGGTGTCGATGGAAATGTAAAAGATGCATATAAGGCTAAGGTTGTTACGAATGTAAACTTAATAAAAATTCGCAATGATTTTATAGAAACATTTTTTAGTATAAAAGATTTAGTAAATAATAATATATTAGAGGATGAAAATAAAAAGTTGATACACATTAAATTAAATTTAATGAACAAATATGTAGAATATGACAGTGAATTTTTTGAATTGTTGGGGTTGCTGCATATTACTGATAGAGAGAATCTTATGGATATTCTAAAAAGTTATTTTAAAAAATCGCAAGAAAATCGAGTACCATTAAGTTTAAAAGAAAAAGATGATAAATATAAATTAAGACGTCAACAGAGGGATGAAAAGAGAAAAGCTATTATAGCAAAGTATTTAAATATTAGTTCTTTACATCATCCAATAGTTATTTCTGAAAATCATCCATGGATAAAATATTACATTTATATCATTGAAAAATTATATAATTATTTGAAAGATGAAGATAAAAAAAATGGAATCAAACTAAGAATGAAAAGGCTGTTTGATGGATCACTCGATGAAGAAAAGAGGAATCAGCATCGTGAGGAGATGAACAAGTGCAGTAAGAAGACGAAGAAAAATAAAAATGACATATTCGAAATTTTGGATGATGAAAATGAGGATAGTGAAATAGAAAATGATATGAATTATAAGAAGGGGAATAACAAAGATGATAACAAAAAAGGACGTAATAATAATGAAAATGTTCCTAAAAAGGGTACTAAAACGAACAGTACTAATACGTTAAGTAGAAAGGATGAAATTTTGAAGAAAAAAGAATTGTCAAGCGAAAAGAAAATATATGAAGTTGATTTGGAAAGATACAATGTGTTAGAAGGTAAAATTAATAAACTGCGTAGCAACAATAGTTATTCAGATATGAACACATGGTCTCTGGATATAATATCCGGATTTAATAGACTAGTAGATGTATACAACTTTAGTAATATCACAAATTTAATTAAAAGCGTGGAACTTCAAATAAAAATTAGCTTAAAAGTTTTGAATAGCATGTTTGAAATTATAATGTATACGAAATTAAAAAATGTGAAGAGCGGTAAGCAGAAATCAGATGCAATTAAAAGTGTTATGCTGATTTATAAATTAACGAACGAAATTTTTAATAAATATAAAGAAAATTTAACTGAAAAGGATATAGTTCAATTACAAACGGTATTATTATCACTAGGTTTCAAAAATAGTAGTTATAATTTATTTGAAGAATATGTAAAAATTAGGAAGAACATTTCGAATGATTCTAAAACAGAAAATGAAGAACAAATAGAAGAAGACAAATTAGGAAATGTGAAAAGAGGTAAAGGAAAAGGAAATGAAAATAGGAAAGTGAAAGATGTATCAACTGAAAATGATAAAAAAAAAGGAATTCAGAAAAACCTTATCCAAAACAAAAGTAAGGGGAAAAAACATAATGAATTTAGTGGTGAGTATGATACTACTCACGTCAGTAGTTCAAATAATGATGGAAGTGCGAAATTGTCGAAGCATGATGTAAAGGAAAAAAATTTGAATGATATTTATAAATACAAACTGAATTCAGTGAAAGTGCATAGTGAACTAAAAATTGATGAGAAGAAAGAACATGAATTTCAGTTATATTACATGTACTATTTGTTAGATAGGACAACAGGTAATATAAAAGATAAGCGTGTATTGTTTACGCTGGATACATGGCAGTATAATATTTTAAATTTGGTAGATAGAAGAAAGAGCATTTTAGTATCTTGCCCAACTAGTAGTGGTAAAACATTTATTTGTTACTATGTAATGGACAAAGTTTTACGTTTAAATAACGATAGTGTAGTTGTATATGTTGCTCCTAATGATACTTTAGCGTTTCAAATTTATCATGAAGTAAATGGAAGATTCAGCACAAAAGGTTATTCTAAATATGGTGGAAATAAATTGTGTTCTTATATGACTGATAAATATGCAGAAGACAAAGCATTAGATGCACAAATAGTTATAGTTTTGCCTAGTGTGTTTGAGAATATTTTACTTTCTGGTTATACAATAAACGATGAGAATTCCAATTTAAATGTATCAAAATTTATTAGTCGAATTGAGTATATAATTTTTGATGAAATTCATTGTATAGGAGAAAAAGAATTTTATGGTACGCAAATAGAAAATATTATTCATTTGTGTAATGCACCATTTTTAGCTTTATCTGCTACGATAGGTAACATAAAATATTTTTATTCTTGGCTTCAAAATGTTATGATAAAAAAAGGAAAGGGAGAAAAGGATCTTCATTTAATAAAGTTTTATGAACGATTTTCAGATTTAATATTGTATGTATATACAAACAAGAATTTGCATCACCTAAATCCTTTAGCTTGTTTTAATTATCGAGATATTTTGTATAAAGGAATAAATAAAGATTTTTATTGCAACCCAAGAGAGATATACGAAATTATAATTTTGTTATTCGAATTAGCTAGAAAAAATAATTTCTACCATTTGGTGGAATTTTTAGAACCATCCTTTTACTTTCAATACACTAGATGTATAAACAAAAAACAGTTCATTTATTATATGCACACAGTAAAAGAAACCATTGTTTATTTGATACAAAATAAGTATATCTCCAATTTGGACTATGAGATGTTCATACACATATTATTGTCGAATTATATGAAAAACGCTGATTGGGTAAAAGATGAAGATGTAGAAGGAGGAAAGGAAAAAGAAAGAGATGAAGAAGCAGCCAAGAAGGATTCTAAAAACATTCAAAGTGGTACTACGAAGCATTTATACAGTAGTACAGGTACCCAGGAAATTGTTCCAAAGCAGCAACTTTTTCAAGAACTTTATAAAAGTGTAATACTAGATGAGAAATACATTTTGAATAAATCACACGATTTAGTGAAATATACAGAAACTGTAAACTCAGAACAAGAGTATTTAGATAGTGATAAATTAATAGAATTACTAAAACAGTTGGAGCAAATTAATTTTTTACCATGTATTGTATTCAATTTTGAAAGAAAGGAATTAGAAGATATGACAATTAACTTGATCAATGAATTGAAGAGAAGACAACATGACAAATATTATGGAGATGAAGAAAGGACATTTAACACAAAGATGGAAAATAAATTGAGACAAGAAAAATATGAAAATTTATTGAAGCAAAGAGAAATATTATTGAAAATGAAAACTGTTTCTCGAAATCAAAGATTGGAACAGAATATGGATAAGGAATATTTAGATATGCTGAATGAAGAAGAAATACCAGAACCACCTGTAGATGTTTCAGAAGAATATGATGGAGATTTTTATTTTTGCAATAGAAAAGTGTATATTAATTATGTTACAGAGATAGAAGATTTGATAAAAGAAGCAGAAAGAGCAATAGAAGGAAGAAAATATAAATCAATACTGATTGAAGGTTTGAAAAGAGGAATAGGTTTGCATTATGAAGTGTTACCGTACAAATTTACTATCATTGTAGAATCTTTATTTAGATTAGGATATATTAAAATTATCTTTAGTAATAAAAATTTGTCCTTAGGTATTAATATACCATGTAAGTCTATTATATTTGCTGGTCATACATTTGAATTAAATTCGATTATGTTTAAACAAACATCCGGAAGAGCTGGAAGAAGAGGTTTTGATTTATATGGAAACATAATTATATGGAATATTAACTTTAAAAATTTAAGAAGATTAATTACTTCTCCTCTGCAGACATTGTCAGGATCGTATGCGGTAAATTTTACAAATATTTGTAGAAGTATGCTATTATATAACTGTTTGAAAAAAAACAAGGATATGGAAGAAATTACTAGCAGAAATAAATCAATTGTTAATAGACCGAATAAGAAAAAGAAGAAGGATGATACCATGACTGTTGCTGAAAAGGAAGAAATTTTTGAAAAGAATAGAAGTATTAATGTAAATTTTTATAGCAGAATTAATGGTATTCTCAGCGTTTTTTACAATTCATTGTATTATGTAAATGCCTTTCAACATTGGGGAGATGGTGACAATGATGATCAAGCAGGTACCTATTTTTCTGAACGAACTACTATGACAGAAAAGGATGTATTAGAGGAGCAGAAATTACACAATCATGATACAGAAGTGAATGCTGATATAACATCTTCTCCCAATGCATCGCATATGAAGAATGAGAATTCGTGTGTCGAATCAAATGAATACATACTTGATCAAGCTAACGAATTTAACCAATACAAAGAGAGAATAAATGCGCTTAAAAAATTTGTGGATAGAAAATATGAATACAATGACTTATATTGTGAATTTTTAGCTATGAATAAAAACAAGAAAAGAGAAGTTGGGAAAGGAGAAAAGAACTTAAAGGAATTATGCTACAAAATCAAAGCTCATTTTTTAATGTTTATAAACATTTTAGTTGAAATGGAAGCAATAGATGAAGAATGTAATGTAATAAATATGACTGAATTAGCAATATTTTTAAAAAAGGAATGCGATAACAATTTAATATTAACCTACTTGTTAATAAAAAAAGTGTTACATAATATTGTTGGAGATACCACATTTTTAGGTTCATCTGTTAGTATGATTCCTTTGCAGAAAATAATTGATCGTATAACTTTTGAAAAAAATTACTCTCGTAACATATTAGTAGATGATTCGTCAAAAGGGCAACTTATTTTGTTATTTATACTTTCTCATTTCATTAATAAAATAAAAGAAAATAAAATAGCCATAACCAAAGTTTTAATAAATGTTAATTGCAAAGCTAGAACAAAATTGGAATTGTTTAGTTCGACTTATTTTCCATTATTACACGCCTTACCAGCTCCTGTAAGAAAGCATATTAAGCATATTGAAAACGTATTACTAAGGTACCTTATGAATTATTCCTTTATAATTTTGGCCAAATTAAATTTGTTACATAACAAGAAGACCTACTTGCTTCCCTACACAAAGTTATATATTTTTGAACAACATCCTACACTCCATTTGGGAGAGATTTTTCCCAATTTGAATTCTGAATATTTGTCCTTTTATCAGTCCAAAGTAAGGAAAAAGATTATACTTTCACACGTAAACCTCGCGATGTGTATTACGAGTGAATATTAGGGGTGTATTGTGTGGTTAGGCATTTTAAAACCTATGGGAAATGAAACCACTTTTTTGTGAACATGTTCGTATGCACGATTGTTTGTAGATATGTTGCATACCAAATTGGGTACATGTTTTTGTAGTGAAAAAATGAACAATGCGACGAGTTTTGAATTTTATTTATTATTTTTTTTTTTTTTCGTATTAACAGCTTGCTTAACTTTTCACTTTTTTTTTTTTTTTTTTTCCGAAGGTAGGTGAGTACAAGATTAGATCCCCTTTTCTGGCTTCCCTTTTCCAATGTGACAATTTCAGTAACTTGGATGAACTGCTTCACACTTCCATACTGGACTTAGACATAAGGATGAACATGATTCCAGATATTGTAGATGATTACGTTTCGTTTTTCAAATATGAAGATGATGTGATAAAAGAAGAAAAGGTGTGCTTAAAGAATTCATATATTTTGGATTATTTTATTCACGGGAAATATAATGTACTAAGAAGTAAAAATGATTTAGGTCAGTATAGTTGGTACATTGTAGACAGATTTATTCAAGCTCTAAATAACATAGAACACTTTTTCCATTCAGTGAAGAAGGATAGTTTGTTGTTAGCATCTGATGTTTTTTATACATATCTGAATAATGTAAAGGATGTTTTGGAGAAGTACTTCAAGTCAATTAATTCTGTACAAGCTCAGAATGATTAACTCTTGGGAAGAACACGGATAAGCAATACCAGGAGAAGCAGAAATAAAAAAAGATTGAAAGACAAAGAAATCAAGATATAATCCGATTTTTATCTTGACATGATGGTATTTAACAGCCAAAGTTTGTAACATTTTGCTGTTGTGAATGCCCCTATCCATAATTTTTAACCATCCTGTAGTCTTACTTTTACGATATAGTAATATGCATGAAAAAGAGTATAATTTTACCGTATTCTTATTTTCCTACGCATTCTATGAATTCTGCATCATTACAAAATTCCTAAATTATTTTGTATATATAAAAAGCTAAAATAGCTTTTTCTAAAATTGTATTAGTAAGTTATTTAATTGACACAATTTAAAATTTAAGAAGCTTTTAAATATACATAGTTAGCAGAAGATTCTTTTTTATCTCATATTTTTTCCAAAAAAAAAAAAAAAATCTCTAAAAAAATGGTTTTTTATGCTTCTTTGTGGCTTCTTTTAATTCTTTTTCTTTAAAAAGCTTTTGCATGGAAGAAAAAAAGAAAGTGAAATTGAGTCTAATATGAATATTTGTGAACATTCTGGTGTAACAAAATTACATGTTTTTCTCCTGATTTTTTACGTTACAACTTTAATAATTAAAAAAGCATATAAACGACAAAAAAAAAAAAAAAAAAAAAAAAGAGAGGACACTTAACTACATACGAAATTATACAAAAATTGTTAACTACAAAAAATTTATACAAGAAATGTATATTTCATTTGTGCATTGGTATGAAAGGGATCTTCTATTTGATACGTGCACATATATATAGATATACAACAAACAAAAAAAAAGTATAAGTAAAAAAAAAAAAAAAAATTATAAAAAGAGTTAATTCAGAAAAAATAAAAAGGGGCTTATTGTGTTTTTTTTATATTGTCTTGTAAATAAAATATAGGGACTATCATTATGATGGAGAACACAAAAATTCGGTCCAACTTATCACAAGTTTCTTTATGCAGCTATTTTAATCAAAATTGGAAAAAATTAATAAAGGTGTAGAGATATGAAAAGAGTGAGTTTTTTATTTGAAGAGCATAAATACCGAATTGGTTAAATTAAGCCTACAATTTTTTTTTTTTTTTTTTTTTTTTTTTTCAATGTTTTTTTTTCTATTTTAGTAAATTAGACATTTCTACGTTTTGCAATTTTTAACAATCTAATATAGTAAATTAGACTCTCTTTTGTAATGTATATAATTATGGTTTTTCTTTTTCTATTGGATATCCATTTTATATACTCGGGTAAGATACGATACCATTTTTTGCTCTTCTTTGAATTTTTTTTTGCTGCTCTAAAAGTACATGAGCAATTTTAAAGGATTCCATTTGATATATTAATTTTGCATAGACTGCTACGTCTAAATAGTGTATGTCTTCTTATACAAATCCTGTAAATTTTTTTTTTTTTTTTCCTTTTTCACATTTAATATGGAATTGTTCAAAGCAAAAATTTGTATTTATTCATAATAGAAATAATACGAGTGGACATTGTGAAGAATTTGAATACTTTGTGTATAGTACAATTTTATTCGTCATTCAAATTATAATAGGCTTCAAATTCCTTTTTCAGAATTTTTACGTCCTCGTATAATTCTTTAAATGAGCATCTTCTGGATGGAACAAATTGCAAACATTTTTTTATGATTTTTTTAATTTTACTTCTCCATAAAACATTAGCAAATAATCCTCTATTTGGCAATAAATCATTAATGGTTACATTTTTTTCTCCTGAATATATGTTCGTAGTATTTTTACAATTCCATTCACATAATACATCAACTACCTTTACTTCATTTTTATTAACAACGTTTAATAGATTGTGTCCACCGAATAATTGACATAATACTAAACCTACGCTGAAAATAGTGGTTTTGGTGGTGAACTTAACAACCCATGTGTCTATGTTTTGCATTTTAAGAAATTCATTTTCTTTTTTTTTCTTTTTTATTTTTTCAGAATCATTTAATTTGGTTTCTGTATCTTTTGTTTCTTCATTTTTTTTAAATATATATTCTTTTATTTCTTCGTTATCTGAGTAATGTTCTCTCTTTCCATCATCCTTAATATCATGTATGCATACCTTCATCAGGTAATAACCTTTTAGTATATCATCCTCTTGATTATTTGACCGATCGCTTTCTACGCTTCCATGTTTTTCCAGTGTCGAACTGGCATTCATGTCTGTTCCACTTGGTTCGAATTGGTCACTTTTCCTGTTTATTTCTGGTAAAATAATTACATTCTTCCTAGTGACATAACTGCTACTATTATTATTGCTGCTGATGCAGTTGTTGTTTTGAATTCCAAGGATGATATCATTACTTCTGTTTTTGTTATTTCCATGGCTGTTGCTATTGGGGTTATTGCATTTACTAGAATTTATTTCATTATGGTGATCTTTCTGAAACAATTTTGTGCTGTTGTAGGAATTGTGGTTATGAGAACTTCTATTGTGCGAACTGCCATTCTTGCTATTTCGAATGGCTCCATTTATGCTCCTACCGATTATATTATGATGTCTGGGACAAGCATCCACACTGGAATTCCCCCATTGGTGCGTGCACAAATTCGTACAGATTGGACATGGATCTATATCGTTTCTTCCAAACTCTGTCGTTTTGTTATTACCACTTTTAATGTCGCGAGTATTTCCAAAGCCGTTACTTCTTCCATGAAAACTGTTTCTGCTGTTCTCACAATTTCTACTGTTCTCACAATTTCTACCGTTCTCATCATTTCTACTGTTCTCACCATTTCTACTATTTTCACAATTTTTACAGATTGCACCATTTCCACTGCTATCATTGCTTCCACCACTACTACTAAGGATGGCACAACTATTGCTACTACCATTGGAGTTTGCATTTTCTCTGTTTCTGGTTTCCATATATTTAGCATCAGCTTCTTCACCAGCTGTACATGGGCATTTTCGGTAAGGTGGGGTAATTATGTTGGGATTAATCATATAGTCTTTTTTTTTCACGATAGGTTGAATAAAACGCAAGTCTAATAATTTTCTCCATCTGTACTTTATTCTTAAATGTTTTGTTTTGTTAATGTGAAAAATGTTCGAATCAGATCCATACCAAGTTTTTCTGAATTGATCTGACTTATTTAGTGATGATAGTAAGAAAACTAAGAGTGCACATTCAGGGGAACAATATCCCTTGGTACATATTACATAATATAAGAAACTGTTAAAATTTTTTTGAATGTTATTAATTTTAATTTTTTCATAATAAGATGGGTTTGTTGGAAAAAAGAAATATCTACCAGGTAATGCGTCTCCCACATCTATAATAGTAACCTTTTTACATAATATTTTTGAATTTCCAGTTTCATATTCTATCATAATATTACCTGGTTTTGTATCCCAATTAATTATAGGATTATCAATTGATTCACTTATAATCATTAACTGCTTAACTAATTTTTTACAAATGTCTAATAAAAACAAACAGTATTTTATATTTTCTGTTCCTTTTAATTTTTGTATAATATATGTTAGTGTGCACCCGTCAATCATTTGCATAGCTACTCCTAAAACATCTTCATTATTTTTTGTGACTCCAACAGATGACCATAGATATTTTGGTACGGAATTGGGATGCTTTCTGTTTTTTTTTATTATTTCTTTTGCTAAAGGATTTTCGTGGGATGTATTTTTCTCTTTACAATTTTTGCAGGCATTAATTCTTATATTATTGGGATTATTAATATTCAGTTTTGACGCATTATGTTCTGTGTAATTGTTAATCAAAAGGTCTTGAGTTTCATGAGTGTTGCACAAATTCTTATTTGGAGTTGAAACACATGAAACTATACTTTTCGGTACTTCTCTCTTTACTGAAGATGTTGGTTTGCACCCGAGTTCAATATTCTCTGATAATTTCGTGTTCGAGACGAATTTGTTTTGTTCATTTTTCTTTTCATTTAGTTTATCTAAATGTTTATTTTTGGAATAAATTTGTGTATTTTTTTCTTTTTTTGTATTTATTACTTTTCTACTTTTGCTTATAATGCCACGTTTTATTTTTAACTTTGTTTCCTTTTTCTTCTCACATTTTTTTGGATTATTTTTTATCACTTCCCGTTGACCATTAGCAATTCGTTTAGAACTCGGTTGCTTGATGTTTTTTCTTTTCACTCTACTTCTTGTGTGCACATATCTACATCCTTTGTTCCTGCGGATGGGGCGACTGTTGCGATTGCTTCCGATGCTTCTTTTTCTTCTGTTACTAGGATTAGCTAGGCTATCTGCCTTATTGCTGGTATAGCTTTTTTTCTTCACTATTCCTGGGCCTTTATTTTGTCTTATATCCTTAGTTTGAACAATGTGATTGTTTTCCTTTACATGTTCAGTATTTTTGGATATATGCGGATCACCAGAAATGTGTACATTTTGAGACATCATTTTTTTTTTTTTAACATTATTATATCCCTCGTCTTGATAATCTTCATTTAATTGTTCACAGTGTATGTTGAAAACAGGTTTGTTTAAAATGTTTTGATTCCAGTAATGTGATAACATTACATTTTCTTCAAAAAAAATGTTTAAGCAATATTTACATATAAATGGGTAGGCACTGCTATTGGATACATTTGATAAAACATCTTCACTTTTCTGCTGATTTATTTCGCAAGTGAGCTTGTTACGTTTTGTGAAGTTTTGCTTAGAATTATTAGTACTGCTTCTTAGAGCATTACTTTCACTGTTGTTTTTGTGTTCATTTGTTTTGTGATCTTCGACATTGAGATTACAGCTGAGAAGGTGCTCATTGTAACATTTTTGTGTATCATTATTTGGAGACAAAGTGTAGTTCATTAAATTTCTAATACTGAATATTTCTGATAGGTACAAATCGTGATTTACATCTGTAGATTGGGAGAAATTGAGATGTTTATGTTTCGATTTACATAAATCAAGGTCTTTATTTGTGATTGCGTATTTTTGCATGTGTACTTTTTTATAAGTTTCTATGAATTGGTTATTTGATAAATCATGGTTCGTAATGTTTTGGTTTAAATGACTGTCATTATATGCATCATTTATATTTTGATGAATATTGTTCACATTATGGAATTGAAAATTTCCTAGGTGTTCCTCCGCTTGATATTTTTTCTGAACATAATTTTCAATTTCGACGTTAACATTCTTCAATTGTTTTCCTTCTGATAATAGACTGTGTATTTTGTACTTTAATTTATACAAGCCACATGTGTTTATATTTAATATTTTTATAGCGAACTTATTGGTTGTTATATTTTTAACAGAATTGTGATAAATTGTAATAGGGTCGTTTATAGCATCATTAATGTAGTTGTAGCTAATTATGTGCTTTATTATATTATATAATGTGTTTGTTTCCATGTTCATTTTTTCTAAATAATATTTTCTACACTGATCTTTTAATACGTCATATAAGGATTTATAACCAAACTGCTTTAGGAAATTTATTTTTTTTATTGCGTCAATTAGATTTTTTGTAAGTATTTGATCATTTAATAGTGCCTTATTATAAAATACGATGTTGTTCAGTGTGCTTTGGCTGGATGTGCGGGGGCACTTGTGTTGTTCATTTTGCGAAAAATTTTGTGGACAGTTTGGATGGCAAGTGCTAGGACCATTGTAATTGTAATCGTTAACGTTATTCATATAGTGGTTGCAAATATTCGTGTGCACATTTTTAAAGTTACCTTTTCGATCGCTCTGATTTAAATTTTGTGTATTATTTGAATTTGTAAGAATAATCACATTTCCTCCTGTAACATAGTTATTGGTATCTTTAGAACTAAGAAAAAGTTCTCTATCTTTTTTTATTACAGAAGAACTTTCACTAATAATATTGTTATTTAATAAACTAGAATGTATATCATTTGTATCTCTTCGTGTGAAATTCAAATGTATGTCAGATGTGTTATAGGTCTGATTATTTGGTGTTGTAGCACTGTTTCTATTCTCCATATTTGTGTCTACTGACTTCATAGAACAATTCACATTTTTGTTTATGTTAATTATTCTAGATGTGTATCTATCATACGGAGAAGAATCCCTGGTATTAATATTTTTTCTATTATTGCTCTTAATTATGTAGTTCGTTTTATTTTTTCTTCTCTTGTTGTTTGTATTTCCTTGATCATTGCTCAAACTGTTATTAATTTGTACGTTTTGTGATATTTCTACTTGGGTCGTACTTAACTGTTTTTCACTTATCGATTCAGCGATGTTAGTTTGTGGTAAGTTAAGATGTGACAAAAAGCTTCTCTTTCTAGGAGTTAGACATTTTGAATTTATTGAACTGCTTTTATTATCTTGTTTTTGAATATTTATGGTACTCATTAAATATTTAATGATTAAATTACAATCTTGGGTATGTTTCATAAAGTCATATATATTGCTGTCATTAATGTCCAGGTCTGATAAGGAATTATAATTATTCATATGTGTCTTGAGAAAATCATAACTGTTTATACTTCTTTTAAGTAAATTGTAAAAATTTTGAAAAATTTGAATATTGGAATAAAAGAAATTAGTGATATTATCAATGGCTACAATTTCTGCTTCGTATACATCAAATTGGCATTTGTTTTGTGAACTCAATTTTTTTTTTAATTTTACATACACATTTCCGAATTTTATGTCATAGTCTAAGTTTTTCAAAAAGATTAAGTGACGTTTTAATGAATCGCAACAATTAAGCAATTTTTCCGTTTTAAATTCTTCATCTCTTTTTGCATTTTTGGAATTAAAGATTTTCTTATTAATCAATTTTTCTTTTTTGATATTGCTACTATCTGCGTTCATTAGGTTGTTTGTATCTTTGACGTTTTTGCTAATTTCTTTCCCTTTTTTCTTTTTTTGTTCTTTGCATTTGATTAATTTGATATTTTTTCCCTCTTTACATTTAGTATGTTTAGAATTATGTACACTTGTATGTACACTTTTCTTTTTAATATTTTTATGCTTATAATTGATAAATTTGTTTCCTCTTTTTCTCTTGCTCTTTTTCTTTTTGTCAGTATTGCAAGTGTTTTTTTTATTGCAGCTTCTTCTGTTTCTGTCATTTCCTTCCTGTTCGTTATCATCATTATTGCTGTTAGCACTTTTATTACCTCCTCTATTTCTGCAGTTAGTGGGGCTATTGTTTTCCTTACCCGTTCTCCTATTATTAGTTTTGCTGTTGTTGTTATTTCTTCCACTATTTTTGGCATCGCTATTTTTGCTTCCCTCCTTATTTCCCTTGTCGCATCGTTTGTCATTGCTTCCTTCGATGTTACTTTGATTTTCCGTGCTTTCATTCTCGTTAGCATTGTTTCTGATCCCCTCGATAATGCAGTGATTTAGAATTTTTTTCAAGTCGTTGCAATTTTTATAAGTACTAATACTACTATAATTTTTAAAAAGGTGACTTATCGTATTCAGTTCATCATTGTTGCAATTTTGTATGAGCACAACTCTGTCTATTTGATCGTTTGTAACATTATTCGTTGGATAATATTCTGCAATGTTAGATCCATTTCTGCATCTGTTAAGTGTGTTTTTTCCTTTTATATTATATGTGTTCAAATATTTTTCTATAATTTGAGTACTCTTAAATGAATGTCTAAATATGTTAGTGTGATAATCTACATTTTCTTTCATAAATATATTTTGAAATTTGTTACAATTTTTCTCGTGTTTAATAAAATTGTCAAGATGTGTTGCATTGACAAGGTTGGAAATATTACAGCTTTTGAGTATGCCTTTATCTTTATAACTTTTACTGCTAATATAAATATCATTTGCTTCGTTAATTTTATTAACTGTGTTATTTGCATTAGAAGAGATTTTCTCATTGCTACGAAAGGTATGGAAATAGTAGCCGATATTGTTTTCTTCTTCTTGTGAACGTTGGATCATTTTAACAATTTTTGTAACATCATCGAGGAAGATGTGATTTTTTTCCCCTCCAAAACTGCTGCCATTGAGGTGGCCTTTAGTGTTGCAGTTGCTATCGTTTCGGGCTCTAACGCTTCTGTTGCTATGATTTTTATGAGTTCCGGAACTTATCCTGTTATGATAATTTCGAATCTTGTGTATATGCTTTTTTGTGCATATGATATTGTTCATTTCTGTTTTCCTTAATGATTGATGTCCCCTGATGTGGTACTTCATATAGTTCATCATATTATGATGTAAAATATAGCGATATTTTTGGAAGTGTTTTTTGTAGTACTTATAGTACTCTCGAAAATTAGGTAATTTAATCCTATTAGCACATTTTTTCATAAGGGAATAATCATAAATGTATCCATTTTGTTTATTACAAAGACCATATGCTTTATAACCTTTCGTGCATGCATATTTTTTGGGGAATATTATGTTCCCTATAGCAAAATTGATATAGTCTAATTCAGCATGTGCATCATATGTTTTATAATTTTTAATGTTTTCAAGGTAGGTATCCTCTAAATTTTGTAAACTATTTAAATTTGTATTAATCACATGATTATTATTTCTTTCACATTCGACACAAAAGTGTGAATTTTGTTCAAAATAATAATTTGTCTCATTGCACAAGTTTTCCGGTTTCTTGCTAAATGTTAATGGGTTTGTCTGCTGGTTCTTTATTTTGTTCTCCTGATTTTTGTACAAAAGGGAAGAAATAAAGCTTTCTTTGGTAAAATACTGATTAATGCAATTATTCTTTTTACAATTGTTAAATATTACATGTATATATTTATAGAAGCATTTCATTTTCTTTTTCATGAGATTCGTATTCGTGGTTACGTGGTTGTAAAATTTGAGGCAGCTTATTCTTTTTATGTTGTACTTTTTATGTGTGTATAAGTTCTTTTTATTTATTTTTCTTCTGTGTTTCTCACTTCTACGTTTGTTATAGTTTCCTTCACAACTCCTATTGTCATACTTGTGATGTTTATCTTGGTTTTGACACTTGGAGATAGTTATTTCTACCATTTTGAATTTAAAATTATTTGGATCTCTATTTATTAACTTGTGTATCAGCACACGATGAAAATCCTTCGCTTTATTCCTTTTTGTATGAACAATTGCGTTTGATCCATTTTTTCCTGCTTCATTTTTATGTGCATAATTGGAATTGTAAACTATTTCTTTTTTTTCTTCATTTAAGATGTAGATTGTTCTGTTTACAGTTTCCTTTGTCTCGTTTTTTGAGTTTGAATTATTGAAACTGCTACTTATTCTTGTAAAGATACTATTGGTTGCGCTATATTCAGAGAATTTGGGATACTCATGACAAATGTACCCATTGCTATCTTGAGGAAATGAGTTTATGATAAAATTTCGTTTGATAGAATCAGTTAAGAGATGGAGAACTATTAAATGTAAGGTATTTCTATGCAATTTTGGTGTATCAGTGTTGTGTTTATTCAAGTGAGATACGTATTGGTACGCATTTTTGCTTTTTATTCTCTGGTCATTTGAAATGGTAAAATAATTGCAAATATATATTAGTAGTTTCTTAAATGCAATGTTTAATGTAATACTTCCGTTGGAGGATATATATGAATTATTCCGATAGTGCTCGATAATTTTTTTTGCATTCATGCATTCATGTAATTCACCTTCATTCTCTTTTTTATTACTGTAATTTTTTAAATGTGTTAATGAATTGAACCCCATTTTATATTTATTACTTTTCCACTTCAAACTAAGCAACCATTTTATAAAATCATTTTTGTAATATTCTTCTTGATTATTATACACTTTATTACACCCGTTCAAAAAAATATATCTTGTCCTATTTTTAATAACCCACTGAGTGCCTTTAAAAATGAAACATAATAACACTTTTTTTTCTTGATTATTTAATAAAAGTGTTTTCTTTTTCAAAAGAAAAATAATAGAAAATTCACAGTAATTAAGAAAATAAATGCAATATTTGATGATATCATTATAATGTGTAAAAATAATTTTGCTTCTTCGGAAACATAAATGTTTTGAGACGAATAGTTTGATTCTCATTGGACATGAGCTTTTAATGCTATTGACTGTGGATATTTCTTTCATTAGATAAGATTGATCAATTTCTGTAATATAATTTTGAACGAAATTTAGCATAAATAGTAACGACGTCTGATGAACTATACTATAATAATTATACAATACTTTCATTTTTAATATAAAGTGACAGTCCTTTGTTAATGAAAGTTCTAGGAGAAGTTCACAGTAAACAATATTTTGTGAACACTTATTGATGTATTTTTTTAAATAATATTGAATACACACTTCTTTTCTAATTTCAATTTGATGTAAGGTACTGTATAAGGTGCTCAAAAATTTTGGAATTAGAATTATGTTGCATTGTGCCGTATATATTACAATCAGATATAATGAAGCTGCTAATAACGAAAAACATCTTTTAATATTTATTTCTGAAGAGATGCTTCTCACGTGGTATGGAAAGTTTATCTCTTTTGAGATCTTTGCTGATTTTCCTTTTTTAATATTATTGTTTTTATTATAATTGATATTATTATTATTTATTATCATTTTGTTCTTTTTGTTTAAATTAAGAATAGTTCTTAACTCAGCGCTACAACTCGTAGTCTCAACGTGACACTTCAGAAGGAAGAATTTATGAAAATAATCATACCGTTTTATGTTTCCCTCTGAAAGATCTGTGCTGTTAGTATAATTACTCATGTCTACATTATACTCGCTCGTAACAAGTGTATATACTAAAATAGATGGTTCATTCGTGGGTCTCTGAAGTATATTACTATTAGTGCTATTTATTTTTCTAAGTAAAATTCTCATTTCGGTTTCTTTGGACACAATTAGTCTTTTTTCACTTAAAAATTTTGATTGATTTATTTTTTTTTTTCTTTTAAATTTAAAATATTCCATTTTGATTATCTCTTTTTTACTGATAATATTTAATTTTCTCCTTTTTTTCTTTTTTCCCCATATTATGTTATAATTTTTGTATATAGCATATGAAGTGACATATCGTGCATAATTTTTTGCTATGTCTACCTTGTTTATAATGTATTTTTTATTTCTTATTGTCATGTGCTTTTTTATTTGATACACATACTTTTGTTCTCTGTTACGTTTTATGGTGTCTATACAAAATTTTAAATTGTTTTCATGAACTAACTTGGGATTTGTTGTACTATCTTGTAAGTTTAATAAATTTTCAACGGTGTTCAAGAAAATTTTTTTCTCAAAGTGTTGTATCTCATTTTTTATTTTATTAGGTTTTACAAATCCATTTTTCCTACCCTTCAAATAACTGATGCGAAGCAGTTTATAATATTTCTCTATATTTATAATTATTTTTTCTTTAAAACTCTTTTTATTGGATAATATATGATGTTTCTTCTTTGATTTTTTAACCTTATTTTTTATGTTTTTTTTTCCCCTTATTTTTCTTATACTTTTATTAAGTACACTTTTTCGTAATAATACTCTGAAAGGGTTGAACTTGTGAATGGATGTAAAAAAAATATTTTCATTATTGTAATGAAGATCTATTGTGTGTTTATTTCTTTTTGTTAGTATATTATTATCCCCGTTATAATTCTGATTTTGATTGTTTTGCATTATCAACGTATTTTTTCTTTTTTGTACACAACATAAATCCTTTTTAGTATCTCCATGTAGAACATCATTTTCTATATACTTCTCTTCATATGTCTTTCTTTTATACACCAAGCTGTTGAGGGTACACGAGTTGTTTAAAAAAAATGCCTGTTTATTATCAATCTTCAACATAGATTCAACATCATTTGGTTTAAAATTAAACTCATTGCTACTTAAATACGTTAGATAAATCATTTTTTTTTTCTGGTGCAACGTGTACTATGGAAAAGCATATTTATGTAATATTAGTAATTTAGATAAACGTTTGTACACCTCTGGAAATACAAATCTTTTTTTTATATATATTTTGTGATTTAAGCGATTATTTGTGTAAATATATTAGAATATATCATTCCTAGCCTAAGAACAAGGAATATGAATTGCGAATTTCACAAGGCTAGTAGGACAAAACAAGTTTTGTGTATTATTGAGAACATAAATCAAATGCATAGATTTAATAACTTAAATACATTATAATGTATTAAATTATGTTTTCGTCAATATGTCAATATGTAAAATGTACGAATGAATGTGTACAAGCATACAAGTGATAAAAATAAAGAAAAAATAAACATCACTTAAGAAATTAACGTGTATACAAATTTATAAATTCTTAAGAACAAAGAGATGAAAAAATAGAAGCAAAAATTTAGAGATAAAAATAACCAAAAATGATAAATGAAATAAAAAAAAATAAAATAATAAAAGTAAATAAATAAAAAAATTCATACACACAAATTTTAGAATTATATTAAAGGAAAACTTTTATGGAAGGAAAAAAAAAAAAAAAAAAAAAAAGAAAAATAAGGAAATGAAAAAAGGTGTACATTTATATATGAACATATGCAAACAAAAATTTGCGTACAGATAAATGTAGATAAAGGCATGTGCTAATAAAAAAAGGAAAAAAAAAAAAAAAAATAGGAAATGTCTGAAATTAATAGTATATTAATTTCCAAGTCTTGCGTGTGAATAGATATATTTTACAGATACAATGGAATTCTATAAGTTACATAAGAAATTAAGATTGTCTTTTTGTTTTTTTTTATTTAATTAATCATTTCATACAGAGGTGAGGGGGGCAAAAGAAAAATAATAAATAGTACAGTACACTACAATGAAGTGCAATAATACATATCAAAATAACACAAATGGGTTATACTTAGTAAATCCCTATTATTACATATACTTTTTAATGGTTTACATTATATACAAAACAAAATAAAAAGTTGTACATAGGATATAAGAGCATTGTTAGGCACATGTATTATATTCTGCAAACTTTTATATTGTATGAAATAAAACATTTCGACATGTTTTAGGTAAGGTTTCATAATATTTGCTCTTTAAAAAAAAAGGTATATATGCCTAGTATTTTTTTACGCAGAACATTATATATATGTACATTTGTGTACACCTGTGCTTGTGTAAACAGTGCACATGTGTATTCTTCATACATTAATATGGTATGTACGTCTGTATAAATATGTATATATGTTATATGACAAGAGCTATATACAATTAAAAAAAGGAAAAAAATTCATAATGACTTGATAAATGGGAGAACAAAAAAAATGTAGAAAAAATCAAAGTAAAAGTTATTAAATGAAAAAAGAAAACCCCTTTTTATATTTAATAAAATTTAAAAGAGAAGATTACTCAATCATTTACACATAAACATGAATATTTTGCTTTTCTTTTTTAAAACAAAATATAAAAAATTAGAAGAAAATAAAACAAAAAAAAAAAAAAAAATCTAAGTACTATAGATAACCAGAAATGGCAGTATATAGTAGTATTTTTATCCCTTATGAATAAAAGTGTGTTAATTTTCTAAATGGGAGAACAAATAATTTGTTCTGTTTTTTGGAAAACAGTGTACTAAAACTTTAGAAAAAAAATATACAGAAAAATTAAAAAATCATTATTCAAAAATGTACCAAAAAAAATACTTACACATGTTTATATGTATATATATATGTACGTTGGGGGCATGCTAGGCATGTGAGACTCCTTAATCATATTTAATTATAAAAGGGAAAAGTGTTCATACTCAACAAGACCAAAAAAGATATAATGCAAGTAAAATAATCGAATGTCTGTGTAGAAAAAAAAAATAAAAAAAAAGTGTCATATTATTCAAAAAATATATTCATGCCAACTACATAACAGATTTCTTCAATTTAAGCATCGCAAAAATTACACAAATATATGTATTGTAGTTTTCAATATGTATACATATATAAGTGTTCGTCCGGTTCGTGTAAACTCCCTTGAATTTGTCAAGTGAACTTTATCTCTTGTATAATTTTTTTACAGAGTTATCTTTTAGTTCTGTTTTCATGTTTATTTTTGTGTTTATTTTGGTTTTTTATTGGGTTATATTTAACTTAATGTTTTCATTTGGGAAGGGTTATTTTATTTTGGTTATATTTTAATTTTTTGTTACATTCTTATTTCATTCATTTCGTTTTATTTTTATTTCCCTGAACAAATATTAAACAACTTTCAGGAGGAAAATAATGATATGGTTTAAAAAAAAAAAAAAAAGGCAAAGCACACAAGTGGAAATTATGCGGAAGCGAAATGTAAAATAGCATTTTTTTTTTTTTTTTTATTTCGTTGCATGCGTGCATTAACAATAGAACGATTCGAATTACATTTTTATGGACTACCTTAACTCACACATAAACCCGTATGTATACGAGTATTAATGTATACATATATATGCACCATATATTATATATATCCGTAATATATTTATTGTTATTCTAGATTAAACTTGACAAGTGACCCTTTTTAAATTAATAATAAAAAAAAAAAATAAAATAAGAGAACGATGATAATTTTTTCTTTTCCTTTTTTTTAAAAGACTAAATGCTGAAAGTGTAATTTAGGAACAGGGCATATGGATTTGTTTTACACACAAGTTATGAAAAGGAAAATAAAAATTATATGGAAATACTAAGCACTAGAATTCAAATGGAAAATGAGATACAATGCTAACTGTTTAGCATAGTTACCCTTTGATTTTAATCAATACATCCTTTCAACTTTTTCTCAAATCCGTTTATTATTTCATCACACTTTACAAAAAAACAGTTTTGACTTGTTTCCAAAAAAAAAGGCGTATAAAAGGAGAATGGAAGCTAACAATGACCTTTTTTATAAATATATGATTTATTTATAAAGTGTACTGAAATGAATACATAAAATTCACAAAAATGAGGTATTCGTTTAGGAAGAAATTTTCACAAAGGTATGAATATACAAATGTATGTAACACGTATACACAAAAACAAAAAGTAGAGCGCATAAGCACACAAATAAATTTTACCTTAAAGTTGCGCGTAGTATAAAAATTTCCCTAAATTATTTTAACGAAAATATGTTTGCAACCTGAATTTGCGAATACTTCTTACTTAAAAAACACAATAACAAACAAAATAACAATTCCACGGAGTTATAAAATGTGTTATATATGCAACTCATTAAGGTATGTATACATTATAAGAAAAAAAGTATTCACGCTATTTTCTTGAACAGTGACTTTTTTTTTTTTTTTTTTTTTTTTTTACGTGATCTCATATATAAGCAAATTTTGTTGCAACAATTTAAAATAAATTGTGCACGAATAAGAAATTACATCCTTATGGAAAATATTACTACAAGGGCATTATGAAAAATGTATATAAATATAATTTACAGCGAATGATTTTGTATCCATAGATATTCTTCCTTACACTTATTACTTCGAGACTAGCGAAATTAACGAATGTAGCTTGAATTATGTACAACTTCTGTAGAAATGTGTACTAAAATAGGGACGTTTTTTTTTTTTTTTTTTTTATTATTTTTTTTTTTACAATATTTTCCACTTCCTTATAATTGCTAAATTTAAATGTAATGTATTTAGAAATTTTTCTTCAGAATAAATGAAATATTACATAAGAAATGAATCTAATTATTGTGTCACTAGTAGAGAATTTTAAAAAAATCATTCACATTTTTGTTGAATCATTTTGAAGTGAACATAGACTAAACTAGTTTTCGTAAACACGGCAGGAAACTAATCTTCTAAAGGGCGAAGTTTTTTGTTGAGTGCATTTTAAAAAATATATTCACAGCGTTCTGAGTAAAAAAACCAAAAGTTGATTGCGCATTGTTACACACATATGATGCATGTCCAATGATATGCTAATATTAAGAAATATTTTATTCATACACCTGGGTTTTTTGTGCGAAAACATAATTTCACATGTGTGTACAGAAATGTATTGTGACTCTTTGTAAGCACCTCGTCCACATATATTTGCAAAATAAATTAAAAGTATTAGAATGTGATAAGAGTACATGAATTCGCGAATTATATTTTTCACGAATTTACATTTTTTTTTTTTTTTTTACTTTCTGTGTTACAACTTCCAAGTATTGATGAAATGGTTATTTAACTGAACAAAATTGATAAGGAAAAAGGTTAACCATTTGGGATTGTTTTCCTAACGTATGTTTGCCATATGCACATGAATGCAAACAGATAAGTTTAATATTATTTTTACATATTTTATTTAAACCTGATCTTATTTTTTTACATTTTGTTTTTTCTTTGAAAATTTTGACATATCCTTAAAAATATACATTGTTTTTTTTTTCTTCTTTTCTGCTTTTCACCTTTTTTTTTTCTTCTTCTGCATTTTTCTTTTTTCTTTTTTTCATTTTTTCTTTTTTACTTTTGTTCGTTCGTTCGTTCCTTCCTTCTTTTTTTTTTTTTTTTTTTTTTTTTATTTACAAAAGCGAGAACAAAGAAAATATCATCGAAAGTACATTCCAAAATATACAGAAGAAGATACATTTTATAAGCACATGAGAGAATTCCATAAATAAACAAACATATGAATAAATTAACCCACGATAAAATACCTTATACATACATATACATTCAGATATTATTGCACTGCACGATATTCATTAATTAAAGTAAGCAACACAACTATAAAGGAAGAAAATAACAAGAAGAAAATTATGTCAAATAAAAAAAGAACCATTTTAAAAGTCATCATTCTTGGGGATAGTGGGTAAACAAATAAGAAACGTAAAAAATATCTAAATTGTTGCTACATTAAAGCTTTCCACATTATGTATATATACAAACACATGTGTGTATGAGAATAGTTGGTGAAAAAAAAAATAAAATAAAATAAAAAGGATACTATTATGAATACATGAAAGAATAGAATAAATGATAAAAGAGCAATTAGAAAAAAAATGCAAATGGGAATGAAATAAAATACCAAAAAAAGGGAGATAAAAATTATGGAATTACTTAAGACACACTACATTTCGTGTGTATATACGTAACACATCTTAGAATTGGAAAAAAGACTAAAAATTAATGCTTCATTCATTAAGAAAGAAGTTTAATTAGCACTTGAGTGTTATCGCATTGTTTAATACATCTGAGGTATATCAAAGTTTCCCCTTAAATGCAGACACGCATCACTTGTAACTGAACATTTGTATATAAAAATCACTTTTAAAATTTTGAATGTAAAATAAGGTTACTACCCGTGTTATTAGCTGTATATTAAGGTTCTTGTTTAAAAAAATATAAATGAAAACCAGCGGATTGTTCGTACACCTAATGAAGATACTAACAATCCATTTAAACTTAAGCAACATATACGTTAAATAAATAAATGGGGATAAAAAGTATTACATCCAAATATAATTCCATAAATGATAATAAAATAAGAAAGTGCTCAATATAAAGAAATTTAACATAAAAAAAATAACCAACAATTTATTTTAAATACATAATGCAGTGTATTTTTTGTAAATATATTAAGGCTAAATTCAATGGGGAATGTTGAATGTGGCTATTTATTGAACATATGAATTAAGTCTTTTTTTTGAACATTTTCATCCGAGCCTTAATGCTTAAAACTTTTTCGATTTTTATTATAATACTATTTTGCTTATTAATTTTTTCTTTTTTTTTTTCAGTGTTGGAAAGACATCATTAATGAATCAATATGTAAATAAAAAATTTACAAATCAGTACAAGGCGACAAGTAATTATATGAACGGAATTATATTATAGAATTGTTTTATGATGTTTTTTGTTTTTATTCTGTGTTATCATATTTAACATAAAAATTTTTTTTTTTTCCTTCCTATTAGTTGGAGCCGATTTTTTAACAAAAGAGACTGTAGTTGACAATGAACAGCTAACAATGCAAGTAAATAAAAAGGAGAAGAAAGGGGATAATAAGATATATAACGCTTACGAATATGTTTTGTTGTATTATTGAGAAATAGTCATATTTTTTTAAATAGCATATGAATTACACATACGTATAGTATAATACATGCGCATGCTGATAGATACATAATAACATCTCGTGGATAAATTATATTTGTCTAGTGTGAATGCATATATATATATATATATATATATTTGTATATGACATATATGAACTTGGGTAATATGTATATCTTCATTTCTTCCTAGATATGGGACACAGCAGGACAAGAGCGTTTTCAAAGTTTAGGAGTTGCTTTTTATAGAGGAGCTGATTGCTGTGTTTTAGTTTTTGACTTAACAAATTACAAAACATATGAGTCACTGGAATCATGGAAAGACGAATTTTTGATTCAGGTACTAAATAGAAATGGAAAAAAAGAAAAACAGTTATATGCATGTGCGCGAATATAAGTATGCATACATGTACTCCTATATGTGTACATGTTCTTATTTTATTTAATTCTGTGCAAAAATGTTATATTATATAGGCCAGTCCAAAGGATCCTGATAATTTTCCATTTGTAATAATAGGAAATAAAGTTGACGAAACGAATAAGAGAAAGGTAATTTTTATGTGATGTAAGGGATTTCCTTTAAATGTTTAGTAATATAATGCGTTGTTTATAAACGTTTATGGTTGAATATATGACTATAGAAATTTTTGTATTTATTTATTTATTGATTCGTTTTGGCAGGTGCAATCACTAAAGGTTTTACAGTGGTGCAAATCGAATAACAATATTCCTTATTTTGAGACAAGTGCAAAAAACGCAATTAATGTGGACCAAGCATTTGATGAAATTGCGAGAAAGGCCATGAAACAGGAGCACCAGGAGGAACAAATGTAAGGGAGAAAAATGTAGTTGACTAAAAAAAAAAAAAATGATCTAAAAATAAAATATTGAATCATATATATATTTATACATATGAACACTTTATACGATAATTATTCTTTGAAATATTGCAAATGCCTAAAACACTGTGCCATTTTTCGCTTGTCCAACATTGCTTTACACAGTAAATAATTGTGACAGGAACCATCAGTTGCAGAATATTACATAGACATAAATTTTTTTCCCACATTTTACTTTTTTTTCAGATATCTGCCCGAGACATTTGCTCTGAATAATCAAAGCGATCAAAAAATATATAAAAGTCGCTGCTGCTAAAAGTTGTTTAGAACATGGATATTAAAAAAAAAAAATTTTTTTTTCATTCGTTTATGTTTTATGACCCCAACATCATTTTGTGGTTGATTTATCTAAATTATGAAATTTATGTATACACCTACTTGTGTACAGTTTTTCCTGGAGAATGTCATTTCTTCATTTTTTCATAACTTCTAAATTATTTACATACATATTAATTGCATATGCATGCTTTAATGATATGTATTTAGGGATGGGAATGTGTTTTAATGCACCTGCATGTTCAAACATAAAAATGTGTTAATTATGACAAATTATTCAAATGTTTAAATGGATTACGCGCGGAAAGTACAAAAATAATACTTTTCTATTTTACTATATGTATGTACATGCATATGTGTGTATTTCTGAAATAATCACATATATTATATACACACTTAAAAGATATGCCAAAATATATTTTTTCAATATATACAACGTCATACATTTTTTTCTGCTTAAGTATTTCTCAATGTAACCCTTTGCATATAAGTGTACATTTATGCTTATGCATATTATTGATAGTCAAACCTAGATTTTGTAATGTTTTTTTTTTTTTTTAATAGAACATAGCATTTTTTTTCCAATACATTTATAATTTTAAATAACTATTTATACTGAACCAGGAATATCATTTCTATGCTTCTTAAAAATTAAGAAGAATCAATTAGTGTTGCATGAAGACATAATAGTATATATACATATATGGAAGTATATATATATATATAAGCATAATTTCTTCTATTATTTGAGGAATATTTTTTTTTTTGCATAGATTGCTTATTATTATCTTGTGATTTCGTTGATGGACATGGCTTTACAAACTTTTTATAATGGAGAAGAATGCTAAACCGTTGAGGAATTCTGTATTATTCTTTTTTATTTTGTCTCATTTAACATATGTTAAATTTTTTATTTTTTTTAATAGGGATAAAATTTTCTTCTTTTTATTGCTTTCTTTATGCCTTTCTTCTATTTTTTATTCCCTCATTTTATGCTAAATCTGTTCAAATTATAGTTGTCAAGTTTAGCCCCCCTTTTATTTATCCCCTCTGTTATCTAAAAGGTTTACTTATAGTCTTCATCTTTGCTCAAATTCGAAGTCTTTTTCGTTACGTATGTAATTATTTCTAAATGTACGAAGATACTTGTATTATTTATATCATATGTATTCTTTTTTTTTTTTTTTTTTTTTTATTTTTTTTTTGAAATGAAAGTAATTGTGGCATTAATTTATTTTAAAAAAGTAAAAGTTTTCGTAATCCATTTTTAAACATATCATTTTGTTATTTTTTCATATATTATGCAAACAACACGTTTAAAATAAATAGATGGTTTCATTTGTTTATTGAAAAAGTTGTATTATAGGAATTGACAAAAAAAAAAAAAAAAAAAAAATTGCTGAAGGAAGAATATACATACAATAGAAGGCTCCTTTTTTGTTTTTTACGAATCAACCTAATTGTGGGTTTTGATATATGCATTTTTTATAATTAAAAGGGTTGCATCGGGAAGCGCTTTTTCTTTATCATTTTTATATGGTTTTTTTTTTTTTTTTTTTTCTTGATTAAATTATTACGCTATAATGAAACATTCATATCGTTATTTTTCAAGGATGGCTACATATTTGTAAAGGCTATATATAAAAAATATATTTTTGTTCTTTGTAAAAAGATTTTTACATACTGTTATGTCATATTGATGCTATATTTGTTATAAAAAGCAAAAGGGCCATATTTAAATTAAAGTTTTCTTTTTTGCGTAAAAAAATTTTATAAATATATGCTGTAGTATAATATTTATGGAAAGAATATGGTTCGACTTTGATATATTTAATAAATCATGATTTTGTAAAATGTATAAAAATATATGGATCCCACTAATTAACTGATTGTTCATAGTTTTTCTAGTTTTATGGTACATATGTAAACAATGACATATATACAAAGATACATGTAACAATTTATGTACATATGAATGCGTATATATACATGAATACTCGCACAATTATGTATATGTTATACGTAAATTGTTATATGTGATTTTATAAACACTTTTTTGCAAATGGAAAAAAAAAATTTAGCAAACCTTTTTCATGAATATACAATAAAGTGCTTATGTTTATAATTTACAGATGAATTTGTGTAAAATTTATTCGTGTCATATAAGACAAAGGTAGTAATTCTTCTTAGAATTGCAAACAATAATTTAAAAAATAGCAAAATGCACAAATATTTTGTTTTAAATACGTTAGTTTTGTGCACATTTCCTCATGTGTATGTTTTTTTTTTTTTTTTTTTTTCCCATTTTTTATGATATCATCATATAATAGAGTGTTATTTACATACACATATACACACACGCAAATATCGATACATATGTACGTAACATATTCTTACATATACACATGTATGTCAACGTGTAAGGCATACAATCCAGTCTTGTTTGATGCATATATATAACTGAAGAGCTAATAGTAAATGTAAAAACAAAATCTAACAAGACAAGATCAAAAAAGTTAAATAATAATTTGATAGAAACATAAAAAATGGATGAAGCAGATACGCCACTACCAGATTTATATAAAAAATTAATTAACACACATAATTATTATATTGATAAAACAACGTTATATGTAAAAACAAGATGGTTTGTTTTACTGGGTTTATTTATTATGTACGTCCTTAGGATATATTATGTAACGGGGTTTTATGTGGTGACATATGCGTTGTCTATTTTTCTATTAAATTTGTTTTTGAGATTTTTAACACCACACAATATAGAAGAAATATATGAGCAATATGAAAATGAAAATAACGGCTTATTGCTACCTATGAAGCATACGCCAGAACCAAAAAATGATAACCCTGATGATAAAAAAGAATTTAGACCATTTTTAAGAAAATTAAATGAATTCAAATTCTGGTTGTATGCCAGTAGAGCCATTTTGATATCAACATTTTGCACCTTTTTTCCATTTTTGGACATACCAGTATTTTGGCCCCTATTACTTTTTTACTTCATATGTTTATTTTTCGCAACCATGAAAGAACAGGTAAAAAATATGATCAGGTTTAAATATTTGCCTTTTAATACAGGTAAAATTACATTTTAAATTTATAACGAATTCGTTTATCTGTTGGTATTTCTTTAGGATATTTCATCCCAACATTTGGCATAATCTATACATGCATATACACGCTGAACAAATGTTTGTAGATATGTTTATACACACATGTTCATATACATTTATATATTTTTCCTTTTTCCCTCTTTTAGCTACCAAACAGACGTACGGTTCTGTGGCGCGTGGAAATAAAAACAATAGATAAAGTTAAAAGTGTCTGGGCTTATCCCTTTTTTTTTTTTTTTTTTTTTTTTCAGCATCTACCATTTTTATGTAATTTATATTATCGCTGTTATGTAACTTTACATAGGTATACATATATTTTCTTTTTTTTTTTTTAATTCCAATATTATTTTTTAAAATATATTGATATATGATTGTTGTGTCTATTCATTTTAATGTTTGTTAAAACATACATTTCCCTTTTGTTTTAATTTATTTTATGACGAATCCTTATTATTTTGTAAATTCAATCTACAAAATATTAAAAACTTGAACCCCCCCCCCCCCCCCCCAATTATAATTTTGTTTTAACGAGAATTGTGAATCGACACAAGTTGAATGGCATTTTTTGGCTTACGCATTATTTATGTGTTAAAATTTTTAGGCTTTACATACTTTCATCGTTTCATAATTCTTAAGATTTCTTGATGAAAGTATATGGTACACTTGTTTAACACTATATATGTTGTAAACAAAAAATAAAATGTTGGGTTATGATATTATTTTGCTTTTTTGGTTGTGAAACTTGAGAAAAGAAAAAAAGTGTTAATGGATGTCACTTTAACATAGGAGTACTAAAAAAGGAGAGATTAAAAGGTGCATGAAAAAATAAAATAAAAGCTAGAAGTAAATTAAAGATCCTGGGAGATATGTAGTTAAAAGGATAGACATAATAAAAAAATAAATTGTTTCAATGTTTGACTTCAAAAAATAATGGGAAGCAATCAAAACAACAACTCGCATACGAACTATTTTTATGCACTTCTCGTTCTTTGCACAAAATTTTATTCTTCAGCTATTTCGTCAAGTTGTTCAATCATTTCAAGATCATTTGCAGAAATGTCATATTCTTTCATCAGTCTTTCCGTAATAATTCTTTTTCTTCTTTGCGAAATAGTTTCTTTGGGTGCCAATGTAAAAAGTGAATATAGAAAAACGAATATGATTAACGAGTTTACAACAAAGCTTGTAAAATCTTTCTTTATGCTTACGAATAGTTTTCCTCTGTTGTAGCCAAAAACACTTAAATTTCGTTTTGGTTGTGAATTAATTGCCTTGTATTGCATATTTGAAAAAAGATTGGTATGTTTTTCATCGTTTCCTTTTTTAGAAGATTTATAATTTAAGGTGTTGCCATTACTGTTATACTCACTGTTTTTTGTGCTGAAGGATAATTTCTTACAGTACAATTCTTTTACATTGTTCCCTTTGCATTTGTGGCTTATGAGTATGTCATTAAGTCGGGCGATGTTAAAGTTTCTCCTTGAGTGAAAAAGACCATTCATCTTTGTATATCATGGGAGGGAGGGATTCTTTGAATATATATGCGTTTGCCCTACGTGGGTTCATTAAATATTTACATAAAAATATGTGTTTTATGCGATCTTATAGCTTTTATAATTTACAGTTTTCTGTAAATGCATCCCTTGAAATTTTTATCACTCCATGTTTTGCTTTTCAAGTTTGTAATTGTAACTAATTTGGAAAGGGGGTAGTAAATGGGAGTCAATGTTTTCACATATTACGTCAATTTCACATTATTTGTTTCAAGTTTTATTGTAACAATATACGTTCAGGAAAAAATATAAAAATGAGATGCTTGCATTAGGGGAAAAATATATATGTGAAGACGTGGCTACACGTTGGTCGAACAAGGTAAAATGGAAAAATTCTTAATTTTTCAGTGGGGTGGCCAAATGAAAGTTTATTTTAATTTTTTTTTTATAAACTTCTTATACTTTTTGTGGAAACCTCTTAGATTAAAAGCAAATTGAAAGGAGCATCTATAATACCATTTATATATTGTTAAATAAATTTTGTTAAGCGTAATATAAAATAATGAACAGTTAATTATATATATTTAAATTACTTTATATTTGTTGTGTACATTTTGCAAAAACTAAGCTTGTTTAAACACACATTCCCGTTGTTTTTATTTAAATACATGTAAAAATAAATTAACTCACCAAAAAGAAAAGAATGCTTCATCGTCATTTAAAATATATATATATATGCACGCTAAGCACAGAAAAAAAATGAAAAAAAAAAAAAAAAAAAAAAAATCATTATGTGTATGGTTTTATCAACTTATATTAATTAAAACATAACCAGAAAGCAACGTAATGTTAATCTGAAATAAAAATATGCTAAGCAGGGTCAATTGAGAAGAAGATAATACGGTATTAACAACAACAATGGTTTAATACTAACAAATGTGCAATTGAATTACACATATTTGTATTTATATATACGCATGTTCATATTCACTTATGTGGAAAGTTTCTGTATAAATTTTAAAGTCACTTGTAATTAAAAACTGAGAATAAAAAAGCTATAGTTATAAATGTCGTCTTCGTTTCCTTACCTTTGGTTGAAATGTCACCATGATTTTGATTCAATAGAGAAAAATAACAACTAATTGCTTATGAAGTGCGAAATATTTTATTCGGGAATACGGAAAAAAAGAAAGAAAAATGTTATTTTGTTAAAATGTGTCTCTTTTCATATTATGTTGCAATATGTTTTTAGAAAGTTTCGAATAAAATATATTATAAAATGCTAAAAAAAGTTCAAAAAATTACTTAACAAAGAAATATGCGTGTTACGAACGTTACAGTTATTTGTACTTTTACAGCAGTGGATAAATATACTTATATGTACAATATAGATATGTGAACATTTGTATAATAAGCACTATAAATAATACATATAACATACGCTTAAAAAACAGGAAACAACTGGATTCACAAAAAATAAATGTATTCATTCTATAACGTATATAATACAGGGTAAAAAATTGTAATTTTTGTATACATTTATGTTATGCATTTCAAAATGATAAGTAGGGGCATTGATATCTTTCACAACGCTTGGGAAATCCTATATATTTATTTTGTAACCATGTCTGTGAATAATATTTGCCTTTGATTTTATGGGTATAAAAATTCTTCATATTTGTCAATATGGGTGTAAATATTTTCTTTCATTCTTTTTTTTTAACCATTTTTTACTTCTTCATTTACATATTTGACAAACCTAAAATGATCATGGACAACAAATCCTATAACTGAAAGAATAGCTGTTATAATTGTCCCAGTAAAAAGTGACATTTGTATTAAATCATTTGTTCTCCTTTCTTTCTCTATCTGTGTACTGAACTCTAAAATCCTTGGATCCAAGGTTGGCACTGCTGATGAATTGGCTTCCTGGTCTTTACAGCTACATGACTCAATTAAGACGAAGCAAAGAAATAAAGCAAAAAGTGTTAAACTGTTATTGAAATTCATTGTTTAAAAAATTTTCTGTTCATTCGTGTAAATGAGTTTCTATCAAAAATTATGTTATTTTTATATGTAAATTGAATAAATTATGCCATGAAATTTTGAATTATTTGTTGATATTTTTTTGTGTACTTAATTTTATAAATATTTTTTAAATAATATATTTATTGAGAACTTATAACGCTATGACACACATTGTTTTTCTTTTTCTTGTGAATAGTTTAATGTTATCAGTTCTTCAAAATACACATACATGAATAAATTTATAAATATTTATAATTATTATTTTATTTTGCTTGTGGTTTTGCATGCACATTTTTCGTGCGGGGCCATTTAATGCATCAAGCTTTATTCTAAATATGAATTCGTTAAGAAACATGTAAATGCATGTGATTTGGGAGCTTTCTTTTGTTCACGATAATTTGTAAGTGGATGTTATGAGAAAATGTTATTTCACATGCACAAATGTTTATATTTGCATGTAAAGATTGTGGTTATACTTTAGAGCTCAGTTTTTAGGTGTTGGAGACTTTTCCTTTTGGTTGTTCTTATTCTTAAACAAAATCACAGTTACAATCACAAGCACTTGCATGAATTGTTTATTGTTTAAAATGGTTTATGTTTATAAAATTCATGCACAGGCCTTGCTAGCACCAGCACCATTGCATTTTTTGAAAATTCATTAAGTGGCAAAAAAAAAAAAAAATGTTTACATGCAAAACCACATAAAATTAAGGAGGAAAAAACAATTTCATTTCATTTCGACTCAATTTGATTACTTTTTATGAATGATACTGATTATTCGTTAAAATTGAGAATGTTATTTATTTCCAAAAGAACAGCTATTTTAAAAATAATGCTTCATAAACTCCACATAAGACGAATTAAAGGAAGAAAAATTTATCTTCATTTTATTTAAATCAAATATTTTACTCCATAATTTGAAAACAGTATTTCATGTAGAACGTTGACATTTTGTATAATTTATCCTTAAAAACTTTTTTTAAAAGAACGTGCATTTATTCAATTTAAAATGGGGATTGAAAATGTTACATCGACATACCTCTTTACACTGTGAGACAAAAGAACATGTGAAACATTTTTTAACTTTTTCAACGTTTCTTTATGCTGCATTTTAGCATGGCATTACAGGAAGAAATATGGGTGCTTATGCCAGAATATATTTATGTGTGTATACCTATATATATATATATATATATATAAGCCAATATGAGTATCATATATATAGGGTATTATTCTGCCCTGATTGTGAATGAAATATTCGAGCGTTTTGAGAGATATAAATAGCATGAGACTCATTAAGAATTAAAATTAAATAAAACGGAATAGGGAAGAATGTGGTAAAACATTGATAAAGAAAAACATTTTGACATAATGCCCCACCGTGGAGGTATTATATTGATCTCCTGAAAATTGTAAAAAAGAACATTCTTTTACACAAACTTAAATAGGGGATTTGCATTTAACTTTCATAAGTACTTCCGAGTAAATTATACCTTTTTAGTGATACATAATTTATTTTGAGGGTAATGCGGAAAAAGGAATAAAATAAGGATGCATAGATGTATGTATATATATATTAATTAACGAGTAATTTTCAAATACTGTGTCATGAACTATTACAAAGGCGTACCTATAAGGAGTGTTTTATATCTTTCTACATTGTTGATTTTTTGATGTACTTTGAATTTAGGTGTTTTTTAAGTTTTATGTTTAGTTGCACGAGAATTATTTGATTCCGCAAATGTCATTATGCAACTTTACAAACGCACTACGGAAAATGTGCTTTAAGACATGACAATTGTCACACACATTTTTAAATATAAAAGAAAAAAAAAAAAAATTTCATTAGCGTTATTCTGTTCGAAAAAGGTACACAAAGATGAACACTTTAAAAAAGAAAAAAGGGAACAAAAGGCTCAAGATTTTTTTTTTTTTTTTTAAATAGTGTACATTACAAAAGTAAAAAATTGCATTTAGAGAAAGTTGAAATTTTTATTTTATTATTTTCTTTAAGGTTTGAAATGTTTACAAATTATGAGAAGTTCATGAATCATTTTTTCAGCAAATGTACACAAAATGAAACAGAAGATCATGCAATTTGTTTTACAACTATAAGGGATTAAATTAGCAATGATAAAATATTAGGTAAAAAGTAATGGAATCATGCAACAACATTAAATTTTAAAATAATGAAATTAGAAGATCATTAAAAATAATATTAATATTACCTTTTTGCAGAATTTGTCACAAATTTAAATTTCACATTAGCAACAAATAAAGGTGAACAATTTAGTTAACAATTTGGAATATATATACCATGAAAAGGAACATTTATATGAGTGTATATTAATGTATAGTAAAAACGCCTAAAGATGAGAGAAAAAAAAAAAAAAAAAAACGTAAAAGAAATTGTGAAAGATTATGATATATTACATTACATAATGTGTTGCCATAATAATGACTTAAAATATATTAAGAATCGCGATTAGATGGAGTATTATTTAATTTTACAATCACATCTGTCCTAGTGTGTAAGGTTATTACTATTCATTAATCTAAGGTAGTACTCTCAGGAATGAACAATAGAATTTATAAAAATATATTTGAAAAGGGAAAAGGTTAACTGTGTAATATATTTATATATGTATGTAGATATATGTCAAGCTATGAGAAAGGCTAAATTCTTACAATTTTAAAAAGTTACAACAATGTTGTTATTTATTTATTTATTAGTTTTTTCGTTTGCACAAATATAATGTTATAATTATTTTAGCTTTCAAAAATGGTTGTCATTATCAACGCTACACCTACTAACTAAAGCCATTTTTTTTACGAGCTGCAACTTCTTTTTTTTTTAAAATTAACTTGTGCATCTTTATTAGGGTACATTTAAGTAACACACCACATACCTAAAAATTCAGTGTAAACAACATTTTTGAAAGATCAGCTAACAAACGTAAAATTGATTATATTCGAGCTAAAGGTTTTTTTTTTTTTTTTTTAAATCTATTCAATATGGCTATATTTTCAGTTTAATTTCCCTTATTAATTTACTTACATTTTATTCTAAAATATATATTTATATAAATATTTGTGTGCATGAGTATATTTTTAGGAAAAAAGCCTGACATCATATATTTTAATTTGGTAAAAAAAGGGGGGGGGGGGTAGGAAATCTTATTTTTGATGGTTCAAGATAGAACAGATATGTAGAATATTGTTTCTTTTTTGTTGTTTTAACACATCGCACATTTGCGATTCTAGATAAGCACTATCTTTTTTCTATACTTTTAAATTGTGAATCATTTTGTTTTTTTTGTTATATTTACAATTCATCATTTCTTGATTTACTTTTACTTGAGGTATTAGAACAATGTTCGCTTTGTTCTTATTTAGGTGAATGTAAATGCTCCGAATCTATACAATCAACGTGTTTTTTTGTGCAAAAAAAAAAAAAAAAAAAAAAAAAAATTAGAAAGTATGGCAATTTGACCTTATTTATTTTATATAATTTTTGCTGCTCTTTGAATAGTTTTTTCTAACTCGCATTAATTTTATATTTTACTGTTATTGTGCAACACACATTGTTTTCTGTCCCACAAGAACAAACAAAAACAGAAAAAAATGGAAGAGTGAAAGTATATATAAACATATATATTGCAGGACAAGCGATTAAATAAAATAGAATTGTACAATTTTATCAGTAAAAGGATGCATTAATTTTAAAGTTTAAAAACACAAAAAAGGAAAAAAACGCTGGAACCATTTGATCAATTTAAACATGAAAAATGTTATTTATTTAGTAGAACTCCTTTACCTATTGAACTTTTTAGGTAACACACACGAACATGAATATATGTTTGACAATAAAAAAATCTTTAATATTTCAGTTATTTACAATTACTATGCTTTTTTCCACATCCTTATAATTTAATTTTTTTTTTTTTATATATGCCCATTTTTGACTTTAAATTTAGGCTCAAGTCACGGGGAAAATGCACAAGGAAACACACAAAAAAAAAAGCCGGAGAAATTATGTTTTTTTGCACTAAATTCAAATTTAAAGGAAAATAAAAAAGTGAAATATAATAGAGAGAAAAAAAAAAGTTTGGAAATTTTGAACTTTTTTAATGAAAAATGCTATGTAAAAAAAACAAATAACGCAAATGAGGAAGATGTTGATGCAGAACATTCATCACATAATCCATCGTTTATTAGCCTAAATGATAATGCTAATGGAAAAAGTTTATCATACCAGGTTTATATAAAAGAAAGCGCACCACATAATTCTATGAGAAATAATGGGAAAAAGGGAAAGGAAAATGAGAAAAATCATAATGCTGTAAAACACACTATGCAATATCAAAGTAAGGAGGGAAAATCTTTAGAGAATATCACAAGTTCCATGGATGATTTAAAAGGGAAATTAGAAAATGATAATGAATATAACCCAGTTTTATATATGGAGGTTGATTATACCGAATTACAATATTTTAAGAATGTTATAGATTTTATTCCACGCAACACGCCATACTATATATTATATGAAAAAGAGCTTAGTAATCATATTACAGAATATTCAGATAAATTATTAAAGTTAATAAAATCATGTATGTCTGAAAAAGAAAAATTGATAGTAGTGGAACATGAGATTGAATATGCTAAGAAGTCTACAGAAAAAGAGACACTAAGCCAAAAGGAAAGAGAACGTGATGTTATATACAAGGAATATAATAAACACATAGATTTATATAAAAAAGATATAAAACCTAAAGTAGCTGAAATGAAAAATAAAGCATTGACGAAACTGAATGATTCCTATTGTAAAGATGATTGTGCGAATTATGCAGATAAGTACAATACGCTCCGTAAGAATTTTATAATAGAAACTAAAGATTATATATATGAAACGTATATATATATTTCAAAAGTTATTAATGATTTTTCAGTTTTGAATAATATATTATTTCTTTCTAACGAAGTCAATATAGATATACATGAAAAAATTAAGAAATTGGAATTGTTAGCAGATGAAATGGACGAACTTTCACATTTATATTCCATCAACACTGCCCTTATAAATGGTGCAGTTAGCAATTTAGAATCTATAAAGGAAAGTAAATCCTCGGAAATAGATATCAAAAACTTTGCAGAAAATTATAAATTACTATCCAATAAGTATTGTGTATTTAAATACATAAAGGGATTCAATAATCCAATTAAATATACTTATGAAGAAAAAATAATTAAATTTAATGAACTTTTTTCTAGTGTTATAGAAATATTCGAAAAAAAGGCAGATGAATTATTTGATAAAACATTTGATGATAAGGCGTGCAGTGAAATTAAAGAAGATTCAGGACAAATAAGAGAATATTCTGTGAAACTATGTGAAAAAAATAAAAAGCTCCTTGATGAAATTAAGGATGATGAAGACAAAAGGGTAACTGTAAAAATAAGGGAACTTCAGGATATAATAAACGATATGGAAATAAAGAAAAATGATATAGTAAATAATTCTGATTTTATATTTGATAGACATAAGAGCATATATGAAACCACAAGAAAAACTTTTGATGAAAAATTATTTAATATAAAGACTCTACCAAACGATGCATTAAAAGCAACTTTTTATTTAGAACAAATAAAAAATATAAAAAATGAGGAAAAAAACATAGAGGAGCGCTTAAAATCAGTAAAAAATTTTTATGAAAGTATAAAAACAGCAAAAAGCAAATTGGATGAGCTGAACATAAGGTTTGAAAACATACTCAAAGAAATAAGTCAATCAAAGGAATTGGAATCTACCCGTAGGAAAAATATAGAAGAGTTTAAAGAAATACTAGATAAAATGGTTAAAAAAGTACATTATCTAAAGGAAGTTCTATCCTTAAAAAGGAAGTTAAACGTACATTTAACAGACATGAATGAATTACTCAACACAGTATCTTATAACAATATGGAAGAACTTAATGCTAAAAAGGATAAGATAAACAATGATGTAAATGCACTATATAATTTTGTGCACACAGAAAACTTAAATGATATTATTAAGACAACTGAGATTTTTATAAACGAAAAGAAAGAAATTTCTCTGCAACCCCTGGATGCACAAGAAGTGGAAAGAAGGCTAAAGGAAATAAAAGAAACTTTTGCTAAGTTAGATTTTGTCAGTGATGACAAATTAACAGATGTATACAACCAAATGAGTAAAGAATTAGATAATTCTGAAAAGATAAAAAAAGAAATAATAGAAAAACAAACTGAAAACGTTAATAAGAAAATGAGCGAACTTTATGATAGTTTTACTAGGGGATTCAATACATTGCAAAAAAGTATGGAGCAATATAATCAAGAAGAAGCTTCTATAAAAACATATAAAGAAAATATAACTAAAAGAGAAGAAGAATATTTTAGTAATGAAAATATATTTGAATCAAATGAAGCAAAAAGTAATGAAGAGTTGAACAAACATAAACTGAATTTTTCTAAACAGAAAGATGAAATATCTGGTTCTATTAGTAATATTAAAAAAATTATAAATCAAATTGAAAGTCAATTGAACTATTATGATGTTATTCAGAAATATTTCAATATAAATAGCAATCAAAATGAAGTTCAAAAAGTTAAATCCATGAAAGAAAAAATTATGAATGAAAATATGAAAAACAAAATAGATCAATATGAAAGTAACTTCAATGATAAGACTAATGCAATGGAAAGCATAATAACAAATATTCAAACGTTAAAAAAAAAAATAGATTCATTTAAACTTTTAAATAGTAGTATAAACAGTTGTAACGAATGTGCTATAGACATTGTACATTTAAGGAGTAAAATAAAAATGTTACGAGAACAGGTACAAAAGGAGATTAGTGAAACGGGAAGCGATATAATTGTAGGAGAAAATACGACTACATTACTTTTAAAAAATTTGAACACTCAAATGATAAATGTAGAGGAAAAATTGAATGATAATAAGTTAAATGATTTAGAAAATAAAAAAACGGATCTGCTGAAGTTTTATTCAGAATCGAAAAGTCAAATTCATTTAAGTACGGATGAAAAGGTGCTACCAGATTCGCTCAACAGAATAGATGAATGGAAAGAAATTAGAAAAGAAATAAATGAACTAAATATCACATATGAAAGTCTCAACAAAAGTAATGTTACCCTATTTAAAAATAATTCAATTACTTATATAGAGTCAATACACAACAGTATAAATAATATAGCTCATAAAATAACGAGCAACAAGAATGATATTTTAAAATCAATAAAAGAAATAGAAGATAAAATAAACACCATTGAAAATAATGAAGATTATAAAAAGGTTAAAAATTTAGAAAATGAGAAAAATATAGGAGTTATAAAAAATTCCATTAGTAGTATCAAAGAAATTGTCAGCAAATACATAAGTGAAATGACACAATTGATGAGTACATCAAATAGTTTAGAAAACAGTGTTAAGAAAAAAGATAATGACATTGAATATTTAAATAACACAAAGAGTCAAATGAGGGATATTTATGAAAAAATAAAAAAAATATCTGAAGAATTAAATGAAAAAACAGAGAAAGTATTGGAGGAGACAAGGGGAAAGGTAAACCATACGGAATTAGAATATGAGAAGAGTGTTATTGCGAACATTGCAGAGCACATTGCTGAAGAAAAAAACAAAGCTCAAAAGATTATAGAAGAAATGAATTCTGTAAAAACTAAAATTGAGGCTATAATAAATAAAACTAGTGACAAGACACAAAATGAATTAATCATAACAAACATTAAAAAACATATAGAGAATGCAAAACAGCATGAGGATCTAATAAAAAAAATTGAACAAAAATCGATTCAATTAAGGGAAAAGGCGAATGGTGTGACAGTATTTGATGTGAAAAGTATAACGCAAGAGATTAAATTAAATATACAAAATGCCATAAAAGGCAATGTTGATATAAATAAGGAGCTAAATGAAATTAAAGGAATTAGAGAATTATTAATTTCAACTAGTTATAATAGTATTTTAGAATATTTAAAAAAAAATTCTGATGAATCTATTCGTTTTAATCGGCTGATAAATGAGGAATTTACAAAAGTTGAAAATCATGAAAAAAATGCAAAAAAGGTACTTGAGGAAGCGGATGTATTAAAGGAACAAATTACCAAAGATTTATATTACAGTGCCATAGATGATAAGGTAAGAGGAATTGAGGAAAAAGTAAGGGAAATAATAAAAATAAAAGAAAATGCATATAAGTTTTTAGAAGATTCAGAAAAATATCTAAAAATGTGTTCTTCACACCTTGAAAATACAAAAGAAGGAAAGAAGAAAATTGAGTATTTAAAAAACAGTACAGGTAAAGAAAATACGAAAATATCTGAAAATCAAATGAAAGAAGCAGATGATTACTCTAATAAAACTGAAAACGCTTTAAAGGAATCTCATGAACAAGTAGACAAAGCTAAGGGTATCTATCAGTCTCTTTTGGAGCATGTAACTAGAATAGAAAACGTTTTAAATGAATCGCTAATAAAAGAACTGAAAGTAAAGTGTGAAAAAAAAAATGATGAAGCGCAACAAATATTCATTCAAATTAAAACTGTAGATGGAAAAATTAAGGAGAACTTTGGTGAAAGTGAAAAAAAAGTAAATGAATTGAAAGAAAAAACTAAAATTGAGAAAAGGGAATTTCAACAGCTTAATGATTTATCCTTGAATTCGTCATTAGAAATAGATAATTGCAGACAGCAACTTGATAACATTTTATCAAATATTGAAGGTGTAAAAAAGAACACACTTCACTCTTTTGATATATCTGACAAATCAATGAAATCAGTTTTATCTATTAGTGAATTAAATGCCGAAAAGTCCTTGGATAAGTTAAAAGAGGTTAAAGAGAATTATGATAAAAATTTGGAAATAGTTCAAAATGAAATTAATCAGATGCATAATGAAGAAGGAAAGATGGCTGAAATAAGTAAGAAAATAAACGATATAGAAAATGACTTACTAAAACATAAAAAAGCATATGAGGAAGGGTTGTTGCAAAAAATTAAGGAAAATGCTGACAGCAGAAAGAGAAAATTTGATTTAATAAGAAATGAAATAAATTCCCTAGTTGATCCAACTACATCTATTTTTATTAAATTAAAAATAGAAGAATACGATATGACCAACGCTTTAAATAATACTGGAATTACAATGAATGGTATTCATGGAGAATTTACTAAATCTTATAATTTAATAGAAACATATTTATCTGAAATTACCGATTTTTCTGTAACATTTGATAAGGCCAAAACGTTAAGGGAAAAAGCAGAAACAGAAGATAAAAATCTTAGAAAAAAGGAGGAGGAAGCAATAGAACTATTGAATCATATTAAAAAAACGGAATCATTAAATCTATTAAATGAAATGATAAAAAAATTGAAATATGAAGATGAAAACATGACAAAAGATCATGAGACTGCTACTCAGCATATTGAGGATATTAAGACAATTATAAATGAACTGAAAACCTTGAATGATATAAATAGAGGTTCAAGTATATTAAACGAGGCTGTAAATATAGCTAAAAAAATTAAAGATTCTAAGCATGAGGATTATAAAAGAAAGGCGAAAAATATGCATGAACAAATGATAACTTTGACAAATCATTTTTTAAGCGATGAGATTAAGATGACATCAGGGATAGAATTTAATATGAAAATAAATTTTAATTACAAAGCTGAATTTGAATCAGATATAATTTCTATAGTGAAAGATTCGAATGAAATTTTAAGAAAAATAGAACAAGCTTCAAATGATATAATGAAAAAACAGAGAGAAAGTGAAAATCTTGTTATGAATGCAACTGACATTTATAAATCAATAAAACTAAAAAATGAATTTAATGAAAGGTTTCGAGAAACGAAGAATAATGAAATGGTTGTTTCACAAAAGATAAGGAGTACCCTAAGTAGATTAAATAAAATTGAAGAAATAAAATGTCATTATGAAAGTTTTGATAAATTATTAGATAATACAGAGGAATTTCAAAAATTAAAAAAAAATGTAGCTATTTATCAGGATAAAAAGAGTAACCTGCCAAAGGAATCACTATTACAAAATTTGGAAAAGGAAATGAACAGATATATTAGTTCTATAAAAGAATTAAAAGAAAAAGTAGTATTAACTAAGGAATCTAAAGAAGATATTTCAAAACTAGAAATATTCAATTCTGAAATTGAAAATATTAGTAAAGAAATAAATGTGATAGACTCAAAGATTATGGAAATGAATCCAATCATTGATGAATTATACCAATTTGGAAAGCATTGTCAATCCCATTGGATTTCATTAATAAGCTACACAATGAATAATAAAGCAGTAAAAAAATTAATGATGATTAATAAACAAAAGAAAAACACTGAACATTGTTTGGACTACATTAAAAAGAATTCCCAATACACAGAACATTATGTCTCAGAGTTAAAAGAATTCCATGGTAATAAACTTACTTTTACAGAGACATCCAAGAATGTTGAAAATGCAGATAATTGTGCAACAAATTTTGCTAAACATACAAAAGATGCACTAAAATTAATAAATGATTTAAAAAATGAATTATATAATTTTAGCCCCAATAGCGATATTAATGTTGTAGAGGAAAGTGTGAAAAATGTAATAACACTTTATGATAAATTGAAGGAGGAAAAATTTGAAATAGATGATCTTTACAGAAATATGGTTGATACTAAATTAAAAGAAATAGAACGTAATGGTGATGTGTTTAACCCGGTATTAGAACTACATAAGAGTATGGCTAATGCTAAAAAGAAGTATTTAATGGAAAGAGAAAAACAGCTAAACGATCTTTATAGTAAACTACAGGATAATGAAGCTGACTTGATAAAAAATTATCTTAAATACACACCCGAAAGCGTAGAAAGTGTTAACAAAGTATATGCTGCTATTGAATCTGAAATGAAAATTTTGGAAGTAGATGACCTTGAGAATACGGATGATTACAAAAATGTAGAAGAATACAAGAAGCAAATTTCCTTTTTAATCAGTAGAACAGATGTCCTAATGAACGATATCGAAATGCTGAGGAAAGAAAATAATTATAATTTAATGGACGTAGATACAGAAACGATACTTAAAGTAACCAATTATATAGAAACGATTACAAATAAATTAAAAGGTTCAAAAATGGAATATGAAAAGGTATTGGAAATTATAAAAGAAAACGAGGTTATATTACCAACGATTAATCTTAAGAAGGTGAATATTAACAAACTTTTTGAAAATATACAGGAAAAAAAAAAAAACATATTAAATGATTTGTATGAGCAGGAGAGATTACTCAAAATACAGGAAAAATTACAGCAGATCAAACAAAATGTAACACAAACAATGAATAATTATGAAATAGCTGAAAAAACAGAAATGGTTTCTAAAAGTTTTGAAGAGAAAAAAGGTAAAATACAAGAATACAATTCTATTTATAAAATAGAAAGAGAAATCAGTGAAATAAAAAGGGATATTAAGCAAACGAAAGATGATGTTTTAATTCTTAACGGTGTTTTAGGAGACATTAATTTGAAAAGGGAAGAAATGAATTCGTTTTTTAAGCAGATGTCACAATATAGTAATTCCAATGTATACAAATCTGCAAAAGAGCATATTCATGAGGCGGATGAAATAATTGGTCAATTAGAGGGCAAAATTCATGGAATGAATAAATTAATAAATGATTGTGAAGGTATATTAACAGAATTGAATAATAGAAAAAACGATATAGAAAAAGAAAAGAATGCTAGGACTTTGAGAGTTAATGAAAGTTACAGAGAACAAGAGGAAGCAGAAAGAGTTCATCAACAGGAAATGAACATGAATAATGTTGAAGAACAGAGAGAAATAGTTCACCATCCAGAACACACAACCGAAGAAAGGAAAGAAGAAGCTGAATCGGAATCTTTTGAAAAGGAAGGATTCACAAATGATGGAACTGAAGAACATACTAGTTTAAAAGAAGCATCAGAAGAGGGGAAAATTACGCTACCCACTGAACAAACATCCTCGAGTGTTAGTGAGATTTTCGAACATGATGTTGATAGTAATAGTAATAAATATAATATGTCTACAACTGAAACATCAAAGGATAGTGATGAGGGTAAGTCACATTCAAGAGATAGAAAAGAAAATATGAATGAAAATATTAATTTTATTAAAGTCAAATATGCATGTGCATTTATTTTAATGTGTGTGAGTGTTGCTATAGGAAATTTTATAGCAAATAAAAAAGATGATGAATCAGATGATACTGATATTGAAGGAAACAATGAAATACTTGAATTTAGAAAGAGTTTCAAACCAGAAAATAAGGAAGAAATCATTGATATATCTTTTTCTGATTATAATCATTAAGAATAGTAGAATAAATTTTTGTACACAAATTCTGTATTTTTTCTAAAGGATTTTTACGTAGTTATATTTTTATTCATATATGTATATATATGTGAGCGCGCAGGTGTTCATACATGCTTATACATGAATATATGCAATACTTTTCCTTGTTTTTTCTTTTTTATTTGTGATATATTTTAAGTATTTATTAAAAACAATATGTGGAATTTTTTTTTTTTTTTTTTTCCACGTAATAATGTAGAACGAATATACTTTTATATAAGATCCGTTCACATCCCAAAAAAAAAAAAAAAAACTGTATATCATTATTTCAATACCTTATTTGTCTTCACATAACAATATCTTTTGTTCTTGAAAGGGTTAACCAAAAGTTTTAGGAAAAACGTGTAGGTAAATATTCAGTTTTTCATATTTCTTTAGTGTGGACGTGCATAACTCGGAAAAATGTTAGAGAAAAAAGAATAAAAAGAAGTATAAAATAAAATAAAGAGGGTATGATAAATGTTGTAATAAACTTACGTAGTATGATCAAATGTGTGTTACCGTTAATTTTTATTAAAATTTGGAGAATCATGTAAGAAACTAAATTAATATATAATAAGTATAGTGTAATTTTGCCGAATAATTTGCGTCAGCTCCTTTTTATCCCCATATCAAGCCAATTATAGTTAATATACCACTGCTGAAGCTGGAAAAGGAAAATAAAAAATAGAAAGAGAACAAAATGGGAAAAAAAAAAAAAAAAAAAAAAAGCAAATTATATTTATAATAATAAGCATTAAAATTTCATTACCACGCATCCGCGAAGCATAACTCTTATATATATATATATATGTAACGCGTTATATTTTTGTATTGAGAATTAAGAAAATTTTATTAATTTATACGCTTGGTTAAAATTTATAAATGGGAATGCTAGTTAATATGTGTATTTAAGTGTGTAACAATCACTGAGCAAAATTATAGAAAAAAAAAAAAAAAAAAAAAAAAGTAAAAATTGTTATAAATATAAAAATTATATAACCTATTATTTAATTCATTATAGTAAGAACAATTTTATAAATGTGCGTTATAGAAAATTTTTGTAATATATACTTTTATTTTTACTTGGCATTGTGTAAAGGTGTTTGAAACTAGATTTAAAATGTTTGTAAAAAGAAGAGGAGGCTGTTGATTTTTGCGCACTTAGGCTATTGTTTCTAGCTGGAAAAGTTGAATAAGGAAAGTTACACTATAAGGAGAAAAGCACAAATATAAATGAAATCAGGTATTTATAAACATATGTAAATAATTATACATATATAAAGAGCCTACTGGTTAAGCACTGTGCAATTAATTTTCAATGAAAATTGCAACCTTATCTAAACTGTGTAAAATTTGATTAACTCTATCTTCTTGGCGTAAAATTGGGGCTATAATTAGGCTTTTTCTAATTAAGTAATAAGCTCAAGGAATTTTTTTTTAATTTTGTCATATAGTGTAGATTACTATCATTATTTTTCTTATGTAAAAATTGTATTGTTTAGATTGATTCACGAAATATATATTGAATTAGGACTTGTGCTTAATTTTTTGTTCAGAAAAAATCGTTTTAAAAATGTGCAAACAGGCAAAATCGAGTAATTCTTACTTAAGTGGTGCTTAGGCCAAATACTTGTTTATATTTTGCATCGAAAATAATAATACATGAATATAGTTACTAAGCCAGCGTTTTGCTTTTATTTTTATTTTCCTTTCTTGTGTGACTATGTATACACTTGTGAATAATATGTATGCCATACATCTATGATTTTCAAAAAAAAAAAAAAAAAAATAGAATAGAATAAAACAATATAAAATTCCTTTTTTAGGAATTGCATTAGAATTAAATGTATAAAGGAATTTACTATTATTTTTGACACACTGTATGGCTCATTCTAAAACTTATAATAAAGGCATGCTTTTATGACACAATTTTGATCTTCATGTAATAGGCACAACGTTTTTTTTTTTTTTGTATAAACATTTAGTAAGACTCCTATGTTTTTTTTCTATTTTTTATCCTTTTAAATATCCTTCCTGAAAAAAAAAAAAAAAAAAGAATAAAGGGGAAAACTACATTTTGAGATAAAAATGTTACAAAAAATGAAAACGTGTAAAACATATTCAACGAATAAATTTTTATAATGAATTAATACCCATATAATTTATAAGAAAACATAATGTATTGCTTTAATTTTGTAAAAAAGGGATTCAGAATAGGATTCATTGTTTCTTTTTAAAATATGAAGAAAGGATTTTATTGGACAACGTTTTTTGGCCTAATGTTTGCATCTTTTGGTAATAGCAATATGAAAACAAGTGTGTGGTGTACCTTGAACATTCATAATTGTTCTTCGTATACTCTCTTCGTTTAAAATTTTTTTTTTTTCTTTCAATATAATATACATGTTAATTTTTCTTTCACATGTAGATATAAATAAAGGGGAAAATGTTTTACACAATATAAGGAAACATTACGACAATTTCAGCTTTTTCACATTTTATGAGGACTTAAAGAAAAACAAAATTTTCAAGAACAAGGGTGTTAAAAAGAAGAAATTTAAAAGTGTAGAAATAGACAATGCACATGAATTTGATAAAGAATTTAATAAAACAAATAATGAAGATGGAACAGGACAAAATGAATCTTACAACTCTTCATTTATAAGCTTAGGTAGCACTTACCCGAAAAATGATCAACCTTATGATAAGGATGTAGGTAAGGTTATTTTAGAATCTCCCCATGGAACAAATGATATTGTTAAAAGTTCCCATAGTTTAGAGAACACTGGAAATTTTAATGTCCCAAATGAAAAATTGGGATCCTTATATAAAATCGTTTTAGAAGATTATATTAATAATCTGAAAGATTCGGACACCATTTTCTTAATGGAGTTTGATTATGTAGATTTACAATCAATAAAAGAAATTAGGTATCTCATTCCAGAGGGTAAAGAATATTATAACTATTACAATGACGAACTTGAAAAAAAAATTAACGAGAATTCAAATAAATTAGACGAATTGATTAAAAATAGTATTAAAGCAAAAAATGAAATGATAAAAATAGATGCTGTAGTGAAATTTCGTAAAAATTCATCTTCAGGAATAAATATAGAAGATGAAGATGTAAAAAAATTAAAATTAGCAAAGGAGACCCTTGAAAAGTATGTGAATGAGTATACTAATAAAATTAAACCTGTGGTACATGATATTAGAAATAAAGCATACGAGTATTTGAAAAAATCAAATTGTACACACCATTGTAATGCTTATATTTTAAACTATGCTCGTCTTCTAAATAAATATATAAAAAATATTGCAACTATTAAGGACGAGTCAGTTATTACTATTGATAAAAGTATTAATGATTATAATACTTTGGATAAAATATTAGAACACGCTAAAAAAGATAATATAGATATAAACGATACTATATATCTTTTGAAGATATTAGGAGAAGAAGTAAAAGACCTTCAGAATATGTATGTTATTAACAGATCATTAATTAATGATGCAAGTAGTATATTATCTGACATACATGCAAATGGTCGATTGTTTAATACGAAGGAGGGAAAAATTTTAAATAGCTCAAAAGAATTAATTAATAACTATTGTGTGTTCCATCATATTATGATTTTGAATATTCCAATTAAGAAAATGTATGAAGAGAAAATAAAAGAATCTAATGATTTATTTTCTAAAATTATAGATAAATTAAAAGAAGAAGCTTATTCATTAATTAATATTATATTTGTTGACACAGAAAGTGTTAATATTCTTAAATCATCAGAAAAAATTGTTGAATATGCAGAAAAAATATTTCAGGAAAACAAGAAGAAAGTCGAGTTTTTTAAAAGGTATCCAAATATAAAGACACACCCTAAAATGGAAGATATTGAGAATGAATACAAAGAAGAAGCGGAAACCAAAGAAGAAATATTAAGAGCATTTGAATTAATCTCTAATAAATGCGAGAGTTTGTATCATATAAGAAGAAATAGACATTTAAATAAGGTAAATGAAATAACAAAATATGAAAATAGCACAACAAAGGCACTTTTACTTTTAGATGAAATATCTAATGTTAATGAAGAAAGAAATGTAATAAAACAGGGTGCTATAACATTAAATAATATGCATGAGAACATGTTAAATTTAAAAAATAAAATTAATGAAATAGAAATAAAGGTGGATAATGTTGATGAGGTCAACAAATTAAAGGAAAAGGAAGAAAAACTTGCACAATACGAAAAAGAAATTAAAGAAAAGATAAAAGACATGACTAACAAAATACGCAAGTTAAAAGAAATCATTGTTTTAAGAGATAAGGGAAATCAAGATATTGCAACAATTAATGAATTAATTAATATAGAATCATACAGCAATCTACATGAATTTATAAATAAAAAGGATAAAGCGAATGATGAGATTAATTCCATATTTAAAGATTTATATAATGGGGATATGTATGACCTTATTGAAACCATTGGTACAATTGTTCGTGAAAAGCGTAAAATAATAGATGAAACATTTAATATTAATCAAATGGACCAAGTTGAAAAACATATCGATGAATTAAGATCTGCTTATACCAAATTAGATACTATTACCAACGAAAAATTGATAAATACCTATGATAAATTAAGGAATGAAACAAATAATACAGAATATCTTAAAAGTTATATTGCAAAGAAGCAAAGCGAAGACCTGAATAATAAAATGACAGAATCTTTAGACATATATAAAAGTGAATATGATGAATTAAAAAAAAATATAGTAGAATACGAAAAAGAAGAAAAAATATTAGAACAGTGTAAGGAAAACACCTTAAAAAAGGAAGAAGAATATTTCAGTGAGTTGAGAGTATCTAATGATGCTCTGAAAGAAACATACAGTTGTTCAGGTTTCGACAAAATAAAAAATACTTTTTCGAAGAGTAAATATGAGTTATCCCAAAAAATGGATCACATTAAGAATGTGAAAAAGAATATGGATAAATATTTAAAATTTTACAATCATATGGAAAATTATTTCCATTTACTTGATGATAGTAATTATACTCAAGGAATTAAAACATTAAAAGGTAATATTCAACGTGAACTAACAAATAAGCAATTAAGTATGTATGAGAACATATACCAAAGCAAGACTGAGAAAATACAAAAAATTATACAAATAATCGAAAGTTTAAACAAAATTATAGATTCTCATAACCGTTTAAACAAGGGCATACATGAATGTAAAGGTATTAATGTATCAATTGACACTTTAAAAATTAAAACAGCCGTTTTAAAGGACGAATTGCAAAAAGCAATTAGTTCAATTGAAAAGGATGTTTTAGTAAGTGAGAATGTAAAAAAAATATTATTAAATAGGTTAAAATCTGAAGTAAGTAATATAAATGGTAAATTAGATGAAAATAACATGGGTGTTGTAGTAAAAAAAGCAACGGATTTAATAAAAATTTACACCGATTCAAAACGTTATCTACATGAAAAGAGAGAAGAATATCATTTACAAGATTCGTCAGAAAAGGTAAATGATTGGGGTGAAATTAAAAGGGAAGTAGATCAATTAAATGCTCATTACAGTGCATTTAACGATAATAAGGATAACTTATTTATAAGCAATTCTCTTACATACTTAGAGTCAATTTACAGTATTGTGAGAGAACTGATAAATAACATAAGGGAAGAGAAAAACAAAATTGAAAGTTCTGTAAAAGGAATAGAACAAAAATTGCAAGCTATAGAACTGAACGAATATTATAAAAGTGTTAAAATTGCAGAAAATGAAAGTACAATAAAAAATATGAAAGAAGACATTATTCCAAAACTTGAGGAAAAAATTCGTTACTATAGCAACCAATTGACCACATACGATAAACAATCGGATAATTTAAATAATATAGACAAAAATCAAGGGAGTGATCTTACTCACATTCTTGATATAATAAAACAGATGGAGGATGTTTACAAGGAATTAATAAAAATACCTAGTGAGTTACAAAAAGAGAGGGATGATATAAATAACATAGATGAAAATATAAAGAAGGTTCAATTAGAATACGAGAGAAAATTAATTGACGAATTTTTGAAAAATATCACTCAGACAAGAAATGAAGCTCAAGATAAAACACAACAAATTATTGCGCTGATTAATAAAATTGAAGAAATAAAAAAAGAAACTGTAGATACTAAGGATAGAGCACTAGCAACTTCGAATTGTGAAAAACATCTTGGAGATGCTAAAAAATTGGATGAAGAAATAAAACACATCGAAGAGTTATCCAAGAAGTTAAAAGGTGATACTAATGTTTTGAACTCCTTGAACGAAGTTGTAAAAATTAGAGAAGACGTTTATTTAAATATGGAAAAGGTTATAAACCATTACAATCATATAAAGGGGACTATGAATGAAATTAATGAAATAAACGAACTATTATTATCAGAGAATTATAACAGCATTATTAACTTTATTGTAAGGAATGTAAATGAATCTAATAAATACAGCGAATTAATAAGAACTGAATTAATAAAATCAGAAGATGCAACTGAGCATGTGAAAGTACGTTTTAGGGAAGCAGAAGCATTAAAAGAGCAAATGAAGACAAATTTAGAGGACAATGATGCAGATAAAATAATCAAAGAAATAAAAGAAATAAGAAAAATAATTTTGAATGAGATAAAAAACACAGGTACATATTTGTTAAATTCTGAAAAATTTAAAACAAGTGGTCTATTACACTTCGATAGTGCGAAAGAAGGAAAAACAAAATTTGATTATCTAAAAGATCATGATAATCCTGAACATAAAAGAATAACACAATATGAAATAAATGAAGTATTAGAAAACATGGTCAAAGTGCAACATAACATAGATGAAGCGGACAAGTATACAAAACAGACAAGGGTGTTGAATGAATCTACTTTGCAGTATGAAAAACTAATCAATGACTTACTAAATGAATCTTTAATTAGAAAAGTAAAATTCAATTGTGAAAAACTAAAAACAGAAATAAACATGGTAATGAATGAAATGAAAAATGCAGACATTAAGAGTCAGGAAGAGTCGAATAATCAAGAACAAATAGTTAAAGAAATGAAAGAACAATCTTTTATTGAGGATAATGAAAATGAAGAACTTAATGAAGGCGCTATGAAAGCATTGTTAAATATAAAAAATTACAGACAACAATTAGACAACATTTTATTAAGTATAAAAAGTGTAAGAAGCAATATGGAGCAAATTTTAAGGAGTTCTAGCACTTCCGTGATAACAACGTTAGCAATTTCTCAACTGAGAAATGAAAATGACTTGGATAATTTAAAAATAGTAGAAGAAAATTATAAAACAGCGTTGAAAAAAGTTAAACATGAAAATCAAATTATGAAAAATGAAGAAAAAAGATTAAACGAACTATATAAGGATGCTATTCGTGTAAAAGAAGAATTAGAAGAACAAAAAAAAAATTACGAAACAGAGTTGTTGAAAATGATAAAAGACAATGCTGATAAGAGAATGGCTACAATAGAGTTAACAAAAAATGAAATAAATTTATTGGTAAACCCTTCTAAATCCATATTTTTTAAATTAAAATTAGAAAAATTAGATATAATGAATTATTTAAATAGCTATACTGTTCGAATGAGGGACATTTACGACGAATGTGTGAAAATATATGGACTAATAAAAAGCTATGAATTTCCAAGTTCGATTCCTTCTACAACATACAGTGAAGCCCAAATTATAAGAATAAAGGCACAAAAAGAAAAAGAGGAACTTATAAAAAAGAAGGAGGAGTTAAAAGAATTATTAAGTTATGTGAAAAAAGAGGAATCCTCAAGGTTATTAAATGAAATGATAAGAATTATGAATAGTAAAAAGGAAGACATTGCCAAAAATTATACAAAAATTAACGAATATGTAGAGAATATTAAAAAAAATATTACTGATTTAAAAGTATTAAATGATATAAATAACGGCTCGAATATATTGAATAATGCAATAAATAATGCTAATGAAATTAAAAGTACAAAATACATGTACCATAAGAAGGAAGCGGAAAATATATATGAAAACATGATCCACGTGGCAAATTATTTTTTAAATGATAAAATTAAAATAGAACCAAAGAAAGGGTTAAATGTAGAAGTAGCTTCATCAGAAGGATCAGACATGGAGTCATATATACTTGGTAAAATAAAGGAAGCAAATGGCATTATAAAAAAAATAGAGGATGACACAGGTTATATAAAAAATAAACAAATAGAAGGGGAAAAGCTTTCAACAGAAGCCAATAACATTTATAGTGTAGCAAAGCTAAAAAATGAATTTAACAACAATAAAAATAAAGCAAAACTTGAGGAAGTATTCGTTTTATCAGAAATAGAGGAAGCATTAAATAAGTTAAAAAATGTGGACAAAGTAAAATGTCATTATGATATTTATGATAACATACTAGAAAATAATGAAGAATACGAGAATTTTAAAAAAATTTCATCTATTTATAATTCTGAGAAGATCAAAATAGTAAAAGAAGACTATATAAATGAAATGAAAACGAATATAAATAATTACAAGGATATGTTAAGAAATTTAGACAAAAAGGTTGAATATTCCAGTGAAAGTAACTCTGAAATTGCCGATCTACAGAAATACAACGTTGAAATTGAAGATATTATTAAAAAATTAATTATCATAGATAATAATGTTAAAGGAATAAATTCCTCACTTGATGAATTGTTAGATTTAGGAAATAGTTGTCAATTTCGTAGGAATTTTATAATTAGTAGTTCTGTGAATATTAAAATATCCAAATATTTGGTAATGATTAGAAAACAGAAAGAAAATATTTCAAAATGTTTAGAATATGTTAAAAACAATTATCAAAATATGATTAATTTCGTTTCTCAATTGAATGAATTTCAGGATGGATTAGTTAATAGTATTAACCTAGAGGATAAAACATCTGATGCAGATAAATGTTATAATGACTTTGTGAAAGAAGAACAAGAAGCAATTAAAACCGTGAACTATATAAAAAAGGAAATATATTCTTTCAACGATAATGTAGATGCAACAATTTTGGAGAATCGTATAAAAAATATTGTAGACTATTACAACAAACTGAAGATCAAAAAAGTGGAAATAGATGATATTTATAAAAACATGAACATGATTAAATTAAATGAAGTTGAAAGAAGTCATGATATTTTTAATCATATAGCTGAATTGTTTAAAAAGGTAGAAGAAATAAAAGGGAAAGAATTGTTAGAGAGAGAAAATAATTTAAAGAGTATTTACAATTTCATAAAATTGAGTGAAACTGATTTGAATAACTTTGATAAGAATTATACACCAGAATCTAGAGAAAAAATAAATAAAATATTCAATAATATTAATTCAAGAATAAAGAGAGTTCATCTCAATGATGATAATGAAAATGAATATAACAATGTGAAAAAGTATGTAAATCAAACTAAGCATTTAATGAATACAACAAATTTCATGGTCAAGGAATTAGAAATGTTACAAAATGAGAATAAAAACGAATTCGTAGAAAATACAAATATTAGAAACGAATTAACTGAACAAACCAATAACATTATGAATAATATAAATTCCTCAAAAGGGACTTATGGAAAAATATTTGATATGATAAAAGATAATGAAACCATCTTAGAAAGAATTATTTTGAAGAAGAAGGACATTAATGATACACTTGATAATTTAAATAAAACAAAAGAAAACTTATTAATGCATTTAACTGAAGGGGAGAAATTGTATCATATGAGAAAAAAATTAGCAGAAGTTAATAATAATACTGATGAAATTATAAAAAAATACAGGACATATGAGGAAATAACAAATAAACTCCTAAGTATGAATGTCAGAAAATTTCAACCAAAGGTTTACAAGTCTGTTACCGATATAGATGAAGAATTAAATTATATAAAAACTTTCAATAATGATTTAATAGACAGCAAATTTAAAATTGAAAAAGTGTTAGAAAATAACAAAAAGAAAAAGGATGAAATGGATATGATACTTAGTACAATTTCTAGAGATAATATGAATATATACGAATATGCAAAAGGTTGCATTGATAGTGTCATTAATGTAGCTAAAAAGTTAGCTGAAACAATTAAAAATATGGATACATTAATAAAAGAAAATGAAGCTACAATGGAAGAACTTAATGCTCATCGAAAGAAGTTACAAAACGATAAGAATATGTCTAATAATTTAGTTAATATAGAAAAAGAAAAAATAGCGCAAGAAAATATGGAAGCAGAAATATTAAGTAAACCGAAAAATATGAGTTTAAAGGATATTCCCATTGTTGACAAAGTTATTGGCAATAAAGAAATACATAATGTAAACTGGGACGAAGTAAAACAAGAAAATGTCATATTGGAGAAGGGGTTTATGAAAAAAAATGTTCACACAAGTGATGTTTCAATAAATAATAAAAAAGTTAAAGAATCCGATAAAATGGTAAATGAAAAATCGACAAAACAAATAAACATCCAGAAAAATGGCCAAGATAATAGCCATTTAAGTAATGACCATAATAACACTGGAATACATACACTGTATATGGTAAAGAGACATAATACATCAGATAATAATTATAATGCTAGTGAAAATGAGAATAATAAAAATGACGAATTAAATAAAGAAGGAAGTTTTTTTTTATTTATCTACACAGGGGTACTGTGTGGTGTTTTGTTCATGTGCATTTGTGTTATCTACTATTTCTTAGACAAAAAAAAAATGTACAATGAACAGATGCGAAAGGGAATCAATAAAGAAAAAAAAATTGTTATGGAAACAAAAATCAATGCATTTGAAGAAAAAAGCGACTTAAAATGTCATTTAAGAGAAGAGGTTATTGATGTATCTTTTGTTGGTCTTGAAGACAGTTTGGAATAAGGGCAGAAATTATTATGGTGACAAAACTCACATGCACTTGAAAAACAGGTCTGAACCAATAAATATACATATCACCATATTATATTCACCTGATTTAAGATTAGCATTAAAATTATGTATAGTAACAAAAGTATTATAATTTTACGAAATTAAGAATTTTTTCAGATAGGTGTAAAACAAATATAATTATGTGCAACGCATTAACAAAAATAGACATCGAGCAAGTTAAAGAAATGTTTTTTAAAATTTTAGAAAAATGAGTTGAATTATAAATAAAATTTTGATATGAAAAGATTGAAAATAATTACATACATATTTCATGTGGAACTCATATGCACATGTGCATATAATCATTACGTTTCCAAACTGTTAATATATAACTGACATTTGTTGGATTAAAAGTTACTCGTGCTTTAGAAAAATAATCAAAAATGAAAAGGATGAATTACGGAGCCCCATTTAGTAGAAGAAATTACTGATATGAGGAAAAACACGTGGTGGAAATTTCAGTATATATTACATTTCATTTGTTAAGTTATTTCATTCTTATGAATTTCTATGTTTTAAATTGTTGTATAAAATTATTATAGTTATTATAGTAATACTGTTACTATAGGTTGATGTGTAAAAACAAAGAATGACTATGTAAAAGAGGGGCTGCTCCCTTAAAGGGAAGATGCAGCTTTTTACAAAATATATAGTATATGCATATATATTAATTGCATATTATTTAAAAAATTTTCGCTTTTATTTAATTATTATTATTTTATTTATTTTATTTTTGAAAATAATTTAACTTTGTTTTTAAAACATTTCTTTACAGAAATATTTATTATTAGAAATAATTATAATTTAAAATATCTTTGAGAATCAGAAAAAAAGAAGGAATATTGTGTACGCTGAAACAAATTAACATTAAGACAATTTTAATAAGGGATTTTTTTGTTTTATTATGTTTTCAAAGAACACAAATATATTAAGTTTAAATTAAAAAAAAACAAACAAACCACAAATTAAACGTGGCTTTAAGCCATTAATTATTAGGATAATAAGGAATTACAAAAAGTTTTAGAGTAAAAGAAAGAAACAAAAAAGCCTTAAATAAGAAGCAATCATTTGGATCACTTTGTTGCAATTTAATGAAAAAAAAACACATATATACACATATATATATAGCAATAATAAAAGAACAGACATGTATAATTTTATGTGACAAACAAATGTTTGCAGCAAAACTGCATCATCTCTCAAGAAAAGGAAATTCTCGATGTTAAAGTAGAAAAATGCTCCTACTATATATTCATTTGCTAGAAAAATAAATGTAATTTTTTGAATACATAAAATAGTAGCAGGATAATACACTTACATGTATTTCCATTATGATTAACGCTAAAAAAAGCAAGAGTATATTATAAAAACTTAATTAACTATACACTATTTTTTTGACCTTCAACATGAAAAATATATGATGAGCATTATAATAGTGTGAATACATTTAAATTTAATTATTCACGTGAATTACATTTTAAGATACAATGGTTTCTCCCTTTTTTGAGGGTTTGGATGACATTAATATTTACTATTTTTTTATTTTATTTTTTTTTTTAATTTATACACCCTCTTACACAAACTACTAAGGGCATCTTTTTATTTGGTTATAAGATTTTATTTGCGCAACGGAAAACAACAAATTTTATTGTGAAATTTTACATATTGAAATGTAAAATAATAAAAATCACTAGCACGGAAATTTTCAATAATATTTTTATTATATTTATATTCCATTATAAAAAATACTTTCAATCTTTTTAGAAGTTTTTTCAAATGTCTGAAAATTCGATATCGCAATCGCAAATATTTGCTTCTGTATAATCTTGATTTTTCAGATAAATCCATAATTCGGCTTATACAATTTTCATCATTGAAATATTGCGAAAAATATACATCCTTTTGAGAATTATCTGTTTTTGAATATTCTTCTCTCATGTGTTTCTCTTTTAGTATAATTTGATTCATCATCCCAAGTAACACTCCATCATCCAATAAATCAACACTATCATATTGATGGTTTTCATCATTAGAATTGGTAAAGAATTCATTTAACTTACGTTTTTTTTTTTCCAGATAAATTGTTTTACAACCATATTTCTTACTTGATGATAATACTGAATTACGCTTACACATTGCATTAACAAGATTATTTTCAGATAACAACATTAAAATTTTAAAAGACATATTGCACGAATCATTATTTTCATTATTCCATGTCCTAAATGTATTATACTATGTTATACAAGGGATATAGATGCAACCATCAGAAAAAAAAGTAAAAGAATGAAAGAAATGTGTCCCATATTTTTAATGCTATTCGTAGTAATTTTAATTAAAAAAAATATATATATAATATAAAATTGGTAACAATTCTAATAAACAAATTTTTATATAATAAATTTATAAATTTACATTACTAAGGTATTCGGATATATAAATAAAAAAGGTTAATATGAAAATTTTCACGATAAGGAGTAGTATGTTAATTCTAGTTTTTCTTGTCCATTCCGTTATACATATGGTTCCAAACCCAGCAGTAAAGGTTTCATTTGATTTATCACATTTTATGTTGCATGTTCTTTTAGTTTTTATGTTATGCTTTTCAATCTTCATTATCCATTTTTTTATAACAACTAGTCATTTTAATATTATTTATCCACTATTATTTTTACGAGTGCGAATTTGAAAGTGGCTTAGTAAAAAAATATACTCGAAAAAAATACCCATATCAAATGCTTCTTAGGTAAAAATTAAAACAAAATTAATTATTATTCTTCGACTGGTATAATGCAATAAGCATTAAATAAAAAGAAATATATAAAAAAAAAAAAATTTTAATACATCAGTAAACATATCCCAATTTTTATTATTAATAATATTTTGGGGGGTTCAATGTAAGGTAACTTTGAACAACCTTGAGGTGAGCAAAACAGAAAAAATAGTAATACAAAACATTATGTAAATAAATAAATGTGATAAAAAAATTCGTTAGGTCAAATAAATATCTTCTTTAGTATGTAGAAATAGATTATTTTTTTATGTTGTACGAAAAAAAAAAAAAAGAAAAACAGTTAATTAAAAGAAATACTTGTAATAAAAACACTTTTTAATAAATGAATTTTTTTGCTATTGTTTTCCTCAGAAAATAATTACATGAATTTTTCTTAGATATATGATGATTTACTTTTGCATAAAATTTTTTTAAATTTAGAAAATTTCGGTTCACATTGAATATTATTATAAAACATTGGTAAAAAGTAATTTCATTCAAGATCATGATGACATAAATCTATATAAGTATTATATTAAATGCAACATATAAAAATTGCTAGATGAATGCACTTGAAAATTTTCATTTATATGTCACATACATGTAAATAGTGATTATACATTTTAATTAAAAAAAATATGCCGACTTCATTACTGTGCTGTCCTTAATAATGTACAATTAAGATAAATATATATATATATATATATAGATATAATTTTACATCAGAGTATATGGGTTGAGAGTTCCTTTTTAAAAGAATTTGTCGAAGTTACAGCTCTTTACTGCTTTTTATAAAGGATAATATTTATTTAAAATACATAACGAATTTAAGGGTATCTGGAAAAATAGAATATAATTCTGGAATAAAATGTTCATAACCTGTGTTTTTTATTTACTCTATACTTTTTGTGGTATAAGGTTAAAAATACAAATAATTTTTTCTAATGTTTTGTTATCACATAATACATTTACAATTTTGAAAAAAATTATAATCTTAGAAGCATAAACTCTTTATAATAAAATAATTGCAATTATTTATTTTTTTAAAGTTTACACAAGTATATATTTTTGAAAAAAACATTAATGTTTTGACACGTATAAAATAACCTTTTATCTCTTCGTGTGAAAGTGCGGGGGGGAAACAATTACTGTTAAAAAATATTGTCTTAGAATTTGTATTGTTAGTAGAATAAAGTTGCTTTTCATCGTTTATCAATAAGTAGTTCTTATGTATTATAATTTAAAGATTCTTTTACCGTACATGTAAGGAACAAAAAAATATCATGGATATAGGGAATTCTTTTTAAACATATATTAATAAAAAAAATAAGACTTTTATTGGAAAAAAGAGTTGCATTAATGGTAGAAATATATATGTTATTTTCGATGCTTCGAAACAGTTGCTTTCACTTTTAATTACATATATATTATTACTGTGTCCTGGGAATTATTTCGAAATAATAGAATGTCCATTTTAAAGTTATCTATATGTTTTTTGTAATGGTTCTTATAATATATGAGCAAATAATGAATTATTCATGTGGCAAAACATAAAAAACATCATATAGAAAAAAATTGAATATAGTTTCCTGCGAGCGTTTTTAATGAATTAAATGGACTATGGATACAAATAGGAAAAAGCGAGATAATGTAAAATAGCTGGGTTGTTTAACTATTTAAATACTGTTTATTGTTTCTATGTTGGATTTTATTTATTAAAACTTTTAATTTATGTTATCTCATGCAATTTCATTTCATCTAATAGAGGTAAGTTGGATGACAGGAATATTTAGCTGTCCAAGAACAAATCATTTATATAGGTTTGCTAATTCCCTCTTTGTAGAAAAAAAAAAAAAAAAAAAAAAGTAGTGAAAGAAAAATATTTTATCATAAGAATTTGCAATCAACATGGGAAAAAACAAATACAATTCTAAAAACTGTAAAACCATAATTAAAAAAATAGCTTTTAATATGTACTAATATTCGGGTTTGGTGATAATTCCCTTTATAAGAATTTGTGAATATATACATATTAAAAAACATCAAAGGAATTTCAAATATGAATATCTTAATGGGAAAAGTATAGCTATTCTTATGAATTAGGGGGAAAGGATTTTAATTTTAAATGTCTATTTTGTTCCCCTTAAGGGCAAATAATAATAGCGATGGAATTTTTATAACGAGTTATTATAGAATTATAAAGATGTGTTTTTTTTAATAAAATTTATGAAGGATGAAAAACAAAGAATATTATAAGTTTAATTTTTGACAACAACAAAAAAAAAAAAAAAAAAAAAAAAAAAATATTGTGATATAAACTATATCGAATAACAATTAGGATTATAAATATAAATAACTAGGTATTTAGGGACAAATAGAAATATATTTTATTAATGATTTGCGCACAAGAATATTATTTTAGTAAATTGTTATTACATATAAATAATAAGGAAACTTCAAAAGGTAGATAAATAAAAATCATTTCCCAATAGTAATGAAAAGACATATCAAACAATCGTAGCTAAAATATATTATACATCTGTACAAAACATGGGATTAAGGGTATCACTCTAAATTAAAACGTTTGGATATAATTTAGAAATATGTGGTTCCTTTTTAGGCACTAGGATTTATATACACTTATATTTTCATATTAAACTCAAATTTGTGTTCTTTTTTTTTTTTTTTTTTTTTTAAATCCTTTATTATATTCAGTCTGTTTGAGATATATGAATGTGTATAAATGTTATAAATTCAAATAGGGGGAAAAAAAAAATTATGTTTTTCAATTTTCGTTTTTGAAAATTTGTTAATTTGCTTACTGTTTTGGATTCAAAAGTTCAGTAGTTGTGTTTTTAATAAAATATACAAAAAAATAACAAAATTATGTTAAGTTTTCTGCGCTATTCACGTTACATTTCTCATGAATCTCCAGTTTCAGTTAATTCCTTTATTTCTTTGACTAACACCATCCATTTATTATCTCTTATCCACTTGTGAACATAGGAATCAACCCAACCGTAAAACAAATTTCGTTTATTATTTTTCCATTTTTTCCACTTTTTCCAATAATGATTTATATAAATGTTATCTTTAAATTCTGCCCATTCATGCCATTGATCAAATTCTTGTTTTGTCCTATTTTTCCAGTCGAGCCATTTATCGTAATCTTTTGATTTTACCTCTTGGGTTTGATTTTTTAAATTATTGAATTTTTTTTCCCATTTTTCCCAATATTCATTTTCTTCAAGTTTCCATTTGCTATTAAACCATTCTTGTAATTTTGCACTTTTCCATTTAACCCATTGATTAGAAACCCACTCATACAAATAGGACTCTTTTGAAGCAATCCAATTATTCAAATCTTTTTGTATAATTTCTCTGCCATCTGTTTTAATCCAAAATTTCCAAGATGATTCATTCCATTTTAAAGATTCTCCTAAAACTTCAATTTTATACTGATCATCTAAATTTTCGCTAAAATGTGTCCATTTATTTTTGATACCTTCGAACCAAGTGTCCCATTCATTTTCACATATTTTTATTAATTCATCTGTTTCATCTTCTAAGTTTTCATCAAAAATTCCCCACTCTTCTTCTAATTTATCTTCCCATTTATTCCATTCATTTTGTCTCCATTCGTCCGTTTTTTGTTCTGGTTCTGGTGAATTTTCTGATGTACCGACTATAAAATTCCTAGTTAGGTTTATGATATCCATAAAAGCCTATGTTCAAAACATATTTAAATAAAAATATAAATACATATTGTTTTTACTAATTCGAAACATTAAAAATATCCATGTAGGTTTGTATATTATTTTTATCTTACTGATGAAAAATCACTACAAAGAAAAGAAGAGGATAATAAAAAAAAGGTAAGGATTATTTTTGAAGTAGTGGCGGGTGAATTGGGATATGACAACATAATGTGCTTCGTATTCTTTATGGTCAAATTTTGAAGAAATTTTTTTTTTTTACATATATAATGTATAATGTTAGGTTCTTTTTTTTATTTTTATGTATTTTAGTAACAACAAGAACCACTTTTCAATATAATAGAATAGGATGTATATTTCAATATAGTAGATTCGATCTATAAAAGTAATGAATATGATATAATTCTGAATTTTATTTTATGCAGGAAAATATACTACTTATATGTGCTTATTCAAAGAAGAACATAGAAAATGTTACAAAAATTTAAGTTATTATTTCTTAAAAAACGTGTTAAAATGAAAGGTATAATGAAATAACGCACACACACAAAAAAAAAAAAAAAAAGAAAAAAAAAAAAGAAGCTTAAATACATTTGTGAAATATTATCAACAGTCTATTTTAAAAATTCATTTTATGGAGATATTTGATATGAATATTTTTTTAAAAGGGTTACATCTGTTTATACAACATTTTTATATTCATCGACTCTTTAACATTTTTGCAACTATTTAAATGACATGGCACCTTTATCTATACATCAATTCTATATGTACAATATTTTAATCTATATAACATTTTTATCTATACGTTTTTACTTATACAACTTAATTTATCTATATAATGTTTTTATCTATACAGCTATGTTTATCTATATAATGTTTTTATTTATACAACTTTATTTATCTATATAATGTTTTTATCTATACAACTTTATTTATCAATATAATGTTTTTATCTATACAACTTTTTTTATCTATATAATGTTTTTATCCGTATGGAATTTCATTTTAGCCCCTTTTAAAGGTGCAAAGGAAGCCCTCATGATCAATTTATTTTAAAAGCACACTTATATGAAATATAAAACAAGTGTTTAAAGGAATAACTGTAAGTATTACTCCTTTTTATAATTTTTTTTTATTAATTTATTAAAAAATAAAATATGTATTTTATAGGGGATAAAATTATAACTGTGAAAATGAATCTTCTATTATACATATAACTAAACTTTATTTTGAAGAAAAAAAAAAAAAAAAAAGGGTTCACTTAACTGGCTTTTTTTTATAAAAAAAAAATGTTTTACCAGAAAGTATAAATTAAAAAAAAAGAAAAATAAATAAACTAGTAAATATTTAATAAAAATAAATAAAGTAATATAAAATTGCAAATGATAAAAAGAATGAATTTTGTTAAGTGTAGCTTTTAATATAACTTTTTCATTAATTAAAACGATGGTACAACAATTTTTTCAGAAATTATGTTATGCAAAGCATTCTACTTTTGTCCAAACATATGTATTATTACATTAAATAAACATGAATTATTACTGAATTTATATATTTTTAAGAAAAATTCTTATTTTACATTTAAAAGAAAAAATCTAAAATGAAAGGCGGTGCAGAGTAGTTTTTAAAAGAAAAAAAAAAATAATATATATATGTTATACTGAGAATGTGCTGAAATATTCTAAATGATAGAATGATCGTGACAATTTAAATTTCATAAAATACTAATTCATCTTTTTATAGAATGAAATTTTTACTAAAAAAATATATGATACAATTTAAGTTAAAAGACAAAATTTAAAGTGTGTGCTGAGAAAAATGCAAGGCTTACTTTATTACAAAGAGTAATAACCACATTGTTTTATGCATTAAAATAAATATTTAATTAATAGGGAGTAAGAAATTAATTTTAACTGTTATTAAAACTAAATTATGTTAAAGTTAGTATAAACAGTAAACACTTGTAAGAGTTTCGTTTGTTGGTTTATTTTTGAAAAGGTAATATTTGAACAAATAGTTCATAGAGCTCATATATTTTGACAAAACAAAAAAATAAAATAAAACAACTGTTGTAAGAATTATAATAATGAATGAAACATAATTATACTACGGGTGATTTATATGTAGAAATGTTTTTTGAATATTTAGTACAAAAAAAAGGGATTCTATTTAATTGTCTTTTAAACATTATTACAGACACTCACACACACACCAAAAAAAAAAAAAAAAAAAAATAATAATAAAATAAAAACATTTCTTCTGTCCCCAAAGAAACACAGTGTTAAAATGTGTAGGGTAATATATATATATATGCAAACACAAAAGATGATAACTTTAAAATAATCCCCCTATTTTTATCAACCTCTGTAAGTTAAAACTTCAAGGGGGATATTTTTTTACTCTTCGCTTTTTATATTATTAATTGATTTAATCAACTTTTCATGGACCATTTTATGTTACTAAGAAAAGCATGTACAAATAAAATTTATATATTAAGCACAAATGCTTTTCTGTTTCATCCCCTTTTCGTTAATCTTATGCTCATTTAGCCATCGTGTTTCTGTATTTGTGTGCGTAGCTACTTAAAATGAAGAAATATTATAAAATGGTTACTTATTTTTATTCATTAATTCTTTGTCATCCGAGTTTTTTCTTTTTTTTCTTTTCTTTTTTTATGTGAACTCTTTGATTCTTCAACTAAAAGAAGCACATCCATCTTTTTTCCATATATCAATTTGTTAATTACTAGTCCCACACATTCAAAAAGCAGGGTGTTTTTGTAATTTTGCCATTTTATTATCACGTCTCATTTATGGTTTATATATATATCTTTTGTTTGATATTTAATCGAAGATACTTTTCAGTTATTTCATCACCCTTAATTTTTCTCCATATTAAGGAATTTATTTTGTCTGTTGGATGTCCTAATTTTTCCGAATAAAAATTTTTTGTGCATTTCAAATAACTCTTTATGAACTTAACAAGGTCCTTATGTTTTCATTTTAACAATGTTCTTAAACACCATATATTTAGCTAGGTCTCATGTTTATACATGGAGTATATACATCCTATTTCCGTAACTTTTTCTCAATAAGTTTCATCTCATTTGTATATCGTTTTTAATGTCATGAATTCAAATATACTGCTTATATGTTCGTTAAAGTTTTTCATTCTCTATACCATAATTTTCATCCAACATTTTCATTCCTTCTCTCTCCCTTAAAACTACTTATAATTTTCGTTTTCTATTGTTTCATAGAAAAGTTTTCAATCTTCCTACCAATTTATCCTTGAATGTTTCCATTCATGCTGTTCCCATTTCTTTGATGTTTCTGTAAACACTTTTGTGTATTATTTTACACAAAAATGTGTGTGACAAAAAAAGCACTTTGGTTCTAATATAGACTAGATGGAGCTAAAAATATATATATATATATATGCATGCACACTAATAAGAAGGGGAAATAACTTTACGCAGATGCTTTATTTTCATATTATTTGAGAGAATTTACCTGTATTAAGGGTACATGAATATAAAATAAAAAAGGTAGCTAATGTAAATGGGTTTAGAAAATTTTTCCTAAAAATAAGACATAAGTGAGTTTCATCTATTTTTTTTAAAAGTAATTGGGAAGAGAACATTAAAAAGTACTTTTCGTATGCACTTGATTTTGCATTTCGGTGTAGATATTATTTAATAAAAAATAACAAAACAAATAAAAATGATGTTGTCACAATGAATTCACCTTCTATTTATTTATAAACAATATCAGAATTAAACACATATAAAAATTGCTATGGAGAATGCATATGTGTTGGTTTATTATAAAAAGTTGATACTTGCATTATTGTTCAAGTGTTTATTTAAATGCACTGAAAAAAAAAAAAAAAAAAAAAAAAAAACGATACTGAAACATTAGGATTGTTTATATAAATAATTACATAAGTATTAGGCTTTATTTTTCAAACATATATATAATGGAACACTAATATTAGGTACACATTTAATACATATAATTATTGAAAAACATATATAAGACCTAATTATGTGAAACTTATTTTATAAATTAAAAAAAAATTAGATTGTTAATTTGTAATTTACACTCAAAAAAAATGTTTAAATGCAAATATAGGTAATAAAAACAAAATTTTAAAGGAGTATTTATAATTCAATTGAAGAATATACACTAACAGTTTTAAAAATAAGCTTTTAGTTTATTTGAGTCTTTACATGAAAAATATTTATATGCTTTTTGTCTCAAATATTTTTCTCTTTTCTTTTTTTTTTTTTTTTAATTTCGGATGCTCTATTATGATTAATATAACTGATTCAAGTACTGCTACCATGCAAATTGAAGGTTTTATCCTGTGTAAACCTTTTTCTATTATTTTTACCCATTTTTTGTTTGTCATGTGAAATTTAAAGCATACATGGGCATGTGGGTGAGAAGATATTAAAAATTTTCTATTAATAATAGTTCATAGATTTCATTTAATATGTAAGTATTTTTTTTCATTCTAATTTGAACTGGCCATTGAATCATACTGAGCATCGCTCTTTTTTATATTTAACCAATTCGCAATAAAGAAATTTATCCAGTCATGAAAATAGTTGGTTTTATAATATTCCCATTCTTCGAACGCATATTTCTGTGTGCTTACTAAATGATCTTCGTTTTTCTTAATCCATTTAAAAAAATAATCCTTTTCATTAATGACTTGAGGGTTAGAATTGAACCATGTTTTTTTTTCAGAAATAGCTAATATATTAGTGCATGTAATGTGTTCCCAATTTTCCAAAATGTTGCCTTCATTGCGAAACCAGATACGTTTAAGCCATTGTTTGATTTTCATGTTTTTCCATCTCAACCATTCTTTAATAATTAACTTGTAGTAATGAGTTTTATTTTTCGTAATCCAATTATGCCACTCATTTTCCATAATACGCTTCCCATCATTGTTAATCCATTCTTCCCATTTAGAAATGTCCAACGTTAAAGAAATGTTTAAAGTATTAAAATTAAGTTGTTCATACATATTTTTATTAAAATATAGCCATTTATCTTCTATAGACTTTGTCATTTTCAATATTTCTTTTTCTTTTTTGCCAAACCACTTGTTTTTTTCACTCTCCAAGGAGGAGTTAAAATCTGCCAAGTCTTTTTGGATTCCATTCATCCATTCGTACCATTCGTCGTTATCCCATTGTTCTGATCTATCTATTCCTTCCGTTGAGTAATTTATCGCACTATTTGTGAATCTTTCAATTGTGTTGTTTGATTTCTTGGAAGATGAATAAATTTAAGAAGGGAAAATTTTTTAATATTTTTTTTTTTTTGCATCTGTCGATATAACATTTTTAAAATAGAGGAATATAACTCATTATATATATAAATATATATACTTGCATGCTGCTTTTTCTTACATCAAGGAAATCCATTAAAAGATCCGATGCAGATGATAAAATAAATAAAACATTAAATATATAGAAGACAATGAATACAATTTTCATGTTTGACAATATTTTATTTTTACTTATTACTATAATTACTATATTTTGACGAATATTGTATTTTCAGGTATAACTAAATATAGGTAATCTAACAATAGTTTAGTATTGTGCACATTTTTATAACAAAAAAAAAAAATCTATTAGAAAAATTAGGTGCAAATAGTGTACTACTGTATTAGATAAATCACAAATTACACATAAATTTACGCATATTCCATATTTCTATTTGATTTTGAGAAATAGAAAATGATATTATTGTACGTGTAAGTAGATATTACATTGAAATTATAAAATAATTACATATTTTGTTTTTACTGTTATAGCATTATTGATTTTAAGAAGTAACTTAAAAAGGTAGTTCATTAACAAATAAGTAAATATATAGAAGACCGCTTTTTGCTTTTTAAGCAGAAATTCAAGGGAGAATTGATTTAAGATTTTCATAGTAATTAAAAACTTATATATATTTCCTTTTATGTTATAGCTATAATAATTTTTGTAGTAATTAAAATAAATAAATATATAATTTAGAAGGTCCAATCTAGTGGTGTTTGTTTTTTCAAAGAAATATTTATTAACTTATTTATAAATAGTCCAAATATATTACAACGTTTGCATCACACAAAATATATATTTTTTTTTTTTTTTTGAGTAATTTGTTCACAGCTTTTTTTTTTTGCTTTAATATGGGTGTGGGCTAAGCTACAATAATAACTGTTCTATTTGAACTGGGTACTCCAGAACAGTAATTAAATATAATTTAAATAAAAGCGTATATAATAAATTTAAAAATATATCACTAACAGATTGCAACAGCTGTTAAAAATGATGGAATTCGATGTTTACATATAAAATGATTACAACGGTTAACAAAAGTACAAAATGTTTACATTGAAAATGTGTACATAAATATATATATATATATATATATATATATACGCTCATGTATAAAATTTTTCCTTTTCTTTTATCTTTTTCTTTGCCTTTTTAGCTATAATAAAATGACATGTGCTAATAGATGTAAAAGTTTTTGTGGTTCAGAAAGGGTTTTGTTCATAACCATTTTATTTCTTACGAAATTGTGCAACACTCTTAATTAGTTATTAAACATCCTTTTTTTTGGTTTTTGAATAAGCCTTTTAATTATTTATTGCATTTTTTTTTTTTTTTTTTTTTTTTTGTGCTTATTTAAGTTGATTAATTATTTCACTTTAATGTAATTTATTCACATTTTTTGCAGAATGTTTCTTTTCCTATAAAGAACAAAACTTTAATCTGTAGAAATGTATATACAGAAAATATATAACTTTCATGGATAAATTTTTCATGAAATTGTAACTTAGAAAAAGGTATTAATTCTGATGAGTTTTTTTTCTTCTTTTGCTTAATTGTATTACCTTTTATAAATAGCGTTATTGTTAAAAAAGAGAATTATAAAAAAAAGGGGAAAAATAATATGAGCTCACACATATAAAGAATTATTATTTAAAGTATTTTAAATATATGCGTTTAGGATTATTCGATTATTAATTTTTCATAACATCGTTTTTGTGATGCGTGCAAACATATCAAATTTACAATGTTATGGTGGTCTTTACAGATTTTGTTAACTTCCCATTTGAATGTAATTTATGGGTGAATATAAAAAAGGAGAAGAAAAATCTAGAATGTAAAAGAGTGCACAAAAAGAAAAAAAAAAAAAAAATTGTATCAAGTTCTATCTGAATTTATAAAATATATAATACACATTAAATGATGTGTAATTTTAAAATGGGTTGTTTTTGTTTACACCTTTCAACAAGATGAAGGATGAAATAAATTTTATATTGAACGGAATATAATGTGTAAAACCATGGTAGTTAATTTATAACGATTACTCTTTTAATATCGTCCTAGCAAATTTAATCATAAATATGTAAATTTTTACTAATTATTAAGTATAAAAAATAAAAATTAAAGCATTACAATGAAAAATTTAATATTTAAAAAAAAGGGGCTGTGACGAATATTTTATATAGGAATAATGATGGGTATATGGAAAAACATTGGACATTTTAATTATTACGTGTTTTCATTTACCTTAAAACAAAAAAGAATGGAAAAAACATTGCAAACATAAATTTATATGGGATATAAATTTTTTTTATTTTCATAAATTCTACGAAATAAAAAAAACAAATCATTAATATTTTTCTTATTTATGAGGAAAAAAGATAATCCCATCCATACATGTAATGCATATATTGAAATCACAAGTGTATCTGCGCCATAAATATCTAATGAAGGTAAAATAATTTAACGGACCAAATATCATGGCTACTAAGATAAAAATTAATGCTCATAGAAACTACTTGACAACTCACAATGTAACTTTTTTAATATATTAATTTTTAATATTTTATATTGTAATATAATCGATTAAATAAAATTTACATCTACAATGCAGTAGGTAACACATTTTAGGGTATTTCATAAAATGTTAATTTTTCTGAGCACCAAAGGTGGTGAATAAAATATTCACATTAATTTATATCTTTTATAATAGAAAAATACATAAATTGATTAAATCTAACTATATTAATTAATAATGTATAATGATAGTTCATGATATATAACGTATTAGGACAGCAACAAAAAAAAAAAATTTTAAAATAAATTAGAAAAATGTTTTTTCCTACATCGTTAAAGAAAAAGCATCTGTGTTACAATCCCTTCGCGAAGTAGCTACATAGATGAAGAAAAAGATAGTCATAAAATACACATTCTTTAAAAATATCCTGAGAAGTTATAATGGAAATGTTTATCGAATAAATATTAAAATATTTACTTAATGAATAAAAGTTTCTTCAGTATGGGAAAATTAAATAAATACATAAAATATGCGGAAAAAATCTGTTTGATTAAAGGCTGAAACATAAGAATTCTAGATAAAAAGAGAACATTATGATAAAACGTATGAAAGCAACAATTTATTTGGAAAATGATAAAACAGAGAATTATAAGATGGAAGGATAGTATTTGAATTTCGTCATATAAGGAAAAATATATATATATAAAGAATAAAAAAAGAAAAAAAAGGAATCACTAACTTTAAGTAACCACATAAACAGATAATATATAAAATTGTTACATCACTTGAAGAGGTGAATAAGAACATTATGTGGACAATTTTTTTTAATATTAATCTAAATATATGGAAAATTGCATTATTGCATTTGTATTAACTCTGATTTAAATTTTATGATTATCGAACTAGAGAAAAATAAATGTTAATATATATACCACAATAAAAAAACAGTATTAGTATACAAATATGTTAATGATCGTTAGATTATCAGACTTAAGCTTAGGGAATAAACTTGAAAATACACTAATAAATTGATTTTAATATTTAAGCAGAAAAATAGTTTAATATATATAAGGGATTATTCTTCTAAAGTAGGTATCGATTAATTAATGTTAATAAACAACACTCTTTCATTATGTTTTATACAGATATTTAAATACTTCAGAACTAAATTCAACTTTCATTAAAGTCATACTTAAATGTTATAATGATATAAGACAAAAAATTAAATATATAAAAGGATATTAATTAAAATGGTGGGATTCTTATGAAACGCTTTGATTAAGCATATACTCGTCACATAGAATAAATAACAGGAAATTTGTTAGTTCTTTTTAAAAGTGATATTTCCATATAACAGGGAAACTATTTGAATAAAGAAATAGTCAGTGAAAAAATGATAATTTAAGCAAAATAGGTGTGTAATAAACTAAATTTTATAAAAAAATACCCAATTTTGTTGTTAATTATGGAATGGAATTTTATGGATAATGCTTTTTATTTATGTTTAAGATACGAGCTATTGGGGATCAAGGTATTTAATAACTTTTTCTTTTTTCATATTTTATTTCCTTTAACTTGATATAATACTTTTAATAATGTAGTATCATATGACAACAGAACAATTCTGAATTTCACCTAATCATTGAAATTTTTTAAAATAAAATGCTTAGCAAGAATCCATAAACATAATGTACATCGTGCATTAAATTATAGGTTTTATCTACTAATGTTAAGAGTGAATCATATTTTACATTATATAAAATGTTTTGAATTCTTTTGGTAGTTTGTAATCTAATTGATATATATTATATATATGTGTAAATTTTGTTATTAAAATAGCTCATGCCTGGGACGACTTTGGATACATTGCAAATTATATGTTCTTTAGCATGTCTGGAAAATTAACTCAAAAAGGATATATTTACATATTATGTAAGAATATTCTCGTTATTAATAAGTTTTTCATACTTTAATTTTTATTAAATTCTTAACAGTGGGTCAGTTTCTTTATTTATAGATAAAACTTACATTTGTTCAATGTTTATACTGAGTGAAAATATTTTTTATATTACTAGAAAAAAAAGGAAAGGATAAAAAATGAACACTTTGATTTTTAACGTCCCTCTGTTTAACGTAAATAATAATAGCGTTGATAAAAAGTTTTAATCCTGTTAAAAAGGACAAAAAAACATTTTAAAGGAAAAGTTAAATATATGTTTTTGAAGTTCCAAAAATATATTAAATTTATGTATATTTATTTGTTATATAATATTTGCAAAAATTAAAAAAAAAAAAAATAAAATAACATAGAGAACTTGTTTTATTCGCATTCATTGAAAAATTAATATTTTTGTTTCTCCATAATATAGGAATATAAAGAGTTTGTGAAAAAATGTATTCCTCCTTTAGCAGTGATCAGGAAATCTACTCGAAATAGATAAAAAATAAGAAGAGAAATTATTTATTATCATTTAAAAAAAAGTATATATTTTTTTAATAATTATTATGTAGTTAACATTTAAATATTGAATATGTTGATAGTTAATGAAATTTTTAATTATCTATAAAAGTGCTTAATTATAAGTAATAAAATATTATAAAGGAAGGAAATAGGGAAATAAATTACATTAGACAACTCGGACAAATATACAAGTGACATAAAATAAAAGTGTCCCATAAAACTTACATGATTATTCCTACTGCTCCGTTTTATAACTGTTCAAGATATAATAAAATAATACATTATTTATCCATAAGAGTTGCACATATTATAGGTTGACAATTATATGAGTAAAAAAAAAAAAAAAAAAAAAAAATTACAAAAAAGCTATTATTAGTTAAAATAACATTATTTAATGCTTTAATGTAGTAATATAAAATTATTAAATTTTACTGAATGTTGCTTTATTTACATTACATATTTTATTTTCCACCTTAATATAAAAGAGGTATTAACATTATTTTTATTTATGAATTACCTTCTATACAAGTGAACGTAAGAACCAATAATTTTACATTATTTTTAATTGAACAATGTTGTTCCTGTTTATTCATATATTAATTATATTTGACTGTCTTACATTTATATATGAAT